GGGGGGGGAGGGGGAGGAGGAAAGGATTCTGCGCTGCCTGGGGTTGCTCCAAACGAGGCTGGCGACTTCCAGGGGTTCAATATTCGCCAATGTGGGTAGGGAATACACTACCCCGTACCGACGTAGGTAGTTAAACAACAGAAGTGTGTCCGAACGAAGCTGGTACCTTGAGGAACCTCGCCGTAGTGCATGCATCATGTATCAAGATCCCGGATGCCTGAAGATAGCCGTTGTGTCCAGAGCTCCAAGCACCACAAGTGCACCTGTTTCATTAATTCTCTCATCTGTGTCGATCGAGGTGGATATGTACTCCTCTTGGAACGGCCGGTTTGCAACTTCGCCTACCATGGGACCAACATCCTTCCCTGTCTCATTTGGACGGGGCTTTCGTCAGACACTACCTACGTATGTACGCGGTTGGGGGTCAAGATATTTTCCGTAGAGAAAGAATGAATGGCAAACTGGAAGTCTTCACAGTGTAAGCATGTGGATAAGGCCGTGTCGTTTGTGCAGTTGGCTGCCTAGCATCCAGAATCTTGTGCACGGTCTCATTGCGACCTCCAGTGCAGCTCAATGTCTTCGCCTTTTGCTCAGCCGTACGCTTTTCGATGCCGATCAGCTTCCCCAAAAGACTTCAACCGCCCGTAATGATAATGATGATACACTTGCCCAGGTAGACTACCACACTGCAGGTATTGTTCATCCCGTCAGTCTACCTGTTGCACCTAGCAAAGAGTAAGACCGCTTCCTCGGGTCAACTGATCGTCATCACAACAATATCCATGTCCAATTGGCTCCGTTCATGCTGGAACAGGCGCAAGCACCCTGAGACACGGCCGTACTCATCGAGCACCGAGATCGAACTCATCGCGAGCAAAGGGTCCCTTTGTAGAGTGGATTCAGTACTATGTATTTCCGTCGTTTTTCCTGATTACGCCACTGAAACGTCCTGTCCCGCCTTCACACTGCCCATCCTCGACGGCGGCGAATCGCTCAAGGTTGTTGGGCCAGCCAAATGTCATCTGCCACGCCTCCTCGAGAACGCGCTTTTCGATAGGATGAATGCACTGAGTCAATGTTCCCAACCATGGATAATCATCGCCTGAATCGGACATCATGACCTTCGTATCCTCTGATGGCTCCGGGGGTCGATGTGCCGGATTACGGAACGCACCCAACACACTTTCGACTTCTACCCCTAGGGCAAATCGTGTCTTGCGAACATGCAGGCCATCGTCCATGGTCGGCTCGGCGCAAAGAACGGCCGCATTTTGGTCATAGTCCAGGGAGGCCCACTTAGGTACCGAGATTTTGACATAACCACAGCTGTTGAGAACGATTTCTTGAATATGCCCGCGAAACGCTGGCTCAGGGATCGGCTCAGCTTCTGGGTCAATAAGTCCAGCGTCGTATTTGTGTGCAAAAAGTGTTTTCCCCGGCGTAATAGCATCAAGAACTCGAGCCCAAGAAGCGCCGGTGGGCAGAATCTCTTGAGTCCAGTCTTGTCGAGGATGAAGGCAGCGAAGATGACCCAATACATTCCAAGTCGGCCTCTCGATATCGGCATCATGATATACGGTCATGCTCACGGAGTCAAGGTTCAAGGAATGGAGGCTTGTGTCTCTGCTCTTCTTCATGAACTCCTGCAGCATCCACGGAGTGAACCAACAGTTTTGGAATTTGAGATGCCGTATGTGGTCGAATTTTATGAGAAATGGGCGACGTTTTCTGGTGTTGTCGTGCAGCCAATCTCCTGGCCAATCGACAATTGGTGCAGGCAAGACGTGCTTGTTGCGTGCGAACATACCCACAGCATGTTCTCCGCCTCCGACATAGCCAATGCTCAGGCTGTGCAGAGTCTCTATGTTGACAATGTACTTCCTCAAAAAATTGGTGAACCTCTGAGCCGCCGTGTCGGGCAAAATCAACATCCTCTCGGCATATCGACGGTCACCCAGGACATGCTCCTTTCGCCAGTCCGGGCTTATGAGGATCTCCAGCGTCTTCAGTCCAGGCAAGCTCTTCCAGAACTCCCCTTGTTCTATTGATGGTAGGAGCCCAGAGGACAATTTACTGATGCGGAGAGTGTGAATCGACGCGAAGTTCTGCTTGTTTGTGATGATGGCCGTCGTGTAAGCGGAGAGAAAAGCACGCTGTGCCCATACGGTTTCCATCAACCATTGAGCTTGCGGCTCGGTGAGCGCTCCGGGTAGGAGTGGAGATGCGACAAAATTGGCAGTCTTGTTTTGGATGGAAGAGCAGTGACCTCCATGCTCAGCAGCAAGATTGTGGCCACTGAAGATTAATGGCCACTGAGGTAATCTCTTCCCTCCGTTCCGCGCATGGGCTATCAAACGGCGCTGGCCGGCGACCTGATGCGCCTGCGAAAGATTAGGAAACTCGCCATTAGCGTCTACAAGAGCTTCCGCTCCTGGGACTGGGCCACCTCCCACGTGGCATTCCGGGTCGTAATCATATTGCTCGTCCTGATAGCGGAAGCTCTCAATGTCACGGATTTTGAGACCATTCAAAAAGCGAACCTCTTTGACAGCAGACTCTGGAGTTGGCTGTTTGGTCATAAGCGCCTTGAGTGTTTCGTTGATGGTGTTCTGTTGGGCCCATCTAAAGTATTCATTACGTGCAAAAGTGACCCAAACGTCTTCGGTTTTGAACGTCTTCCCGAAGACTTTGCTGCCCTTCGTAGTTCGTCGATTGAAAAGGGCCATGTCAGAGATGTCAGGGCCTTCGAGCCAGCCGTGACCGCTGTCAATACACAAGCCAAGCTCCGAGACTGTAGTCAGAGATTTGAATGCTTCTTTGAGCAATGGACGGTTATTGTCAACAAAGTCCTCGAGTGCCTGCAGTTCTGGAAAACGCGGATATTGTTCAGTTGGCCAGATGAATGTTCCAAACCATGCGTCGTGTTCTTTCTCAATGGTTTTCGCCTTAGCGTGCGACAGACCTTGCAGATCGTACTCGAAGGATATGCCAAATTTGTTGATATTGGCGCCGTACTTCCTGAACATTGAATCGTTGGGTGGGAGCCCGGATTTGATATCCCAATTGCTGCGGCTCGCGTCGAAAAAGTGTCTGTCGAAGTTCACCACAACGTTCCTGAACTGGATTGGAGCTATGATGTGTGCAAGAGATTTGTCGACTAGGCGGAGGTTTCTCACATCTTGCGTAGAAAGGAATCTTGAGATTTCCGTCCAGATATCGGCATCGAACTTTTGTATGGAGTTTGATTCTGCCTCAAGACCTTTGACAGCTTGACCCGAGCAGACCATAGTCAAGCTTGTGCTTGCTGGAGACATGCCAGGAATCATTGACGGTGGTTTCCAGAGGCGAGGATATTTCTTGTCAGGGGACAGTATAGGGACGTCCTCCGCACTTGAGTCACTGCCATCGACGGTTGGAATGGCAGGAGCAAGCGCTCTCATAGAGGGAACTTCTCTCCTCATAGCGATAGCCCCGTAGTACGGAATTCTATACACCCAGCTCGACTCCGGACTTCGGTTTTCTGAATCAGCCGAACTATTCCGGTTTGCTCGCATCGCCTGGTCGATAAACTCCTTTTTGTCGCTAAGAGGGATGACTTCGGGGATGAGAGTGGCGTAGTCGAAAGAAGTGACTGGCGGGGACTGGCTCTCCCAACCAGGATACGCAAAATCCGTGGTGGTGGGAGGATTTTGTGTTGATGCTTTACCGTTGGGCAAGCCATGCATGAGCTTGTCGAACGGCGCTTGAATAGTCTTGCTGCTAGTGGTCTCCTGTCCAGGTGTAGTGGCAGGCGAGCGTGCTTCGCCATTAAGGAAACTCTCAGGCAAGGAGAAATAACGAGCCTCTCGAACGTCCTGTTGTCGAAATTCGAGATAATAAGCCCCTGACATTGCAGACAGATCCGTGCTCATGGCGGCCGACCCGCCAGAGGGAAACAAATCTCTCGAATATCTTCTCTGACGCAATCTTGCGCGTAGGGGACTAATCAAATCCTCTTGAGCCGTGTTCCTAACAGCCATTCTCTTGTTCTTGGTGTGCGCTTCGAATGTGCTTGCCCTAGAGGGACCAGTACCACTGGGTAGTGAGGTGAGGTCATGTGCTTGGGAAGAGGAACCGCCCTCTTGGAAGGATGGTTGCTGAGATAGGTCTGGCAGAAACGGCGTCAGTAGTGGTGGTCGAGACAGCGGTGTCTTTTTACAGTCCCCTGCACCTTGACTCGCCTCCCGGTTGAGAGAGCCTCTGCGCGCCAGGCGCTGCGATCGCCGAGTTGCCAAGCCCACAGCAGACTGGCGGTCATTGACGCGGTCAGCGAGCGCTGGAGTAGTAGACGGTGGAAGGAGGCCGTGTGGAGACGTTGGAGTGTGGCTCTGATGGAGCACGCCAGATATTGCCGGTTCCAAAATCTCCTTCTCTTTCCCCTTACCCTTTCCCGAGGTGGCATTGCGTTCACGCTTCAATTTGTCGACCTCAGCTCGCAGGTATTCGATCAGAGCCGTGGGACCGAAATCGGTGGCGAAGGGAGGGGGAACGGGCCTGGCTTCGGTTTGAGCAGGGCTGTCTTTCTTAAATTTGGAGGCTTTGGCGAAGGAGGCAGCTCGACGCTCTAAACGAGTCAGCGCCGCGGGAGTATCATCTATATCCGCCAGGTCCAATATAATGCGCGGTTCCTCTTCTCCAGAATCATTCAGCCGTGGAGGATGTCGAAAGCTCATGGTTGCGGTTGGTCGAAGGCGAAGACCAGGAAATGCACATCGACGTTTATTGATCCATGTTCTTTTAAGAAAACTCTACAGATGAGAGCCAGGTAACATAGGGCGTTGAACCACTGACAAGGAAAGAACTGCGAGTCACCAAAGGCAGTAAGTGAAGTGATACAGAGTTGGGAATTGTGGTAGGACGAACTATGGACTTCTCAGTTCATAGGCAGGCTCTCGTATGAGTCCAAAGGCACGGGTGCGGTTGTTGACGGCAGCATGTGGACCAAGGGCCGGAACTAAGATTTTCCATTGCCAGTCTTGGCGCTTCTCAGCCTCGTATCAGTCGCCGCAATCTTCGAATGTCCGGTTTCGAACATTGGATGAACCCAGGACATGGGAGAAAGCATGCTCTGAGTATGAGACGACGCGGACCTACCGGCCGGACACTAGAAGTGCGAGGGGTCCAACTCTTAAAGCACTATGTGAAGGGGACGATGTCGATCTTGTCCTGCCCTCGTATAACGCCTCTCGAGCTAAACCCTCGCTCGTATTCAGCCTTCTCTTCCCATCTCCATCAAGCTAGGCTAGCCAATCATGCAGCTCCTTGCCCAGGATATGAAGCATTTGTGGCATTTCTAACTGAGATAGCAATCTGAGTTCTTGATACATACAGATCCTCCACTAGTCATACACAGAAGAGTATCGCATGATAACATCAGCACAATGCTCAAGCATGTTTCGGCGATAACGGGCTTTGCTCGTCTTCAACCCATTTCTCAACGCTACACTATAGACCTATAAATACACATATCCACCGCTTCTCAACTTTTTGCCGAAAGACAGGCAGGGGGAACCCAGAGACAGCCACCAAACCGGCTGATATACTGCTTAGATCTCAAACCTTCAAGTCTACGTGGTTGTAACTCATTCACAACCAATATCTGATCATGACACCAAAGAACCAGGCAGCAATCCTGCCATCTCCCAAAGCACCAGCCCTCACGATCTCTTCGGCCCCCTACTCACCTCCATCCTCCGGCGAAGTGGTGATCAGAGCCCACGCCGTGGCCATAAACCCTGCTGACTGTGGCATCCAACGACTCGGGATCCTCATCCCGGAAGAAGGCGGCTACCCCTGCGTCCTCGGATGCGATGTCGCTGGGGAGGTTGTTGAGCTTCCTCCTGGAGGAGAGACGGACGAACGGATTGCTCATCTCAAGGTCGGCGATCGTGTAATCGGTCAAACATCGCCATTAAGATCCAAAGACTCCAAAGACCTGGATCTTAGTGAGGATGACGACCTCGAACAATGGCGCGGCAAAAAGGTGTACGCCTACTCTTCCTTTCAAAAATACGTGGTTCTTCTTTTCCCGTTTGTGGCAAAGATACCCGACACCATGACCTACGAAGACGCAGTCGTGTTGCCGCTCGGTGTGAATACCGCCTCCAGCTGTCTGTTTCCAGAGGTGATGTTGGGATTGGACATGCCTCCAGCCAAGGGCGGAGCAGAGAAAAAGGGCAAGACGCTTATTGTTTGGGGTGCCTCTTCAAGCGTGGGCTCCTGCGGCGTCCAACTCGCCGTGCAAGCAGGCTACACCGTTGTCGGCATCTGTTCGCAGCGGAACCACCAGTTCGTCAAATCGCTGGGTGCAGAGGAGTGCTTTGACCAAAGCGATCCGAACATCGTCGAATCCGTGGTCTCCTACCTCAAGAGAGAAGGCCAGGAGATAGTCGGCGCGTACGACGCCATCTCCAAGCCTCCCACACTGCAGCCCCTCTGCGATATTCTTCATGGCTGTGGTAGCACTGGCCGGAATTTCATCGCCTCGGTCTTCCCAGGCGCCGATCAGTACGCCAAAAACGACGTGTCGATTGTGACAAATCTGTCGGCAGTGTCTTCTGATGATTTTACCACCAACCTCGCGACCAAGGTGTACCAGTGGCTCGAGACCGCGTTGGAAGACCACCGCATGCAATGCATGCCTGCGCCTGAGGTCATGGGAAAGGGGCTCGAGAGCGTCCAGGCTGCAATGGACAAACTAGCTTCGGGAACGGTGAGCGGGAGGAAATTAGTGGTCACTCTATGAGTGTGATTTGTCTTCTCGGTATGGTCCTGCGTAGTCAGTGCCAGGCTGATGACCGCCTTGCGAGTCCACATACTCAGGCCATCTAGGGCTTGAGCCGACTTCAGAAAGGAAGTGGAACAGGTCTGATGAAAAGGCCATACGACTGCAGCAAAAGTAGAAGTGCTTGGATATTACACAAAGGTCATCTTCACTTCCAAGAGTATTCTATCTACTCTTATTTACAGCAGTCTCCTTATTCTTATTACTGGATACTAGCTACCTTTGATATGGTGGTCACCTTATCGTTATTGAGCACCCTGTTTCAGACTGTGCTGCTTATTTCTGATGGCGGCCCGGGCTCTACTAGTTAGATAGTAGCAGTTTATCATGAAAAGATTCCCGGAGGCCAAGGGAACGCGGAGCGGAGGTACTGTTTCATATGATTTGTTCATTCGTATGCTGTCTTTCAAAGCTCAAGTAGAGCAAGAGCAACTCCAAAGTGGACGCTTAGCCACGGGGTATCTGTACGCACATCGAAACTTCCAGCCAACACCTGTATCATAAAGTTCAAGCCATTCCGGTAGCTTATGCCAGTAAAAGCCCATATGCTCATAATCATGCCAGTTCGCTCATGTTTGAGCTCAATCTCCCATTGTCCAATAGATGCACAAAACAAAATCGATTCTGGTGTCCTCGATCATCGTTTCCTAACGATCAATCATTCCTTTTTGACCTTTCACTTCAAGATTTTGAAGTTCTCTTTGTCCGGATGACACAATACTTCAGGTCTCGAACAGAAGCAAAGTCTGGCCGAAGCCGTTCTCATGATCTTGTCCGATAGCCTCAGGAATTCCGTCAACGTCCACCATATTCACTGAAGCCTTCGTTGTAAGGCCGTACAAGCTGAGATTGGATGAACATTGAATATCGACCATGTTCTCTTGACACGACTCTGTATCCAGGCATGTTTGAAGGTAATCGTCAAAGAAGCTGTAGAGACCTGCGCCGTACATGTAAATATCACTTGAATCCACGATCCGCAAGCCCCAAGACTTCTTGCACGAGTCAGTGGTACAGTCGGCAAAAGTCGGATCTGAGAACGCCGAGTTGGGTGGAAACCCTCCTTCTAGGGCGTTGGGCGTAGCCTGCATGTAGGGGGTCTCTGTCTGAATCGCGCCCATGAAGATATCCGCAGCATTGGAGAATTGGTAGTTGTAGAGCTGACTGTGCTCTGACGATGTTCCGTACAACCAGACAGGACCTTGGCTCTCTACAAGCAACCCACGGCCGTTGTAGATGTTGGTCTGGTTGTGCGTGGTAATGTCAAGCTCATGATCAGCTACCCAGAACCAGCAATTTTCCAAATAAGCAGATGCTTGTTGAGTGATATGCATCAACAAGAAGGCACCTGCACACTTGGGGTTGAATTCGAAGGAACCAGTGACGTTAGCCTGGCATGTATCCTGCTGGAGCTGAGTTCCTGCCGTGCCTCCAATCCGGAAATGGACATCCCACATGCCACAAGAGCCCTGAGACGACTCTGCCATGTTCCATTGCAGCATAATAGCACCAGGGGCGGGTCCGATGGTCTCGAACACAAGATCTGATATCTCCACGGAACCGACACTGCCCTGGGCTCCGACTTGGAAGACGGGCTTGGGATTGTTGATGTCTGCGAACGCCGTGCCTTGAGCCATGATCAGAGGCCAGATCTCGCCGGTGATCCGGGAGTTGGGAGGGATTGTAACGGTATCAGTAATGACATAGGCGCCGTGGTCGAAGTAAACGACTTGGTCTGCAGTGGCATTGTTGAGAATGTTCTGAATTGCGGCAGTGTCATCAGTTACGCCATCACCTTTGGCGCCAGCGGATTTGACGCTGATGAAGGACGAAACTGGAACATCCTGGTACTGTGGCTTGGAGCGTTCAAAAACTTTGTTGCCATTCATCAGAGACGCGGCCATACTTGGAGCAGTTAATGGTTGTTGAACGCGTGCTGATTGCAGTGACACCGGGGTCTCAGAGCACACAGCAGGAGTTTCTTCAGAGGACGGCGTAGGCTGGGATGCTGTAGCATTTGCCGAGACAGTCGAAGAAGCGCTGACATTGGATGGAGGAACGGGTAAAACAGTAAATGTTACCGGAGCACTGCCAGTGGGTGTCGCAGTGACATACACGGTTGTGGTTGTTAGCAGTATGCCACTGGGTGGCGGTATGGCTGAAATGGTAAGCGTAGTTGTAGTCGTCGAGTAGTATGAGATCGATGGAGGCTGGAGGGACAAGGGTCCACCTTGTGGCTCTCTCTTGACGTTGGTGACGTTCTGGGATTCAGCCGTGGATCCTGCAACAGGCGTATAGGTGTCGCCTTGCCGCCAGGCTCCCACAACCATGCCGCCAGCGAGAATGGGAGTAGTGCCGTCTGCACCAGCAATAGCAGTCTGGACACCTGTGAAGTCGACATTTTGCAAGGCCAAAGTACCTGCAGTAGGAGGCTGGCTGGTCTTGTTGTACGAGGTTTTTATGCCAATCGGAGTGCCCGTCATGACGCTGTCAAGGACAATCACAGAGCCCACAGTCTGGTTCACTCCATTGTCTAAGTTTGACATGTCGATTCCGATGTCACAATTGTTGATTGTCACCGACTTCAAAGTCCACAGCCAGTTCCAATTCATGAAGATTGCAGTGTTGCAGCCATTGAACGTCATATTCCGCGTGGTAAATTGTTGGTTGCCCAAGAAAGCACCGTAATTACCGCCGTTGAATACAAGATCTGACATGAAGCCTCCAGAGCCGTTGTCCATGAAAATCCCTTGCTGCTTGTTGGTGGGGCTTTTGGGACGCATGTTGAAGACAATGTTTTGGAGGCTGGTGGCTTGCGCTACCTGCCAGTGAATACCTGCTCCTAAGCTTTCCGGCATCTGGGAGATATCGACGACAAAGTTGCGGATCTGTCGATAGAAGTTGTTTTGATTTGTATACCACTGAGCACCATTGCCGCCAGGGATGTAAGGATCGGTGTCCATTACAGCCAAACCTTGAAAGCTCGGCAAGGCAAGGATAGTGGGGATATTGACAGCATCGCCAATGAATTGGGTATAGTAGAGCTGAATAATCGGAGATGAGACAGCGTAGGTACCAGGAGGGAAATAGACGATCGCAGGGACGGTGGTTGAGCTATCGCAGCCTTCGGCGCAACGAGACCCATCGGTAATGGCATTGTTGATGGCAGTGGTATCATCAGTCACGCCGTCACCAGCAGCACCATAGTCTTTGACATTGCGAAAGATCTTGTAGTCGGGGTTCGAGCCGTAAGCCACAGTGCCCTGACGCTGGATTTGAGAGAGCCAGTACGAGGACGCTGCTTGTCGAGGTTCGACTGGAGCCGGTCTCGGTATGGCGTTGGTGAGACAGGCACAAAGAAGGAGTAGGAAGGGGAACAACATGTTTGTCGTCAAGTTGATTTGGTCCTTTTGTTGTGAGAAAGATGAGAATGGATGGTTTCGAAGAGCAGTAGGAGAAGCTGAAGGTAATTCTTTATATTTCTTTGAGGCGACCAGCACCAGACAAACAAGATCGAGGCAGTGGTCAAAGGCAGCGATCACCAGTGTCGGTGCCTTCAAGTGGCGTCTCGACGGTGGTGACAAGCGTGTAGGAAGTTGTAAAAGTAGTCTTGTGAACTGCGCACAGGGCAAATGGTGACGAAACGAAGAGGAAGGCACGAGTTCAGTCGTGCAAATGACAACTTGGTCTCGAACAGTGATGAATGGAAGTCAGGGGACAATCGACAATAGACAATCGCAGCTGCATTCGCACAGACAGACAGACAGACAGACACTTGTTGTTGTTGTTTAGGGGGGTCCGGTAGCGATAGCGAGTGATGCCGTCAGGAAGGGCAATTGTCCCGAAGCCTTTCTCTCCCCCTTTCTCTGCTTGCTTTCTCTTCTTCAAATGAATGACAAAGGTGTCCTCGAGCACAAGAACCGACCTCAAAGGAACAAAGCAGAAGAATAAAGGAAACCCAGTGAGTGAAAGACCAAAGAAATGGTAAGTGACAACGAGTGCAGCCCCAGTTTGCTGGATGAGCGATAGACAGAGAAGGAGAGGCTGTGGTGTTGATGATATGCGCTGGCAAGCGTTTGTTCGCACGACTCGCAAAACCAACCCACACACCACACAACGCAGCAGGAGCACAGGAAGATGGGAGTCTCACAGAGAATCCCGGTCCTCGGTTTTCTTTTCAATCTCGTTCGACCTTTGCAGTCAATCTAGCAGCGTCGATCAGTTGTACGTACTCTTTACACGGCGTCAGCCAGCCGGCTGCTTTTGGTACGTTACTTGCCCTTTGTCCCAATCTCGCACCACGCCGTCCAGACCCATCCCCTTGTGGACTCCTGTTGTCCTTTTTATTTCCTTTCTGCATGCTGAACAAAGGGGTGGCAAGCAGGAACCTAGTGTCTCCGATCTTTCATTGCCGGCATTACCTCCTGGACCAGCTGTTCCGGTAAAGCTAGGTCACTTCGCGCCGCTCCGCTGAGAAGCAACCGCGTGGCAGGGGAGTCAAAAACAAGCAACACTGAGCCATCCCCGAGAACTGATTCGTTGGACATGCTAGCTTGGGAAGCTCCTTAATCCGCATACAGCTTCCTCTCCACTCGTCGGGTTATGAACTCGGAAAGGTGGCGAAGGGGAAGGGAAGCTGTCAAGAAAGGAGGAGGAAGATGACACGAAGGGCAATGTTCGAAATGGCGTAAAATTGGCAGATTGTATATCATCCGATTGGCGCAATGGGCGCCAGGGGTATGAAACACTTCGAAACAGGCTTCGTTTGACAAGGGACCAACTCGGCTGACGGGAGTGGCGCTGTCGAGGCTGGGTGGGCTTGACCTTGTGGCTGGATATTACTCCGATCATGCCGCAGATCCTGGATCCAACGAAAGAGAGAGGGAGAAAAATTACTGCTCGGCCCAAGTACCAGTTACCCACCAGGTACGGGCAGCGATAAAACCAGGCCAAGGGCCAAGTTGTTCATTCGACTAACTAGAGCAGTGACAAGTCATATCCTTCATCAACATTTACAGCGAGTGTCACTCCAGCTCATCCTCCACTTGACCGGTTTGTTTCCAGCTCGTTTTCAATCACCTGAGCCAATCGAACGACGCCTTCCTCGAGCACATCCAAGTCTTCCCAGGAATAACACAGGCGGAGATCCTGCTCAAAACGCGCCTCCTTGTTTTGTTCGTCTCCGTCCACCTTGAACATAGGTCCGGCAATTACAGTCAAATTCGCTTCTTTCAACGCCCGTTTGTAGATGCGTGTCGCGTCCAAGGAGCCTGGCAAGGTCAACCAGATGAAGTAGCCTCCGGCAACATCCTTGTCCGCCTGAGGCATGGTCAGTCCCAATGGCAACAGGTGCTGCTCTACCGCTCGCATCAGCAGATGATATCGTTGCGCATACGCTGGCTGCAATTCCTGCAGAATGTGGGTTTGCAAAACCCCGGTGGCCATCATCTGGTAAATGAAGGAGGCGACCAGATGAGAAGGGGCGCCTCCAGAGCGACTTGAACCCGTTTGTGACAGTCCATAGACCAATGCCGGCGTCCCTTCGGCCCAACCTGTTCGACAACCCGGAGCCACAATCTTGCTGAAACTCCCATTACTCACGGCGTGCCCATATTCATCCACTACTCCGCCATCGAGTTGTCTATCAATGTCGACTATTCGTGGCAGGACAGCAGTGTCCATCCTGCGCGAGCCGGCCTTGGGATCGGAGGGCCACTGGAGCATGTCATAGACGTCATCGGTCACAATGAGAGCGTCGTATTGTCGAGCCAGGCGGACCAGGTCTTGCCGATGGCCCAGACTCATGATTCGACCGGAAGGGTTGGAAAAAGTCGGGACTGCATAAATAATGTGTTTGTATATCTTCCTCCATGGCTTAGGTGACTTGACCCGGGGTGATGTGTTGTTTTCAGCCATCGCCCGTTTCTCGCTTTCTCGGAGCCTTCGCTCGAGGTACGAGAGGTCGATACCTTCTGCATCCTCGGGCACAGCTCTCAGCTTATTGTCGAACCCAGAGTCGTTAAAAATCCTGCAAGCCAAATAATATGTCGGAGCCACCATCCAGACATTGCGAGTATAGATCGGGTCAGTAAAAGTCTGCAAAATACAGGCGAGATTCTGGCTGGCACCGCCACTGATACATATTCTCTCGCTTGAGACTGTCTCGCTAGGCCGGTAGAAATCATTGAGCCATTTGGCAATTTCCTCTCTCAGTGGTTGATAGCCTTCATCTGGACCATAAAACAAGACGTCCGAGTTGGAGGGATTGGATAGTATTTTTGCGGACGCCTGGTCCAGCTGATGGGGCGGCAGCAGACTCGGATGTGGCCAGCCTTTGAGGAGATCAATCTGCCTGTTCCTCGATACCTTTGGAGAATCCACGCGGGAGCTTGCTCTAAGTGTCATGCTGGGCGCTATTGACAAGGGAGGGGCCCAAAAGATGGGGGTTAGCGACGACGGCAGCTGTCGAAGACACCTCCACATGTGTTTCTGACACGCGCGTGGCTATATCCGCAGTTATACGCATCAAGAGGCGTACTCGGTACACATACTCTCCTGCACATGGTCAGCAGGAAGCGATCAGAATTTTCCCTCGCTGCTTGAGGCTGGCGATCCAGTCATCGAGTTCCTTTCGACCAAGGGTCTTTTTTCCTTTTTTTCCCTTTTCTCCGTATTCTTCTTGCCTCCATTGGAGTCTCGCTAGGGTGGCAGTTAGCGGCGTGTTAAGCATCGCCTGCAGTGGATGGTCCCTTGATCTAGGCGACAACAGGCAAAGGCTGCTGCTGGAAACTGGGGATGTCGACGTCAACGGCAGAGGCTGAAAAGTGCTGGTGACGCAGGCACCAAAGTGTCTCGCTTCGTACACTGTAGATGCGGTGCCATGGTAGACGTCTCTTGAATTCTAACACTTGAGGAGGGAGTATGCTGTGCGACACCCAGGCGTCTCCAAGAGAGAGCGCGGGTCTCACCCTTGTCCTCCCTGACACTCGTTCTCCATCCCATCAGCTCATCATGCTCACTGCTGGCATCACTACCCACCTCATGACACAGGATTATTATTTGCCTCACCCATCCACCGCCTCTCCACCATAGCACGCACACACGCGGCTCACCCCAGTCAACTGTCATCCCCCCTGCAAAACGCTTTTCCGGGGCGTTAGGAAATGCATGACCCATCCGGTTTACTCTCTTTAACCCTTTCGCCCTCCTCGATCCTCGAGTCTCCTTCCTGGCATCCACTTCCCTCTTGAATATGGTGACACGCCAGCACACCGAGCCGTATTTAGCAACCTCAGAAAGCTAAGACATGCGTCACGGGCGCAAGTGAATTGCGGCTATGACGACCACTCGCTAAAAGAACTGCGTAAACTCACACTCATTCATTGTACTGGGGGAAGAAAAAGGCGACATAGCCGATTCTTTTGAGGAATTCGTCTGTGCGCTTAGAGCTGCCATACGATTACCATGGCGAAGCGACTATCATCCTTATTTACCCTCTCGCGCGAGTCCGCCGACAAGATAAACAGCGATTCACCTCCCGCGATGGAAACTGCGACAGCGTCTTCTCCTCGTATTCTACCTCAATCTGCCGGCCACACCAAATCCCACAAACTACACAAACATCGCATAACGTCCTCCTCCGAGATCGATCTCAATGATGGCTTGCCTCCTCTTGCTCCCCCTCCTCTCCTATCCGACTCTGGAGCAGTGCGGCCCCCCAGCAGTCATCAAAGCGCACCCGACAGCGCATCTGGGAGCAGGAATAGCAGTCCCCATAGTCTGGTACGGAGCAGGGAAGCAAGCAGGAGTCGGCCTCAGACACCCAGTTTGTTAATACCACCCGGTACGACCGGCTCCCCGGGTCACGCTGCAACGCCTCCGTCGGCAAAGGTTGCGAAGAAAAAGAGTTGGCTTCATGGAAAATCAGACAAACATAAATTTGATGACGGCCAAGGGGCACCCAGGGCGTGGATCGCCGGATTGCGGGAGCATGTGGCCTACGACTTAACACCGCTGTTGAAGGGCGAGAGAGTCCCCGATCTCTGGAGTGATTATGGTGATACAGTCATTTATCTTTATCCCCCATCCTCTGGGAAAGGCCCTTGTTTTCGTATCGACTCCGCTCTGTTGGTCGACTCAAGGTCCCTCGTCAACCTTCGCATGCAGTCTCCGACCTCACCAGTCGACCGGAATAGCGACATTCCCCAAATGCAGGCCGCCTTCTCAGAAATGTCAATGAGCCCAAGACAGGAACGTCCGCCGTCTCAGGAGAGTTCGATTTACCGCCCCACAAACTTCTCGGTGCCCCATGTGACTTCAATCAGCCAGGAGAAGCATGTCTATCTGCCCCTAGGTTTCGAAGGGGACGTATCTCAGCCCGGGTCAGAGTTGCACGGAGATGATCTCGAACTTGTAGTCCTGTACCGCAATTTCTTTGCCTTCCTCGCTGGCGGGGCGTTGATCGCAACGCCTAGACAGACGACTTTGTTCTCAATTTTCATGGGAGTAAGCAGCATACTCAAGAGATTTTCCTTTTCTAATGCAGACGGATCCACATGGGGCGATGTGCCCTACAACAGTTTTTCGCGATACTGCGACGAGCTCCGACTGGCTGATGTGAGGTCTAGTCGTGAAAAGACCATCGAGGCCATCGTTCTCGGGGAACATCTCAAATCATGGCCATTGTACAATGAAGGATTCTGCCACGCCGTTGGGCGTCTCGCCGATATCAAGTCCATCAAAAGTCCCAAGTACGAGAAGATGTCACCCATTACGATCAACCGCCTAGAGCGAGCCCAGATTGACATGGAGCAAAGGCTGCTGACGGTCAAGGGCAAGCTCGAAGACTTCGATTTCCCCTCCATGTTTGCCGGAATTGCCAACTCGCAGACATCGACCGAAGCGAAGCTTATTCGGTTCAAGGAATGGAAAGCCGCTTTCCTGGACTTCAGACGGTTCATTATAGCTTATCTGCGTCGGCGATATGGTGCTTGGCCTCCCAAGGCATCTTCCAAAAAGAACAACTTCGAAGAAAGTGGATTAAATAGGATATTGCTGCAGGAGCTGTACAAGGACTTGACAGATCTATACGATATCCTGGTGGATCGTTCGGCGATCACGACACGAACTGTCGACATGGCACCAATGGCCGATGATGCCGAGACCGATGACCAGAACGAAACAATACAACACGCGATTCGAAGGGTTGAGAGTGAATACGACCGAGCGACACCTCCAGTCATTCCTCCCATACCGTTCGATACGCCGTTAATTCCACAATTTTCGAACAGCTTCAACCGTCGCCATGTGGTCATATCCGACAAATCGGCAGCGCAAAGTAAGAAGCTCAAAGAGAATGAGATCAACGAAGTGCTGCTGGGAGCTTATAATCGCGAGTCAATCGTCGCGAGCACCTTTATTCAAGACTTCTTCAATTACGAACGCCAACTTGGTCGAGGGAAAACCCTTGATCAGGTCGTAGATGCTCGATGTGGGCAATGGCTCTTCATGTACGCCGTCCTTCAGGCTCTCCCGATGACCGTGGTGGACGCCAGAGACCTCAAGCATACAGAAGGCGTCGAGTATTTTCTGTGCGTTGCGCCACGGGGAGGACGACCCTGGATGAAAGAAGACCAGTCTACGTCTCGAGCATGGTACAACGTAGCCAGTGGCGGTGGCTACGTGAGTCTTCCAGCAGACCTGATCGATCACAGCGTGGAAGGAATTTATCGACGGAGTCACTGCTGGACAGCTGCTACAAGATGGCTGGAAGAATCACCCCCGGAAGGGACGAATGGAACATCTCAGCATGTGGATGACCATGGACTCCAACCGCGGCGGGCCAGTGCATATTCACCGTATGCGAGTCCAGCTCAATCACCTTATGTCAGTCCAATACACTCACCACTCCTGCGGCCGACATCTCCTTCTGGGTCCGGCCAATTTCGCAACGTCAGTCGAGATCGAAGTTCTGTCAATTTGGGCTTGGAGGCCATGGATGCGCCACCTTCATATCGCGGCAGCTCTCGACCTCCTTCGACACTTAATCCGAATATCACCTTTGACGCGATTTTAGCGACTACGGACGAGCCGGAAAAAGGAAAGGGAAAGGGGAAGAAGTCAAAGAAGTGAGAGATATTCACGCTGATCACGATTCTGCAAAGTGGGCTTTGGCCCGGAATGCGCATCTAGCTTGGGGAAAATTCAAGACGGTCTTGGTTATGAAAAGGAGTCAACGGGAAGCCAATAATGACGTTTTGTGCTTGCGAGCAGTTTTGGATGATTTACTTGGGGGCCTTTCTGTACTTCTTGCTGGACGGAGCATGTATTAATTAATACTTCATACGACCACTTCATGACCAATCAGAAGTCCATCATTTCCGTGACGTCAACCAACACTGTATTGCGGAGGGGGTGTCAAGGGTGTGTATATGAATGCTTCATGGGTGCGTCTTTGATTTGGATCACGGAAACCATCTTAACCACATGAAAAGGCACGAAGCTGTCGTCGGTGGAAAATCTGACTTGGTACCGGCCCAAACGTACCGCATCCTCCAGCTCAATTGCATCTCTAGTCTGAGACACAATGAATCCAGGCGAGGATGGCTCGGCCCAGAAGCCCGTCAACAGAGAGCCCGATACGAGCAGACTTGTACAGAGGTAGGGACCACTAGTCAGACGACCAGAACAATGTCCCGTTCGGCGTGAGAAGGAATGAATGTGGATGGAGCTGACTTATTGAGCAGCTTCCTCACTCCCTCGCAATCCAATCCTCAACCCGAACACACATCGAAATCGCAATCACAGTCTCAAGGTAAACCACAGCTGGTTGCATACGACCGCAATCACGGGCCCATACAACACCTCGACGGTTCAAGTCATCGCCTCTCGATAAAATCAGACCCTGTGCTCTCGTCATCCTCATCTCCAAACTCGAACACCAACATTCTTCCCCAACCACTCAACGCTGTCCTCTCGCTCTCTGAGCTGTCCGACAACTTTGAGCAGGTCAGCATCACCTGCGCGCTACAATGTGCGGGGAACAGACGCCATGAAATGCGTGAGCGTCTGGGCGAGGTCAGTGGTCTGGATTGGGGAGATGGAGCGGTAATGAATGCTGAGTGGAGGGGAGTGAGGGTAAGGGATGTGTTGGTCCACGCTGGTCTGAAAGCTTTGGCAACGCGTAAGCCGCATGACGACGGTGGTGGCGGTGGTGGTGGCGGCGAAGAACTTGGATCTCGGTACGAGGGATTGCACGTCCAGTTCGCGTGCACCACGCAACCCACCCAGGAGGACGACTACTACGGCTCCTCAGTCCCGCTGTCTATAGCACTGGACCCGGACCGGGAATGTCTGCTGGCAACACACATGAATGGCGAAGTGCTGCCCGCCCGCCACGGCTTTCCCCTGAGGGCGATTGTCCCAGGCGTCATCGGCGCGCGGAGCGTCAAGTGGCTCGACTCCCTCGTTGTCGCGGGAGAGGAGAGCACCAACCACTACCAGCGACGGGACTACAAGATCCTGCCTCCCGAAGTGGACAGTGCGGAGGAAGCGAAGCAGGGAGGAGACGAGTTGTGGGATTCTGTCGAGGCCATGATGGACAACCCGATCAATTCCGTCGTGGCGGTTCCCGGCAAGGATGATGAAGAGGTGCAGAGGGATGAAAACGGTCGCGTGCATGTCAGGGGGTATGCGATCCCCAAGGGCAAAGATGGGCCCGTGGTCAAGGTCGAGGTCAGTCTCGACAGGGGGCACACGTGGCACGAAGCGAGCATTTTGGACCAGGGCGACGAATTCAACACGCACCCGAGAAACATGGGCCGCAGTACGAGCACCTCCGAGAGGGGACAGTTCGCATGGGTCCTGTGGGATGTGCACGTCCCCTGTGCGCCGGGCGAGGACATTAGCATCTGGAGCAAAGCGACGGATCGAGGCGGGAATACCATGTCGGTAGAGCAGGCGGAGGGGAGTTGGAATCTTCGAGGCGTGGGATTCAATGCCGTAGAGGGACGCAGAGGCATCAAAGTTGTATAAATACGACTGGACATTAGGAGAGCAAGAAAGATGTATTCCTGTCTCTGTGGATAGACTGCCCAGGTGTTTTCTTCCCTCGACCTCTAGCTTTGCGGCTTCACCCAGTCTCTGATGAGATTGCACCAAGAATCGCCAGGCCCGTATCTATATTCTATTCACAGCCCCGCAGTCACAGCCTTGTAGACTCTACGCCTCCATCTCCATCTGGATACATTTCCATGGCAGTCCAAGTCCCAGCATGACCATTTCGACCATAGTGGCATCGCATTGTAATCGCGGGGCTCGCCAATGGCTCAGCTCAAAAGCGAGAAATGCTCGTCATGGTCGAGGCAATCCTATTAACTGGAGGCCCACCAAGTTCCGGGTCAGACACCTGGATGTTTTCAGCATCATCTGATCCTGTTTAACATCTACGTAGGTCTTACCTCGAGTTATCTTGTGGTAGCCAGGTCCTTATTCCAGATACTCTAGGATATAGACGTAGGATTTGTCGGCCTTGCGACTGACCCAGACCCCCTCCGGCGGCTGATCGCCTTGGTCCTTGACCGGGACTTCCCATACGCGCCCCAACAGCATCCGCGAGGCACTCTCCGCATCGGGATCGTCCCAGATCGACCATCCGAATTCCCTGTCGTAAATCATCCTCACTGCCGAGTCTGATCGCACGTAGACGCTCTCTTTGGCGGTCCCGCCCTCAAGGTGGAATTCGTATGCTAGGCCGTCGAGGGGGCGTCTAAATCGGAATTTGGGGCGCTTATCCATGTGAAGATTCCGATACGGTCGTGTTGTTCTTAACAGAGTGATAGTGTGTCTTTTGTTTGTGGTGCGAAACATGTTGACAGCTAGTTGCGGCGTCTACTGGGAAAGGACCTCGAGATCAATACGAATACGAGTGACTCAGGCAAAAAGAGCGCTGTAACCCACCGTATCCTTGGGGGCCCGCGTTCGGGGTGCTGGGTCAAAAGGGGCTTCACTAACAGGGGTGACAATCAATCATTGGTATACGGTCCCTACCTAGGGAGGTGCCTAGGTAGGTTCCTAGGTAGGGATTCAGGGGTTGGAGCCCCGGGGATGCCCCCAAAAGCGGCGGCACATTCCCTGCCACTTTCGGCATTGCTCCCTTGCACAATCCAACTTCCCCTTCGTCTCATTTTCATCCCGCCATTCATACTAACCAGGTCTGTTACTTTTCAATTGCAGTACCTACAAGCCGAGGCAAGATCCTAATCTAGGGCACAGAGTGCTGGCCCTCTGATGGGGCATGTTTCCTGCTTGACCGCTGGGACAAAACCCAACAATAGCGTGCCCAACTTTGACCATGGCTTTGCCAAAATCACGCCCGCGACAAGGCCAGCTCGGGAGCCGCAAGTCTCATGACGGATGCATCACCTGCAAGATCAGAAAGCTAAAGTGCGATGAGCAGCGTCCCGCCTGTAAAAGGTGCCTGACGACAGGGAGAAAATGTGATGGCTACGTTCACGCTGGGGAGAAGGGATCCTGGATTGCTTGGTCACCAAGCGCGAACCACGCAGTGATGCAAGTAAAATCCCCCCCAACGTACGCGAGCGTTGAGCAGATCGAGGTCCAATCATTTGAGTTCTTTGTGCTGCGAGTCGTGCCTGATTGTTCACGGACAGTGGATGAACACTTTTGGCGTCGCCTCCTCCCTCAGCTCAGTCACTCGGACCCCGTGATTTGGGACGCTGTCATTGCTCTGTCGTCTCTGATCCAACACTTTCAGTCCTCCGGCCAGTCTACAGTGGCAGAAATCAAGACAGCCCCTGTTGTGAAGGGAGATCATCGAAGGGCTTTGGCATGGTACGGCAAATCGATTGCTCGGCTACGGGCTGGGCTGAAACAAGGAGCCACTCGGCCAACCACTGCTGTAATATCTTGCATCTTATACATTTGTATAGAGTGCCTGCAAGACCATCCTTCCGAGGCAATAGCGCTCTATCAACGGGCTGTCGCCATGATGGAAGCAACAGCAGAACCCGAGCATCAGACTTGCCGGACAACGCAATCCGAGAGCTCTGTCGCAAGCACCGTCCGAGCTTTGTTACAAAACATGTCTGCATCGCAAAGACTCCCTCTCAGCCGGGGAATGGTTTTCAATAATCCGCCTTTGGAGACACTATCGGCCGCCAGGGATAGTCTCTTTGTCCTCCTGTTTGCCGCGCACGATTTCCTCGTGGATACGAGAGAGATCAGAACCGACAAACCCAAAGACTGGACACCACCGTCGGATCTGATTGCCCGACAGCAGCAAATTCGAATGGACTTTCTGAAGTGGCACTCGGCTTTTGAAGACATGACCAAGTGTCCCGAGAGAGCATCCATTGAGGATGAAGTCGAGCGCTACTCCCTCCTGCATGTGGTGTACGGCTATTATTTCATCCTGGTGTGCACCGGTTTGAGCATGTATGAGACGGACTTCGACGAATTTTTCCCCATGTTTCAGAACATGGTCGACCACGCCAGCCGAATCATTGCCCCCAAAAGCGAAGAGCTGCGGCCCGTCTTCATGTTCGAGACGCGAGTCATTCCTTCGCTGTTTGGTGTTGCAGTCAAGTGTCGGCACCCAGTCATCCGTCGGCAGGCGATCTCCCTACTCCGAAATGGCACTCAGGTGGAAAACACTTGGAGAGCCGACACGATGGCTGATATCGCCGAGTGGTCGGTAGGCATTGAGGAATCAGGCAGTGTTCACGGGGTTTTCTGTCCACAGCCTCCTTCCCAGATGGATCTGCCACCCGAAAACCATCGCCTGCACTGGAGTCAGATGGTCGAACTGCGAGACTCTGACGGACGAGCCACCAAGTTTCACCAAGTTCGAAAGTGGGAGCAAGATGACAATCAGGTGTGGTCATTGGTTGACCATATGGTGAAGCTTTGAATACAAGGTGTACTCGGTCCTGTACCGTCCAGCCAGACTTGCCTCTTGCTATCCTCCGCAGCGCGGACTGCTTGCGTTGAGGCTGTCGAAAGGGGAGTTTCAGATTTCTCGATTATCCGTCTCTGACGAGTGAGGGAGCATGTTCCGGTGGAAGGGAGAGAATGCGACGCAGCCGATGGCTGTCCTACTGGGGGGACGGGAATATGAGAACGAATTCTCTACAATGGGATCCAACGTGGAACTGGGTCCGCCACCCAGAATGCAAAACTGCAGGGTATGGTATTCTCACTCCCCCAGCCCCCAAAAGACGCCGACAAAATCCCCCGCGTCCCACTCAAGCATCATGCACAAGCCCACGATCCGAGCTTCGAGTCCCTTGGTCCTGCCGACCGTTAGAACCAAAACAGCGTCGACGCGAAGTGGACGCCCTGGCCCGTGGTCCCGAACTTGTCCACAACCCGAGCTCACCAATCATTCTTCTTGGCGGGCTGAGAAAAGCTTCTCCGACTGAACGAGCTGCTTCAGCGACCCATGCGCCGGTATTCCTTGGCAAGGGTAGACAAAGATTGAGTGTCTCGAATGAATTCAATGGCACGTTCGCCCCCTTTTCGAACCACGGACCCACCCACGTCTTTGAATTGTCTCCACAACCCGAGCCGGCCACTCAGAGCTCGCGACGGGTGTGCCGTCACTACAGGTGATTAAGCCAACGCAAATACAGTACCACGAGTCTTTGATATATAAGATGGCGCACTCGGCCGGGTACATGAAGCCGGGAGGGGAACAGGAGACTATACACACAGCTTCCACCTCTCTCGTTATCTATCCTTCCGTTGAGCTGCAACATTTTAAGCTTCAGGCGGTCCAATCCAGAAAAGACCAACCCTTTTCTCTTTCCCTCTTACCACAATCGCGCTCCATCTGATACCGAGAAGGAAAAACCAGGCTCGAACCCAAAGAGACCATACCGTGGTCCCATCCAGCTTCCTCGCGTCAAGGATGATCTCGTACCAAGGCATCATCGCGATCTGCATCTTCGGCGCCGCCGCGCTGGTCACGGTCGGGTTCGTGGTCCACCGCCTGATGAGCAAAGCGGACGACGTCGAGGACCAGTTCACCCCGTCCGACCAGCAGAGGCAGTACATGCGCGACGTGCGCGGGAGGAATATGATGGAGGCGCTCGGGGATCCGAAGCTGCTGCGCCGGTATCATCCTCCGGCTGAGATGGAACTCGCGTCCGTCTCGACCCGGACATGACATGGGCCTGAACCGCCGAACGACACTGAAACCGAAAACGGAGGCGAGATGAAATCTGCTTTACGGAAAACAACAATGTCGCATTGGATCTCAGTTTTCCCCAATACAGGGGAAGTTTCCGCTCCCAGCCGTGTTATTCAAAGAGAAGCAAGCACACACCACGTCTCCGTACCTTCGAGTCTCATCTCATCTCGTCTCGCCTCCGCTGTTGAGATTGAGAAAATAGCACCACGGAAAACATCACCACTGTGGCCTTGCGGAACCAGGTCGAGTAAGAGACTGTCTGGCCGCGCGCCGATCGAGGAGAGCGGAAGACTCATGACTCATGACGCACGACGCACGACGCAGAAGACGAGGACAACGGAGATCAAGACCAAGGCCACGCATGACCACCTGCAAGAGATTGGGAAGTCACAGAACCCCGCGAACAAAGAGAACGGGCGACTTTGGGGTTTATATTCTTCTTGCACGACATAACAACCCCCAGTTCAGGGACATCCCCGCAAGGAAATAATGGACGTGGTGGTGCATGATGACGATGACGGTACAGAGAGAATCATGCCCTCTGCGGACGGAACAAAGTGATGCAAGGCCTTGCATTCCGCTGGACTCATGGGATTCGGCTGCGCGAAAGAGAAGGAGAAAGCATCTCTACTTGCCAGAGACCATCCTCCCGTCCCAACTCCGTCACAAGATAATACCAAAATCTGATAGTTGGAGCATACATTCCTACCTATCTACCTACCTACCTAGGTAGTAAGTGAGTGAGTGGGTGTGTGGATGGGCATTGATGATCCCTCTCGTGCCTGCTTAAGGTACTCCGTATATCTGTAGGTACGCCGCCAATGTTTGTCGCTTAGATACCTAGATACCTAGATGCCTCAGACCAAAGGGAATCATCAGATCAGATCAGTCAATGCTGGACATGATCATACGGTCACTCAAGCTTGTCGAGTTCCCTGGAAAATCCGCGAGGGGGAGCCTTCTTGACAATACAATGCACTGTAGTTTTGGATCAGTTTTTCATTATGATGATGTGCCACTTTTTCTAGAGAGGGAGAGTCTCATACTAAACAAAGCAACACAATGCAGTGCACATGTCTGAGTCATGGACCTTTCGAACGTAACCATTCGAATATGCGGTTGCCAAAATAATAATCCTCCAATGCTCGGTTTCAACAGTAACCGTCCGCAACGGCCTTGAAGAATCTGCCCAAGTGAACGGAACCAATTCATCCACAGAAGTCATACATCCCCAGAGATTCGTGTGCCGACTCTCCGCTGCCTCGGGAAATCCCTAACTTCTGCGGGTTTTATGCCGCAGCAGAAGAGGCCATGAAGTGTTGTGATGCCGCCATCTCCCAAGCCGTGGAGTGGCCAATAACAGTTCTCTTCACGGCACGCTACTATCTCACTGCCATAACTCCAACGGCGAATGCCAGGGTTTCGTCTACGGAGTTATGGCGCAAGGTACAAAATCAAGTCCACATCTCTCCCAACCTCAACCACAATCACCACACCAGTCGTCATCAATTTATCATCCATGCCGACCTCAGTCCGAGAAAGAACTTGCTAGCGCAATTTTCGCCGGATCTTGACGCGAAAGAGGTACCGCAGAAGGACGTGCGAAGGATCGTAAAGGGCGTACTCGTTGAACCCGAGGATGCCCCCATTGTTGGTGTTTGTGTAGGGAATCGTGGTGTCGGGCTGTGAGAAAATATTCAGCCACAAAGTCAGCACACCACCCACATGCACTTTAGTTTTCTGTGCGCGGAAACGTGATCTGATATTATAGGGACAGTGAAGAAGAAAGAAATGGGGAAAAGGGAAGCGGGCCAAAGGACACTGCTCGTGCCCAAAGAAGAGTGAAAAGCCATACATACCATCCAGGGCACTCCGTTGCCCACGCCAGGCTCCAACCCCCAGTCAATCTGCTTCCAGTTAGCCGGGCCGGTGCGGCCGAGTCCCTCGATGCAGCGGTGGCGGCCGCGGGACCGCTGGATGACCTCGTGGCCGTCGAAGATGCTGGTCGGGGAGCGGATGCGGTTGGCGCCGACGTCGGCCTCGCACAGGAGCAAGACGGCGCGCCCATCCCAGGCGTCGTACTTGCAGAAGCCGGCTGACTTGCTGACCGCGTCGGCCAGGTAGATGGCGTTGCCGAACATGGTGCCCGTCCAGCTGGCGCCGCGGCGGCGGATCTGCAAGCCCAGGTCCAGGATGCCCAGCAGCGAGTCCAGCGGCGTGCCGTGCCACAGCAGCATCCGCATCTCACCGCATGGGTCTCTGCGCTTTTCTTTGGTCTCGATCCACTCGCGGTACGGACACGGCACCCTCGCCTTGACGAAGAGCCGGTAGATCTCCTCCAGCTCGACGCTCAGGCAGTGGATTTGGTGACACGAGTTTTCCAGGTAAGCCCTGAGCTGCCGGAATTCGGGCGTCGATGCGTCCGTCAGCCGCCGGAACCCGTGCCTCAGCGAGCTGTAGGCCTGGTACAGCGGTTGGGCCAGCGCCTTGTGTGCTTCCAGCTGTAGCGATCCCCGACTGTGCATTAAATTCGCCATCTTGGCGATCTCCTCCCGCGGCCAAAGACAGTACAGGAACTTGAACTCGAGAAAGAGAGCGTGGTAGCTCGATATTACAGGGGGTCGGTCCTCGGCGGAGCAAAAGGGAATCTGGCTGCGGTAATGCGACGACAGTCTCAGGATGGTCATCCAGTTGATGGCCTTGCCGGACTCGATGTGTTTACAGATGCGATCTAGAGTCTTGAATGCCGAGAAGACGGTCCACGAACTGATCTGCTCGAGAGGGGCTGTAAAGGACAGCCGTGATGCCGGCGTGCTTGGGCTCTCTTTGATGGCGGTGTGACTCCCGACCGGACCACCGAAGAGCATGTGCTCCATCAGATCCCTGACTTCCTCGTTGATCTTGGTGTCAATCGCGCGATACTCGGGGAGCTCCATATCGCGTGCCAAGGTCTTTTGGTAATCTAGCTCGATGAACGAAAACCTCGCTTTTTTCCGGGCCAGATGTATTTCGTATCTTTTGTTCCACGTCGTAGACGTCAGGTCCTGGAAGATCTTGCGAAACCTGGATGTGACAATTCTGAGATTGCTCGACTCCGTTTCGGTCCTGGCGAAGCCCTCAAGTCCGACGCGACCTTCGCGAACAAACACGGCGTACATTTTAGTTTCAGGATTGAAGACTATCTATTGAAGGTACTAAGGTGTCAGCCGATCTATCTCCATCGGGTCAGTGACTTCGCACGCCAACCTACCTGGAGCCTTCGAAAGCAGTTTATATTTTTCATAATGTCCACTCGGAGAAGATAAGCATCGAAAATCGACATCCTCCGGCGATCTATCACGACCGTCGCGTCGAGGCCTGCCTTGAAGTCCAGGGGTACATGTAGCCCTGCCCCATCCTGCATCTGACTCCGGAAGTAGCCCTTGTGCGAAAGGCGCTTCAACCAGGCGGGACAAGGGCGTTCGTCTACGCCGCACAGATGCTCGAACTGAGCGCAATCTTGCTCGTACCTGCGACTTTGGATCAAGAAAAGATCGTTGCACTCCCAGTCCGAGGTTATACGAGGGAGAGGAACGGCTCTAGGTGGGCAAAGCAGCGGCGGCGGCGATGACGGCGACGATGGGGTGTCTGGCAGAGTATCCTGGCTTGTTCTCGCTGTTGCTGCCGCCGCCGCCTGTTTCAGAGCACCAGATAAGTTGGGAGCTGATAAGATGTCGACGATCTCAGTGAATGTAGGTCCAGCTGTCTTGCAGAGTTTGGCTGGGTTGATAGTCCCTGGAGGATCTGGAGCCCACGACCGGTTCATTGATTGGCAGTCAGGCAATGGTTCTCGTCAGAATATGAGGCTCTGGCCAACATGCAGGCTAGCATGATATACGGGTCAACAGGGGATACAATGAACGGTCGACAAATGTTCAGCCTCATAGGCAAAATGCTTGGCCCGCCAGCCTAAGTACGAGGTAAATGGCCCTAGGTATATGATGCTCTGGCTAAGATGCCCACGAAAGATATAGGAGAGAAAGACGGTTGCGACTAAAGCATGAAGTTGGTTCGCTTCAGTAAGGCTGGTAACGCAGAACCAGGCGAAAGGTCCACGTTGGACATGCAGCACCTGGACTGGTTGTCACGACTGAGCAAGTCACGAGGCACGCCTGTCCTGTTCTAGGCAGGCGCCCGCCGCCACATGGCACATGGCATCCTTCCCTCCTTCCCTGCTGCCAGTTCGCTTGGCGGCTTGTCGGCTTGTATTGGTGCGTTCTTTTCTGCTGGATCCCACCTGAAGGTCAACAGGAAAAAGGGACTGGAGCTGCGGTGGTTGTGAAACACACGCTGCGGCTGAAACAAAGAAAGACCGTGCGAGGTGGATCATGGCGTGGCCAAACCGCCGCCACAAATGGTCAGCCTTATCTCTGAACGTCTCGATCAGATAGCCGGTCTCTGGCCTGTATCGTGAATAACGCAGCTGATGGAGCCCAAGAGATGTTCCCGCTTCTGCCTGCATAGTTGTGAATCCAAAGTGCTTGTTACAACGCGAAACGCCATACTCGGTGCAGCCTGGGAAAAAGTTGGTCTGGAGCAACCCTCAATTGAAGCTGAGCCTCGACGAGGGTCTGCTTTTGCAGCTAAACCCCTTCTGGCCGAGGTGGCTGCCTGGTAGCCCCTCCTTCCCCGCTTTTGGCTATTGCGTAAGTTACTACTACTAAGCCAATAGCAGATAGAATCCATTCTCTAGTAGGTAGTGAGTAGCGAGGGGCACATGTCTGTAAGGAGCGTGTAAATGTGTGTAAACCTGTAGTAGAACTAGCTACCTAGATGTATTACTATGTCTCTCAGGGCTGCTTTTATAGCTACTATACCTAGGTGGGCATCATTACTAGCCCCTCGGTCTGTATTTCACACATATAACGATCCGTTGCCTCTTCCCTCACAGCGTTATAACAACCTTCCGCGCACTCACTCCGCTCTTCTGCCTGTCAAGGCCGCCTTGCACAAAATACAACCCATTACCTACCACGAGCTCTGCCGGAGCCGCCTTCAACGACCCGTCCTGTAAGGCCGCGGGCACATAGTCGCCCCATATTTTCTTTGCAACAACGCCGTCTTCCTGGCTCACAATGTTGGTGCTTGAGATTCTCGCCGCCTTGACGCCTTTTGGGAGACGATCCGGTGTAGAGACCACGCTCGCTACCGTCCCACCACCTCCCAGACCGTGCAAGACCGCAGCGCATTGCCGGACGGTTGCGTCGGTTCCGATAGCGTCGTACGCGCCGACAACAGGTGCACCGTTTTCTTTCAGCAGTGAGATCAGTATCGGTATGATGTCGGGGTTGTGGTAGTCGAGCACTAGCGAGGCTCCCAGGTCTTTACAGTAGGAGTAGTTTGCTGGGGACGCCGTGGTGATAACGTCGTAGCCTGATGCCACAGCGAGTTGGATGACCGACGAGCCGACCGATGATGACCCGCCCCAGAGGAGGAGCACGGCGTCCTTCTTCGCCCTCCTTTCCTTGATCGTCTCAACAACCAGATCCGATCCCTCTCCCCATTCTAACGTCCACGTTCGGGCCGCCAGTCTCTTCCCAACCTCAGGATACTTCAGCCCCAGCGTTCCCTTGAGATACAAGCCGGCCGCAGCAGTCGAGATACTCAACGGCAGCACCACCGCAGACTTGAAATCCAAGTCATCAGGAATCTTGGCGACCGTCTCGATCTTGGCCCGGGGATAGAGTTGAAACCCGCCATAGGCATTCCCAGTCCCGAGCCCCAACGCGTGGGCAATGACGCGATCTCCCTTTTTGAACCGTTTCACATTCTTGCCCACCTCCAGGACTTCTCCCGCGACGTCTTCACCGAGAATGCCCGGATATTGGAGACCGAAGCCACCCGAGGCTTGGATCTTCCAGTCGACGGGGTTGACAGCTACGGCACGGTTCGTGATGACGAGCTCATCGGGTGAGAGGTCCGGGAAGGGCGCCGTGGCGACCACGAGGTTGGCCTTTTCAGCAGGAATCCAAGCCGCATAGTTGACGAGTTGCATGTTTCTTCGTGGTTCACAAGCTTCGATCGAGGACAGACCCAGTTTTATCGAGGATATTCCAGGACTTTTCAACAGCTCTTTGGTCAGGAAGGCGGCGAGCTCTGGCAGCCTCGTGCGGGGTAAGTCAGGCGTCCAGCCTCGTGGGCGAGTCCAAACCGGTGTAACGTGTTCCGACTCGTAGGTATCTCGAGGACCTATCCAAGCGCCAAAGCCCTCCGAAGTACATCCCTCAGCCATCCGATCTGGCTGTTTCTGCCTTCATCGAATTCTCGCGCCCGCCAGACGACTATCCCATCAGGACGAACCAGGACTGCGCCGGAACTACCAACACCACGCTGAGCAGCCCAGTTTCCATCTACATCCTTCCAGCAAGATTCATCGGCTGCCGCTTTGCCCGTATCTGAAATCCCGATCAAGGTCACCAATCCACTGCCTTCTTCGGCCACGGTATTTCTCCACAGTCCCGGCCGTGAGGTGATCAGGACAAATCCATCATACCTGACCAAATCTCTGGTGGACAGCCTCTTGTCTCCCTGCTCCAGCCAGGCGTGCGGTAAATGATGTCCCGGAATCGTTGACGGATGATAATACAACAAATCCAGCTCGCCATTGCCCTTGAGCTGTCCATCGTGACTAGTCGGCCTGCCTTCGCTGTTGACATCGAGGTCTGGGTAGAACCAGCCCACCTCCGCCCCAAGAGCATGGAACTCGTCGTCAAGAATCTTTTGTGCGCGGTGAACAGCTTCTCGGCGTGCGGCACCATCGGTGTTCGCGGACGACATATCAAAGAATGAATCCATGTTTGCAATATTTTCAGCCTGGCTGTTCTCAGCAGAGACACCGATCGCTTTGTCCATAACTAGCCCGAAAGCACGTAGGTTATGCAACGCACAGTCTCGCACACGTTGACCAACCGGGCGACGCTCGGTGTCGTATGTATCGAGAAGTGCATTCCAATCTTTGTCTCCACCCAGGGATGACGGGATCCCGTTGATAGAGAGATTCAGCTTCCATACTAGATTGTCCACGTCTTGGATGCCCGTGTTAAGCCCTAAAGCTCCCCAAGGGGGGATCCGGTGCGCCGCATCCCCAACCAGAAACACGCGCCCCGTGGACTTCTTGCTGCGATACCGTGTTGCGCACAGAGCGTTGACGTACCACTTGCTGATCGATAATAGTTCAACTTTCAGGTCAGGAATCTGCAACGTGTTGTGCAACCGCTGTAACATTGTCGACTCATCGAACCGTTTTGGATCTGCCGGGTTGAGACCGCATGCAAAAATCCACTCTTCCGTATCGTGTGTCATAGGATAAGGACCCAGGTGGTAGAGGTAGCCTGACCCTATCGTGCCACCGAGTTTGGGATTGACGAACCAGGTAATGAAGTTGCGAATGTCAGGGTGTGCAAGGGATATGGGAGCCCGAATGTGAGCCGATACCATATCGACAATATCCCGTTCGCCTTCCCAGCCAACGCCCAGGTGGTCTGTCAGCATGCGACCACCGTCGGCACCAATGCAGTATTGTGCTTTGACGGTCGCAGTCTCCTCACCTCTCTGAACATAAGTGACGACGACATAACCATCAGCTTCCTCAACTTTTGTGACTTCTGTCCCGTAAAAGATTCCCTTTGGGTTCAATTCCAACGCCCTCTTGTGCAATATCGGTTCGAGTCTGAGTTGCGGCAATATGGAATACTGGCAGGGCGAGACAGAGGCATATTCTTCCCTGTAAGCTCCTCCACCCCAGGAGTCGCGGCTGATGATTTCTCGTCCATTAGGCCCGAAGCTGGTATACCAGGCTGTCCTGCTGCAATTGTCCGCCGGAGCGCGTTGCTTGATCAGCTCCTCTTCGATGCCCATGCGGCGCCAAATCTCCACGGTACGGTGATTATACCCGCATGCTTTCGGGTGGATGGATGTTGAAGGATATCGTTCAAACAAGACATGGGGGATGTTGCTCAGCGAGAGCAGGATTGAGGCGGATAACCCAGTCGGACCGCCTCCAATGATGGCAACGGGGTAAGCTGAGGACGAATCCGGATGTAAAGAGCCCATGTCTGCCTGGTATCAAATCATTTCTGGGAGTCTCGTGGCTGTTGGTCGGGTGCACGGGTGGAATATATAGATTTCTCCGTACACTCCCTCTCCGTTATGAACACCCCTTTTGTCCGTCAGACGACGTCAGCCAGCTCGAGATCTTGAATTTGGGAAGGTGGAATCAGGCTTGTTGTCATCAGTCAGGCATTGAGAGTGTGTCGGAGGTCGATGGTCGCAAGGATGACATTCAGGCCTTCGGAGTCGACGTTCCCGAGGCCTATGTACTCGGTATTTTTCCTCTTGCAGCTTTTAATACGGTCGCTTCTCCACATTGTCGATGAGTCGACCCCACGAGATGCATGTAAATACAATGGCCCGTTGTGGAAGACGTGGGGCACGAGACTTTCAGAGGGATTTTGAGCTTGAGGGCAAAAGCTGATCGTTGCTGGCTAATACTAAGCATTGAATTCATTGGATTTTATGTGTATGTCGAGCAATGGCTTGGGCCTTGAGCAGCAAAACGTCCTGTTTCGGGGAGACTTCGGCAGGAATCAATTTCCCTCAACTTCACTTGATATAAAAGCACCACATTAGAAGGCGGAGACTGGCAGGCATTGGACAATCTGACATTATGCTACTAGCTCGACGTATATAGGAGGTACAAGTTCGGGGGGGGGCAGAGACTTGGGCTGACGACAGTGAGAGCGGCGTGCGACTCGTTGCCAGGAAAAGTTCATGGAAGCGCTCGGGCCTCTTAGGAAGAAATCTGTACAATATCCAGTCTTGAAGCCATGGCGGCTGCAAACAATGATGGCGGCACCACGAAGGACTTCGCCCTCGCGACCCTTCTCACTTTGATCGAAGACTACCACTCGTTCAACCCAGACACCACTGTCCCGACCTATGCATACCCAACGCCCCTCGAATTCAGCCAACAGGTAGCCCGCGGACGGCCGTGTGTATACCGGCTTGACCGCAGCGTGCTCGACGACAACAACGACGACGACGAACGCGAAGGGGGTAACGATGTGGACCTCCAGGCCAAGAACGGCTGCTGCCACGGGGACGAGGAGATCAAACTTCGACAACGCCTCCGGGAAGAGCAGCGCTCGATCCTCTCGGCGCCGTGCTTTCGGTGGACGAAGAAGAGCCTCTGCGAGCTTGTGCAGGGCGAGGTCGAGGTCGCTGTGACTCCGGACGGGCGGGCGGACGCGCTATATTCTCTTTCGACGAGGGGAGCAGGAATGGCGCCGAAAGATGTAAGCGGGCACGAGGGAGACGGTGGAGGTGAATCAGAATCAGAATCAGAATCAGGAGGTGAAGTAGAAGAAGAAGAAGAAGAAGAACAAGTCTTCCTCCAACCAGCCTCGATATACATGACTCTTTCAGCCTTGATCGACAAGCTCTGTCCTTCACAGACATCACCATCACCATCACCATCACCATCTTCACCCCTCTCTCGGCCCATCTCCAATATAACCACCTCTCAAAATACATCCCCATCCATCCTACCCTCAAGGACAACAAACGAGGAAGTATACTACCTCCAATCGCAAAACTCGAACCTCCACCTTCCCCCATTGTCCTCCCTCCTCCCCGCCCTCCCACAGTCCGGCGGCCCCTTACCATTCAGTGCGCCCGTTCTCGGCGCGGTCCCCGACGCCGTCAACGTGTGGATCGGCAACTCCCGCTCCGTGACCAGCACGCACCGCGACCCGTACGAGAATTTGTACCTGGTGGTCAAAGGACGGAAAACGTTCGTGCTGTACAGTCCGGTGGAGGAGATGTGTTTGCACGCGCAGAAGGTGAGGACGGGGCGGTGGGTGGTAAATCCACCCGAGGATGGGAATGGAGGAACGGAGCAGGGGGAGCGGTTTGGGATTGTTATGGACGAAGACGACGAGAATGAGGGGGGACAGGACTATGACAATGACGTCGACGAGGGCGTATCATCACCACCGCCACGACCGCCAACAGCCATCATCTCCGAGTCAAATCTAGGGGATAATCGCATCCCTTGGATCCCCATCGACCCTCTCTCCCCGCCGACGCCAACGTCCACAAAATACCCGTGCTACAAACACGCCCGCCCCCTAACTGTCACGGTCTCCGAGGGCGAAATCCTCTACCTACCCGCAGGATGGTTCCACCACGTCAGCCAGGAATGTGGATCCTGGCAGGGCGATGATGGGAGTGGTGAGAAAGTGGCAGCACCTTGCATAGCGGTAAACTACTGGTACGACATGGATTACTCGGGAGAGAAGCATGTCATGAGGGAGATGGTGGGACGGTTGGTTGAGAGGACGCGAACGGATGACCGAAGACGGTCGACTCCAAATGGGTCATGATTCCTTGTATCAAAGTTCATTTTCTATTCCAAGCCAAACGAGGGCGTCTAGGCTAGAAAGTCCTGGGAGCTGACCTGAACCAGGTGCAACAGAGAACGTTTGTCGCAGAGGTCGCTTTGCTCTGGTCATCCTATTTCCACTCCGGCTTGGTTCATTTCTTTTTCTTATCAAGTCGTTTACAGTATCGGGAGGTTCCGTTTTCGTCATCTCATCACCCGTTCGTGGTCATGACGGTTCCAGAACATGTCTCCAATCTATTTGCTGCTCTCGATCTTCTCCAAGATCTTCGGGAAATCCTTCCAGTCGTACATGATCTCGACGCAGTTGCACTGTTCCTTGAGAACCTTGGCCATCTGCTGCTCCTTCTCCTCGCCATCCTCCAACTTGTAGACGCCGACGTAGCCAATGCAGGGGATGCCGGCGCGCATGGCGGCAGTGGCACCACTCTTGCTGTCCTCGACGGTGATGCACTCCTCGGGCTTGACGCCGAGCTGCTCGCAGGCATAGAGGTAGATTTTGGGATCGGGCTTGCTGGAGGGCGGGTTGAGCGAGGTGGCGGCGCTGTAGACGTGGGCGTTGGGGAAGTAGTGGTCGATCTTGCACTTCTCGAGCGAGGCGACGACGCGGGGTTTGGCAGAGGTGCTGACCACAGACATGGGGTATCCGGCCTTGTGCAAGCGCTCCAACTCCTCGGGGGCGCCGGGGCAGGGTTGACACTTGGCCGAGAGTTTGGCGGTGACAGCACCCAACTCCTTGTTGACGTACTCCTCCAGCTGGTCCGGGGGCATCTCAAAGCCATGCTTCTTCTGGAGACCAACCATCATGCCGCGGAAGTTCTGCCCGACAAAGGATTCGAGGAGCATGTCGACCGTGTAGCGCTCCTTGACGTTGTACATTTCGAGGAGTTCATTGGTGAGATCGGTGCAGGCCTCAAAGGCAAGACGCTCGGACAAGCAGAGGGTGTTGTCGCAATCGAGAAGGACGTACTTGACCTGTAAGGGAGGTATCTCGTCAGTTTTCACTGCAGGCTTTGATTTGAGGTGGTACAGTGGCGGGGGAATGAGCGGTCAACAGCTTTAGGAATTGTTGAGGATAAACTCACTTTGCCCATCTTGACGGTGATGTTCAGCGAATTTCGAGTCTAGAATAATGAAAGGAGAGAGAGATGAAGAAGAAGTCTATGAGGAAGAAAGAAGAAATCTGCAGCAAAAGAGATGTGATTGTGGTGGTGAGTGTTTTGAAGAGTGAAGGGAGGAACGTCACTGCAAAGTGGGATGTGACACTGATAAGTTTTTGTTTATGGGAGAAATGGCTGTAGGCGATCGGGCAGCGGTGCGGCAGCGATTGGCGCTGGACGGTGACTGGTGGGGGGATGTTTGAAGCTGGGGAAGACGCCACAGCCACTCAAAATACCCCTTGAGGATGAGCTTTGGTTCCTTTGTTGGTGGCGAAAATCTCGGCTCCGCGACGGACATACAAGCATTCATGCTCCAGCAAACGGTGGACTGGTAGCAGGATGGAGCATTTTCGAGTCATGTGAAGACACCAAAATTTCCAAACAGTGCGCTACAGGCAAGGTACTTTTCGCAGGCTACTCGGTGTGTCTCACAGATAGCAGGGAAAGGTTTCCTGTTGGGGAGATACAGCCATCTTTATGAGCTATCGAAAGAAGCAAGTGAGGCTCCGGATGCAAGTATCAGCCTTCCGGGACTGCGGTGAAAGAGCTGGACTCGTCTACGAGATGGTCTAGAACAGGGACTGACAGTCTGGCCACTCGGAAGATGAGCGAGCAGATAAGCTACATGTAATAGTCCCTCGCAGGAGCTATCGAGAATGGAGCTCTCACAATGTTCTATATCTTTCACCGCCATCTTGGACGCAAGCCTCACGTGGTGCTGTTGATACGCTGTTGACGAGGAAGAGAAAATCGGCATGGCGATGACGTAGCCACGGACCAATGGGCTAAGCTGTTGAATCAGCGGACACTGGCATGCTGGCGCCCGCACAGGCACCGCCCAAAGCCCTAACCCTAACGCCTGGGTGCCCCTCTGCTGGGCCCCCCACCAGCTATGAACCCCCCAATCTTCCCGAGCTGTTCCTCTGCATCGAACAAGCTTGCTGTGGGAGCATATGAGCCGTTCAGACTCGATCGACCTCTGTCTGCCATCCTCGAGGAGAATTCTGGTTCTCTGCGACCAAACAATCTTGCTGCGGGAGATTGTGCGCAGTCCAGACTCGATTCTGGCTTCAATAGCCTCTCCTAGCACCTCTTCCACCTCGGTAGCCACCAGAGTCAGGAAGCCTCTCGCCTCGCCTCCACTCACCGCTTGGTATACTGCCTCCCGAGCCGCCAAAGTCACCTCTTGACCCGCCATAGCCGTTATTGAAGCTTCCCCTGCTGCTGCCCAGACCGTATCCGCCTCCCCGTACTCTCCCATAGCCATTTTCTCTGGAACCTCCCCTGCCGCTGACACTTCCTCGAGATACCACGGTGCCGTCGCTCAGTGGAGGAAAGACGGCACAATCGATGAAGTCTCCTATGACGAACCGTGCATCTTCCAGCGTCTTGCCCGCGTCGTCTCCTTCGAGCTGGACACCACCGCTGGCGCCATTGGAGTATTCCGGCGCCGAGACAACGACACTCCCTATCTCTTTGCTCAAGTATCTCCCTCTCCCCTCACTCTCTAGTCTCCCTCCACCGCCCCGACTGGCGTGGACGTCCGGGTATACCAATCTAAAACTCAGCCTTGTCCCGACAGCAGGGTCAGGTAAGATCTGCGGCAGCGCCTGCGTCAACAATAGCGCGAGTTCTCTCAACGTACAGCTCATCCACGTGTAGATTTGCAGATGCGCAGGTAAGTGCGGGTGCGGGTTCGAGGGCGTCGGGATGGGGAAGTCGGTCAGGCTGTGGAAGGCCGAGGACCGGTAGCAGAAGTTCAAAAGGAAGGGCGTGGTGGATTGCCGGTCGACTGTGGCGCCGGTTTTCGCAGGTTGGGGGGTTGGCGAGCGCGACATTTTTTGGTGAAAGTAGATCGTGTGACTCGGGGGAGGGTTTCTGGTTGTTTTGAGAAAGAGAGGAGACAAGGTCCTGGAGGTTGAGAGTAGGGATACCTCTCGCGCAGTCCACACCAGAGTTTCTGGGCGCAAGAGGCACAGGTGTACCTTAGAGAGAGGCAGTCGTGTTTGCAGTCCGCATGAACAATATGTCCGTGACCCCAGGCACGATGAATAGGAACCCAGGTATCTTCTGTACGGAGTCGCTAGGTGCAGGTGGTCGTATTCAAGTCATACTGCCTCGGGAAGTGTCGCCGACTTTTGTTCCTAGGTTTCAGAGGCATTCAAGAAACAAAGCAAAGCAAAGCAAAGCGAATCCAAAAAGTATGTCGCCCTCAGGATGAATCGACATTAGACAACCCACGCGGCGCAACTACGGGCAATAATAGTACATAATTACCTGTACCAGCCTCGGACGCAGCAATCATCATGGCCAAGGAACCCCGTCGCGGCTGACCTTCCCTACTTGCGCCCACCCATGAGAAGAGTGCTGCGAGAGCACATCGTCCCAAGATGCCCCAAGTTCACTCCTCCTCTCGACTTTCGAGACGATCCGAGCTTCCATCTCATGACAGGTGTGTTTTGAGCACGAGGGTACCGAGTAGAGAGAGACTAGTGACTTCTCGAGGATCATGACAAGTGAAAACCTTGCCAGGAGATGGCATGTATATGGAGGTATCTTGATATAGGCGCTGCAGATGACTTTTGCATCTAGGTTTCCGGCTTGCTTTGATATGAACAGCTTCCCAAGAAAGGCCAATAAGAGTGGTTTTACTGCCCGCAAGAAAGAATTCATGAAGCCATAGACGAAGCCACGCCGTCAGACCTTGGCATCAGTCTTGGGCTGTTTATCCAGCTCGGCTTTCTTCCTCGCCGTGCTCAGCACCCTCGCAAACCACTCCTCCCCATCCGGATGCATTATATCCGTGAACAGGAAACCCCTCAGCACGCTTCTCACCTCATCCCACCCGACCACACCCAGCTTGATGGCCTTGGCGGCGAAATGCGTGGTGAACCAACCTCTCTCGAGTTCCTCGGGCTTCATGTCCATGAACCATTCCGCGCTGGCGCCCACATACAACGCCCAGAGACGGGCATGCTCGTACCTCTCGTAGTTCGGTGAGTCGGGTCTCTCGCTGAGCTGGAGCATCTTCTGCATGTTCGAGAGGATGGTGGCTGTGGCGTCAAAGAGGCGCACTCCGCACACGGCCGCGTTGAACGAGATGGCGCGGATGTACAGCAGCGTCGCGAGGGAGAGGTAGCCCTGGCACAGGATCGAGTTCATGAGGCGTGATGACGGCGATGAAATGGTTTCATAGTACTGTGCGTTTGCTTGTAGGAACAGATTCACAAGCCGCCCCTGGTGCAGGTATACCCGGACGAGTAACCAGCCCATCAGCGCGGTCGTGTGTCCCCCGGACTCTTCCTCGGAGGAGCCCTTTTGGTGGAACAGCCAGACGGCGAGGCTCTCTCTTCGCTCGATGAACAGCGTTCGTAGTCTGGCATCGTCGATTGACGGGTCGAGAAATCGGTCCCTCACTTCCGACAGGTCTGGGAGGTAAGGTTTCGCCGCGTCAACCACCGGCTGCAACCGTTCGGGGAGCCACTTGTCCACGTCGAATATGGGCTTGCAAAGGAACATTGAGGAGCGGTGGATGTCGTAGTAGATGACGTACAACAGCAAGTCGGTGCCCAGCTTGTTTTCATCATCGTGGTCGAAGTAACACCGCAGCATGTTGAGGTGCGCGGCTGTGCCGATGAGCTCGCCCATCAGGACGTCGGCCGCCACGAGAAGATGGATGTGCCAGTAGAGCTGGCCGCGGTGGAACTTGCTGCCGGCGGTGAGGCGTTTCCGCAGCACGGCCATGCTTTTGGCCCGATAGTAGACGGCTTGCTTCTGGACGGACGGGTTCAGCGATATCACTGCAGCCTCTGCGGCGCAGCTGGCGATGAACCCGGACCCGGCACCTTCGTCTCCAAGGCCGTCGACCCCGTCTCCCAGCCCGTCGATGCAGTCTCGCCAGTCCCGCCATGCGCTGGCGCTCGTCATCCACCTGTGCTTGGTGGTGTGGTAGAGGGCTGGGATGACAAAGTCGCGGTGGAAGCTCAGCATGTCGTTGGTGGCCGGGGTGATCTCGACCGCGTAGGCTCCAAACGGGTCCGAGTTGCCTTTGCCTAGAATTGTCATCACTGATTGTGGTTGAAATGGTGCTATGTGGTCTGGTCGTTCTGGATCCTCCTTATTGTGAATCAGCGAGCGGATCGCGATCTTCGTGGACGCCCGTTGCCGGCTCGCGGCATCAGAGCCCGCCGTTCCTGGACCTTGCACACGCCTGGCATGCTTGACGTTTGATGACGGCCAAGTATCATTGAGCACCGGCGCAGACCCCTTGGGAATCACGGACGGCTGGGCGTCAGGTAAGGGAGCCTTTATGGAAGCCCTTAGAGCTCGGATCTCTTCTTGCCGCTTCCAGCTGCGATATTGGTTCTGAACATGGGAGAAGACTTTCCGTCTATTGGGCAAGGCTTTCATCTGTTCTGCATTGTGGTTGACAAATAGAAAGTCGCCCCCAAAGGGTCGTTCGACTGGCATCTTCCTCTGAAGGGTGTAGACCCTCAACAAGAACGAAGAGGCATATAGCGCTTGTTAGGTAACAGCTTGACACCCAAAATCCAACCCTCTTATCTATACCTTGATTTGCTGGCTGCGAGATCAATCTTCAGGTGTGACTTCATGAGGGCAGCGATCGACGTCGACCCAGAGTTTCAATCATTCAAGGAGAGGAAAAGAAGCTGGCAATCCGGGACCCACGGCAACAAGGAGCAAGCATTTCCCCCCGCGTATCCTTTGGCTTGGGACACGTCAGAAGCGCAGGATTCGGGCCTTTACCCAAGGGAGGAATTGGTAGATACCTAATAGTACTCGGAAGGTCTTGCCCTTTCGTGAACAGTCCAGGCGTGCAGGTCAGACTTCCTCCCCAACAGGTCCCACGCGGGACTGAAAGAGAAAGCCGTTGTAGCTTGGTCGGTGAGTAATCTCCCTACATAAATTCGACCTGGCCCTGGGCCGTCCTTCAACCCGGGGTGGTTGAGAGTCTGGGAGAGATTGTTGCAAAGGTGTACAAGTTGGATCTGCCATTGATGAGAGTGAGAGAAAAGACATTGTGGATGTTTTGTTTGCCTAGAACCAGGCCATCGGCGATCTTCTCGGGTGCTATCGAGATCTCGAGGTTTGTGGAGAGGAAGAGGGAAAGAGAAAGGAACAGCTAGCTAGATTCTAGCCCATATATCCCACGCTCATTTCTCCACTGTTGCCAAATGGTTTAACCAGAAGACGTATGGAAATACTTACCGAGAGCTTAATTGTAGGCGGTATTTTATCCCTATATATATGCCCCCACGTGTTGGATCCATGCAGCCTCGTTTGGACGCCTCGCTCTTCTGTTGCTGTTCTGACGGGAATATTGAGAGATGCATCTGTGAAATCCACGTCTATAGGCGTCGTCCCGTTCATTCATACGCCGACTGCGTCCCTGAGGTAAGAGTTGACAATAGCTGGAGTGGTCCCCGTCAGATGGACAGCTTTGGTCGCGGCCGGCGATGCTCCGCCAGCTAACTACAAGGAGGAGGCGTTAACGAGCCTCGCATATCGAAGCCACGCCGACATGTGCATGCCTCAGACCCGTCTTATGTTGACTGTGGTTCGCACAGAGGGCAGTCGATCGATCAAGGCCCCAGCTGACTCGGCTGCGTCGAGTCTCGACTCGGGTCAAAGGAAAGCTGTGTTGGCTCAACGCGTATAACCTTGTGACCGCCGGCCTTGCTCATTTTCTGTGTTTCTCGTCCACCTGCTCTCTCGGCTTCATCTCACTTCCCGCTCTGTCGTCCCCATATCAATACCAGCGGTTCTGTTCAAAGCCACACTGCTGTCGCAGCTCCCGCGCCGTCATTCAGCTTCGTCCTCGCAACTTCTTTCATCTCGACGCCATCCCAACCCAGCACAAAAACAAATCCTTGCTCACTATCTGTCATCGCAAGGTACTCGACTCCATCAATGGTTGGACCTGGTTGGATTGCATTTGCCCAACCGCCACTCGTAGGTGTCTCCCACAAATACTGCAAACCACCGTAGGATGCATTGAATTCAATGTCCGGCATTAAGCCGGTTTCCATGGGCGTCGCCGCGTAGGTCCTATGAGGGCCGAGTGATTCCTTGACCTTACCTTCATCAGTCAGCCTGTAAACTGCGACCCATCCCTTCGTGCCCTCCTTCAGGCCCCGTACACTGGCGTACAAATACTTTGGTTTGTCTCCCGAAGACAAACTCGTCCGTACCTCGTCCGCCCAGTAGTCCTTCGATGTCTTCTCTACAGGGATGATTCGGACGGCTTGTTCATGGTGGAGAGACAGTCCGTTCTCGTAGGTGGAGTAAACGTCCACGATACTGGTGTGTTCTTGCACGCAATAAACGACTTTCCCGGTAGGGTGAGGCCAGACATGTCTCGGTCCATCCTCGCGACGAGGCGCGCCCTGTCTTCTCTCATGTGTGAGCTTTCCCGTTTCAGTATCAACCAAATATGACCAGATACAGTTTCGGCCAATGTCTGCAACGTAGAGGGCTCGGCCATCAGGCGAGAGATCTGCGGAGTGGGCGCCGTGGCGGAGTCCTCCAAAGTCCATGACACTGCCATCATCGCGCTGAGCCACATTCAACACAAAGGAAAGGTGTTGCAATGGTTTGATTTCTGGTGAATTCCCCCTCCCAACGCCATTTGCTTCAGTGTGACCAGGCTCCAGTGGCGCGATAATCTTGCCAGACTTTGGATCCAGGCTAAAGACCTCTCCTGTTGCTCCTCCTACCGAATATAGAGCTACATCGTTCGCTGTGACGTAGCCACTGCGGGATTCAGTTGGTGCACTGTTCAGGAGCTGGATATCTGTGGGAGACTTGACGGTATAAGCAGCCACGGCGGGAGGTGTTGTCCAAGCTGTAGCGTAGAGGTTCCGGGTTCCGTCTCCCTTCACGGGGGAGAGATGAAGCCAGGAGTGCGACCCGATGGCAGACGCACAGTGAAGTACTTCTAGTTTACCCGAAGAGCTCCTCGAAGACGACAAGGGAGGGGTGAATATTAGGGTGTAGATCTCAGGAGTGTTGAACGTGCCAACGAGGAAGTCGTAAGTCTCGGTCATGGTGGGTATTCAGACCTTTGTTGGTAAGCCAAGGGACGAACCTTGAGGTGCTGTCTAGGTAGATCTGGCCTCCGAACGCTTTTTCTGTGTTGGAACTTTCGGTTTAAATAGTCTTCTATCTGCACGCTGGGACCCTCGGGGCCGCTCTGCTGGTTCAAATAATAGATCAGCTCGCGTGCCCATTTGTCAATCGGATCAAGCCCTCCTCACGAGTGGGAGCCGCAACCGAGGGGCGAACTATCTTACATATCGTCCTTCGGAATAGGTTTCTGTCGGCTGAAATAGAGTCGAGTTTCCATATACTCAGTCCGAGCTAGGGATGATGGTTGCTTTTCTATATAAAGGGACATCGACATGGAAGAAAAGGTGTAGACCTGGCAAGCAGGCATGGCTTGACGTTGAAGTATCGGTTGCTCGTTCGGATCGGTACCATCTCGGATTTTAGTTTCTCCGTGTCAGTTATCCGATGGTTTCCCGCCTTCCAACATTTTCAGCCTCGTCTCAGATCCACGGCTCGACAGGGAATCTGAGGCATTATCCTGGTCACTTGCTGCGATGTTTCAGAGACATTAGTTCTCGGCTATGTCGATTTCTGGAATCTGTGTAGATGAGACATTTTTGAGGAACATTTCCCGTTGTGGGCGAAGCGCATTGCGATATCGTGGTCTTAGTTGTGAAAGCGGAGCTACGAGCGACGGCCATGTCGATTGAATGAGAGGAAAGTCTTGCACAAGAGTAAGCCAGCCAATCGCTCGTTTAATACAACACCAAGCGAACCGAGTGGGTATATCAGCGTGGGATAAGGGGCCCTCTAACACGCGACAGTGACGCAGCACATACAACAGAGCATGTCCCGAAGCCCGGCAATGTCCTCCCAAATCAGCCGAGTGAGGCGCCAATTATCCTCAAAACATGCCCAGCAACACAGCATCAGATGGCGGAACGCCGTTCCTAGAGTCGAATGAAAATCGGTGCTGTGAACGTTGACTAACGCGTGCTGGATGTTTCCAGCCAAGGGGGAGCGAGGATTGAAAAGACAGGGACACAAAACGCCATCGAAAACAAGCTTAGTTGAGACCTTTGCATTCTGGAAAGGTAATGGACTGAACCCCGATTCTCTAGGTTTTATCGCGCTCCTTCTGGATAGACTCCAGACACCCGTCAAGCCAAGTGCTGAGGCTTCCCACTCAAACAACCATAATCCATTACTTGGCTCCGTGGATAAACACTCGTTCCTCGAGCGGCTTGAAGGTTTTGGGGTAAGGATCGGCAGCGGGTTTGCCAAAGACCAGTTGTGCCTTCAAGCTCCAGTTCTTGGGGACATCCCAGGTTGCCGCGATCTTTTCGTCGATCAAGGGGTTATAGTGCTGCAGGTTTGCGCCAAAGCCTTCCTTTTCCAATGCAGTCCATACTGTTTCCGTCTGAGTCAGCCCCAAACTACAAAGGGGAATGGGTGAAGATGTACGGGGTAACTTACAAACATATTGATGCATGGCATTGGTGTGCTCACTCCATTGAGGGAACTTGTCAGCGTAAAGGGGAAACTGTTCCTGCAATTTGGCGACATCCTTGGGCTCCTCGTAGAACAAGATGGTGCCATAGGCCGCCTTGAAGCCCTCCAGCTTCTTCTCCGAAGCAGGCCAGGCTTCAGGCGGAGCGACCGACTTGATGATTGGGATAACAATATCGCCCCACAGTTTCTTGTGCTCCTCGTTCAGGACGACAACCACGCGGGTGGACTGCGAGTTGAAAGAGCTAGGCACGTGCTTGACGGTTTCATTGACAAGTTCGTGGATCTTGGAGTCGGGAATTGGAGATTCACCCGACAGAGCGTAGTAGGTGCGGCGGGACTTGACCGCGTCAAAAAGAGCGTCTGACGACATTTTGCTGGTCGACGATGTGAATTGGCGAACTTGCGATGATGGCTTTGATGGACTTGGGGAAACTGAAGGAGCGTTGTTGAGAGGGTATTTGTGAAGGGGAATAAGGGTGGATGCCGCGCGAAGTGGCCTGATACTTATATGTCTGCAAGTGTAAGACGATGTTGCGAGACGCATGCTTCGTTATCGGTCTTCTCTTTCCGATCTTTACGGATGGGACCGATCCTGACACAATCCCAGGTCCACGATACGGAGCCACTGCAGGGAGAGGGGACAGGTTTTTAAAAGTGGAGGGTTTTCGTTGATGGGACAATTTGGATCGGGTGGAACGTGGTGATTGAGGGATGGAAGGTTCGATGACCACCTGGGCACCTTAGTGAGCTCGGCAGTGAATGATTTGATAGCTGGTGGAAAGACTGGAAAGAGAGCTGGCGCCCAGCTGGCGGTGGTTCGGTGGCTGCGTCGGCTCCGCTAGCTCAGGGGTGCAAGGCTGGAAGACATTCCGCGCTTTGTCAGTTTTAGATGATAATGATGGCGTAAGCAGCAGAATTGCGTCAAGATGAATCGGTGACTTGTGGGCGAGGATGGCGACGTCGATGATTGATTCGTGAGGATGAAGTTTTGACTGAGTCGAGCGCCACAATGTGGAGCTGCGCGGTTCGGCAGTTCAACTTCCGCTGTTCAAATGGACAGCTTTTGCCCGAGATCTTGCGTCGTCAAGAGTAGATACCTAGGTACCTTAGGTAGGGAGTATCACCCCGTATATTCAGATCACCGCTGTGGCGTGGGTCGGCAACGTGTAAGCTTATATCCAATAGCCAAACCTCCTCTAACACCAAAGAAGGAGGGCCACAACATCCAGGCACGCCCACCCCTTGCACCAACTCCAATGCGTTGCTTATTGATCATCCTGAAGAAATCGGCAGAGATTGAAGTCTATATAGCCTCATCTCAGCCACATCCACCTGCAATTCGGACCTTCGGACCATTATTTTGGGCGAAATTCCACCGACGCTTTCCCTAAACATACCACAACTCAACGATCTACTCCGATGCTGCAGAACGCAAGCGGTATATCAGCGAAGGATCTGCAATTTGGGAACCATATATAGTGCTGATAATGCCTCCCACAATACCAACAGAGGGCAATCTGCATTCTCCATCTAAAAAATCCACCCTCAAGGGCTGACCGAATACTCCGCGCAGAGACAAAGATCCTTTTTCATCCGTAGCTCAGGTTTGATCGTGCTGAAGGAATGGCGTGCTATGCGCTCTTCTCTGGATCCACCCCAGCGTTGGTGGTTGTCGTCGCCACACTACCGTTTGTGCGCGTTCTCCTCGACCGCACCTCCAAATCATGGTGCGCACGGCTGCGAGTAGCATGCAAAGCGGCCATATTGGTTTCCTGTTCCTCCTCTTCACCGCCACTCTCTTCGTCCACTGGCTTCCGAATCGCCATGGTAGGTGCAAACTTTGATCTTTGGCGGAGCTTCTTGCCAAAGAAGTAGAAGCACACCGGGATTGGGACACAAATAGCAGCAATACAACCCAGAAGCGTGGCGGCCCACTCAATACCGAGGTTGTCAAACATTTGGCGCGCGAAAAGAGGAAATCCTGCGGCCAGACACGACCGCAGGAAGGTGTTTGCCGCGATGGCAGAAGCAGCACTAAAGAGAGTCAGTTTGATCCATCACTGAGACACAGCGCGGGGGGGGGATCTTTTACTTACAACATAAGGTACGAGTCAATAATGTAGTTGAAACAGCAGATGAAGATAGCCAACAGACCAAATCCGGTAAACAGACCAGACAGGGTCGGAACAATCCAAGGGATCGATGCCTTGTAGCCCGTCCAGCCAAACCAGAAAAGGCCAGCGGCGAACAGCACTCCCCCAATCATGACCGGTGGGAGCCGCCACTCTGGAACAGGGATTCCTCCGTTGGCTGCAAGCTTCCTGTTATAGGCCTTGGAATCCCAAATGATATAGCCTGCAACAATGAAGATTCCACAGACCATTCCAAAAAAGGGTAAACCCGCCACACCAGGAGTGATATGGTGGACACCTTGGAAGACCAGAGGATAGGCCGTCAGGAAACAGTACAGGAGGCCATAGATGAAAGACATGTAGCAGGTGATGGCAAGAATGATGGGCTCGGAAATCAAGAGTCGAATCGGACGAGAAAAATTCTTAGTGATGAGTTCTTTGAAGTCCACCTCGACTTCTTCTTGCTTCGCATGGATGCCCCAATTCTTAGTCCGGCGGCGTAGTTCCGAGGCTTTACCCACCAGGACGACGGGTGCGTAGGATTCATGGATGAATAAAATGACCAGACACAGAGCCGCTGAGCCCATGATGCCTGGAATGTAAAGGTTCCATCGCCATCCGAGGTGAGACTTGTTAATAAACCCTCCGATGAATGGTCCCAACATTGGCCCCATAAAAACCATGGAGGAGAAGATGACAATCGCCGTGCCTCTTTGCGTGTTGTCAAACATATCGGCGAAGACGGCGGCAACGACAGCCAGTGGACATGAGCCGAAGAAACCGGTAAAGAATCGGGTGATCATGAGCGTCTGTAGGTCCTTCGCTGTCGCGCAACCGAAGCAAAAGACCGAGAAACCAAACATTGCGACCATGATGGGGAGTTTTCGACCTATCCCGGCTGTGTCAGCATGTCGACCTCCTCCCCTTCCCCAAGCCGCTTACCTTGCAATTCTGAGAAAGGTCCCCATATCAGCGGGCCAAACGCGTACCCCAGGACGTACAGGGACGTGCTAAGAGTGGCTACTTCGGGACTGACCCCGAAATGAGCCGCCACGCTGAAGGTGGACGCGGAGAAAATAGAGGAAGTAAAAGTACTGCACAAGCAGACATAAGCCAGAATTGCACCCATGTAGAATCTGCAAACCACATCAGCATCGCCATTCTTTGTGATGTCCCCGCAATCCACACTCACTTTCTCCGGAAGGGCCAATTCTGAGGGTGGAGAGGGTCGTCTTTGCCATCGAACTCCACGACGTACTCTTCCTGCGCTGGCAGATCGGGAGGATATGGTTTTCCACCGCCAAATTCGGGGAGAGGTCTGGTGTCCGCCTTGGACTTTACACTCGCCCCCACGGTCTGGATTTGTTGCAAACGATGTGTTTCCGTCCTAAGGTCTTCGATGGGATGGGTCCTCGTCCTAACGGCCCTTGTCGAAGGAACATTCGCGCTTGAGGCTCCAGCGGTGGCTATTCTGCCCATATCAGGAGCGGAAGATGTGCTGGAGCCCGACGAACTGGAAATGACAGATTGTTGAGATCTCTGGCTGCGCAATGACCGACGCTCTTTACTTTCATGAGACCATTGGCGCGTGGCCTGGACCTCAGCCCGCTGCATGTCCCGATCGACAATATCCATGTTGGCAGATGCTCTGCTCTTTTCGCGGAGGTTTCGTGTGTTCGGGGGGTAGGAGGAAGCCTATCTTATGTGACAAGCACTGGTAATCTTTTTAAGGATACCTCGGTCTTAAGCCAAGTATTTCGTACACCTTTTGCACGTTTGTTTGAGGTCAGAGGTGGCGATGCAGTTGTGGGGTAGAATCAGCCGGGCATGTCAACCCGGAGCCGGTTCGCGACAATTGAAGCACCGATAAGTCGGGTATAAAGGGATATGAACGGAGTTTGGGGAGCTTGGTATGCGGCTGGGATACACAGAGCCGGCAGAGAGCAGAAACGAGGGTATGACAGCCCAGAGCGACGGGTAAATAAAGCGGAGGGTTGGTCGGCTCCGAAGGTGAGGAAATAAGAACGAAAGAATACAGAATTTATCTCGAGACCAACTCCAAAGCTTGTTGGATCAAGGACGCATTGGGCAGTCCATGCACGCAATGCAGGCAATACGACCGATTCGCCAATGGATGTAACAAGGAAGAATGTGAGTGTGCTAAGTGAGAGTTGCAGTAGCAGAGGAAATCCAATTCAACAACAGTGGTGATGATGATGGTTGGTGGTTGCGGTCATGGTTGGACTGCGGTGGAGAGGGTGACGATGATGACACACCCGCAGGCGACTGGCACCAACTGGAACTGGCCAAGTTGAAGCCACCGGCGAGGGCTTAACAGTCACTCTTTTTCTCCCCCGCGACAACCCATTTCCCCTTCAAGTTCCTCTTTATCCTCGATTATTTGAGTTCCGTCGCCAACCACCAGGATTCTACCCTAGTTATGCCCTCCAGGGAATAGCCGAATCAAGCCAGTGTTGACCGTGATTTGCGGCCGCCAAAGACCGCTTGGCCAAAGGAACGAGAGGCCGATGGGAGGCCCTTGTGATCTCTAGTGCCACCACCGCAGCCCGCGCACCACCGTGCCCACCATCCCTACCACGTCCCTCCCTGTCCTCCTGGCGATCCCCTGCAACCGCCCGCACTTTCAGCCGAATGATCGCCCAGAGAGCTCTCATGCAAGCTTCTAATCTCTTGCCCGGCTGTTGTCACGATTCGCGTGGCTGCTGATTAAGCGTCGCTCATGCGATTTAACTGGGCGCCGACGCCCGACTTGATCACTCCCCTGCAATCCTCCCACTCCTCCCTAACCACTGTGTGGAACACTACCTACCTAGGAGGTACGGAAAAGAGACTACCTCGCACGTTAAAATGCCTCTAAATATCGCAGCTAGAGTACGCGGCCTCTATCAACAACTCCAAATTACTCAGCGCGCAGCTTCAACAGCGCCGCCGTGAAAGTCGGTCGCCGGAGCACACTTCTTTATTACCTCCCGGCGGGTTCTTTCAAAATCGGGGATAAAGATCGAAAGAGTTTAGTGATGGTAGGTTCAAATCCTTGCGTGGGCTCCAGACCTCAGTCAATACCTAGGTAACTATAGCTACACCTCACGCGTCCCAGGTCGAGTGGTCAGCCGATTTCGCCGTCGAATCTCCGACCATCGACTGAGTTCGCCTGCCTCCAGGATATTGATCTTGCGCGTCAATCCACTTGGCTCACCCAGAATCACAGGCTCCCATTCTTCTTTTTCCTCTGCCACTCCATGATCCTGCCGAACTGGGATCATCTGGACACTCTGCCGTCTGAAGAGGACCACAGCGAGAAGGAGAGTTAGTGCCAGGAGGACACCCGCAACGATGCCAGCTGCCTGCATACCACCATACCTGCGCTCCACTCGACCCCCAATGCCGGTGGCCACGGCACCGAAGACGAACTTCAGGGACTGAGTAACGGCCATGCCCGCACTAACTCAAGGATAGCAGGAGAAATTCGTGCGTAGTTCACGCGTTCGTCCTGTCACTAATGTCCGCACAGGGCGTCCAGTCATGCCTGGTTGCAAGTCCGATGTGTCGAAGGTGAGCATCATTTGAGCATAACACTCTGCAATAGCCAAGTTTGAGCCAAACCCAACAAATGCCGCAAACAGACATGGCACGGCGATGGGGAAAGGGGGTCTTCTTGATGATAGGGCGTATCCAATAGCTACCAGAGCGAGAAAAACTGTGAAGAATGTCCGGCGAACCGTGTGTGACCGCCATATCATGGCCTTTTGAAAGGTCATGCTGTCTGTACGAGGACGATGATACCGAGCACGACTCAGCCAAGATGCTTTCTGAAATGGTATTGCCAAAGCTGAGCCAAAGGCCAGGGAAAGCACGCATAGTCCCACTTGATCTGGTTGGCAGAGATACTCGGTGGAGGCCAAGGCTCCGAGCAACTGTTGATGTTCATGTTAGCCAAATCCGGCCAACCACGGCCAAGGACTCACCATCAACACCAGGGTAAATTGTGCATATACCCAAGCAGCATAAATGGACAGTATCAACATTCCTGGTTGTTTGGCCATTCGCCAACTCAGCCGCAGCCCTGCCATGACCTCTTCACCCCACCAGTACGGCCCATTCCCGGTGAGATGAAGTTTGACTTCGCCACGAGCAACTCTGCTGAAGCTCCCACCCTCGCCTGTGATTTCTGCAATTGTTCGCCGAAACGCCGATCGACGCACTTCTGGCGCGATGAGGTTGAGCAGAATGACAGCCAACAGCAGGAGCAAGGAAATCCAAAAGCCCCAGTCGACTGAAGTGTCGCTTATGACGAGGGTTCCAATTAGAAATCCAATACTGATGGAGCCAACAGTGCACCATGACCAAATTGCGAGCCAAACTCCCATTCCACCTCCATGCCGGCGGACATCGTACGCATCAGGGGGCTCATGCGAATCACTGCTCTGTAGCGATGCACCGAAGACATCTAGCAGTGTCGCGAAGTTATTGATGTCCGCAAATCCAAGAACGAAGCCCGACAAACCGCGAGACAGGAGCAGAACGATGCGGTATATTGCTGAATCTGGCGATCTGGATGTCGTGACCATCAGTCCCTGAGGTATCTGCAAGCATAACGCCAATGTGAGTGCTGCTAGGGTGTAGGGTTTCCGTCCGTGCAACAGGGGGAGCGGCCACAATACCAAAGTCGGAATGGCAAGTCCAAGGTAGAGGTAGAGATTTCCAAGAATAACCTGACGGTTGAAGTCGACAATGACGTACTGGATTGCCGGCACCTCTCCTGCGTATATGCCGACAAGCAAACCAAGACAGGCGACATTGATGCAGCTCACGACCGCAGCGAATCGCTTTCGAGAGGTTGGCCAGTTGCGAGCCACGGGTGCCTGGTGACAAGTGGTATGAACATCCACATCTGATGCTTGCTCCGGGAGGTCGACATGCTGTACACCATTGAGATCGACCTTGTACGAGGGCCACGGCGACGCATGAGCCATGTTGATGCTCACATGTCGGGAAGGAATGCCAAACATCTGACTGAAATGCCTCTCGTGACCTGGCCGAGGGGTGCCCAATAGCGGCTCCTTGTCTTCATCGAAATCGACAGCCTGGTCCCCACCATTCAATGTCAGGCTAGGTGTTGGCTTCGACGCAAGAGATCTGCTTCCTGCAATGCCTTTGGCGGATGCGATGCGAGGGCCAATTTGAGGAGGTGCTAGGAACCGGACTGGTCCTTTTTTGGGGTTTGAAGGCAATGTTGTTGATCCTCTATCCCTTGACAATTTTTTCTTCCTCTCCTCTAGAGAGTCCGCGACTGGTTCTGGAGGGAGCACTTGTAAGTTATCGGTACTGCATGCCCCTTGGCAGCGAAAAATGGCGTCCTCCGTCTCTTTGTCAGACACTTGGGACTTGAGAGCCTGGCTCGTTTTGGGGGACGGGGGGCAGTCGTTCGTTCTCGAGGAGACTTCTTCCAGGTATTTACTGATCTTCTTTGCGAGACCTAGCGGCGGCCGGTGTGGCGGGCTGAGACTATATCCGTCACGTCGTTCCGGCCCATGGCTGTCATTTTGAGACGCGGCACTTTCAGCAAGCTGGACGGCTTCTTCCACCAATCGTTCTAGCTCTCGGATGGTTTGGGCCAAGGACGTTGACAATTCTTTCTCTGAATACCCATCATCTTCGTTGCCAGCTTCGGCAATGCCGTCCTCACGTAGAATGTCTGGGAATGCCCCATCTTGTGCGGGTTGCCTGTCAAAATGTCTGCTTGCTTGGCCTGTTTCTGTTCCCATTCGCCGAGGTAAGAATAGGGAACGGTTTGAGATCGGCGGTAACTGAGAGGGTGGATACAAGCTACCAAGGAAGATCAGGGATTCGAAGAATACATAATAATAATGTCATAGCTTGCATTGATCGAGGAGTGCAGGATCTAGGCCACTGTGAGGCTGTCGAGTATCCGATACGCAGGTCCAGTCGAATCATTTTGGCAGCTTTTTGAACGGATTTCCAGGGATTGAGGTGGAAGTATCGATCGTGGGCAATGCATACCGCAGGCCAGGCCAAGAACCGCCCAATCAAGCTTTTGCTGGGCGAAGCTTGCATGAGCTTAGCGAGGGTCTGGGTGAGCAGGACTCAGGAGCGACAGGGGCGACAGGGGAGGTGGGGGAGCTATGAGGAGCAGTTGTGCTTCGGGGCGAGCCGATCGATGGATCTCTCGGGATTGCAACCACTGTCTACAGGCACCACAAGTGATGAAGGCATTGTGACATGGACCGAATACCTATTACTTAGGTAGCTCGGTAGGTACCTAATGGAGTATTAAGTACCTACCTAGTAGACAGGAGTACAGTGGCGCAGGAACAAGGAGGTGTCACGGTCTGATGGTTCGATGATTCTGATGATTCTGATGATTCGATGGACGTGCTGTGGTTCGTCTTCAAGATTCGCACTTTTACCCCTCCATCACTGGCCCCTCGATGCGTTGGGTGGCTGTCTCCCTCTCTCACTCGGTGCGCAGGTGGTTTCAGGAATCCCATGGGCCTGTCAGCCCTCGTTTCGTGCCAACGCCACGCGATCGTGTCACGCTCCTCCCATTAGCACTCACGGGACTGTCATTTTGTGTTTGTTTCACCCTTGACTTGGGGCTTCCTTTCACTTTTCTTTGGTCTCCCTACCACCTTTCTTTCTTCTACTCTCAACCTTACCTGCTTTTTGCCTTGATCCTGATTACCTTCACCCCCAACTCTACACCTTAACAACTGAACAACTTCCACACCGCAATGTCGTACTACAACGATCAACCTCAAGGCTCCTACGGCCGCGATCCCTACAACCAACCTCCATCGTACAGTGGCCCACCTCAGGTTCCTCACCCATGGGTCGCCGAGTGGGACGAACGTGACGGCCGCTGGTTCTTCGTCAACCGTGAGACCGGCGAGCGTACCTTCCAACACCCGCAACAGTCCTATGGCGGAGGCGGCTACGATGAGAGAGGCTTTGGAGGAGGTTATGGAGGACAGGAGCAGAGAGGATATGGCGAGCAAGAGCCGCAGCATAAATCTCACACTGGTCGCAATGTTGCACTCGGTGCAGCTGCAGGGCTTCTCGGTGGCGCCCTCTTAATGCACGAAGGAGAGAAAGTTGGTGAGTAATAGAGTTGGAACTCTTGCCCACCCGAGATACTGCCGTCTGACACCTCACAGAGAACAAATGGGACGACGCCAAGTATGATGTCGAGAACGACGTTCGTGACGGAGTGCAAGATGTTGAGAACTTCCCCGACGATGCAGCACGCTGGACTGGCGACAAGGTTCAAGAGGTCGAGGACATCCCGCAAGATGTTGACCGCAAATGGGACAACGCGGTGCAGGACGTGGAAGATGTGCCTGACGACGTTGCTGGCTGGGCTGGTCGAAAGGTCGGTGATGTCGACAGTAAGTTGTCCCTTGAATCGAAATCGCTGGCACTGGACAGAGCTTCTTTCGATTCCCAAGTATCAATATTTGGTGCTAATGGCACCCCAGGATTCGATGACAACATTGACAACGCCTACGACCAAGGCCGCGATGATGCCAGATACAACGACAACTACTAGGCAGAGTCGACATCTCTTAACGCTCTACTTTCAGATTTGAGCCGACATGCACGGAGATGAGGAAATGGACCTCCACACTTTACAGCATGATAGCGTTTCCACGCCTGATATTGATCTCCTTGCTTCTGCATGATGCTCCTGGCAACACAGCATATTTGTCCTGAGCAGCAATAGAGCTTGAAAGACAACGAGTCGACTGTGAGACTCGATCAATGAGATGACCATTAGTCTTCTGATGTCTTGTTTTATCTTGCGTACTCGATCTCCCCGATGTCGTCCGTTGAAGGATGGCCAAATGTATGGGGAGGTCGCTCTGTCGACTCGAGGTCCATCCCTTGCGGGACCCGTGCTATACAGGAGAAAGCGAACAACGGCCTGGAGTTGCGCAAGCCAAATCCGCCCCCGAAAACAACAACTGCGCCGTAACAGGCCGCGGAATGTATTGTCAAGCCTCCAACTCCTACCGCATAGATCAACCTGAACTCTTTCTGAAGGGGGCCATATTTTGGGCAAAGAAATCTGGCCCTATGCTCTCTCCGCTTTGTCCCGCCCGGTTTCCTTTCAAGCTGAATTTCCATATTGGTCTGAAGGCCCTCCAGGTATTGAACAATGCCTTGGAGTTGCAGCAGAACAAGGTTCGGCCCCGACGCTGACAAGAATTCGTGCATGTTGAGAAGGTTGAATCGAGTGCTCTTCAGGTATTGTCGATGTCTTCAAAGCCTATCAGTCGCTCTCCGGCATGGTCCAGGATTTCTGGCAATGGGAAGGAAAGAGCTCTAACCGTCTCTCTCGTGCCTCCATGAACTCTATCACATCCACGAATCGAGCGTCTACTCTACAGAGAGCTCGTTGAGTATCCTGGTGGCTCGATGCGTTATACGCCACGAAGACGTCTTGGTCGACGTCTTTGCTCGAGATGCCAAACGCTTCGGTCGATCCAGCAGTTGATCCGAGTCGGACTCGCACCCGTGTCCGCCTGCCTGCCTCTTGGCTGACGGCGATCTGAAGCGTTGCGGTTTCCGATCAGAAGCCTTCAGAGCGTCGCTGCAGCCGCCAAATGAGGATGCACAGGGTTTCCATGAAAGTGTTTCCAATGTGGATGTTGCTGCTGCTTGCTTCGGTCTTGGTCTTGGTTGGTTTTGTGGCTGCACTGCTCCTGTGATCCAGAACTCCGCAAGGTCGGCCTGACCGCTGTATCGTGAAGGCTTATCAGACACCAGGTATATATACACACACGCAAGAACTCCAATGCAATTCTTGCCCCAGGAGAAGCCCTGTACAGGACAGTTAGCACAGGTGCCAGTGATGAATCCTTCCGTTGAATCCATGTCCGTGCGCAGCCCTCCCTGACTCTACCATACCACGCCGGCAACCACCAGGAATGCTCCAGGATCATCTCTTCCAAATTTCTCAATACGAGCATGGACCGGAAAGACTTTTCCCCATGGAAGAGGACCAGAAACACACTGGAAACAGAGTTATGGGGACGCATCGCTGGCTTTCGCCTGTCGGTAATATACCAACTTCTAAAGATTGAGTGGGACTCTCATTGCCATCAACACAGTCAAATGTATCTGCATTTTTCGAGACCTATTTCTTGTGCAGAGCAACGAAGTACAAAGCAAACAGTCGAGCCATCCAACCGCCACTGGATCCTTCCGTTATCTGTCAAGCCAACTTACAAGGGGACATCCTTTCAGCCTGCAAGGCTGAAGCACAAAGAACCATTATGCTCAAAGCCTTGTGGTGATCCCTTTATGCTGCCCTCCATTCCTTTGTCTGTCTCACACATCATCGGTGTCGATGTCGAGGAGTGCTTTTGTCCAGAGTCACTGTCTGGTGCAAGGCAGCTAGCTAGCTGTGATGTCGCCATGTCGTACTGCCTGCTGTACTGCCTGGGTCGTGATCCGGGCAGCTGGGCTGGAATGTTCAAGTCTTAAAAGATGTGATCTGGCGCGCATCTCTCCTTGTACTTTTCTCCAGTTCATCCGCTATCACCACCGTCACAGAGACATTTTCTCAACACTGTTCAACACAAGTCATTGTTGCTGCTACTTCTGAGCCATCACTTGCCCCAACTCCTGTGAGACCGAAAGAAATCTTAGGCTCAACTCAACTCTACTACTCTTCGCTCTTGTGCTGGTCTGATCACATCAAGAAATGCCCAACTTCAGCAATCCAGCTTATGGCGCGCTCCCCGACTTCACGGACTCTGATCTGCCCGAAGATCTCGCGGATTGGGCAAGTATTCAAGCCCCGGCTAATCTGGCCATGGATGAATTAGACGGCAACGGTGACGGCGACGGCAACGGACACCTCACCTCGTCGGGCTGGCCGGACGGTGTTTGGCCTCCGACTTCCTCCCCCATTCAAGATTTCTTGCCCGAGGAAAATGACGGAGACGTTGAAGGTGAGAGAGACGATTCCCGCGACGAGGACGAGTGGTTCCAACACCAACTCTACTTTGCCCGGCAGGCTCTGCTGAACAACTCGACCCCCGATACTGGTGGCCCGAGTGACGCTGCTGCTGGTCCTATCTCGCCCCCTGCTTCTCAGGTTGACAGCGATGGTGACGATGACGACGAGGATGACGAGGACGAGGATAGCGATCACGAGTGGTTCAATGAGCAGTGGTTCAACGGCTACTACGAGGACGAAGATGAAGAAAACCCAGATACACCACGAATTACCCCTTTACCTCGAACGCCGCCGCCTCCTCCCAGGATCCAACGCCGAAGCACACGGAAATCAGGAGGCAACGTGCTCGACGGCGGCGCGCCCATGTTAGTCTTTGCCCTCCAGAACTGGCGCGAACGGCGCGACGTCATCATCGCGGAGAAGAGAAAAGCTGACAGACTCGAGCAGGAAAAGCTGCGGGAAGAGAAACTCGACCAGGAAGTCCTGGTCGAGAATCGCGTCCTGGGGCTCGACCACGCCGGCGCCACGGGGATGGGTCTCCTGTTGCGCAGGAACGAGAACGGTAAGCGCGTCGTCAGCGGTGATGGTGCTGCTGCCTTGCGGGTGGTGAGGGACACGTTGGATTATCGAAAGTTCGCGACCGCCGGGGCGCGACGGGAGAGGAATCGTCGAGAGAGTGAGGAGGAGGAGGAGGGGGAGGTGGTGGATGCGTACGTGAGAGAAGATGGGAGTGTGGATCTCTTCACCTGAGACTTGGAGGCTCGTAGACTCGTAGAGATGGATTGAAGCTTGAGTCGGGAAGGAGAGCGTTGTAGTCCAGGCCCCTGTAGGAGACGGGGAGAGAGGCTTCGCTGGAAAGGAAGCAAGGGAGGATGGACATCTTTCCGCCTGGCGCCCACCCCTTAGGAATAGACGGTAGGTACCTAGGGTACTTGGGTATCAAATACAACAATCCCTGTTTTTTGGTGTCTTCCATCCCCTCAGCATGCTGCGTAACACAAATCAGTTGGAAACATCAGGATTCAGCGGCAGAGAAAAAACCGACCTCGAAGTTGAAATTAAAGTCCCATTCCCCCCGGGGTATCCTGTCCCGTCTTAGGGTGTCACGCTCTAAATAATGAGTCTGCTTCCCCAGCTGGTCCCTAGACCAAGGGCTGGGCTAGGCAATAACAGCTTCCTTGCCAACCCCCTCTTCATGCACAGCGACGGCGTTGACGGTTCCCATAGCCTGTGCCTTTTCGTCCGCGTGCTCGATTTTGACGTGCACGGCAGCTTCGTCTAGTGTCTCGGCGACCTACAACAAGGCAAAGAAGAATAACTCGTTAGCGAGAACAACAAACAGGGGCGATGTGATCCAGGAGACTGGGGGGGATTTTTTTTTGGGCTTTGCTTTGCTCTGCTCTGGCTCACCCTGTCACCAAAGACGGCCTCGATCTCTTCCAGCGTCTTGTTCCTCGTCTCCGGGTAGAAGAGGACAAAGACAATTGCGAAGATGAAACTCGAACACACGAAGATCAAAAAGAACTTCCACGAGATGGTCTCGATGGCCTGCGGGGTGAATTGCACGAGGATGATGATCAGGACGTGCTGCGTCATGTAGCTGACGGCCACGCCGACGGGGCGGACGGAGGTGGGCATGATTTCGGCGGGGTACTACAAAATAGGTCAGCTTTAATATGTTCCTTCTTTTTCGGGAGGAGTAAAAGCAAGGAAGGGATCGGGTACGAACAGTTGCCAGGAAAGCATTGGCAGGCCCGCCGTAGCCGAGTCCGACGAAAAACATGGCTGCAATGATCCCCTTTGCGAGCGAGCGGTTGGTACTTCCGCCGTTCTCGTAGATCGCCCAGGTAATGCAAGTCGTGAGCGTTCCTGCAACAATGAGGAAGTATGATATGAACTGCCTTTGGTCAGGGAAGGTTCTCTATTTTTCACGGTAAGCCAGTCTCACCATGGTTGGCCGTCGACCCATAAGGTCGAAGCAGAAAGCCGCGTATACAGCAGACAGCGTGCCAACGCAGCCCCAAACGCCGGTCAGGATGAGGGACATGACATTGGTGAATCCGACATTCGTATACAGAATGACCTGATAGTTCTGGATGACGATGACGCCAGAAAGCCTGTGACCATGTATCAGTTGAATCTGCTAGAGTCTTCGTGACGAAAGTACTTACATGCACGCAATTGCGTACCAGAAGACCAACATGAATCGTTTACGGTACGACGGCCTTTGCCAGATTGCTTTGAGGCCCAGCCGCGCCTCCCTGTCGAGCTCGATTTGGGCCTTGATCTGGTGGAACTCGCGGATATAAAACGTGTCGTCGTGTGTGGTGCCGTGCATTTTCTTGAGGATCGCCAAAGCCTCGTCGTAGCGCCCGACGTATGCGAGAAAGCGGGGTGACTCAGGCATCAAGAAGGAGCAGGCGAACATGAGAGTGCCGGGGATGAGCTGGCAGCCCAGCAAGAGACGCCAGGAGACGTCGCCTTTGATAAAGTAGAATCCCAAGCCACTGGGATTTGTAGTTCAGCATTCATCCACTGCAGAGCATCGACGGGAGCAGACTTACACCCATTCAGTAAAGCAATAAGCCCCGTTAACACTGACTCTGCGGAAACGTCAGCCCACTCTCCAAACAGATCGATGAAAATTACTCACGAATAAAGACCGCCAATGCGGCCTCGCATCTTGGGAGGTGCAATTTCAGAGGCTATTTGGATTAGTCGTTACTTGGTTTTTTAAATCTGGATTAGGATACGAACCGTATGCCGGGCACACAACGAAGATCAAGCCTGATATTTGTCAGTCTCGAACACCTGTATCGGGCCAACCAGGATGCCTTTCTTCTGCTCAAGCTGGTACGGGTCTCGAGGAGTACTCACCACTGGCGAACCCGCCTATAACTCGACCGGCGACGAAAGTGCCGTAGCTGTGGGCTCCTGTCTGCATCGATGCAGCAAGCAACGACGCCAGGCAGCCGATCTGAATGGTCCGAATACGTCCGTATTTGTTAGGCAAATACCAGTTGGAAGCCATGCCGACAACGGCTCCAGCATAATATGACGACCCCATGGCGCCAATGGTGGTAGAGTCCAAGTTGAAATACTCGAGGAAGGATGTATAACCAAGGACCGACGTAGTGCAGGCTTTTCAGATGTCAACATGTATTGACAGCCTCAAGATAGACCGTCTTACCAGAGTCATAGCCATAAAAGACAGCCCCGAAGGTCACGTACAACACGCAGAGCCAGTTGTACCGATTCATCTTGGCAATGTCTCCAACAATGGTCGAGGGTTGTCTGCCCGATCAGAGCTGTGAGAGAGAAGAGTGATCTGCTCTGTAAATAGACAAATCCGGGGGCTGGTTCGTGCATATAAGAAATACGAACGGGGCATCCTCGGCGTCGACTAAAAGGGACCCAATGGCCGTTGATCAACAATTGCATGGCGGTCAATCCTGAGTAGGTTGTTTCTGACTCTAAAGGGTCCGGCTAGCACCAGGAAAGTGCAGGGCAGAAGCTTGTGGCTCATGGGCGCCATGCCAGATATTGCGGAGTCCCCGCAGAACAACTCAGCCTTGTCTCGAATAGGACATCCGCGGTCTAAGCTTGGACCAGTCGCCGCGTCCAGGAGTGGGCTTCTCCAACTGTGGTCCTACAGACCAACAAGAAGTCGCTCGGAGGGCAAACTTGGGTCTTGGAAGAGCTCAAGCGAAGTGAGGCGGGATAGAAGGCCGTCCTGCGGCGCCCCGCTGAGTTGCGGAGTCTGCCTACTGCACACCCTTGACTTGACTCCTGGGGAGAGACCGGGTCAGAGTGGTAAAGAGTGACCAGGGGCGAGGCACACGTCGCTGCTTTGGTGTTTTTGCATTCCTTCCCTGCCAGTTCTTTTGAACCACATGTTATGAAGCCAGGTGATTGGTTCCTGAAAGGCAACAGAACATGGAGTGTGCTTTCGACTGCACTCGCTTCATCAAAATCCCATTGCGATACTGATAAGGTTGCATTTCGTGATGTTGACGCATCAATGAGTTATTCCATCTTTGTTGCGAGTGAAAGGCATTTCAGCTGCATGCCGCCGTTCGCGGCATGACTTTAGAATATCAGCCATGGGGGCGGAAGCCTTCTGCGGGAACCTTTTGCCTGAACCTTGACAATCGTTGTGTTTTCTTCTCATTGCCCCCTCAATATGGAGAGCCAGCAACGGCCAGTAAGTGTGGTACACCTGCGTAGGGGAGTGGAGGCCTACCACAGAGAGGAATTGTTGCATAGTTGGCATATAGTTTCTGCTTGCCCCTGGCGCATCGGACCCATTGTCCATAGCATCTTGATGCGATCGAGAAGGCTTCTGCCAACAGCGAGATCTCGATTGCCCATCATGCCATTGGGTGAAAGGAGGCTTAAACGTCGGTCAAAGAGGAAGGATAATTGTCAGTCCTGCCCCGCCAATGTACTGTCTGCAGGACATCTCAAGCCTCTCCGATCTTGTCGTTCAACTGAGTCAAATGAGGCGGTGGTCGTTCGCACACACTGCTTTAGGTAACAAGCATCTCCGCGCATTCAGCCAGATGGCAGCATCCGCAACTTTCCCCTCGGGTAAAGCTACCTTGGTCAGGTCTGATGGGGATGGAGTCTTAGAAACAAGACAGCAGCGAGTGAGGGGAGTGAGAAGAGGAGATTTCCACGGCATTCCACGGATCCATCTAAGCAGTTTCTTCGACGATATGAATAAAGATGGAAAGAAGATTGGGCTCCGACTCTCGTCTCACTTCACCAAATCCCTTACAATGACTTGGCACGCTATGCCTGACTAGGCTCTATCAAAATCGTTCCCGAGGTCCTCAGAGTCTTGACTGTACAGCGGTCCGTATCACAAACCCGATACGGGGAAAGTGGATCCTCACCTCTCCAACAGCCGGACCGGTACCATCGCTTGCGCTTTGAGGTGTGATGACGGCCTCTTCCGGCGTGAGAGCTACGAGGGTCCCTACAGTGGGACTATCCCTTCCAGTGTCATCTGGGGCGATGGTCACTTGCGCTCCTGCCACAAGACCATTGCGTCTATCAAGGTCGTAGTGCGGACCAGCCGGGGTCGCAAGTAGTGGGATCTCCTTCAACAGCGGTGTCTGCTTCAATTGCTGCATCACTCTCGCCACAGACGGAGCGTCGTCCCTTTCGATCTTTGTCTCCACGCTCGGCAGCCCATCAACATGTGCTTTGAAGCGCTCGAACCAAGCAAAGATTCCAGGATACCGGTCTCGATTGAACACGGCCCCCATTCCCTCTCCATCGCCATCACTCGTGCCTCCGCCGGTCAGATTCTCGATTCCTTCTCCGCGACTGATCTTCTCCCCCCAATCGAGCTGATACCAAAGCGCGAGGTCCGCAACGCTTGGCGTATCGGCCCCGAAGATCCATGGTTTGGCCTGCGTGCCAGAGACCAGTGGCTCCAACAAGCTCAGCTGCAAATCCAGACCGCTGAGATTCTCGGGGACTTTCCTCCCCAGTTTCTCCACGTCGAGTTTGTGGCCGATCAGATTGGACCGGTCGACTCCGAAGTGCGTCCGCCAGACACTCGGGGGTATCAGCCCTGTGGTTACGCGGAAAAGGGGGCGGTCGGTCCAATATGAGGCAAAACCGCGAAGCAGGGGTCGAAAGGCGGCTGAGGAGGACGGGTAGAGTGTTCCATAGCCCTGTGCCGAAGGGAACTGACTTTCAAGGGCTTCGAGAATCAATGAGGTGTCGATGTAGATCTGTCATATGCAATGATTGTGTTTAGCTCATGTCTGGAATATGTCTTGAAGGAGCACGTGGCCGAAGAGGCTGGTTCTTATCACTGCGACTCCACATGGAGTTGACGCTCTTGCTTACCTCTCGTCCAATGGCCAAAACCGGAATCTTTCTATAAGTGACGTTGAAATTATCCTTCAGGACCGGGCGTGGCATCATTGATGGCACCACAACAAAAGCTATCCAGGTGAACACGACAGCGTCAGTCCAAGACAATCCCCACAGAATGATACCGCGAAGTCGATTTGTACTGCCAATCGACAGCAATGATGTTGACCGACATACTGTATGGTATTTGTTTCAGCCTGAGAGCCAATTTGACCTTGGTGGTGAAAGGCGACGCTGGATTGACTCCCCGTTAGCTTGACATCCGCCCTCTCAGGAATTCCAGACATCGAGAGGGAATTTCCTCACAGTCATAGCCGAAAAGAACCACCGGGGGCTTTGTTGATGAGGCATCTCCATTCCCCATCTTTGAGAACCTTGGTCCTGAGGATCAGAACTCAATGGCAGGTGTGCCAATAAGCTGGGACTCGACAACGAGAAAGTCGGCAAAGGGTGGTCAAGTAATTTCAAGTTTTCTTCTACGAGGCCTCCGTGTGATCAACAAAGGGCGTGATGAAGGGCGTACCGGTGCCTGGGATGAGAAAAGTCCGTTGTATCAATACGCGTTCACGAATAGTAGCAGGAGAGCTGGAGCCGCAGTCGGGCGAATGGGTGGTTTTCGGATCGTGAACCTCGGTTCGGTCCGATCTCGTCACTGGATTTCAACGAGGCTGATGCAGCCTTGCCCTCAGCACTTCCCATCGCTCGCACATATAGGTACCACTTAGAAGATGAGTACCGATGATGGCACTGCCCTTGATTTTCAACCACACTAGTGGTGTCTTGGTCACCATTTGCAACAACGGCACTCATTACAGTACATTAAGCTTGGCCTGCACATCGACGCCACCCTAATGGGACGCCCTCTCCAATGTTGGTTCTTCATAATGTGCAATAGTTTCTTGCCAAAGGAAAAGGTATCCGTTCAGCCGATCCGCAGGTCCCTCACTCACATCGGGACCTATCCATTCCGAGGACTGAAGGTGAAAATTCAGTCATCCACAATGCTCCCAGCCCAGACAATGCCGTTCGAATCGCTCTCTAGCCCATCGGTGACCCCTGTCCGGCCGAAGTCCATTACCGACGCTGTTGCAAATGGTTCAGACGTGGCACTCGTGTCCCGCAGTCGAAGAGTAGGCAGCATCCAAATGATAGGTTTGGCCACCGCCAGCAACAGCATCCTGCGGACCTGTCGCCCATTTCAAAATAGAGATCCATCACCTTGAATGGCGGGCCGATATTGATCGGAGTACTCGCGGTGACCCGGTAAAGATAGATTGCGAAAGCAACTGCGCCAACAAAAAGGTGCATGTGGCCAAAATTGCCTGCATGAAGCTAGATGTCTTTCCTCCGAATCATGGCGGATAACTGTGTCCGCATTTTGATGGGCTTATGAAGCCCACGAGGTGCAACTGGCCGAAGTGTCTTCAAAAACAGAGGGATCAAAACGAACAAGCTGTTAATTGCCGTATCTCATCCCTGCAGCTTTTCGATTCCCGAGAAATAGCCTATTGCATGGAGGAACAAGTCAAGTGATGACCGTCATAGTGATGAGCGATACTTCCAGCAAGTCGTGACGAGGCCGAATGATTGCCTTGCAGCATTGGCTTGCCTCTGTTCGCGTGCTTGTTTCAGAGGATGCGAAGTCCACAACAATCAATTGATACTGGCCGCACCGATGCTTGCCTTTTCCACCAGAGCTTTGTTAGATCTTCCACAAATCTTTTGTCCGACGAGCTCCAGCTGTCCAGTCCCATCTCCAGCATATCCTCATGATTGATCTCGACCTCAGTCTCCTCGGCCTGCTCCGTCAACAGAGGTCGGCTGTCCTCCTGATCCATTTGATCACCGGAACCCGCATCATCTTCGTCGTCATCATCGTCGTGATAAGTCGCTTCGCCTTGGTCGTCGCTGTCTGTCCTTGTGATGGAGGCCGTGATAGTCTGAAAAATGCTCGCAGTTAGGCGGTGGAAGTATGCCACCACAGCCACTTCACGACTCTGCTCCTCCTCGTCTTCACCATAGAGCAATAATGAGTCTCGTTCTATTTCGTTTTCTTCTCCCTCGGCGAAACCTTCGCGCCGATCTCCAGCGGAAGCCCACCAGACGAAAGAAGTGTATGCCATTCGAGACCAAGATGGAGGCTCCACTACCAGCTTGTTCGCCGAGTTCGAGGACGAAAGAGAAGAGACAGACGAGGTTGCATCGTCAGTAACAGCCGTTTCGCTGGGCTCTAGCCTCCGGAGACCACGCATGAGGTGCGCAAACCGTCGAAAGTCTCGTTGCGTAGCTTTGATGGCGACTTTGGGGAAAGCCTTGGTTAGTTCTGGGTTTGAAACAATAATGCGAGGAAACGCTTTCGTGGAAGCAGTCTGTGAGCGCGGCTTAGGCATGAGCACAAGGATATCATAGAGATCGGGTTTTGAGGTGAGCACATCATCCGTAGTGCAGGCAATAAAACCGTGGTTGGCTCCGGCAGCTCCAGCCTGCTCTAGCTGAGGGATGTCCATAACACCAACTGTGAACAGCGGACGCAATCGAACACCAGGAGCGTCGGCCTCGTGCGGCTGCGGCGACAGAACCTTTGAGACAGACGAGAGGATGGACAGGTTATATACTGCAGGATGTGGTCAGTGCTGGACAAACTGCAAGGCAATTTCATTCTCACCAAGATTGCAGCAGAATTCCACAGGGGCATCTGTGACTATCAAAATCCGTTTGCGGAGCAAGGCTGCTCGATACAATGGAAATATCAGGGGTCCGAATAGCTTGATCGAATCTATTAGTGTCAATGCGGGATGGTGCGGTGTCAAGGCGTGATTCGGAGAGATGAAGGTTGTCGCCGTAGACATTGTCCTGAACTTGGGATAACCATTGGACCGTGGGGCTGGGCCCTCTTCTGTAGAATCAAGGGGCGCCTGCGACGAGGGTTCCTCTGGCCGCAGCTTGTACTTCTCCCAATACTCTTCCAGGGCAGTAACATCTCCCGGGTTGTCGATATGCGCCCTGCTCATGTCAATGACTGCAACCGCGAGCATTGTATCATGGGGCCCTACCTTGCGAACTCCATCAGAGATTCTGCATGGCGCCAGATCCGACCCATACGACCGTGTTCCAAGGGAACCAGGATGCCAATGGCCACCATTCGCGCAGCACGCTCTGCCTGCTCGTCGGCCTTGTTGACAAAAGCGCTGAGTCCAGCATAATCCTCGTGGATGAAGTATCTTTCCATATCATTCAGCAACGTTGACTAGCTCTCGAGTATGCCACTCACACCAAATCCTCTTCGACGTTGTGCAATCCGGACGGCAGGGACTTAAACTCGACAACGCCCTCGACAGGGACTACAGATGAGAGTCAACAGGGGCGAGATGCGAAAGGGTGGTGAGGTATACCATTGTCCAGGGATCTATGCCATCCTAGAGTGTACCTTCAAGAGTCGTCAGCATGCGCCAAAGTCCTGACTAGCATAGGCATACCCTTTGCGATGGTCGAAGTGGACCAAGAAGAGGGCAAGGATGGGCGGAAACGGCGGCTCATTCGTCGTGTCAATCCTCAAGGAGTTCGAGGCCTGGTCCGCCATTCATGAAAACGCTTTCGCATAACGACAACAGAGGCTCTCGTGCTTCTGGGCATCTGGGTGGGTGGAGCAGATTCGATTGAAGCCGCAGATCGCCCTGTGAGGAGAGCTTCAGAACTCAAATGTCAAATGACGGTCAAGCGAGCACTTCAAATGACAGATACAACGACCATCACATTCGACGAAATGCCATCGCAGTCAGGATGGCTACCTTATGGAGTTGGCCGGCAGCAAGGGAAAATCCGGCGTGATGCTGATCGCTTACAGCAAACTAGATGCTACGGCTTGCTACACTGCTATGCGAAGGGCGCATGATGTTTCTCCGTATCTCGGGAATCACCAAGCAGACATTTGTGATTGCAGGCATATGAAATGTGCATTTTGCCAGCGCAACTTTTGCGGTCATCTCTGCGTAGTCTATGACCCATTGAATGTCAACTCCCCTCCTCTTGTATTTCCCCTTGCGTTATACATGTGGTATGAAATCCGTCCACTGTATGTTGAGGTATGCCGTCGCTGGCAGGTCTCTCAACTCTGCGAACGCCTCTGCAATCAAATAGAACCGGGCCACTCCATATATAATCGCCAACGGGGTGATGGTTGCAAATTCCCAGGGTACTGGCAATTGGTTGTTCCGTCTCTTCATCGTGGCTGATCTTCGGGCCATGCGGATCTTGTGTTCTGCCAGGGCTTTTCGGTTGAAGAAGAATAAATATATGGTTGTCCATCGGCCCAGGCGAGTCCATGATGCCGCCGTTTCAAAGACCCAGAATGCAGCGGTGATGCCGAAAAGCAGAAGCGAACAAATCCTCCAGAGAAGCCGCTCGGTGCGGCTTGGAAATTCAAAGCTCCAGCCGGCGACATGAATGGCCGTGAAGAGCAGAGTTGCAAAGCATAAAAAGTATTCTTGTATACCGTATGGATTCGTTGGAAATCTGTCGTTGGGAATGCGCTGGATTGGCCTCTGTGCAGGAATGACCGGCATCTTCATGAAAGGTTGCACATTGACAGAATATCCGGGGCCATTCTCATCGATGAAGTCGAGAGGCGTCAGGCTCCATTCGCGGTTAAGCGTGATCTCGGCAAGTGTGTGAGATGAATGGATGTGGATGGGCGTTTGGATGTCTGCGGGTTTGTGAAGCCAGAAACAAGAGGTCATAAGGGAGCAGACGACAATGGCAAGTGCATTTAGCTCCAGAGTTGTGATTGCCAGACCTTGGATAGCACGAGCAACGCACTGTATGATCAGATAGGAAATTTGAAATGCAGTGATAACTTTGGTGAAGGTGTCTTGCTTGGATTTGTCCCAGATTTCTTTGCGGGTGATAGAAGGATATTCGACAAATTTATTGACGACGAGCCAGTGAAGCTGAGTTGCATTGAGTGGGAACGGTTCGCCGTCGCGAGCATGGAAAATGAAGCCGCCCATGTCTGCGAAGAACGCCTGTCGCATGTGCCAGTCCGTGTGGCTGTACGCCTTGAAGGACACAACGGATTGTTTCGCTCGACTCCATTGGCCCGCAGCATATGTGAGAGGGAATTCAGGGCCCAAGATACCGAGAGCCATCCACAATAGACGGCGGCCAAAGCGAGTTGTAAAACTGTCTTTGGGGGCAGGCACGTTGAGACACAACATGCTGTACGTGCTGATGAATATCGTAACGATTGATATCCAGAGAATATCAAAGGTCCCTCGAAAGTTGGGCTGGCTCACCCATTGTGTGACTCGGGTCGACGACGAGAAAGTGCTCTGCAAACTGGCGCCTTGAGCGCAAGGAGAAGAAGAAGGGTTTGTCGCATTCGACCTGTTTTCGTGACCTTGGCAAACAATGGGAAACAGTGATAAGCCCAAGAGGATTTGGACATGCCATTTTTCCACCTTTTGCTTCCTGTAGTATTTGTTGGAGAGAGCAACGACGCGCATGAACGGCTGTGAAGGAGTTTGAAACCGCTTGATCCTAGTGTTAAGAGGACAGTAAGAGGAGAGACCTAGCCCTCATAGCTGCATTTAAGGACTGTGAGACTGGAAGAAGCGCCGGACATCGACCACTGCTGCTATCTTTGAGTTGAGACAGCTGCCGTCTCTTCCCCAGGCAGTTTGGCCGGTTCTGGCGGCACGCATTGCTGTAACATCGACCAGGATCGAAGTCTCGCGCTGGGGTAATTTAATTGAGCCATCCTGGATAGTCCCAAAAAGTAATCGGTACCATGCTGCACCAGGTAAACGTTAGCAACATCTCACGGACTCACTCCGTTACCATGGACAATGGATCCTGAACAGCAGCTCTAGAGTCGAGTCTGGCTTTTGTCCAAACCTTGATTGACAACTACGGCTCGGATCGTGTGCATCTGTTCGCCAGGAATCCAAGTTCCATCCACAACCTGCAGCGAAACGCTCGACATGAGACGCTTCCAATCCATGGTGGAGATTGGTGTTTCAGAAGCCGCATGTTGATTGCACCTAGCCTCCAGGATACGGAGTAGATTGAGATGGAGTTGGGGGCTTTTTGCTAAGCGCCTGGTTGGTGACATGTGGTGGTCGAGGGCGAATTGAAACGCGCGAATCCCTCATCGCGCGTACTCGTACCTACTGTTATCATGTGTCGAACCGGCCTCATGCAAGCTTGATGGCAGACTGACTCCATGTCGTGTGGACTCTGCTCTTTTTAGCATTTGATGGCGTCCGTCCCTCAGCACCGAAGAGTTTCTCGCCAAAGTCGCTGTGCTGTTGTCCAGAAGCTGCGATGATGACATTTTTCTCGGCGATCGTTCGACCTCTCCTCATCAGTGTCGCGGCCGGCGTCGGCATCTACTTGGCCTTCCTCAGCCTCCTCACCATCACTTCATTCCAAGATCATGCCATCTACCTCCACCGCATAACATTGACCTGGTTCCAGGATGTCAATGAGCCCGAGCATTGGGGTTTCCTGCGGAACCAGGTCACACCCTTCCTCCTCCACACGCCAGATGGCGAAACCCTACATGCGTGGCACGTCCTGCCGCTCGAGACATATCGAAAAAATGAAAAGGCGCTGAGGGAAGAGCCTGCAGGGCTGTGCCACAATATCCAAGAGAGATTAGGTTTCAAGCTGCTGAGAGACGATCCGACCGCCAGGCTGGTAATTTATCTACATGGAGCGGCCGGGACACTGGGATCAGGCTGGCGACCGCAGAGCTATCGTGCTCTATCTGCCGCTGCGCCCAACGTGCATATTGTCGCCATTGACTACCGCGGGTTCGGCTCTAGCACTGGGTGGCCGTCAGAGGCTGGTCTTCTGACCGACGCCCTGACACTGGCCGAGTTTGCCATGAAAACTGCTGGGATCCCGCCCGAGCGTATTGTCGTCTTCGGACAGTCGCTGGGCACTGCCGTCAGCATATCCCTTACCCACCATCTAGCTCTGCAATCACCACCGACGCTGTTTGCGGGGATCGTGCTTGTAGCGCCATTCGCGAACGTCGAACTTTTGACCCAGACCTATAGCATTGCCGGCACTATCCCTCTTCTTGCCCCTGTGGCACATTGGCCCAGAGCTTTAGCCTGGTTCAACAGCTTCATCACGACCAAGTGGCCATCAAAGGATAAACTGGCCGAACTCATACGTCGGGTGGAGACTCTCGAGCCTTCAGATCGGAAGACGAGATACGACATTACCATCATCCACGCACAAGACGACTACGACATCCCCTGGACACACTCTGACGTGGTGTTTTGGCATGCCGTAAACGCAACAAGACAGCCTGGAAAGAGCCTGACTTTTGAAGATTTGGAGGTCGAGAAGGCCAGGCGGAAAACAGAGCTTGGAGCAGGTGGATGGGAGGTTGAGTGGAGAGGCGACGCTGGCGTAGTGCGAGAACAGATTGTGAAGCATGGACTGCACGATCGAATCATGAGTTATCCGGTGGTGAGTCTTGCTGTTGCACGAGCATTCCACAGCTTGGATCCGGAATAGACGTCTTGATATAAGAGCGCAAATGTACAAGCTCTCCATCTACACAATGCTCATTGGCCTTCTCCGCGACACGAACCCGAAGGATCCGTTTGCGGTGGTCCTTTTGGAATAAAGTTGAGGTATCGCAGAGTTGCGCATCTCGTGGCTCCGCTGTCTCGGCTGATAGAAGGGGAGTCAAAGTTGCCAGACGTCGAGCTGGTTCGGTAGAAGTCCTTGAGCCAGTGCAATTGATCTATTACTAAACAAGAGATGTTCACCACACAACCACTCGCCGTTCGTTACACGGTTCGAATATTTACTGATGTATTGTCGCCCTTAGCTAATCGATCCCGAGTGGATTGATTACTCTTCCCACATCTGTGCGTTGCTCGGCTCCGTTCCCCCGACATCTCCATCTGCTCCGTGAGTCAGTACCTAGCCGAAAGAGCTTGAATTCGTAAGATATACATATTTGATACAGACACTCTTTACCTTCCAAGCTCCAGCCTGTGTGGCCTGTAACAAAAGGCCCCAAGAAGCCATCTGTTCAGTACCTAGGTAGTACGGAACAAACGAACCATGGTACATCCCCCACCAATGGCAACCATGAAGATGATTCAGCCATGTTGCGGACGCTGCCCTTTTATCTGATCTTACAAACCCGGATTTTCCAGCAAGCATATTTGACCACTACCGCATCTGGCCTAGACTATCGTGGATGGGGCGCCCATTGTGTGCGCTGCTGGGCTTTTTGGGGAACGTCAACCACCCTTCTCTCGTTGGTGGGCCACAACGTCGCACGGCGAGGATTTGTCTTTCTGTCTACGCCGGCATGGTGCCCCTCGAATGCGGCTTTGTCAGCTTCGCTGGGTTAGATGGTGACTTTGCTGCAGGCAGGCAGGTCTCATTGACCTTGCGTGGACACTGGAGGGGCGTAACAGGATTCGTGCTCAGGGCGACAGAGCAACCGGCCGCCGGAGTACCCAGAGCCATGGATACATGTATATAAAGGGGAGACCTCTGGCCTCTGGCCGGGTGGTTGAGGTTCTCAAACAACGCTTTGTCGAAGCAAACGATTGACAACAACACCACATCGTCATCATCGAGTCACTCACCAAGTATTTCCCATCCAGCTAGCTGCTCACCGTCAACACCGTCAACATGGCCCAAACATTCGTCATGCGAGGCGTCGAAGGCAAGGTGAAGAAGACACCGGCCGAGATCCCCGAGCTCAAGGCCAACGAGGTGCTCGTCAAGATCACGCACAGCGGCCTCTGCGGGACGGACCTGTTCTACATCAACCCGGGCTGCGCGCTGGGCCACGAAGGTGTCGGGACCGTCGAGAAAGTCGGCAGTGCCGTGACAGCGCACAAGATCGGTGATCGAGTGGGCGGCGGATATCTGAGGAGTGTATGTTGCTGTTGTATATACACGTAAATCTCTTTTTTTCCACTATGTGCAACACTGACATATATATATCGTGGTCGAAAATTCAGAGCTGTGGCCAGTGCAAATACTGCCTCACGGGGCGCGACATCATGTGCTACAACCGCGACATCTACGGCGCCGCGGGCTTCAGCAACGGCACTTTCGCGACCTACTACATCGCCAAGGAAGGCTACGTGTATGCCATCCCGGCCTCGATTCCTTCGGAGCACGCGGCGCCCTTGCAGTGCGCGGGGGCCACCGTCTACTCGGCCCTCAAGACCTACTACAGCACGGGCATGCGCGTCGGCGTGCTGGGCATCGGCGGCCTGGGCCACCTGGCGATCCAGTTCGCGGCCAAGATGGGCGCCGCGACCACCGTCTTTTCCACCAGCCCGGACAAGGAGAAGGAGGCGCGCGGGTTTGGCGCCTCCGAGTTTGTCGTCTTGGGCCATGAGGACAAGTTGAGCGCGCCCGTGGACGTGCTGCTGATTACCGCGCACAAGGCGCCGGATTGGTCTACGTGAGTGGACTCCATCCCCCCCTTTTTTGTTTTCGAAAGGAAGGGAGGGAAGGGAAGGGAACATTGGTCCCATAAGAGGTCGTTACCCTTCTCAGCGAGCTAGCAAGCTAACCAGAGATTCGACAGGTTCATGAGCGAAAAGGTCGTCGCGAGAGGCGCTCCGATCGTGGTCCTGGGCGCAATCGGCATGAGCCTGGAGTTACCGTAAGCCGTTTTCTACTCTCTTGACTCTTGTTTCCCTTGCACGGATCTGATTCGAAGATGCCTTTCCTTCCACCATACATCCCTCCTTACGTCCTACTCCACTACTTCCCTCCATTCCCCCTTAAACAAGCCCCCATCCTCCCTTTCCAGCTGATTCACACCCATCCTAACGCCTGCAGATTCATCCCCTACTTCTTCAACTGCTACAACCTGGTGACCAACCTGGTCGCGTCGCGGGCCACGCACGCCGAGATGCTCGCCTTCGCCGCCAACCACGGCATCGCGCCGCTGATCGAGGAGTTTCCCATGGACGAGGCGGGGGCCGCCGACGCGATCGCGAAGTTGCAGCAGGGTAAGGTCCGGTATAGGGCTGTCTTGAAGGCCTGAGCCCGCAAACATTGGTTAGACTGGGGCGGGGCTCGACTCTGAGGTACATTATCTACCTGTGGCTGTGATGGCGACGATAGGGACGTTTCGAAGGCTTCGTGCTTCTCCCCTTGTGGACCTGACGGAAAATAAAGCGCGGTGAATGGTTCACTTGTACCTTTCGTACCTCTTTGCTTCCAACCGAATGCTCAATCAAGGCCCCGACTCATTCGCGCCGGAGTATTTGTGATATTCATCGAGAGGCAGAGCACTGGCCTTCGAAGCGCCTACCTCAGATATGTGCTGACCAGCCAGGGCAATTTCATATACAGACATTATTTCCTGCGGGTAATTGATCAGTCTTCCTACCCACCTCATATTAAACGAGCATTGGCTCCAGGAAGAAAAAAATAGCAAAGTGAAATCAAAATGCCAACCGCTTCAGACTGCTCCAATTTACAACAAAATGCCCAAAAATTCAACGAAGAAATTAAAAAAGGAAGCTAACAGCAACAGCCCAAGTATTTTTCCACCTATGACGCCTGTGCACAATTCTCGTTCGGACTCGGGCACTCGTAAGCCGCGCAGTCGGTAGGGCCGCATGTACCAGCGACGTAGGCGCCGCTATCGAAGCCCGGGGCAGGGGCCAAGGCGACCTCATCCGAGTACAGGAACTGGCGGCACTCGCCGGTCGCGTCATTGTAGGTAAAGGCGTCGCAGAAGCCGTTGTTGTCGCACTCTTCCAGGCAAGCCTCGTAGCTGGGCTGCGGAATGATGTCCCAGTTCGGGTTCGAGTCGGTAGCCGTCAGCTGTTGGCCGCAGTACACGGTCCACTGGCACTGGCCGCAGCCGGAACCGGCGACTATGGGCTCGTCGGTCGGGCAGGCGGTGAAGCCTGTTGTGGTTGTGGTTGTGGTTGTGGTTGTTGTCGTAGTCGTAGTCGTGGTTGTACTGGTAGTTGTACTGGTGGTGGTGGTGGTGGTGGTGGTGGTAGGAGTATTCGTTGTAGTTGTGATTATAGGAATGGTGGTGGAAGTGCTTATGGGAGAACTGGTCGTGACCGTTGTAGGAGATGCAGACGTAGACGATATGGTATTGGTGCTACTTGCTGTCGTAGTAGGGACCGTGGCAGGAGTCGTCGAGACACCTTTTGAAGTCTTGGTCTTCCAAGTGGGCTCAACCGTAACCTGAGAGAAACAGTTAGAAGCGTAAAGACAGATTTGGAATCAGAGTCCATACCGTGACGGTTTGGGGGACCTCGATGCACGAACAGGCAGTCTCCTGCTCATCTAGTGGTAGTTTCTCCAATTGCTGCAGCAGCGAGGTGAGCGGATTCGATGGAGCCCACGACCGCTTATGAAACCAGCCAAACTGGCTCGACGCCGTGATGGTCATAGTAACTGTCGGCTCAGGGAAGCGGTCAGCGCAATACTGCACGGCTGGCTCGTAACTAGCCAGTGCACTGTACTGAGCGTAGATGCCGGCATCACAGAGCCCATCCCACCCCAGCCAACCGGCCAAGGCCGGGCCTGAAAGTCCAAGGACCGCTAGACCGAGTTGCTGACGCCGCATTTCGAAGATCTGACAAAAAAGACCCAAAAGCTGTAGGGGAAGGGGTACGCAGGATCATCGGGACACTTCTTATACGAATGCATTGCCTTGTGGGAAGGTGAGGTCTGGTCATCACCACAATCACACAGGAGAGTTGGACCTGAAACACCCTCACACTAGAGTATGGCTAGCCATGTCTTGGCCGCATTTAGGAAAGAGATGGATTGTTGACCGTTGTAAATGATATGGGCACGAAACCAGACAAGGCAACTCGGGCCGTCTATCCCCAGGACTTCAGAGTCGGTTTGTCGTTGTCTCTTACCTGAACAAGCTGCAAGGCTGAGAGTGGTTGGCCCGAATGCCTGTTTTGGAGACCATCATTGGTCTTGTGCAGCCTAGGCACCTTTGAAGCTGGCCAGGAGCCCAAAGACGCCGGATGCAACTTCAAATCTCGCATCGGATGATTCCTATATTTGCTGTCGAGTCGAGTATTTGCGTCCGAGGGGCAACAACACCCCCTTTCCTGGCAAATCGATTATAGATATCCTTGTGAGTAATATTGGCTTGTCGTATATCCGCAGTCTTGTTGAAAGGCTCTGTTCCGCGTAGGAGGCTGTTCCAATGGCCGTGGACTGTATTTCGCCAATATTGTTGCGATCGGCAGTGCATAGGAATCTAAACCAGCTTGGACTGGATGAAGCACCTTCAACGACGTCAGCCCAATTTAAGCATTGGCACTGAGAGGCTTCGCGTAGCTTGTTTTGCCAGAGGGTTGTGCTTGGCTGAATGACCGGAATCACAGAGATGGTCGCGCTCTGTACCGAGTACTACTGGCAGTGCTCTCCATATCTCCTTGTGCCGTCAGATAATGTGTCCCCCATGTTCCTCCTGGAAAGCGACGTATCTTCGCCATTTCATGTAACCTCGCCTGTGATATGAGACTGTCCAAGTGTTGTGGTTAACCATACATTCGTCATTCGCCTCTCGGAAGCGGGCCATCCTTGCTTAGAGACACTGACTGCCTTTAGTCTTCTTGAATATATACGAAATCCCTCCGCCCCCTATCATGTCCTGGTCAAGATTGACCACGTGCTCGAGACAGCCATCATCAATTGCCGACATGATTCGCCCTCTCAGCTCCGAATCTCCATGTCCCTGAGTCAGCATCGAAGTGTCCACATGCCTGTATTGCATCAATTGCTGCTTCTCTGCCTCAACTTCGGTCGCGAGTGGTGGCGTATCGCTGCTCATAGCATCCTTTGCTGTAGTCCACGAGCTGCCCGAATATTTCCTCGACGGTAGGCCTTTTGCTTTTAAAGACGCGGTTTCCAGCTCCTCATGGCTGGACTCTTTCTCGTTCTCACTCAAAGATCGGCGAGTCTGTTGTATGTCATTACTTTCGTCCTGGCAGTATTCCTCGCGCCCCGCACCCTCACACCCACAGTCAATCAGGTCATGGGTGCGTAGCCCTTCGCCCTCGTCCAAGCGAAAAAGATCCTTCAACTCTTCCTGACTGAAACTTGAAGTACCACTTTGGGCTCTTGTTGTCGGCTCATGCGGAGCGGAGGATACCGTGTACGATCCCCCTTGCATAATACTGTTCGCTAGCGCTCGCTTGACGAGTTGCCGTTGCCAGATTCGCTCTTCCAGTCCACCTTTGATCAGAAACCTGTAGATCTTGCAGTGTCTCTTTTGCCCTTGTCGGTGAATGCGCGCGATTGCTTGATCATCCGTCGCAGGGTTCCAGTCCACATCAAAAAGGACCAGGCGACTTGCCCCAATCAAGTTCAATCCGACTCCACCCGCCTTAGCACTCAGAAGAAACAGGAAACACTGGGAGGCTGTTGAGCGGTTGAATCTGTCCACAAGAGCCTGTCTCTTTTTCGCTGCGACTGAGCCATCAAGCCGGAGAGAAGACAAGTTGGAATTTGCTGCCAGTTGCTGGATGAGATTCAGTGTCGAGGTGTAGTTGGAGATAACCACGACCTTTTCATCAGTAGTATTGCGAATCTGCTGGAGGAGTTGATCGAGAAGACGAATCTTGCAAGAGACTGAGTTTTGGTAAAGTTTTGACAGCCCATCAGGAAGCATTTCGTTTAACGTCACCAGCGAAGACGAAGGGATCGACTCATCGTTGCCGTAGTTGGGGTCCATCAACGCTGGGCTGTTGCAGAGTTTCTTCAGAATGGTGATCAGCTGAAACGCCGTCTCCTGGCTACGCAACGCACTGTGGAACATAGGCGAACGAACAATGCTTCGGTAGATTTTTGCCTGTGCCGGTGTTGGTTTGCAGAACAGAACATATTCTGTCTTCGGAGGCAAGAAGTCTGCCAGGATATCAGCTGTCCGTCGCAGTATGAAGGCCGATATTGTACGAGTCAACTCCTCGCTGGCATCTTGACCACGCTCAATTTCGGCCGGTAACGCATCCGGTTGACGGCTTTTCATGATGGGCTTCTCAAAGTCCCTGATGAATCCCTTCTGAGATCCCAGACACCCATCGTTTACGAAGTTGACCATGGCGAAGAACTCGCTCAGGTCGTTCTGTATTGGAGTCCCCGACAGAATGATCCTCCGCTTCGTGTTCAACGACTCAATAGCTTGAGCGGCTTTGTTCTTCATGGTCTTGAGACGATGGCCTTCGTCACAGATGACGATATCAATAGGCTGTCCCTTGGCAAGATCATCGGCTACCATCCTCAATCTTTCATAGCCAATGATCATAACCTGAAAGACTTTCCCGTCGAAGCTACTCAGGCGAGTCTGTTGGTCTTCAAACTCGAGTACCCCCAACCTGTCGGAGCCGAGCCATTTCTTAAATTCTCGCTTCCAATTCCGAATGAGGGATACCGGACACACAACGAGGGCTTTTCTCACAACAGGTGGCTCTCGGAATGTTGGATTTTGCCGCAACAGTGTCCACAGGAGAGCGATTGTGGTCAGTGTCTTGCCTAGCCCCATGTCATCTGCAAGAATGCATCCTTGGCCGTCGATATCACGCAGTCCCATGACGCATTCATAGAGAAATTTTACTCCATCTTGCTGATGTGGTCGCAATCTTTTACCAATCAAGGGGTCTAGGACCACATCCACAATTTGTCGCCCTGCGGGCGGACTTCTGGGTCTCTGAAAAACAAGGGCGCCTTCTGCGTTAGGATCATGCCGTGGAGTCGGCGATTCACCCAAACCTTGCGGAAGTATAGTCGACTCCTTCAAGGGTTGTTTGAAACCACCAACACGATTGACTTTTGGAGGAGGTTGCTTCTTAACCTGAGTCTTCTCTTTCTGTATTTGAGCTTTCATCTGACTCTGTATGCTTGGCTTTGTGGTTTGGACTTCGAGAGATTCCGCAGACGGAGGCTTGGGTGCGGCTTTGCGTTCGGTGTTCGCAAGCTTGGGCTTGGTGCCGATAATTTCCAGGAAAGTATTCCTGCTGATTTGGGAATCAACCTCGACTTCCTTTCCACTGATGGTCAGGTTTGACTCGGGCAGCAAGGGAGCCGAAAAGGCAGTGCGGCCAATGCTCTTTCCGGACTTGGTATACAATGTTGCAAAGCCATCTCTAACAGCGAGCACGCCGTCATCCGTCCAAGTCTTGTTCTTCTTGTTCGTGGGAACACGCCTGCAGAGATCATGAGTGAGTGATGATTCCTGGCTCCGTAGGTTGCGTACCAGAGGATCGAGAAATAACTTTCGATGCTGTCCGACCCATTGCAGCCCAATCCCGTAACAGGACTCGGAGGGTTGACGATCGAACTGAGGGGTTGTCTTTCACCCTCACTGGATGGTGCCCTCGCTGCTTGGTGATGAGGGCTCAGCTTCCTTCGCTTGGCAGGAGGTATATTCTGACGAGAACTCTCGCCATCGGCAACAGGATTGCGGATAGTCAGGGGCTTGAAAGGCTTGGAAGACATCGTCTGTGGTTGCACTCAGAAAGATCGTGGCAACTGCACCGCAGGTGCAGCACAAGAGGACAACGCGCAACGCGTCTGATGAGAACGCGTAGCCACGTGGGCGGGGCTCTATTTCAAATGACGCGGACTTCGTCACAACAAAACACCATGGAGAACTGTCAGAAGTGATCAACCATGGTTATCTTCACTCAAAGATAACTCTATCTACTCTTGGATACGACGGTATCTCTATGCTCACTACTATATACTAGCTATCTCTCGTACGCTATCTTCCCTGTCTTTGCTGAGCACTCTAGTTGTGGCAGTTCTGTGTCCTAGGGTGCCATTCGTTTCTGAAGTCGGCTCGCTCCCCATTGAGCGTGCTGTCCCTTGCATATCCGAGTCCAGCATACGAAGCTATTACGTACACAGAACAGCGAATCTGAACAGAGGCATGTCAAAACGAAGGGAAATTGTTATCATATTTCTGTATCGCATTGAATCTAGCAACGCAAGTGCAATCATGTATGGATATCGAACCAATGTGTAAAATCAAAGCAGACGCCTAATTCCTCCTTTGACGCTCCCTTCCTCAATCTGCCTCGCTGCTCATTGCACAAGAAGTCATCGGTAAACACGAAAAGAAAACTGTCTGCCACAGCAATTGTTTAGTTTTTACCCCTGTAGTTCATCCCGCTGAATTTGCGTCTTCGCAGATTGAGCAGATCGTCCACTATCGCGTCCAAGAGATCATCTGAAGTGCTCGAAGAGCTGGATGCAGTACTAGTGGTCGTTGGATCTTTATCCACGCTTGACGAAGTTGTGGTTGTGACAACTGCTGGTGCTTCGAGCTTAACAGCTGAAGTGATAATGGCGGTATCAGTCGAGCTTGTCGATCGCGTCGTGGTAGTCGGAACTGCCACGTCTTCGAGGATCAATAAGGTCGCGGACGTTATGGAAGTGGTAAAGCTTGACGACGTGGGGGTCGAGCTTGTCGATCGCGTCGTGGTAGTCGCCGCTGCCACGTCTTCGAGGATCAATAGGGTCGCGGATGTTATGGAAGTGGTAATGCTTGATGACGTGGTGGTAGAGCTTGCAGGATCATTGAATTTTGACGAAGTGGTCGTAAAAGTTGCGGCAGCAGAAGAGGTAGTGGCAGCGACTGCAATATCCTCAATTACCAGTGCAGGGCTGGTCGACGAGGAGCTTGTGCTGCTAGACGACGTGTAAGTAGGGTCTGCATCAAAAGCTGTGGTTGTGCTCAAGGTGGATCGCGTACTTGTTGTGGAGTTGGGATCAGCAGCCAAGTCCAAGAAGTCGGCCACAGATGTAGACGTGGTGAGACTTGATGTTGTCGTTAGTGTCTGCGTGGTCGAGATTGTCGAACTACTAATCGTAATGGCGAGGAGGTCGACCAGGGGATCGGCAAGGCTGGACGAGGTAGTAGATGTGAATGAAGAGGAAGTGGTAGCCGAAGTAGAGAAGGAAGTGGTTACAGCATCAGCCGCCAAGATCACCGGGTCCGCCGAGGTCGAGGAGCTGGAAGTCGTGGTCGTGAGTGTCGAGGTTGAAGATAGATCCGCATCCAAAAGTTCTATCGAAAGTATGGTCGTGGCTGGACCAGAAGTAGTTGAACTAGGGTCAGATGTGGTCGACGATGTGGTGGTTACTGGATCCGATGAAGTGCTGGAGGTTGAGGTAAATGCCTCATCTTCAAAAAGCGCGATTGAGGTAGTTGTCAAGGTTGGCGCCGAGCTGGAGGTTGTCGTGCTGGCCACGGTGCTGGTTGTTGAAGATACGACAGCAGTGAAGTCTGTATCGATCAGCGTGACGGGAGTGCAGTCATCAGGGATGACGAGATCCCAGTAAGCGAAGAGCGTTGCGTTTGTGGAGATGCAGAACTGCGAACTTCCAAAGTCAAGGATACCTGTGATGGCGTCCACGTTCCACCCAACATAGAACGCCGGAGCATAAGTGCCATCATCACTGGTCTTGCGAACAGGTTCGGTGAGTGTGTCGCTATCAAAACCCATGTAGCCGGACTGTCCACTGAACCCAAGGACTTGGGTTAGGTCATTGAAAACCAAGGCCCAGGCATCGTTGATGTCAGTAACAGCGATGGCTACAGTCCCCGAGAAGCCCAGGTAGCTCGCGGTGCTTTGGCGTCTGAGCTTCGAACCCACACCAGATGACAGGGAAACCAAGAAGCTACCATCACCTGCTACGCGGCTTGGGGGTGTGTCTGGGGTAACTGCCGCAGAGGTGGTTGAGGATGCTGACGTCGTTGATGATGTGGTAGAAGACAGTGGGTCATCTAGGATCAGACTCGTCGACGACGAAGTTGCAGTGGTGGAAGACAATGGGTCCTCCAGAAACACGGTCGTTGATGAAGCTGCAGTGGTGGTGGAGCCCGACGTGGTTGCTAACACATCATCCGCGAACAGTACGATTGTTGACGTTGATGTCGTTTGCGCGGAGGTAGTAATGACATCTGCAGGTAGGACGATCGTTGATGTTGAAGTCGTTGGCGCAGGAATGATGTCGATATCTGCATCTGCTTGAATCGGTTGCGATGTCGAAGAGCTGGTAGTCAGCGACGGTGTCGATTCAAGGTTGGCAGCACTTGTGGTAGTAATTTCGTCAAACGGATCCTGTTGTGAGGTTGTAGAGCTCGTTGATGTGGCGGCGTCAGCAACTAAAATAACTGCTGCAACAGAAGGATCTGCTTGTGATGTCGTCGAGGAGGAAGACTCAGTCGTGGAGACCGTAGCGCTCGTTGAACTGGGGGTGTCCGGAAGTACGACATATGCAGCAGCAGGATCTGCTTGCAACGTCGTGGAGGCGGATGAAGATCCGATCGTGGAGGTAGTATAGCTCGTCGAGCTGGTGGCATTAGTAGCTAAGAGAATTGCAACAGAAGGATCGGCCTGCAAGGTCGTCGAAATGGAAGAGCCGTTCGCGAAAGTGGTAGAGCTCGTAAAGTTAGTTGCGTCAGCAAATAAGAGAAGTCCAACAGAAGGATCTGATGATGTCGTCGTAACTGAAGAAGACCCGGTCGTCGAGACTGTGTAGGTCGTTGAGCTAGCGGGATCAGCAACCAAGATAGCTGCAACAGGTTCACTTGGTTGCAATGTGGTCGAGGAAGAGGACATGGTGGTGCAGGTAGTCGAGGCGTCAATGGTTGGATCAGCACTTGGATCCAATGTTGGCGTCAACGACACCGGGGTCTGGGTTGGCGATGCCGTGACAGTGCTATTTCTCCAGTCTGCCCATGCGCTAGAGCCGTCCTTTGGAAAACCGGAATGAGCTGCTCCGTTCCACCCTTGTCCCCCTCCAAGACCAGTAGGTTGTCCTGGGCCATTTGGACCGTTTTGACCTCCATTCCAACCGGCCGAACCATCACCAGGTGATGAATTTGGTCCGTCCATGTTCCCCCAACCTGAACCGGGCTCATCACAGGACGCCAGTCCGGTAGGGTATGGACAGAAAGTAATCGTCCGAGTCTCTTTCACTGTGACCGTCGTGTCGACAGTCGCCCAGGCAGAAACAGCGCCAAGAGAGGCGAGAAGAAGAGTTGGAGTCAACATGTTGATATAAAAGAGTGACTAGAAGGATGACAAGGAGTGGACGGCACTTGGTGCCAAAGGGAAGTATCACACAAAGAACGAGAGAAGAGAGGATGATGAACTGGACTGAACTGGACTGAACTGGAGCAGGAGCGACTTTAGGATGAAGATATATAGAAACGCAAGACTCACGCAGTTGGGATACCTCCATCGCGTCCCAGGAGACTCCTTTGTCCGCGTCTGTCAATGATGGGCATTAGGATGGGTTTCTGACAGCAGCCTCATCTACCTTGTGCGCAAAGTTCAAGGTCGAAATCGACTTCGAAATGCTGAAAGCAGAATAGTGCCCAACGTAAAAATCCATTTCCAGCCGCATCGATATGTTTATGCTTCGAACGGCCGCGGCCATTTTCGTGGTTGGTGGAGGCGAACAAGTCTTGAAAGAGAAATTTGACGATGATCGACGTCCAGCCTGTATCAGGGGCCAAGAACGGTAAGGCCGGCTTTATGCCGTAAATGGTTAGCACGGTCATCTCGAGGCGGCAAGGCGGTAAAGTGGCGTTCAGCCTCGTCCGATAGAGCATAAATGTGGCGTTGGTCTTCCCCCAGCGCGCTTGAGCCCTTCATCTTATCCGGTAGATCCCGATGATCCTCGTTCCCGTGTATCTCTGTCGAGGCCACTACCTGCAGGCACTTTCGAAAACAAAGTTGACCACTTTCACACACTATCGACGAAGCCTAGTGACCTTCACTGCAGTCGCTCCAGACTAAAGTCAGCCTTTCGCTTGGATCTTGGATCCTGGATCCGCGTCAAATCTTTTGCCGACATCAGTGGAGAGCCGCGCCAAGAATCGTGGTCACTTAAACTTAATCTCTGCATCCCGCGTCGGCATTGTCCAGCATAATGGCACTTCAGCTATTTCACCAGCGAACGCATCTGCTCGAAGCATGATGGCAGGATAGTCTGCAGAGAAGATCCTAAACAGCACTGGAAGATCTTGAAGAACGAGGCTTATTCAATCGTCATTAAGAATCTCCAGCGAGCTCTTGGGCGATAGGTCAAAGGGACCGCCGGTAATGATCGGCACACTCGGTGGGTCAACGATTCTCGCGTCTATCGGAACGCGATACGCGTGAGAAATGAGAAGTTAGGACGAATCGCGTTTTACGACGAAACCGCGTGCTTGAAGGCCAACTTCTTTCAAAATGACCTTGGATCTCCAGTCATACAGCTACACGTACGTATAAGTACAAGATCTGCCGTGGGAAATCGCTAGAACTGTAGATCGCTCAATCTAAGCAGCATCCACAAGTGTGGCCCCTCCACCTTGCTTACCCACCCTGTCAGACGAACGCGGTTCCTGGTGTTTGCACCAGGTGAAAGGCCGTCTCGAATATGTCATGGGATAGGACAACCAAGACGAGCAAGAATAAAAACAGAGTCCAAGGCAAATGCAGCCGGGAGAACAAGAGGCTTGCAGCAATCTGGTTGAATGGCGGGCGGGTGAGTGGAAAAATGCTCCTTTCAAGGCGACCTGTCAAAGTGATTGCACTTCCGGCTGTCGGAGTACTTGGGGCGTCCTTGCATGTTTCGCTGGTAATACTGTCGGCGGTCTTGCTGCGCAACTCGAGTTGATTGTTCTTCGACTCGAGTTCACCCTGCAGTGTTTGCACCAGAGCCCTCAGTTCTTGGATTTCATCCATAGCCAAATTAACTCTCTTCTGTAAAACGAGCATCGGGGACTGTGCCGAGTTGGGCGCTTCAGGAGGAGGGGTGCACGGAGAAAGAGTAGCCCTCCGGCATGGAGAGTCGGGGATATCAGCTCGAAGTTTCAATGGTGAAAGAGGGTGTCTTCGCGCGGTAGGGGACCTGCTGGACCAGTCGGGCCTCATCCGCCACACGGAAAATGGTGTGGTGGGTCCAGAGACTGCACCCAATATGTCAACCGGTGAGGTGGGCGAGAGAGCCAGGGTCCTTATTTTCCGAGCGCCTAGTGGTGTGCCACAATGAGCTATGCTACTGTTCAATGGAGTTTCGCATTCTCCTTCACATTTCCATTTGATGGCGCCGAAAGTGGAGCGGAGGACCTTCATCAGAACCTCCTCGCCTCCCGCAGCAGTGTCAATTGATAAGGTGAGTGACGGCATGGGTGATATTGGTGGAGTCCCATGGCTCTTGAGGAGTTGTCTCAAAGCAATCTTAATGACGGGCAGTAGGTACGTCGATCCCCAATCTTCAATTGCTTCAATCCATCCCTGAAATTCTTTGAAAGCACCCGCGTCATCGAGGTTGAACCTGGAGAGTTCCGACATACAGTAGCGACCGTCACCATCCACGTAGTGATAATAGACAAGGGCAGTGGAGTTGTTGATGGCACAAGAAAATGATATCGGTTTTTCAAAGACCGGACGAGGGCCAGTGCATTTCCTGAATAAAAGCTGTAAGGCCCGAACGCAGTGGGCACCCGCAATGGCACACTGATTCTTTGCAGACTGTACAGCATCTTCCGAAGTAGTGTTCATTCGTTCAAAGACAAGGAACGGACAGTAGGTGGTTGTTCCCGGGGACACGGTGCCCGATTCGAAATCGACAATTGTCCCTATTGCTGATGTGCAGTGCGGCAAAACCGACAACTCCCTCTCATTGAATGCTTGCGTGGTAAAGCCAGTAAGGAGGCCCGGTCGAGGGACAGGCAGCTCGAACAAACTCTCTTGGGCTTTGACGGCCCGCGGTGGGAGTGCCTCTCGGTTGAGCTTTGGGGCCAGGGATCGATGGAGGGTGAGGTTGACACCGGTCGTTGGGAGGACGTTGGGAGGGAACACCATTGACGATCCAAATCCCTTATTACTCGCTACCTGCATCCGCCATTCTGACTCTTGATTGTTAAACCGGTCAAGATTCTGCAGGCACGGCCTCAATCTATCAGAGAAAGGGCGTGACAATTCAGACAGCTGGAGACTATCGGTGAAGATGATTCGAAATGCACTGAGGACGATCATTCGAAAGTCGGACCATCTAAGGTGACTACCGTCAATAGCTCTCAGCAAGGACACTTGCGTGTCTGGTAATGGGCTCGAGGTCTCCATGGCTGCGGATAAATGGTGTAAAGGATGCAGTCTTGGTTGACAGGACCAGATTAAGGTCAACAGGCTGTCCTTGGCTGGCACGCCTATTCTGGAGGTACTGTGCACGGTCGACCTGGAAGAGGATGAAAGTATTCCTGGGAGAATCTTGCCAGGTAATATGTCAAAAGCACGTGTACGGCGCTTCCCCTTGTGACGACATGTCGGCGCCTATGCAGGAGCATATCCTGGGGAGAATGTATCAGTTCTCAAACAATGCTAACAGTTAGCTAGTGCCACTAATACTTCGCCGGTTGCTTGAACGGCATATCTCCAGGGATGCTCAGCCTGTCCCGCCTTGCTGGCCCCCACAAAGACGCGGGATGGTAAGGCATTCCTCAGGAGTCAGGAGCTTCAGACCTTTGGCCAGGGCCACGAAGCCACTGGGCGCGTAGGCAGCCTCTCATGGTACAGATGCCCTCCAAACGACGAGATTTAAGGGGCCATCAGAAGGCCAGAGACGGCAGAGAGTCGTCTGGTATTGGAGTCTCATTTGTGGCATTGAATCGTACATACTGTGGCGGGCGGCTAGAAAAGGGTGGGCGGCTACGAAGCTTTTGGATGCGTCACCATTATCAAGGGGCAGCAGTTTTCAAGGACAGCGTCGCGAGGGGCATAATTTGTCACCAACAAAAAGCATTGGGTCGGTAGGTCCTGATGGTCATATAGCTGATCTAAGAAATGACAAGAAATGTCGTGTCACCTTCAGATAACATATAATGTGACAGTAAGGGCACACAGTCTGATGAGGGCGCTATGGCTCGACGCGTACAGTTGAAATATACGAAATACATGTGGCCAATTAGAGCAAGTACCCGTGTTTGGCAGCTTTGCCGAGATGTATGCGCTAATCTCGAAGCGGTAAATGTATGGACGCGTCTTACATGATACTCGGCCTGCGCCGCTGCTTTCATTCATCTTCGCCAGAGATGACTTGATGAGGATGGCCCCCTGCCTTTTCGTGTGAGATCCTAATATATTGGTGACGTGGAAGATTCACTGCCGCACCTGCAATGGCGTCGCCTTTGTGGCAGATCCGAGTGCTCACGCCTTTGCCTCTTCCGCCTCTTGTGTGCATCCGCACAACTGAAATTCTCGCAGCCGTTCGTGTCAGCTTCAGCTCTGAACACGAGCTTATCGTTCCGTGACATGATTATGAGATACTGTTGTACCTTGACTGAGGCTCCACGGCCTTCGGCATAAAACTTGGTTCCGAGAAATGTGAGAAGGACTCGGCCCAGCATGCTACAAATACCTTTGCGTCTCCAGTCGTCGGCGCAGCAAAAGGGGCAACACTTCTTGACACAGTCTTCTAGCATCTCCTGCTTCTCACCTTTGTTTTCTATTGCCTCATCATGGGAGACGCAGGGGTGGCAAGAGGCCCATTGCGGATCGCGATCATTGGAGGAGGTATAGGCGGGCTAAGTTTTCTATTAGGACTCTTGAGACACTGTGACCGACGCGCTATTGACCCACATCTATATGAAGCTGCTCATGCGTTTTCGGAAATCGGTGCTGGCGTTGGCTTTCTCCCCAATGCGGTGCGAGCTATGTGCGCCATCGATCCGAGAATCTACGAATCCTACAGCCGAATCGCGGACAAAGCACCCCCGGTACAAGTCAATGGACGAGAGATGTCGGTCTTTTCCAGGATTTATATGGGTATGGACGGAAGAGGGGGGTCCAACACTGCCAATGCATTTGAAGAGATTTGTACAATCCACAATGACAACAAGTTCCGCAATATCCATCGGGCGGCTTTCTTGGACGCGATGGTGAATCTCTTGCCTGGTGGCTTTCAGGGAGGTCTGGTCAGCTTCAACAAGAGGTGCACGGATGTACAAGAAGATGGAGAACGTGTCAGAGTTCACTTCGCGGACGGCACCTCGCAAACCTTTGATGCCGTTGTTGGTTGCGACGGCGTCAAATCGCGGGTGCGAAACATCCTACACGGTGAAGAGGAAAAGTACGAACCGCAATTTACCGGCAAATATGCCTACCGAGGGCTCATCCCAATCGACGATGCCATCAACGCTCTAGGAAAAGAGGTGGCCACGACCCAGGCTATAATTCTCGGCTATGGGGGTCATTTCGTCACCTTTCCAATCGATCAAGGCAAGACGCTCAATGTCGTCGCCTTCCGAGGCGCCTCGGAGTGGAACTATGGCAGTAACTGGGTCGTTCCTGCCACCGTCCAAGACGGCCTCGAAGACTTCAAGGAGTGGAGCGAGCCGGTGAAAAGGTTGCTCTCTCTACTGAAAAAGGCAGACAAATGGGGGCTCTTCGATCTGCCCCCTGCAAAGTCCTTTGTCAAAGGCGGCAAAATTTGTCTTCTAGGCGATTGCGCCCATGCTTCTACACCACACCTCGGCGCAGGAGCGGGTATGGCTATAGAGGACGCCGCTGTACTCAGTCGACTTCTTGCAAACATCAAAAGGCCCGAGACAACTCAACTTGCGAGGGCTTTCGCAGCATACGATGCGGCCCGGAGAGAGCGTGATCAACAGCTTGTGACCGCAAGCAGAAAGGCCGGTATGCTCTACGAGTTTGAAACACCGGGCGTTGCAGATGACATTGAACAAGTCCGACAAACTCTGAGGAAGCAATGGGAGTGGGTTTGGAGTTTTGACATTGATGCTCATTGTGAAGATGCTATCAAATTGATGAACCGTCCGGAAATGGTGGATGATTCCGCCTGAATCATCATGGTAATCTTAAGTGGATTGTGGCTGTCCGCCACCAGACCTGACTGTCTTCATATCTCCCCATCAGTCCTTACGCGCTTTATGCACATCAGACGCGTACTACTTCTTCCCACTGCCCAGATTCTCCTGGATCGCTCCTGTAAATGTTTGTCAGCCTGCCGAAACGAGGGTGGTGTCATGCTGGAACGACGCTTCGAAGTTGTTGGCGAAGAAGAGCAACTAACCTCCTACCGCTCCTTGCTCGGTGAACTGCTTTCCAATAGCACCCTGGGATGAGAGGGGACCGCCAACGGCCTAATATTGGAAGTAAAACATCAGCATGGCGCCTTGCAATATAGAGATTGAGGCCGGTTCTACTCACCTCGCCGACGCTGCCGATTGCTCCCTCAGCTGTATGTTGTTATCTTGAGGCTCCCGGATCTTGGATTTCCCAAACTCACGTCTGAATTGTTTGCCAATTGCGCCATCTTTGTCAAAGATAGGCTTCTTCTCTCCCTGCATTTGTTCGGCGGCTGGCGATTGTGAGTGTGTTTGTCAGAGGAACTTGCTCGCGATCCGACATACCCGACTGTGCAGTGCCACCTGCGAATCATTTGTTGTCAGCGATAGCCTCCATGGGTACATTTAATCCTGAGAAATAAGTTCTTACTCACCAACTGACCCCTCAGGCGTGAACTCCTTTCCTACCGCGCCTTTGCTGCTCAGCGGACCACCGGCTTTTTCTCCCATTTGTCCAATGGCTGCCACTCGCAGTTAACGACAGTCTCACAACAGAGATTCGTCGAGGGGATAGGTCGATCTTACATCCTTCGGGCTTGAACTGGGAGCCGACGGAACCTTTGTTGGCGTCAAGTGCGGACTTGTCTTGATCAGACATATCTGCAATGTTGTGAGCGAATGCCGCTAACGTCCCAATGTGAATTCGACTGACTTGTTCGATATACCGTGAACGGTCTGGATTGCTGCAAGGAGATCAGTCGTCGAGTTTGTTTGGTTGGGCTAGCAAGACGGTTCATAGTTGGAATCCATGGGTTGTGCGAGAAGTGCGGACAGGCAATGTCATAAGTCGGGCGGGAAGGCTATATCTGACGCACCTGTTGAGATGTCAGTTGACAGTTGACAACATGATGGACTGGGTTGCCTCTGGCATCATTATGACCTCAACCAGATAGCCTCGAGGAGCCATACCTTTTGCAATGTCTTCTTCGGTTACTAGATACAGGTTGAATTATATGATGGGGTTAGCTCTCGTGAAGACTGGTTACTCAAAGCACAGACACCAGGAATGTACTCGAATATATTTTGTAGGTACCAACACCTACAACCTCGATCTGCGCACCACCCCTCCAGTACCTCACCATCGCGACAACGACGTCATGACCATGGATCTTAATGGGCAAAGGTGATGATTCGATCTATAACTCTTCCCCCTTCAGGGTTAACGCTTATGAGCACCCGCGAAGGTGACGAGTCTTCCAGCCAATCGGTGCATGACATTGACAGCTGGATGAACAGCCTCCACTCCACCGCCTCAGGGCCCAGAGGATTGCCGCAGCTAGACGTACCTAGGTAGTTCAATGCCATCAAGCGATCCATGACGACGATTGCCAAGTTGAAATAACCACAAGGAGGTGCGGGGGATTGACTCTCAGGAAGGCTGCAAATCTGACAAACGTGGCAAACCTGACAAACACTTGCCCGTTCCTGTTCGTTCCAACTGGATGATGGCATTTCCTCTCCACCGTGGCCGTCCCTACCTAGGTAAACACTGGCGGTGATGTCTAACAGAAGCTAATACAGCACGTTCCTGCAAGTGAAGACTCCTGGAACATGCTCCTCCCTGCCCGGAAGAGATGCTAATCTCCCTACCTGGATGGCGACTGCCAGTCTCACAAGACGTTGGTCGCGTTGACAACGCAGGAAGCTGCGTGGCGACCTGCATCCCGTTCACCTCATCTCTCGCCTCTTTTGCGGTCTTCGGTCTGCTGCATTGCACATCACTCACAAAGGCCAAGATTGACGAGAGCCCGAGGATCTGCCTTTCGTTGGGTTTTTTGGATCTTGATTGGAATGCCCCATTGTTAATGGTCTTGTTCTGCCCTCAGGAGTGATTCGGATGCTTTCGGCATGTTACACGGAGACTGTGAACTCACCCTTCCCATTTGTATCTTCAAATGATTGCTCCGCCATAATATCGTCCATTTGAGACAAAAGCCGCACCGGGATCTCATGTACGACGGGTTGAAAACAAGTGTCAATGACATCCACACCATCCTCTACCAGCCGCATAAATGCGACGGCCATCGAGAACGCGTTTCCTACTCCTCCTACGGGCCAAAATGCGCAAGAGAGTGCATTCCACCTCCAAGGCCGGATGTCTCCAGCACCCCACAAATTTGCGCTGTTGCAAAGAGCCCAGTCGACTCCTCCTGAGCTGACGCGCACAAGTCAATTTGCTAGCGTGGCAAAGGGCTCAAAAGGCCAGCCATCGGATGTAGCCAGCTTGGAACACTCATGGAGCAAGCTACATTTGTCCAAGAAGAGAAGCCAATACTACGATGACGCCTTTGCCTACCGCGAGTCAAACAATACGGCAAAGGATCGGGTCGCAAAGGACTGGGTGATCCTGGCTGAGATTAAATTGAACTGCTGCGTAGGAATGGAAAGCCACATCTTCAAGCTATGACTGACCTGAATGCAGCTCGAGTCCGAGAAGGAATTCCTCATCGACCTGTCTTTTCGGTTATCCGAGATTTATCAGCGCCCTGCGTCATGCATAATGGCCATGGTCACTACTGACATTCCAATTCTTCTCGGCGGCAATTCCGAACCAGCTTACCATCTTATCATCACAGCGTTACCATCAGAGATAGCAGCCACCAAGAATAAGAGAAGTACACATTTGATTCAGGATTTTATCCACGATACACTTCAGATCCCGCCAAAGCGCGGCGTTGTCCGGTTTGACGCCGTCGCGGAAGAGAACCTGGCCACAAATGGAATGACTGCGCTTCAGGAAATTGAGCATCTGGAAAGGCAGTCTAATGACGAAGATGGCATGATGAGGGCGCTCAGCCGACAGAGAAGTAGACGGAGCAAGAAATCCACCGCGCCAACTCTCGCAGAGAGATTTCGCGTTGGCCTTCCATCTATCAGGTCGTCGACTCCTTCTACTCAGTTTTTCAACACAGTCGAAACCACGGAATTCAAAACGACTTTGGCCAGTGGCCCTGGCAAGAAACGCATCAAGAAGAGGCAAAGCATTCTAGGTTTTTTCAGGAAATGACCACGAGCCGGTTGGATCGCATTCACCCTTAACACCGGAGATTTCATGATTAAAGCAGTTAACTGCCCGGTATAGTAATGATCAAGTGTTGGCTACCGAGCATGCAATAGTACATAAAACAAAATTGAGGACTTTGTTTTCGATGTTCTTTGAGTCACCCGCTGCATGAGACTGAGTGTGCGGCAGTCACTAGTCAGTTCTGCCTCACTTCACTCAGACTGCGCAGTTAACTCCTTCGCTGTCACTTCCTGCCCCAATCCACCAGCCATCTGGAAGGTGAAACTCATGGGACCGCTTCTCACGCCATTAGATGCACCGGCAGATACTTCTTACTGACTGATTACCGAAGCCACGGTACATCAGAACCTGTACATCCCATCATCAATATCCTCGCTTACCACAATCACTAACAAGCATGGACCATACCGAGCTCATCAAATACTTTAGGATCCTGGGCCTACCGAACAATGCATCATTAGAGGAGCTCGACGAGAGATACTTTGAACTCATAGAATACTGGACTATGAAAGGTGAAAAGAAAAGCGAGAAAGAATCAAAGCTGGGATTTCATCTGATCGACGAAGCTTACAAGGCGCTTCTGGCGAAATTCATAAAAGAGGGAGAAGAGAGACAATACCAGACAGCGCGGGAATACACTATGAAGGACATTTTGCAGGGCCAGGACCAGATAACAAAGTCTTGCATCGACAACGGTCCTAGGTGGTTTCCGCCACACAAAGAGAGGTCTCCCTCGCTTGAGTTTGAGGATATTTCCGACAGGGTCAAGGTTGGAGGTGCTCATGAAGAGCAGGAGGATTGCTTGGGAACCGCACCAGGCTTTGCCATCTACAACGTCGTAGGCGAGCTCTGCCATGCGCCGGACAGAGCGGTCATCGTCCGTATGTGACCAACGCAACTTGATGATCCGTGCTAATGTGATGCCCTGCAGACGCTGTCAATTGCCAGGGAGTTTGGGGATATGGAGTTGCGCTGTATCTTGAAAGACTGGTATGGACACATGGTTCCCGCTTCCTCGCTGCCGCTGACACAGTCAAGTATCCAGAAGCTTTCAAGATCTACAAAGCTCACTGCGAGACGGCAAATCGACCATACGATCTCATTGGAACGTGCTTGCTTATCCCTCCGCAGCCTTTGGACTACGAACAAGAGATCATGATAAAGTTCAAGGGCACAGACAAAGTCCTTCCTTCAGGGCAATCAGTGTTCAAACCGCGGCATTGGATCGCTTGCCTCTTCACGAGCATCGGCTACGGCAAACCAAATATGAAAACCAACAACCCCGGCAAAGACCCTACGACCAAGATTATTCCCAATACAAGAATGGCGCTCGAACATCTCAGAGTCCAGCTGGAGGATTTTGGTCCCTCGAACCTCAACCCTAGGACCGCATGGAAGACCGACAAGGACAAGCCGGGAGAAATCTGTAGCCCGAAGTTCAATAGCGGCGCATTTGGAGTGGATTGGGAAGACACTCGCACGCTGATCAGTGAGGAGTTTAAGGGCTTCGAGCGGCCTTGGATTGTCGTGGAGGAGTTGCACAACAGTGAACATGGATCTCCACCTGGTGAGGACCGTAACGCCGGGCTTGAGCAGGGAACCAAAAGGGATCGTCATGAGCCTCTTAGGGCCCCATAGATATTGCAGTGATGGAGGCTGGCTATGGACGAATACTTGTGCTTCCAAACTATGAGCTTGTTTATGGTCTGCTAGCATTGACTTCACAGACAAGACATTGAGTGCGCGAGGCAAGGCTGGGCAGTGCAAGGCATCGAATAAAGGGGGAAGCGCTATACTGCAACCGGCTTAGCTGTATGTTCTCTTGGCATCAATGAAATTTCAGAACCTGATCACCTTCCAAACAACCAGCTCACCTTACTCTCCCAGAGAACTTAGGAAGACCTTTTGCAGTCCTCGTGGAACAATCATGGAAGGCCACGCTGCTGATGATCGCCCACTGAAAAGAGTCAAACTCGACACAGCCCAGACAGATGGCGCTTGCGACGATGCCTCAATGGCTTTGTCTCCCCGCCCAGCTGGCGTTCCGTCCACCTTACCCGAAGGCCTAGTTGTTGACGATAGCACAAAAGAACGCGAGGTAGGTATCACCGCCTTTGTCGACGAATCTAGAAGTCTCTTCAGAGGGATTCTCAAAAAGAGATACACAGATTTCTTGGTGAACGAGATCTTGCCAGCGGCGCCTGGCAGACGCGGCGGAACAGTCCTGCACCTTCGATCAATGAGTGCCAAGGGTCTGCAGCCCCATGCTTCGCAAGGTATTGGCCCAGAACGAACGGTGCTAGGTGCTTCAGAACATGAAGGGCACGAGGCAGCGACATCGGAGCCATCTCTGGCGGAACACGAGACTTCACGAGAGGCAGAGACCCCTGTAAGTAGCAGAGCTTCAGATGCTACTGGAGATAAGAGCGCTGGTGTCCAGAATTTTGAGGTAATCCTCCGTCATCTGGAGAAATCGTCAAGACTGACGCGATCCAGATTTCCGACGAGGATCGCGTCCAACTCGAAGAATATTTCAATGTGGAAACGGTGTCACAGATAATATCCCTCTATGAATCGGTCCAGCGCAATCCGGGAAGAAAATCTCGCGAGTACTCGACAGTACGAACACCATTCACTTCGGACCGCAGCATCCGGTCGAAGATTCATCAGGATATCCGTCGCATCTTCCACAGTAAAATTGACTCCATGACAGACAATGAAGGCATGCTAGTCCTTACTGCAGCGCCACCATCGTCGTCAAATAACAACCGTAGCCGCGCCTGGGCACAGCCTAACCAAAAGTCTGCACGCCCGGGAAAGCTAGGTTGGTTGGAACGTGGCGGAGAATATGTCCATTTTACTCTTTACAAAGAGAACAAGGATACGCTGGAAGTTGTTTCATACCTGACAAAGCAACTGAAGACGAACAACAAGACGTTTCAGTTTGCAGGGACGAAGGATCGGCGTGCCGTGACCGTGCAGCGAGTCAGCGCTTACCGTGTCGACGCAGAGCGCCTGGCAGGGTTGAACCGTTCTCTACGATACGCGGCGGTGGGGGATTTCGAGTACCAGAAACATGGGTTGGAACTTGGGGATTTGACCGGAAACGAATTTGTGGTCACCTTGAGAGACTGCCACCTAGTTGGATTGCCCTCTGGACAGAGCACTGCCGAAGAGAAAGCCGCCATGCAGTCCTATCTGACACAGGCGCTCCAACAGCTCCATAATTTGGGCTTTTTGAACTATTACGGACTGCAACGCTTCGGGACTTTCGCCACGCGCACCGATGTCGTCGGTCTAAAGATCCTAAAAGAAGACTTCAAGGGCGCGTGCGATGCTATCCTAGAATTTTCAACTGCCGCGCTGAACAACAGCTCTCAATCATCCGAAGACTCGGGTGCGAGTGTCCTTGTCAGCCAAGACGACCGGTCTCGCGCCGAAGGGATCAACATATGGCGAACAACTGGCAGGATTAATGTTGCGCTTGACAAGATTCCACGCAAATTCTCCGCCGAAACCGCGTTGATACGACAACTAGGCAAGCGGCCTTCGGACTATTTGAGCGCTCTTCTGGCAATCCAGCGCAACCTACGACTCATGTACGTGCATGCATATCAGTCCTTTGTGTGGAATCTCGCAGTCGGGGAGCGATGGCGGCTGTATGGTGCCAACGTCGTGGAAGGCGACCTCGTACTGGTCCACGAGCACAAAGACAAGCAATTTACCGACGACGGCGGTGAAGGTGAATCATTGAATAAGCAACAGACGCAGACGGGGGTGGATGCGGACGGGGAAATCGTCATTGAACCGTCAGGCGATGACCGCGCCTACGACGTCGACGACATGTTCGAGCGTGCCCGTGCCCTCACTGCCGTCGAAGCCGAGAGTGGCCTGTACTCCATCTTCGACATCGTCCTGCCTCTTCCCGGATTCGACGTCATCTACCCTGCCAACGCAAGCGGCGACTGGTACAAGACGTTCATGGCCAGCGAAGCCGGTGGAGGGCTCGATCCATACAACATGCGCAGGAAGCAAAAGGACTTCTCACTCAGCGGAGGGTATCGCAAGGTGGTGGCGCGCATCGGCGAGACCTTTGAGGTCGGCGTCCACGCGTACGGCGAGGATGAAGGGGACAGGCAATTCGTCGAGACGGACATGGAGCGGATCAAGCGCGGGAAGGAGGCCAACGCCACGCAAGGCCAGCAACCTCAATCGCTACTATCCGACGGAGCGAGCGCGAAGACCTCTACGATTACGACAGCGCAAGAAGCGAATGGAAATGAAAATGGAAATGCTACCGAAACTGAAACAATCCAGGTTCCGCAGCAGCAGCACACGGAGAAACTCGCGGCCGTGCTCAAATTCCAGCTCGGCTCAAGCCAATACGCAACCATGGCGCTGAGGGAGCTATCCAAGGGCGGGATTCAAGCGTACAAGGCCGAGTTCATGGGCGGGAGGTGAAGAGAGAGGGAGAGAGGCTTGCACGAGCGGAAATCACTACCTACCTAGGTATGCAACTTGATGGAGAGAATATGGGCATCGGACGAGGAATGAATGATCTGATCACCGAGATGGACGACGACAGTGGAGTGAGGTCCAGGATAACTCAGGACCTAGGTACCTAGGTACGTAGATGGGCATTGTGCCATGGCTGACTACGAGCGAGCGAGCGAACCGAGCACAGCCCGCTCATGCTGCCCACGATTCCTTCGCTGCCCAACACGCTCGGGAACTACCTCCACTCTACGATCGAATTTTCTGCGATCCTAATATTAAAAGCTATTGCGTTGGCCAAAATCCGATATTCCGCCGTTCCCTTCAGTCAAGATACTAATCTTTCCTCGCCCACGAGTCGTCAGTCAGACTCGTCTCTCTCAATTGTCCTCCGGTAACTCCAGGAGATGTTCAATTGTGACGCACACTCCGTCATACAGACTAACCATCGGTGGGTCTACCAACACAACCGTTCTCATGCATCTCGGATGATCAAGTCTGCGTCAAGTCCGCCTCGTAGCCTTCGACCATTACAAGGGCAGGAGAGACAAGGATCTTTGGTCTCGGGTTGTCCAGCCGGTTGTGAGCAAACACAGCAGGACGGAGACACAGGTAAACCCGGTCGCTTGTCGTGAACCTATTGTCCTCTCGGTGAGCCGGTTCCATCCACTCCGCCTCGAAGGGATGTCCGATTGACGGGAGCCTGGAGCCGTAGACCAGCATACACTTGGCCATGGTGGTCCTCATATCCAGCAGCTCTAGAAGCGCAGTCTCAATGGACTCTTGCCACTGGCCCAGTTTTCGGTCTTGAAACTCAAACCCTTCATTCTCCGAGTTGCCCACCCTCGCCGAGGGGACGGAGATACTGATGAAGACGTTGTAAAGCTTTTCTTGGATTTCCGACGCACGTCCTGGCAGTGATGGTCTGATGACTTTGTCGAGGTACTGGTTAAATCGGTTCACACTCACATTGCGAACGAGGTGGTGGTTGACTGTCACATATGTTAGTCACAGTCGGTCAGAAGAGATGCTCGTTGGGCTGGTGCTTACAATGATCGCAAATATCGAAAAGCTTGCATTGATCACAGTCAGGCGAGGGGACGTGTCGGACGCTCTGGTCGAATGGGTTCAGCGCCCATTTGTAAATTGCCGCAGCCGCACAAGCACGAAAGAGGACCCTGTCGGACATGTGAGGTCCGGCGACGAGAGTCTTCAGGCGCCGCTTCGCTGCTTCGTCTTTCGTCGAATCAACCAATACACGAACCAGTTCTAGCGACTGTCCCGTCAGCCTTGACGAAGTCGGCATTATAGTTCTGGTTCCCTGCATGAAACGAACAAAGCTCTCATCCATGAGGTACATGGTTTTTTGCAGCCTTTGCTGGATGTGTTCGTGAGCAAGAGGGGTCGCGTAGCCGATGGTACCGCGGTGGGCTCGAAGATAGGTAAGGAACTTGTATTCCCATTCATCAAGATCCATGGAATGGCGACGGAGTGGGAGATCCGTGTCAGCCTCATTGTGTTGAGTGAGGGAGGGGTTGCATTCGGAAAGGGGGCTTGTCGTCGGCGCTTCGGGTGAGCCGGCAGGAGAGCTTTCTGCGACTTCACTTTCACGAGCAGCAGAGTTTTTCTGGCTGTTGTTGTGGCTGTTGTTGCTTTGGAAGGCATCTTCATCAGAAAACAACTCTGATTCCATCTTCCGCCTGCGCTTTTTAGGCGCGGGTCCTCGCTTCCTAGCCTCGAGTTTCGTCCGCACTTTTGTAACATGATCTGCCCAATTTCGGAGAAGGTCGTCTGGCTTGATCCCGAGGCTGCGAGCAATACCGTGGATCTTGTTGAAGATCTGTGTGTGGGTGGGTTGAGAGGCTCCCTGTTCGAAGTTGTTCACGAAGTCCGACTGAACTTCTGTCGCCGTCTGAGAGACACCTGGGAAGGATTCTCCGACGACGCGATCCAGAGAATCGCAGAGAAATTCTTCTTCCTCTTTGGTCCACAGGTGATACATGGTCAGGCAGGGTTGCGACATATATCATGCACAGAGTTGGGAGAGCGGGAAGAGGATATGAGTTGTTTCCGAGATTGTAGTCGACTGAGAAGTGAGATAAGAGTGAAGAAGAAGTAAAGAAGGGTACCTATGGTTGATCAACATTCCATGACCCTGCGTGTTTCAGCCGGATCAGGGCAACGGCGCAATGCAGGTAACCACCCAGTCGTCGGTGGTGTTGTGTGTAGTTTGGTGAAAAGAATGTGGAGACCTAATCTCTCTAGCAAACAAAGAATGAAAACTACTTGGAAAAATCTTTCAAGCTCTCTGTAGTCTCCCGCTACATGGGGACATTAACTGAGGCAGAGGTGAAAGAGAAAGTGAAGATAGATATGACTGAAATTTACCTGGGTAGGTGAGAGAGTAAGTGACTATACCTAGGTAGTTCCTTTACATTCGCTTCCACTGTAACCTAGTGATCCAGACGCACCTACCTGCGATATTGCAACTTCAGACGGTGTTGACATCGGACCACCAGTAAAGGCCACTGCTTACACTTTGTATGAACGCTCCGAGAGAGTGAAAGGATCTTCGTCCATCTTTTCTTCTGTTCCTTGGCCCGCCTAGTGCTAGCAAACTCTCTACCTCTACCTCTGTCTCTGTCTCTGCCTCTGCCTCTGCCTCTGCCTCACCTCACTTCCAGCACACTTACACACTCAGAGCCAATATGCCATCTTGTCATAATTGCTCTATCTCTCATGTGAGTCCCTCTTGACCAGGATTATATCTTGATTCAGCTACCAACCGATTCAGACCCGTTGCTCCTTGACCAACTCTACTCAGCCAGGTCCCTGCTCCTCGTGTAGGAAAAAGGGCAAAGCCTGTGAACCATCACCTCTCACAATGCCTCGAAAGGGTGTAAAGCGCACGCTTCCCAACTCACCTAGTGACGAAAGTCAGAGCAGCCCTCCAAGCCCAGAGCTTGGGATATTCTCCAACAATCCCCGGCTTCCCCCAAACTTTCAAGCGCTTCGTGCAGTTCATATTGCGCTTGATACCGGTACCGAATACACAAAGGCAGCGTTTCTCCTCGAATGGGTCAATAACGGACTACCGGCAGCGGCACCGATACCGGTCATCTGGGCCAACGGCGAAAGCTCTGTTCTAACTCAGGTCGCAGTTAGGCACAATAGGCGAATGTTATGGGGAGATGAAGTTAGCCAAGAGCTGAAAAAGGGGCATATAAACGAATCCCAGGTTATTAGGCGCTTAAAACCCTCTTTGTTTGACGCTCGCGCCTTGACTCAACGACCCTTTCAGACAGATCTATCAATCGCAAAGGACCGGAAGAACCAACTCATCAAGAGCTTAGAGTCCTGCGGTGAGGATCCCGATGACTATCGACTGGAAAATATCTCGGTGTTTTCAGAATATATGGGCTTCGCCTACCGCGGTGTACTTCAAAACATTGCAAAGATGGATGGCAATCTAGGATGGCCGGTGCTCAACAACCTAGACGAATATAAGTCCTGGAAGCCTCAAGGAAATGTTAAAATCAACGTTTCACTACCAGTACCTATCGGAGCAAAGCCGGGACAAGTACAGATGGTGGTGGCGGCAGCAAAAGCAGCGGGGATTCCGAACCCTTACCCCGTCGCCGAACCTGCGTCGGCTTTAATTCATCACCTCCACAAAGCTCGCGACCACCTGCAATCAATTATCGGAAAGACTTTCGTTATCCTCGATATTGGAGCTGGTTCGGCAGATCAACAAGTCTGGACGGTGGTGAATGAAAACCCTCTCCAAGTCCGCGAGCTTATCATTCCCGACAGGGTTAGGACAGCATGGTGCGGAGGCGCTTACATCAACGCGGCAGCCGTAAAGCTGATCATGGATGGCATTGACGACAAAGATCTAGTTCTCAGGGCCTTACAGTCGAGCGGTAGCCCGATAACTGATATTGATTCACTCGAACGGAGACTCAATAAAAAGTTTGAGAAAGAGAAACAGCGATTCGAAGGACGGGAGACGCTATACCTAAGGATTCCGGGCCTTCCTGATAAACCCGCGTTCAGGCTCGACGGAGGCGGCAACGTAGTCCTCGAGGCTGAGGACGTAAAGAGCGCTTTTGCAAAGTGTCTTGACGATATTATCTCTATGCTCGACACTTCCATCCAAAGCGTCTTTCAAAGCCGTACCTCAGGCGGAACGATAGAACAGCGAGTCCAGGAGATTATCGTGGTCGGAGGCTGTAGCCAAAACCGATACCTACTCGAGCAGATCCGGAATCGGTATTCTATAGGCCTAAACAGCCCTTTTTCTTACCCGATCCCAGTCACCCTTCCCCCGGACGCTGCGAAAGGGTCGGTTACAGTTGCACAAGGGGCCGTGCTGTTATCGGCAGAAAAGCAATTAATCCAGCAGAGATATGTACGCCGAAGCTTCTGTGTGAAGCGGTATGAAGAAGTCAATCAGCGCCATTATCCGCGGGAGAGCCAGTACAGAAGTCCTCAAGATGGTCGGATACGCGTTCCTATCACCCGCTTCCTCCTCCGCCAGGGTCTCCATGCTCAGCAATTTTCCTGTGACCCATTCCAAGGCTGGAAGGGCCTCATGCAACACGAGGTAGACAAGGATGGTTACGGTTTGATCGAGGAAACACTGTATTATTCAGACACCGTTGCTGAAGATGGACTTTGGATAGATGATGATGCGCTTGATATCCACGAAATGCCGGCGCCGCTCCGCATTCGGCTCACGCTTGATGAAGTCCGACGGTTCCAACGCAGAAAGGGGACAAACAATCGGTGGTGGTATCACGTTGACTATGAATTGATCCTCACCTTGGATGGACATATTATGACGTTCAAATTCATAATCCCCAGAACAGGCCGGTGGCCCACACGAGGTGACCGCTACGCAGATGTCATGTATAGAACGGGTCAGTACGACACTGTTGGAGTCTCGCAACTATTCAATTCGGCCGAGAATTAACCAGTTGGTGGGTCTTTCGGGGGACAACACTGCTTTGGCATCTACCTCAGTGCATCCCAATCTCGACTTGGCCAACTCTGATTCATGCCAATACTTTCTTGAAGAGGGAGCGTGGAGGTTGGCGATTGTTCCATTAGGTGACAAAGCAGCGAACTGAGAGAGGGGAGAATAAGCGGTTTGGTGACGGGACAGCACGACGACGATGACACTGGGTTGTGCTTTATCAGGTCAGAAGCACCTTTGGTGGGAAAAGTTGGAGTATTGTATTTCTTTCTTGGATGGAACAGATCGGCCAACAGCATTGCCATGTAGGCCTGGATGTGTTCAAAAAGACGGGATGGCTTTTTCAAAGGCCTAGGCCTCGGATTCGAGCTTGCTGCAGCAGAACAGAATTTGCCCCTGTTTAACATGACGGTAGTGCTCCATAGGTACATAACCAGAAATCCCATTCTCGCAATCCTGAGTTCCAGGTGACGAGGCGAGCAAACGGAAGACGTGTCAGTATGCTCTACAGGCAGGAGTACCTTTGGGAGGACGACAAATTGCCCCAGGAAGCTCTCCATTTATGCCGTGTGACAAGACATACTTCCCTGGAGCTGTTCCACTGCCTCCCTTGGTAGGTAGCTTAGCCACTTGCCCGTGGACCGCGAGATGTTTCTGTGTACCTTTTCCTGACTCGTGAGCGTCCAGAGAGGGCGGATCGTCTCTCCGATCGAGACCCGGTTCGACAGATCCACGAGTCAAAGGGACACGAATGCCCGCGGAGGCGTAGCTGTGAAGGAAGTAATCTGCCTAGTGGTATCTAGGTACCTGAGGTTACGAATGGAAAGTCTCGGGAGATGATATGTTTCACTATTTAGGCTTGGGTCCGAGCATACCACATACTTCACTCGAGGCTGGAGTCAGGAAGATCGGGGATATGTGTGTGTGTGTATGGGAGAGAAGGAGAGATAGAAAGAGTGTGAGTGAGAGAGGGGGCTACCATGCCGTATGAGTAGATGGTCAAGGAGCAGGAATTCAAAAGAAGGAGAAGCAAAAGATGAACCCTTGTAGATACGGTCCTAGTTCGAACATGGGAGGTCTGGTGGTCGTCTGGTCGTCGTGATTAAATGTAGCGTGATAGGAATATCTATAACTTGACATATATGATATAGTGCTGGTTGAACGAGTGGACTCCTTCACTCACTCTCTTGGACATGACCAAGCAGGTCAGTGGCGGAGAGCGAGGAGGCCAATGTTACCCATATGGGCCAGCTGGCTTCCTCCACCACATCCTCTTTCTGGGCTCGATCTTACCTTCCAAGCCTCCATCTTTTTGCTTTCCGTCTGTAACATGTTGTTTCGCTTCGCTCAAACAACAACCACTCATTTCGCCTTGTCGAGCTGCTGCAAGTTCTCTTGCATCTCACTCTCACTGGGCAAATTGACGACGGTCAAGTACAGAATATCCTTGTGCAGGACACGTCGAATCAAGCCCTGATGTCTCCGGGGCAGTCTGCCCATCTCGGCGTTGTGGATGTCCGTCTCGCTCAGCTCGTGGCCCCTCCACCTCGCATGCCGCTGGGCTCTGCGACCCCGGCGCTTGGCTTTCGGGTCGAAGTGCCCACCGGTCAACAGACCCAGAATGGTGCCAGAGTTGGCGGGATGGTTTGGGTCGGAGAACCGAGACGCGAATTTCTTCTCGGGCGGAGGCATCACTAGTCTGCTGTCCGGGTGCATCCCTGCGTAGGACGCCTGGGCCCGGCGATCGAGGTAGCTCGCGAGAAACCCACCGGAGGAATGGAGCTTGTCCTTTGCGCTCTGGGGGAGGACGCTCTGCGTGGCCCCCGAGGTGCCACCTGCGCTGTCGAGCGCGGCTTGAGCGGCGGCATCGAGCGACGGGTAGATGAGTGGCGCGGATTCCGGGAGGGAGAACTCGCCGCGACTGGTGCCGGAGGTGAGACGGATCTTAGCGAGCTTCTGCTTGAGCTCCGAGTCCGGGATCGAGGTCGCCTTGACCAGAGCCTGATCGGTTGAGGTTGATTTGTGGCCGCCGAGATTCGTCAAGTCCATGCCCAGGATCGGATCGTGCGGGTTGTCGGGCTTGAAGGTCATGATCAAGCAGTACAGACCGCGCGGTTTGAAGAGCGATTCGTTGATTTGATCGAGGTAGGTGTTGCGGCGGTAGCGCGACTGGACCTCTTTGGCAGTGCCGCTCGCGACCTGTACTGCAATGGTGACGGCCAAGGTGATGGGATTAGGCACCATCCCCACGGCGAAGCACGCCAGATTGATCACGTCGAAGACCGGGCTGGCCTTCGAGGCTCGGTCCAGGTCATTGATGAAATCGATAAAGGTTTTTTGATCTATTCCAGCGCATTCGCCCAGTAGAGGGGCATAGGCCCGAACAAATCCCCGGGTTTTGTCCTTCGGCCGACGTTGAGGGAGAATGACTGGAGATGGGAGAGGTTTGAATGTCTGGTGGGGAGTCGGAACGATCTTGTGCTGGTTCAAAAAAGCTCTTGCGACCTCTTCGTCTGATACGGGGTTTGCAGCCGCCGCTTGCTCGTAAGTGGGAGGTGGTTGGTTGTTAAGCTCCTCGGCCGCGTCATCAAGTGCCCATTCCGCGGTGTCGTTGTCCAAGTCTGAACTGCTCACACTCGAGGCATCGTCGTCCTCGTCCCCGTGGGCGGCGTGAGATTTCTTGTCTTCGGGATAACTGGTATGGGCGCCAGACCCAACGCCACCCCTAGAACTTTCGCCCGTCTCGCTTTCACCGAGAGGATTGGGGGAGAGCCCGCGCTCTCTGGCAGCTTTCTTTTCTTTGTGGTCTGCGATGGCCTCCGATGCTGCTCCAATACCTGCCCCGATGCCTTTGACGAGCCTGCTAACAATAGGCATGACTGCGAGATTCTGCGGCAGAAGCACGGATCACCTTGAAGGTTGGAATATTAAATGTGTGCTTTGCAGTGACGAAACCTAGAGGAAGATCTGGAATGTTGTCCTTCTTGTGTTGTCTTGGGTTTAAGACCTCTAATATATAGGTATATAGCTATCCCAAGATGGACATGCAGCTGAGAAAAGCGCACAGGCAGCAGCAGTGCCAACCCGTGCCATTCAAGGGTAAAAGCGCGAAGATCAAGCTGGGAGCATTCAACACTGCCCCCGGGAATATCACCACATGTCGCGACAAGGTCCGGGAGGGGAAAGTCCAATCGTTAGGGGATTTGGCGAAGCGGAGCAATGAAAGCTTGGCCCAGTAGCCCTCGAAGCTAGTTAGTAATTGCGGAATAAGCCCTAATGGGCGGGAGAGTAAGGGAATAGGGGGTTCTGGGACTCGTTCTGTACCTGCTAGGTCAACCGGGCGAGTGAGAGACGCAATCGGCCCTTCGCGTGGGTTGCCTCATTCAATCGCGCATCGGCGAGCGCGGCCTTGTCAGCCGCAGCGCTATCCAGCTTAACGGGCGTATGAGTCGAAAGCGAGGGTCTGACCAGTGGGAGCGTGACAATCGCAATGTTAACCCATATCGGAAGTATCAATACAAATTTGACGGATCCAGGTCGGAACCACTAGAATGACACTTATCCAGTCGACCCTCTCTCTCTCTGCTTGTTGTCGTTCCCAGCGTGAAATGCTACACAAACCGTTCGTTTGGTGCCTTTCTTTCGGGAACGGCTGTGCAGTGTGACGGTCTCATGGTGAGCCTGCAGTGTGTCCTGCGCGCGCCACAGCAGTAGGAGAGGTAGGATATGCCGCCTCAGTCGGGGTCCAAACCAAGTCTGTACAACATTTCCGGTGAATCTGAATATCCCAACCAGCGGTCAGTCGATTCCCGGAACCTCTTCTCGGGAGTGCGATCCCAAGCGTTCTCCGGCATATCTGACACAAAAGGCGCGTCTACCTTCGGCATGCTATGTTGTAAAGCGACCAAGTGGATTGACACGCATCGCTCGGAGCTGAACACGTTGCAGCCATTGCCACAGAAAGACAAGCACCTACCATCAAGTCGCACAGCAGAAGAAGTCTAGCTTTTTGGAAGTGTTGATCGGACTCTTAGTGATGGTCACGAAAATGTATCCTGTGTCGCCTGGGGAACTGGAGCTTTCGGGAGCAACGGCTTCTTAATATGTTGAAATGCGGTCAGGTTGCAGTACCGCCTTGATGGAGGCTTGCCGATCTCTGACCGATAATGCCTCTCAAAAACCGTAAAGTGGAGGGCTATACCTCGCACTTGACAGTCAAATTGCATGATCCCTGCACTTGTCGAGATGATTGAATTCCTGGGGCAAGCCGACCAACCGACCTGTAAGATCTTACCTTCGCCGCCCTGAACGGTGTTTGATGAAAAGCTTCGCGTGCATCTGCCCATTTCTAACATTGAGCGCTAAGCCATTCACCTTCTGCAGTGTTGCACCAAAAGTTCTTCAACTATATGACATTGAAGGCCAGACAACGTTGGCGGAGGACCAGAGATCGCACACTCCGGACGAGGTACCTCGTACCTTGACTGGTACCTTGCCCTTGTCACTAGGAATCGCAGGGTTTCTACACCAGCATCATCTTTGCTGGAGATCGGAGTGATGGAGGATGTTTAGATCCGAATGCTGAGGCCTTACCCCGGGAGAACCCTGGATCGTTATTTCGACCCCATCTGCTGCAGTGACATGCAGAAGAGCTGAAGAGTCCAGCCTCCCACAACATCACACAATCGGTACCTGGGATTACCCGGACGAAATGGTGCCTGTCGCCTGGGGCAAAGTTGGCCGATCACCTCTTGTCTGTGGGGATCAACATTGACATCGCATGTGCTCCGGCGCACCTTGTACACCGCTCAATAATGGGGACATAGGGATTCCAGGGAACCCCGGCCAGTGCCCCGCAGTGTTTTGCAGGGGGCCTTCGTACCGCGTCGAGTGTCTTCCAAGAACTTGTTGACACCCCAGGGGACACACAATCGATAAGCAAGTGTCTTTTTGGGAAAGGGGAAAGGAAGTGACAATCCCGTGGTTCCAAATTCAGTGAACCCAACAAACAAGTCATCTCGGGCAGAAGTTGTGGCTTATGCTGCAAAGCGAGAACAGCCGTAACATCTGTACATCTTGAACTGCATGTTACCAGAGCTTTCCTCCCCGCATCATGAAGGCATCCCCCAACCATACAGCCACTACCACGGAGTGCGGAAAGATTTGGAGCCAATGACCGCAGCAAAATTGTTGGGGATCTGGATCCAGACAATGGCCGACCTAGCCCTCCAGCAGAGTATCGTTGAAAAGACTTGTGCGGACAATTGGTTGGCCAGGAGCCATCTGTGCCTGAAAGTTGCATAAAGGAGCCCGTAAGGGTCTTCGGGCAACATAATGGCTCGTGGTCGAAGGGGATAGTCACAGGCTCTCCTTTCCTGTGATCTTCACGCAATGCTCATCGATAAAATTGCTCAATGTAAGTAGGTCATCTGTTCAGGTTGGACAAACAAGAAAAATGACCCGAAAGGGCCACATCGTCGGGGGATCAGACACATGGTGGAAGAGCAAGCCGTTAAGAATCAAAGTTTGAGTCATGCGGAGACCAGGCATGTCAGAGCACGGCATACGAGTTTTTTTGGTAGCTCCCCTGGGAAGCTGATTTGCCCGTTGCGGTGGACTTGAAACATGCGTTCTGCAGGCCTCTTCGGTGAACCGGTGGGAAGATGCATCCATCGTGCCTCGATGCCGATGTGTTGCATGTGAGAGGAGAATACGTAGTCCGCTCCCATGTGCGAGTGGCCTGGTGTAATCGACTGAACAAGCGACAATGAGTGGCCAGCTCCATTACCAAGGCACTTATTCGGTCTTGTTTGCCTTTGTCTTTTCTGGTCTGCTGAAAATGCTGTGCCGTTGTAGAATGGAGCGCTGAGCTCGTCTTCACGGGACGACTGTCCATGTGTACGAGTTATTAGTTGTACCTAGGTATGTACCTACTCGTAAGGTGACTGCAGACGGAGGCGTTTTGTGTCGAGATCCATACCTCAAGCGAATTTCTCCTTAGCAAGAACTTTAGGACCCCCGGAAAGAAAAAGGCCTACAGAGAGCCAACCAGCGACGATTCCACGGGTAGCTTAAGTGACGCAACATCAAAACGGATCTAGTTTTGGGGGGGGACGGGCTTGCAGCTGGGATTTCATGTGCATTCGGATCCATCCTTTGGGGCCGTGTGAGGCGACAATACTCCGTACAGGGGGCGTCAAGCAGCCAAGAGAGAGCAGTGACAGGCATCATCGTACAAGTTTCTCCGTATCTGGGCTCGTATGACCCTGAGCTGTCAGGAATGCGTTCGACGGGTCCCTGCACGTTGTTGCAACTGCATGCCTGTTTGGCACAAGTGTGATTTCTGCTTGATTACCCTAGTGATCCTGAATGTCCATCCCATCTCTTTTCGAAGAGCAATCTGGAGGATGAGGCAGCGAAGGGGCGGGAGCGATCTGTAGGTGTGATAGCTGCGGGGCCCTGCTTAACCCGAGAGAGCCTGGCGAGCGCCTCAAAAGGTGATCAGTATCGAACTTGTTTCGGTTTGTTCGGTTACTCAGCCTATGAACGAGTGCCCAGGAACTTCCCCATATGCATGCAATGTACGGGAACAGGTGCTCCGTAGACGGTCACATCTGGTCGAGGTGTCCCTGGTCGAAGGGCCCAGGACTGAGATTTGGAAGGGAAGAAACATGCAAATGGCTGCAAGGAATTGGATTTTTATTGAACCTTGGATGGTGAGGTTGGGAAAAATCGGTATGTGAGGCTCTCGCTCACATGCTGGAATTGTCGGATCGATTCGAGGGTCACCCAAGGGTGAGTCTTACCACTTTGACTCTCCGTCTTCCGGCGTTTGTCCATATTGGAACTGTGGAGAGGGAGATTGGAATTTGTGCGGTCTGTGTGTCTGCGTCATGCCAACAAAGAAATACGAGGTCGTGGGCCCCGGCATCTCCGCGCGATCGCTAAAGACAGTGCAGTAGCTAAGCAGGACGATATATTTAATAACAGACCAGTGCTCCATACAGCCAGGGTGGTCAGTCGATGGGAGTCCGTGGCTTGTTGGACGCGGTTCGTGGCCGCCAGTGAGAGTGGTCAGAGGTGAGAGTGCTGGCGATGGGTGTCAGCATTATGTACTGTCCGAGAGCGCGTTGAGCGTGCACGAGCGTGCTCTGCCCTTTCTCTAGGGAGCGAACCCTAATCTGAAACACATGAAAGAAAGCAGGATCTCGGAGTATCTCAGAGTTATTGGTCGGAACAAAAGGGGTAGTGATGATGTGCCAATGGTAGAGGATCGGAGTTTGCTGTATTATTATTGTGCATACGGGTAGTGTAAGGCCATGTAAGGCGCCAGATGCGTAGAGGGTGCATTCCAGGGAAGAGGCCGGGCCATAGGCGGGCCAGATCCATGACCGCGGCGGACACCAGGCGCAATGGGTGCCCTGAGGGCGTTCACGTTACTAGCTTAGTTGCCTAGCACGTCACTAACCTTAACTGCCCCAAGGGCCAAGGCACCCACAGGCGTCAAGTACCAGGCACCACAGGCATCAACCACCTGGGGCATCGCGCACCAGCACGCAGCACGCACCAAGCACCAAGCAGAAGAACGCGTATCAGTATCCCACTCCCCTTGGTGCCTTTGGTTCATGCCCTGGACACAATCGGGAACTAGCCAACAGCTAGCCCTAGAAAGAAACTCCCGCCTTTGGCTTCTCTCCTGAATGGTGCTTGGGCCATTCCCGTGTCAATTGTCAACCACTGGCTGCCAAACTGCGCTTGAACCTCTCCTTCCCTCTTTTATCATCCATTTCGAATTCACCACCACCACCTTCAACACCACCACCATCCATTTCCCCCCTCTTCTATATCCATCCAATCGACACAATCTCTTCGTTATTGTCGTCGTCGTTATCACTTGCCCCTTCCTCTTTCCTCCCCATTGTGTTTCCCTCCCATCCACGGCCGCCATCACCAAATACTTTTGTCCACGCGCCGCGGCTGTCAACCTTCGTTTCTTGAGCTGCTGGGTTTTGCCTCTGAAGCTTCCTGTTCCCTGTGAAGACGAGATTCTTCCAGCCCTTCGCTTCTTCTTCGACGTTCGACTATTATCGTCACGTACATAATCCACCTTCGTTCAATTCCAGTTCAGTCTCGAGTCGATCTTTGACCAGAGCAAACCCCCATCCATCCACGGACCTCACCATCTTGTCTCAGCCCATTCACGCTCTGACCCTGTCATGTCGAGACGTGGTGTCTGATTTTAAAGAGAAGAGAATAGTCATACCCAAGGTGTGTGTTGCCTTTTGGAACTGGACGCTTTGTCGAGTCCAGAAACCTGAAAACTGATTCAATGAAATACTGACTTGAATGCCTGCAGTCGAATTTCTCGAGGAAAGACTCTCCTTTATCCGGCCCCCAAAATTGAAACAAGATTAGCCCAAACACGAACTGGCCCGTACCAGGCATCTTTTGATAAAACATAGTCAAAGGAGAAGATGGCTGCTTTGGTCCAAACACTGCCTGCCCAAACAACGACGGTCACAATGCTGGGACGCCCCTCTTCTTCGGGGGGCTATCCTTCGCAGGGCTCGCAAGGACAGATGAGAAACCACCAGCCGAGTCGATATAACATGCCTGCCACAGGTTACAGAGGCATGCCCGCTAGTGGTCCCATTGCCCCCTATGCCTTCACATCGACGCCGCAGTTGGCCACCAACAATGCCAATGCCAATTCCAATGCACGCCCATTCGCTCTGAATACTGGGCGGTCGATCTCTTCTCCAAAAGCCCCTCAACCAAGTATCTCTCCTTCCTCGCAACCTTCCTCTCCAAATAGTCCTTCACATGTCGATGCTGGTAATCGTCCTCTGTCATTAGGACTTCCACCTATACCCTCCGGCTCTTTCATGGCTCCTCAGTCGACACCCACTGTGCCTAAGCCGTCGCCAGATCGTTATCGAAGAACCGTACGACGAAGTGACGGAGACAGCGGTTCCAATCGTGTTCCTACAGGTTCCACTCTCCCATCAGGCTCTGGAATGGCGGCAGTTGGCCCCCTTTACAGTCACCCTGCTCAATCGAACAGTACACCGTCCCTCCATTCCCAGCACTCCTATAGAAACTCGCCGCAAGGCAACACACTTCAGCCCAAGAACTCGAGTGCTGATGACCTGCAATTGGTTCGCCCCCAGCCCGCAGAGCTGGCTGCAAGGTATCGGAGGCGCAGTTTCGGCAGCATTGAGACGGCAGGCCTAAATCATTCTTCTGATAGCCAGGAAACCGTCTCTCCTCATCCGAAGGCATTCCTCGATTCACCGTCGAGTCCAGTTGGCGCTCTACTCCCCCCTCAGCGACCTGCTCATCACAGACATACCTCGAGCTCTGACAGTGTGACCTCTTCGAAGTCTGCGCGATCTTCCCGACCCGGATCGGTGAGTTCACCTGCTATCCCATGAGAAATCCCTACTTACATTCCTGCAGTCTCGAACAGAACAGCCGATCACGGTCGCCGCTTCTGGCCCTCTTTCCTCGCCTAAACAAGAACCGAAACTTGCTGCAGCGCCTCGTCTTGGAGACTCAAGCATTCGCCACCCGTCTCCTTTATCCCGGCCTGTCAACATTCTCCCTGACAATGTAGACGAAGGGCATTCGACGGCATCAGCTTCGACTCCTCAGATGTCCACCCCACCAAGCCTAGCTGCCGAGCAGCTCACTGCTGTAAGCAAGAAGGACTCAAAAAAGCCCAAATCGAAACTGCGGCGCGCGTTCTCTTTCGGAAGCGCAGCAGAACTTAGAAAGGCTACTGCACAACACAATCTGGAGAAGAGTGTGGCCAACAACCAGGCACCGTCAAAGCGGAATTCAAAATATGAGGATGAACTGGAGCCTGAGCAAGCGCGCATTGCTGAAAAGCAAGAGGCCGCTGGATTGGGTGAGAGCATTTATTCTGGTCAGGGCAACTTCTTCACCGGTTCGACTGACAATTTGTCCATCTCTTCGACTGCTTCTTCGGCTTCGATTATGCTCCGTAAAATGGGCAAGGGGGTCAAGAAGGGCACTCGATCTCTTGTCGGTCTGTTTCGGCCGAAGTCTGTGGTGGGTGTACCTGCTGCCGATGGGCCGGTGAACTCAGCGACTATAGCACAGGTTTCAATGGTCACTGTTGAGGCAGAAAGAGAAAATGTCAACGTCAACATCAATCCTCACGAGCACGTAGGAGGTGGTACCGGGTTCCCCAAATTGGAGCGCAACTCCATCGACACCAAACTCTCCTTCGAAAGTGGTACCGTATCCAGTGATACACGATCACGACGAAGCATCGTCGGCGGAGAGAAGGAGCGTGCCGAGGTCCTTGCCGCCGTCAAGAAAGGCATCCTCAAGCGAACGGATTCGAACCAACCGTCGCCCAAGGTCAGACCATACGACTTCAAGGCTCCCGATTTCAACTTGCCTCAAATTCCTCACATGAACGACTCACCCAAGTCGAGTGCCCCTAGCACGCCTGCCGATGAACCACCTCGATCTGGTCATCGCCGAACCGACTCGATCACCATTGAAAGCAACGATCACGACGATTATTTTACTTCCATGACTAGACTTGGCAGCTTAGACTCGAAGAATATACCGGTGACCCCACAGGGTCTAATTCGCAACATTTCGTTCAGCCCACGAATTCAATTTTACGATACTTGGCCTAGCGGAGAGTACGATCGACGGGGAGAGATAGCAACTTGCAATCGATTGACTCCGATGCTGGCACAGCAGATTAAAGAGGAGCTCAACACCTTCAAAATGGTACGCAGCGTGACTTGTTCTGCAGTGGGAAATGCTAACCAATCACAGGAAATGGAGGTTCACGAGTCATCCAAAGTCTACACGCATTTCTTCTAGTGCAGATGGATCAGATCAATGGGCGATCCTAGAAATATCACTATGTTCACCGAGTCGACGCTTGAGCGAAAAGTGATCACTGGCATGCGAATCATCAAGAACACTCACGATTTCTACGACCCTTACAGTACTGTTGCAGCAAAGCATTGTTTTCGTCGCTGGTTGACAGCACGAAACCGTTCGTTGGGGCCTCCTTTCGACCACGGGGCCTGTGTACATTTTAAAAAAGCTCATTCGTGTTGCATTTCACCTCGATCATGAAATTAGGTTCAAAGTAAGGCGTCTGGCGCAGGGCAACAAGCACCCGAGGATGGTTATTAAGGCGGCATCAGGAGAGAATACATGTTGATCTTGGGTTTCAGTCTGCAGGAAGGAGGAAATTTCGCCATTGGACCTTTCAGCCTACCCTTTTCTAATCGAGGACAACTTGGTTTGGGCCACCTGACTAAACTTTGTCATTGGAGTGATGGGCATCTCAAATTGGTTTCTATTGGAACCGGCTTGGATGTTATTTAGCCTAGTGCAAGTACGAGACCCAAGGGTCACTGGGTGTCTCTCATAACCCTTTGGTGTAAGGTCGAGGGAGATGAAGAGAGCATGCAGCTCCTTCTTTCGTGGGGGAAATTAATTGGTTTTATGGTCTTCTGAAAGTATTGTCAGTAACCTTGATACGATCTTGACTTGCAAGGCTGAATTCTGGACAGAAAAGGAAAGCCGTGCCCACTAGTCCATTTTCAGGATAGTGGCGTATGTGCGACGGTCCAGTGCAAGGCTGGCCCCTATTTGCTTTGGCTATCCTCACAAAACAACGGTATCTGCGGCAGAGACTCAAGTGTACCAGGTCGGCTCGGGCACCTCGTCCAGCAAGTAGAAGGTCCCTAACTCCCGCTCCTTATACGCCACTGGGTCGTGCAAAGTGTGCGTCCTCACGTCCCTCCAGGACCGATCCAGCCCAACCTTTTTGGCCGTGGAGCTCGCACCAGTGACCTCAAAGATGCCACTTGTGACCCGTAGGCTGGTGTCGGTGGCCACAATCTTGATGCTCGCCACACATTCCGCCACCTCGCCCCGCCGCCGCGCGCTCACATCTCGCTTCTCGCCGTGGTCCGCGTAGATATCCCGGATTTTCTCGCCAGCACGATCCGCCAACGCCTCGGCTGCCCTCAGATGGGCGTGGAAATTCCCGTAACGCGCCAGGATGTAGTGCTCATCGGTAGCCTTTTCTTTGTTGTCCCCGCCGAAGGGCCATGCGCGGGTTTTTGACGTGGTCCATTTCTTGGCTTCGTCGAGGGCGCCCAGTGCGATGCCGACGTAGAAATTTGAGAAGACCAGCTGGATGGTCGGCAACAGCAGGGACGCGAAGGGGACCTTGAGCACCTCGGCGATGGGCTTCTTGGTCTTGCTGTCCCAGCCGAAGGCGTCGGTCCAGGGGACACGCACGTTCTCGATCTTGACGCTCCCGGACTCGGTCAGCCGCATGCCAATGTTGTCCCAATCATGGCCAAATTGGATCCCAGGCTGCTGCGTAGGGACAATGGTGAATATATGGTCCTCGGTCCCCTCCAAGACGCCCTCGAGGATCGTGGCGTCGGACACGACGCCGCCAGTGTTGAAGAACTTGAACCCATCGAATACGAGCTCGTCACCGTCGCTGGCGATTTTGAGGTCGGCGTTGCGCAGATTTTCTGCCTCCCCTGGGGAAAACGTGATGCGGCACTACAAGATCGCCTCTGGTGGATCGCTCACAAGATGGCTGGGCTATCTTGCAAAGACAGCTTTTTCCAAAATCTCTCACGTTCTTTTCTCGACAAGTTCCCCAAGAGAAATCAGTATCCTCAAATCATCGAATTATCACAAGCAGCGCATGACGCAATTGAATCTGTGCGACAGAAACGCAAATCAGCTTTCACAACCTTGAAGACATCCGCTATCCGGCCTGGAACATGGAATGCAACAAAAGCTAAGAAACATGCTCTCAGTGATGCTGACGTAAATTCATTCTTGCGGTCCAGCACGAGCAGAGCGTGTGGTCGCCCGTTGGAATTTATTCAGACCACAGAGTCTTGGACGGAGATGACACTGAATCAAGGTGGAAATGGTGTGCTCCACAAAACTGATGCAAATTGCCAGTAAGTTATGCCGGAACAAAAGGAGCATTTCTGAGCTTAACCCAGTGGCCGAGGCATCCAAGGCAACGAAAATTTCGACTCTTGTGGTGTATGACCCCTCCAAGCCATTAGCCATTGCCGTAAAATGCAGGCTTTGTAGCTTTCAGAGCGATGACAATCGACCACAATGGCACAGCAAAAACGGCAACTATGTAGCTAAGAGAAGACGCTGCGCTAACAATTTGTGCCTCAAGGTTGAATATGCTATTCCAAGAGACACAGCCATCATCCATGTTACATACGCTTCTGTTATGACGGGAATTTCCCGGGAGGGCAAATCGTACTTTCGACCATATCTGAAACCTACATTGGAGTCATCCCAGGGAGGACAAAACTTAGCGGTTATGCTCAAAGAAAGGCTGGAAGCAGAATCGAAGACTCTACACGACCTTCCCGAAACAGTTCGCCTTCCCTCAGAAGGTCATTCAAAGCCGGATATCCAGCCTCTCAGGCACCTAGTGCCCATTCCTCGAAAATGGGGGCAACAATCAGGTGTTGAAAAAGGGCCGTTTGCTACTTGGCATAGGCGAAGGATAGTAATGACGTCGCAGGGAAGGGTAAGGTTGTGGGTCACCAATGAAAATGAGGAACATCCGCCAAAAGTTCTCGAGTTCAGTGCATATGGCTCATACCTTACGACTCGAGAAGGCAGGCTGATAGATTTCAATGCTCGAGGTATTAGCATTGTGCTCGCGGACGGCACTGTGGTTTGGCACAAAGATCTTGAAGATTTCATGATCTCCAAGAACGGCGACAAGGTTATCGAACATCATCGTTTTGAGCTGGAAATGCAAACAAGAGAGGCTGCCAGAGATATCAACCTCTAATCTTGAGGGAGGCTGGATCTGAGCAAAGGGCATCATGGTTCTTTCCTCGGCAAAACTCTTGTCTGAGCCCGGGCTCTCCCTTCCTGAACCTCTGTCACTGTTGTGGATATGCTGGTTCATTGAAAGTGGACTTTTGTGGATGCAGAGGTCTTGTCTTGTTCCTCTTAGCTATTTTCGATAGATAGCTTCTATTTAATTCCAACATTTTGCGAATAGGGTAACCTCAAGCTTTGCCCTATGGTCCTCGTGTACCTTTTTTCCTGGGAAATAGAATGGCGCTTCCAAGTCCTCATGTTTGTGCCCGCATTGAGACATCTAATTAGCGAAGTTAAGCACCTTCTGGAGAGGCACTGGTCCCGGACGCATGGTCTCCAGATTAGCAAACTACATGCCGAAGCCTGTCTCCTGCCGATAGGTGTGCAATGATAATGAGTCGTCATCGGTGGCTTCCAGACGATGTCGCGGTTCTACCATTTGCGGCAGAATTGGCTGAAACACTCGATGAAGCACCTCGTCTTTAGACTGTGTGCTGCGAACATCACAGTCTTAGTGGGACGCGGCGCCGTCGTGGGTCGAACAAGATAATTGAGGCATAATGGTGTTGGACGTTGGACACCGAAGAAACCAACACAGAGATCACCTTGGCCAAGGGCTGTCGAATTAACTTTTGGCGAGGGTGGCCGGGAGCGCTGGTAAAGCAATTTAGTGTCGAGAGCGGTCAGGGTATACTCAATATACTTGAACAATTATATCGCGGGGATAGGAGTCAGGAAGGTGAGACTGGGAGTACTACTTATGGTATCTTACCTCGAAGGGTTGTTGATACCGCTACCTAGTATTCTTGAATCGTACGAAGCGTTAAGTTAGTCAAAAGGGATGACTAAGGGAAGCTGTAAGATATACCATCGTAATGAGATGTAACTTTATATATTTTGTTGACTCAATTTTGTACAACAATTCACCGGAAACAGAACTCACGACATAAACTCTACAAGTGTGGCATGGTCTGTTAGCTCAGGTAAATACCCCGCTCATCACGATTTCATGTACTAAGCTAACGTTACAAAAGTTGGTTAGAGCGTAAGGTCTCCTTCTTCATCTCAATGACCAAACATACTTATAGAAATCTAGGCCGTGCTAATAACGCGGAGGTCATGGGTTCGACCCCCATACGGACCATCGTGAGATGTTTCCTGTGACTATCTGTGGGTTCAATTCCCAAAGACCTTTTTTTGGTCATGCCAAGAATGTGCGGCCTGACAAGTTATCTGCGCCAAGGATTTATTCACTTAATAGACAAACATTTGCTGACGGCCCTGCAACGAGGTTTTTAAACGAAGGGGGGCGGGTGCAATGCTATCGGACCACATGTCAAGTATCTCGATCCATTGAGTGGGAGAAACACCCACTCAGGACAGACCAATGGAATGCTTTGGGGGTGGAAGCGGCATTATCTTGGTATTCAGCTCTTCGGTTGACGTGCTTGGACAGCTCGAGCACGAATTTCACATATCTTTTCGCACCTGATCCCTGCGACGCGGAAGGGTGTGATAGGAGCGTCTGGGAGACTTCAAAGTGGTCGGACTTCTGGGCAGCACATGTTGGAGCAGCGAGTGGCCCAGATAGCTACAGATGCACCGGCCGCCATCTTCGAGCTTCCTGGTATACAGCCGACAGGACCAACTGTCTAGAATCTGTGTGGGACATTTTAGAGCACCGGCTTCGGCAGGCCACCGATTCCCAGATGCTCTGCCGCTGTTCTCCTTTTGTATAGTTGCTGGTCCTACAACCAATCAGCAATCAGCCCAAGGATGACGAGCATCGAGCCTGGACTTGCAGCATCGACTTCAAATTCCACTCTCGACTTCAGTCCAACACCAATGGTAGGCCACTCTGACGACGCAATCTGTAAGGTATATGCCATCATATCCACGACCAAAGAACATCTATCGTCCTCCTCGGTGGAGTCACAACATACGAGGTCATGATTTTCGACAGCCCGACTCTTCCTTCCGCTGGGCAGGCCTTCGATTGGCGTAATCTCCACGGCTTATGAACGGAAATGTACTGCTTGATGCAGGGAAATGCGAAGATCTCAGAGGCAAAATTCCATTTGTCCGTCAGTGTCATTGTGTCTAGAGCCAGGATTCTCGGCTCGAGGAAATTTTCAGACAAACAGTTAACAAGGGCGACGGAATCTCAACCATCCTCACTGTGAGAAGTCGAGAGAAGAGATCCGTGCTCACTTCTGTGCCCGACACGACACACTCAAAAGGGCGTCGAGCTGCACCGAAAGCGCTAGCGTTCCCCTGAATACTTAATACTATCCGATAATTATCTATCCAGCAAGGCTGACAGAATGGGATCTAACATCGTCGTTCCCACTGGCCAGGCTGAGGCCAATTCAGCACCAGATCGAATCAAGTTTGCGTAAGCTTGCTTCCTCCTTTCGTTGGCATACCTCTAAGCTTTCTGTCAGCTACTGGGTTCCCAATGTGTCAGGCGGGCTTGTTATATCCAAGATTCCGCAGCGTACTAAATGGGACCTGGAGTCGAACATCAAATATGCCCAAACTGCGGAGAATGTCGGCTTTGAGTACGCTCTCTCACAAATTCGGTTCATGGCTGGCTACGGCGCCGAGTTTCAACATGAGCCCGTCTCCTTCTCTCAAGCCCTGCTCCACCAAACCAAGAAGATCAATCTCATTGCCGCACTCCTACCTGGTCCATGGAACCCCGCGGTTGCAGCTAAGCAGATCGCAAGTATCGACCACTATTCCAAGGGGCGAGTGGCGGTGAACGTTGTTTCAGGATGGTTCAAAGCCGAGTTTACAAGCATTGGCCAATGGTGGCTCGATCATGCTGAACGCTATCGACGATCGAGAGAGTTCATCGCTTGTCTCAAGGGCATCTGGACAGAGGACAAATTCACTTTCCGAGGCGACTTCTATCAGTTTCATGACTACACACTTCAGCCGAAACCTTTGAAGTGGGAAGGCAGGGATCACCCCGAGATCTTTCAAGGTGGTAACTCGATTGATGCAAGGGAGAACGCCGCAACAGTGTCCTCGTACTATTTCATGAACGGAAATAGTAAGCCGTTGTTCTGTTTGATAGTGCCACCGAGAATAGTTTGCTGACTATTACAACCTTGTAGCCCTCGAAGGCTTCCAGACGCAGATTGCTGATGTCAGGGAGCGTGCTCGTCGCGAAGGTCGAGAAGACCAAGTCAAATTCGCGGTCAACGGATTCGTCATCGCGCGCGAGACGGAAGAAGAGGCAATCCGGGTCCTGCAGGAGATCCAAGGTAAGGCGGATAAGGAAGCCGTTGAGGCATTTGGCGATCAAGTGAAGAATGCAGGAGCATCGACCGCCAACAAGACCGGCATGTGGGCCAACAGCAAGTTCGAAGATCTCGTGCAATACAACGACGGATTCAAGACGAAACTCATTGGGACGCCCCAGCAGATTGCTGATCGCATACTGCTTCTGAAGAGTCTGGGTATTAGTATTTTGCTGACAGCATTTCTCCACTACGACGAGGAGATTGAACAGTTTGGAAAGGAGGTCATTCCTCTGGTGCGCAAGCTGGAGGCGGAAGGCAGAGGAAAGGACGCTGAGTATGAGATCAAGTTGACAGGGGATGTGTACAAGGCCAAGGAGCCAGAGGAGGTGAAGAGCTCGTAAAAGTGTCCGCTTATGATATCTTCTTCTTGGTAGCTATCCAGCCCGCCTATTCAAGTGGCTGCACAAAAACTGCGTGGTAAAACATATGGGTCGTACAGATGTCCCGAGTCGCAGTCTCGGCCCTTTAGCCCTGTTCTTGGACCGTAGGAAGGCAGCACTGCCGACAACCCCTGACAGCCTTGCACATTGTACATTGTATTGCTCCCTGCGCAAGGCTGAGGCGGCATAGGGCGGCCTCGGTCTCCTTCTCGAACGGGACAAGCTGCTGGGCTTGGCATTGCGACCTGGCGGAGTCACGAGTGAGAGGAGCGAGAGGATTGAGCGGAGTGAAGAAGTGGGCTGCGACGTCAGCGACTGAATCCACTTATTGCACCCTCCGAACCTCTACCCTCTGTCCACCTGCTCCCTGCACTAGATGCGGCGTTCTCCCATTGAGTAGGGACCCAAGAGCCAACATCACGTCCTCTACACGACCTGCTTGCCAGCCGCTCGACCGATAACGAGATATCCCCCTCTGCTGAAGCGAGTTTCTTTCGTCGCCCTTCCCTTCCTGGTCCCACTGGCCAAAGCACACGAGCTCGCCCTCCACACTTGCCCAAGATGAGTGGCTTTAGGGGCGTAATGAAGGATGGATGGCATCCCAAGGGCCGGGATGGAGGGAAGGAATCATGGCGGGGCGACTTCAAAGGCATAGATCAAGTGGTCAGTCATTAAGCCATGGGAACATACTGATGTGGAACGAAGCACTGAACAATGGAGCAGGCTGGATGGATGGGAAAAAAGAGAGATCCAAACAAGAAAGACGCCGAGGACCATGTATCGCGCCCTCTTTCCACCCTCAAAGATCCGGCCTCGTTTGGCCCGCCGCCCAAAAACGTCAACTATCACGGCGGTGCTGCCTTGCCCAACGAGATAACGCCGCAGAGGGGAGGATGGGGTGCTCCCTTGACCCAAGAGCAGATCTCTAGCGCCAGTCAAACTGCACAGACTCCCGAGCAAGAGGCTGAAGAGGAGAAGAAGCGTGCCGGTCCTCCTTTACCATACCGTGCGGATAGAACGGGGCTCAAGACAGACCACCTTCCGCCTCCTCCTATTCATCGTGATTTGACTCGGTCACCCGACGTTGCGGAAACGGCGCCGGTGAAACCAAAGCCAGGTCTGCCTCCGAGACTGCCTTCCAGACAGAACACGGGGAATACACCTCCTCCGGCGCCTGTCGCACATTCTTCTCTCCACACTACTGCTCCGCCGGCCTACGAGGCCATCCCCGCCGCCGCCCCCAGCGTACAACCGAGCACGAATTACGGAATCAATCAAGCTGCCGTCAGCAGGTTGGGGAATGCAGGCGTTTCAGTCCCAGCTCTAGGTATCGGATCTGATCAAAATTCAAATCCCTGGCATAACGAACAAAGCCAAGCAAGCGTGCCAAAGAGCCCACCCGTAACCTCTCCACCACCAGTAAACCAGCTATCAGAACTTCAAGCCCGCTTCGCCCGCATGAATTCGAACTCCAGCGCCGGACAACAATCCAACACTACTCCTCCATTTGTTACGCCCGCACAGTCTCCACCTGTCACCGTAAATACACCACCTCTCCAACAATCGTACGCGACACAGGCGCAACCGCAGAGTCAGGCGCAGGGGACGACTTGGGCCGAGAAGCAAGCCGCAATGCGCACGGCCCAAAATGCGTACAAGGATCCTGCATCCGTTTCTGCCGCGGACGCCGGATCCGCTGTCCGCACGGCCAACTCGTTCCGAGAACGACACCAAGACAGCATCAATGCTGCCGGCGTCAAAGCGAACCAGTGGAACAAAAAATACAACGTTACGGGCCGCCTCAACTCATTCCTCGAGAAGCACAGCTCTCCTTCCCCGACCCCCGGGGAGGATGCCCAACAAATGCCGCCTGCTAATGGCATCAATAATGTTGGCGGAAATGCTGCTCCAATGCAAGCGTCTCCCGAGATGACGGCCTCGATATCGCGCAAGCCCCCGCCACCGCCGCCGCCGAAGAAACCGGCAAATATGCATGGGAGTGTTGGCTCAATGGGAGTTGCCCCACCACCTGTGCCGCTGGGGACGAAGCCGAGTTATGCATGATTTGGGGGGAGGCGAGGAGCGGGTGTTTGTGTAGATTTCCGCGGCAGAGATTTGGCAATTACATAACATTTATGTACCTAGGTAGCAGAATAGTTTGTATCCTGCAGAACAATCAGGTGACCGTATGGAACGGCTATGTAGGAAGGAGTTTGTGGCTGTGGCTGTACCTGGTTTTGGTGACTGACTGTCAGATCTATATACCTTATACGAGAGTAGTTGGGCTAGTACGAGGTACTGACAACAGTTATCTAGTATCCATGTGAGCATGGGAATATGTGCCATAGTATATATCATATGTTATATACCATATCATATGCCATATACCACGTACCTTCTATTATGTACCCCCATATTACCTACCCAGGTAGGTACCTCCGCGAAGGTGAATAAGGTACCTATGTAGAGGGCAGGTAATTCTATGTGGACCATCCAGTTTTCCTTGGCCTTTTACCTTGGCCTTTGCCGTTCTCTTTTTCATAGTCCCCAGCAGTAGTAGTATAATCTTCTGAACCGACCTTCATTGTCCTTGAGGGGCGTCCCGGTACTTTGTGCTATAACCCCGCCGTTCTACCCTCGTCTTCACTACCTCGTTCCAATGTCCGAATAGAGTGGAATGGAATGGAATGGGGGGATCACTTGTGATAACTCAATTGACATTAACCTGCTTGGGATGATGAGAAGTACGAGCAAGCCGCGTGCAAGTGATGACAGTGCTCACGGCGGGGCAGTAGGGTATGGACCTCGTATTCGAATGGAATGGAATGGAATAGAGTTGGCTGTGCTCTTGGCCTCGAAATCTTCTGGGATCCCCGAGATTGGGCGTCCTTCTACGGCGCTGCTGGACCTGGGGGGTTATGTCTTGTATTTCTTGTTTCCTTTCGATTCTTGTTGTACGAGGTACTTGGGGCCGGTCGGGGGAGAAAAATGGCGGGGAGAAGGAACCTAGGAAGAGAAGGAGGGCGAGAGATAGAGAGAGACGGCGGGGATTCTTTATTGGTAGTACCACCCTCAGATGTCAAGAGGTACGTGAACAGAGAGGGCATACTAGCGGATGCTAGGCCGTAGACGTTGGTGAGAGCAACAGCCTTACTGAAAGGACGGCGAGGTTCATGGTGCTCAGGCCAGGTAGAGGTCGAAAACCTGCACGATATATCAAGTGTGTATGAACATGTCCAATGGAGAGGAGGTCACATAAGTACTCGTAACTCCCGCTCCAAGGCGTGTCGGAGTGAGGAGCAGCCACTAAAGTCGTCGAAGGATCATTCTGATTGCTGGCCGCGGATGATTGTTGGTTTTGTCCCTCACATCCGGTTCAAGGACCTTGCGTGTCAATTGTCAGCGACTAATGGAGCTTGACCTAAGCTCGTTCGTCCAACGACTCCGTGTTGGACAAGGGGCAGGTGCGACAGATGAACTTCCCTCTGACCGAGTCCGATACAAGGCTCTGGTGCAGCAGATTGGTGCCTTTGGATCATGTAGTGCTGTCGATATCACTCACCTCTGGCCGTAAGCAATACAGGATTCGTACTTCTGACTCGTTAGGAGTGTCGTGCATAATCGTCCTGCTCCGAGTCGTGATAGATACCTCTCACGCTGGGCGAGGATATTCTGGATCGGTGCTCCGTACGAGGCAACTCGTAGTGGCGCCGGCAACGACAAGCGGCGAGACGTGGATTGAGGTTGTCCTAGGGGGCTGGGAGCGGGTCAAGAGATGTTGTTACTCATGGCGGAGCACAAGAAATAATAATTCCCCAGTGACGCAACGGCAATTAGTACAAAGGGCTCCGTGAACTGCCCCGTTTGAGGTCGTTTCGATATTGCATCGGCCAAGATCCGAACACATGGCTAGATCTCCTTGTGGGATTTGGAGGAGACATTATCATGGGCAGCATTGACGAGAGTCGTCGGAGGTCGAGGTCCGAGATTGTGCGGATGCAGAAAGGGCTGCTCGCATATGGAGTACCCAGCCACTTGGACCAAGCGTCACTCAATAGTAAGCCGCAGCGTAGGAGAATGCCAGATTGGATGACCTGTGTTGGTCAATACTGTGTGTGACCAGGCTCCATGGGATCAGAAAGATGACAAGAGATCCAAATAAAACCCATGCTTCCGGGGCTGCACCGAAATGGGAATTTTCGGACTTGAAGGCGCAGACGCAAGGCGCCTCGAACCGCGGCCGGCTTTGCACAGAAGTAGAAAACTGACGCCGTGCGACATGACCTCCGACATGGACCGAGAAAAGCCACGGGGCCAATGGCTATACTCGTAGTCAGTGGGTGAAGATTGGGTAGCAGTGGTGAACACATCAGGACGAGTTTTCTGATGGCATCTCCAAGGCTGAGGCTGGCATGGCTGCCGTATTCTCTGATAGGCAACTCCGCTGCATGCAGCCGTTCCCGCCACGCCATATTTTTTCCAACGGCTGGACTGAAACGGTGAGTGTCGGGGTGGGGGGCTCTGCTGGTGGACAAAGCGAGTCAACTTCAGCTCCTCGTACTCGGTACAGCCCTGCCACTCTTTGACGCCAAGCTGTCTTAGGTGGATTGGAGTCGTTATTCAAAGCCAATGACCAATGAATCTAGGAGAAAAGCCAAACATGGGTCGCAGTCCAAGAGCGCTGATCGTCTCGTAAAACTTTGTGGCTGTTGGAAAATCAAGGATACGAAGCCCGCCAGGACGTCATGGTTTCGATCAGGCAAAAGCAGGGAATGAGAGGCGCACCCACCCAGCACCCAACCGCACAGCAGGTCGGACAAACGAGCTGGCTTCCTGAGTCAGGATGGCTGCATTGGGTTAACCTGGGAATGAAGAGGAGACAAGTGTTGGTGGTTGTTGCAGCTTGTCTCAGGCCATCACTCACTGACCATGTCGGAGGTCGGGAAGTCGGTGTCTACCGGCTCCGCGTCATGTGACTCGCAGCCAATCGTGAAGCGTACACGTGCTGCACAGTGGGGCATCGGACATCTAGATTTGACGCCATCTGCAGCTTTTAATAGACATTTTATTCCGACACGGCAATGGTTCACCAGAAGGCTGGCCATGGCTGCGTGCAGATGCCAGTGCAGCTGCAAGTGTTCGAGGACGACCATTTAGCTGCAGGGATATGGTCCGATTCATCAAGCCCAAAAGACAGGTGGATAGCGCCTTGAAGACGGAGGAAGCGCCCACGGAGTCCCTGCCCAGAAGGTACCTAGGTATACAGTCAAATCTCAGCGCCACTGCATCACAGAGATTGACGTACCCGAAATGACCTCCAAGAACAATGACTTCTGTGGCTGTCGGGGGCCAGGGTTAGTTTATAATAGACGAAGGTAGCAGTCAGAGTTCCAGCTGCTAACAAAATAAGAGTACGAGGTAGCTACGGGTCCCGAGTACAGAGGACAGCCCAGGCTGAGTCGGCAGTCGGAGCTTGGGGTTTGGGGCTGATTCGATAGGCGAGACTGCAGGCTTCGAAGGGGAAGAGCATGAGGTCAAGGACAAGAAAAATAAGATGGCGTTCGGATGTCCGTTGGCTTGAGAAGGAATAGTGAAGCGTGGGAGTCAAGGAAGCCAACAGGGGAGCTAATCTACACACCACGTCCAAATGGGTTCTCGAGGTGATGCAGTTAGAGCCCCTAGCACTCACAAAGGGATTGGTGCACCTGGTCTAAATGCAGGAGAGCCAATCCTAATCTCCTCCTTTCGCACGCCAAGGTCAAGTAGCTGTTAGGCTTCGGAGCGTTTATCCTGGGAACTCCTCAGGGAGCCACGGGGAGCCAAGGGGTCCGCTGGGCGGGCAATGGCACTACCGGTATGGCACTGGCAGTTCTGGTTAAGCACCAGCTTGGCCGACAGCGCCTAGAGCCCATCGAGTGCCGCTAGCCCTAGTACCTGCGTGAGGGCGCACGGGCGGTCGCCCATTAGCCCTTTTCATCCCACGCCCTGCCTGCCCTGGCCTCGTTAAAGAGACGGCGCCCTTGAAATCCATCCTATCCCTAGGCCATCCTTCGCTTTTCCGCCAGGCCCTGCTGCTGCACCTGCTGGTGACGGGCATCTTTCTTTTGTGCAAAGACCCAACAACTGCGCCTCGCTGATCGCGGACATTTCGTATTCTTGATTCCCATCCCTCTCAGTTCTGTCCCCGACAAAGTCCTGGCAATTATAATCCTCCAGTTCACTGGCCGCAGTTTACGTGTTCCTTCTTATTCCCTTTGAGCTGACGCTGAGCCTGCGACGAGCCTGAAATTACACTTTTCGCCAATTCTCCCCTTGCCTGGCTCGCTCCTCCACTAGCCAGCTTCCAGACCGCAGCTTGGGCCTGAAAGTCTGCTGACCCGCGACAAGCCCGGGCGCTGTCCTGCCCCCTTTGCCTCCGATCCTGTCTGCCTTTACATGTCGAGCTCCTACCCTCTCGCGGGGTCGATATCACTCTGGATCTCCGTCTCTTCCTCACGGGGCCTCGTCTAGCCCGTCGAGACCTGCCAGCTATCTCGTCGCCCTCACTGTCGTTCACTCCGTCGCTCTCACCATCGTTCAATCCGACATTTTCACCGTCTCTCAGCATGGCTTTCACCGCTGGAACTCCGCAAAATGCTGGCTTCACAGGAGTCGGCACGCAAGACATCAACACATCCTCTCTCGCCAGCATGGCCTCGTCTCTCGAGAGCGAGTTTACGCAGACCACCGGCTCACATTTCACACGCACCAACAGCGGCGCATCTCAAACGGGGACATCTAGCACAGACAGCTCGAGCGCCGGCGCCTCTACCTCCTCGACCGCCACCCAGACAGCTTCCACCACATTCGCTACATCGGTTACCCCATCATCCGGCGGGCCATTAGGCTCTCCGAACTCCAGCTTGAGCAGTTATGCAACCTCTGCAACCAATGCCGCAGCCAGCACAACAGGCGGCGCCGTCACCGTCTCAGAAAAATCTTCCTGCAATAGTATTTCGTGTTCGTCTGCTCTCAAAGCGGCCGTTGCTGTTCCGATTGTCGTTGCAGCGATTGCGGGTATCCTTCTGTTTTTCTTTTGTGCCAGGAGGAGGAGGAGACGCGGCGGAGCCGTCATGTCAGAGAAGACACCGAAAAAAGCAGGCAAGAAATGGACACGGCATCTACGAGCCTTTTCCTTCGATGCGGAATTGCTCATGGGCGGTCGATTCTCCAGCTCCAATAGCATCCGCAGTCGAGACCCCAGCGTTCGAAGTGGCCCGGGCACGCAGTCTCGTGGAAGCGCTCACAGCGGGGAACCAAGTATGCACAGTATCGAAGAGGTGGCTCCTCCGTACCGGGATGCTGTGACCCATGTGACGCCACCAAGTCCAGCTCGTTCCATCCCTCAAGTCACCACTATCACGGCCGATCCGATTCCTCGGCCGTCCTCGACAGCCACAGCACCACCTCCCTACCGAGCTATTGTCGGTGGCACCGGTGCTGAACCGCCCTCCCCTTCCACGGTTCGTTCTGCGGTTCGAAACCCGTTTGCGGACTCGGCGCCGGTCAGTCCTATCGAAGGCTCACCTTTCAATGATCCTCCCGAAGAAGCATCTGGCGCTCTGCGTCCGACCATGAGCCGTGGTTCGTCCATGTATCGCAGCGTGATGACGGACGATGACGCTTCGCCCGGTGCGTCTGAAGCGGGGAGCATACGGCAAGCAATGGTGGGCAGGCGTGTGTCGGTCCGGAACAGCGAGGCAGCCAGTGGCGGTGGTGGCAGCAGCACCTAATATTGTGTGATTTTCCTATGTTGCTTAGTTCATGGCGTGGCGTTTGGGAACCGGTGAAACCGAAAAATGCTGGACGGCTCTAGAGTCTGCAAGAGCCTTGGTTTTGTGGAATGTTGACGCAGAATGTTTTGAGATGTCCGACAATATACTTACTGTACATGAGCGAAACCCAATGCCCAAGAAGCAAAAATTTACTTATTAGATTGATGGAATATCCGAAACGTTCAACATTGCTGGGAAGTTGTGTGATCATGAAAGGCCTGGGGCTTTGATATCCTACTATATATCGTTGTGCCGCTCGTACTTGTGCCTTGTGACCTTTTCTCCTCGGTTTCGCTTCTTCTCGATGCCACGGTCGTACAATGCAGGAACGGACCATTCGCCGACCGCAATGCTGTTGTCCTCCTGTTGCTACCAAATATTTACAGCTACCCATGGTCCGGTTGCAGGGGCATTGGCCTGATTCCCTGGTGCACAGGTGCAACGACACAGCCGGCAAAGCAGCAGTTCGAGCGACATACAGTCTCCAGCCAGCATGTTGTTCTGGTGGTTAGTGTGACAAGCTTGTTCCTTATTTCTCACAACAGGCAATACAACATTTCGTGACCAGCTGCCCATTGATCGACGCTCCACGGGAAAGGGAAGATCAAGCTCGGGATCGGGAGAGTGGTCGGCAGGCATCCTTGTTCTTTGGACCTTGCCGGCCCCTTGTCCGAATGTGTCGCCTCATCTGCTACGGATTTGGTGAGCGTGCATGATAGTTACGGGTCGATTGATCGAGGGGTTTCAGCACTTCGGTGTAGAGTTGAAATTCGAGAATACAGCAGTCACTAGCACTGTACGAGTGTCAGACAAGGCTATCGTGCTCAGGGTCACTGAACGAGAAATTGAGCCAGTGGGAGACTGCTCGGGATCTTTGCTTCCGTCGGGTCGAAGCTTTCCCTTGGCTTCATGCATCTCGCCACGAAAAGAATCCAAAGCAGGGAAAGACCTTTTCCGATAGATGCAACGTTGAGCTGCACACATTACAATATCTCAATGGCCTGTCCTCTGCAAGGTCGACTTTCACCCTCTTCCTCTCCACACAAATTCCGCGTCCGCCACCGCTGTCTCAAGCTGTTATCGTGGCCAATCCCCCCGGGACCGTGGGGTGCCAGTCATCCCCCCATGCTTCTCTATTGTGCGAGGAATATCCGGAGACGGAGGGAGCCACCCGGATCGACGCACTTTTCAGTCAATCTATCCGCCTCGTATTTAGCCGGGCATGGTCTTATTGGTGACTCGTGGGCTTTCGGTGGACACTTGGGAACGACTCGAGAATTTCACCTCATCCACCTCGCTGTGAGAAATATGGAGAAGATGGCGACTTTGATATCCTTCGGTGCGCTTTTCGAGTGGAGTTCTGGAGTTACATGAGGATGTCGCTGCTCAACCCTGATCTCAACGGTGTGGCCATGTGGATTTCCGGCTACAAGGAAGGTAAGGAAGATGTATAAGGGTGCTGGTAACCTGCTTGCTTCGCATGGCCCTGTCTTGCCTTTTCGTCCGGGCCAAGCTGTTACCCAGGCACAGGAGTTAAGACACTAGACCTCGCTTTGGCCTCTTGCTCCTCTCACAAGTCACTCCCATAATGGCTTCTCACGAGGTCCCCCAGGACTACATCCATGACTCTGACCAGAGTTCTTCCATCGGAGTCAAAATCGATGCTACAGAATTTCAAGAAGACATTGGAAATGCTAGGACTTTGAGAAGAGAGCCGCCTCCATATGTGAAGTCGCTCAGTCCTGAGGAGCGAAGGATTGCAGAGCGAGCCCTCGTTCGAAAGATAGACTTTCGGCTGATTCCCATGATTGTTATCATGTTTGTCCCATGAGCCCGTCCTTTTGTTAGGAGGATTCGCAAGACTGACGGGTGTCCAGGTATATCCTCAACTACCTCGATCGCAACAATATTGCTGCAGCTAGATTGGCCGGTCTTGAGGATGAATTGAAACTTCATGGCACTCAATACCAGACGGCCGGTTAGTCTTTGACGAGCAACCACCCAAGACATATCCGCACTTGCTGACGTGGTTGTTCCTTTAGTCAGTATCCTCTTCGTCGGTTACCTGCTTATGCAAATTCCGTCCAACTTGTTCCTCAACAAACTCGGTAAACCACGCCTCTACCTACCCACAGCTATGGTTGTCTGGGGTACTATCTCCGCCGCTACAGCCGCCGTCCAGTCCTTTGGAGGTCTAATTGCTGTTCGATTCTTCCTTGGTTTTGTAGAGGCAGTTTACTTCCCAGGCTGTCTATATTACCTCAGCGCGTGGTATACGCGCAAGGAGCTGGGTTTCAGGACAGCGATGTTGTACTCGGGATCTCTTATCTCCGGTGCCTTCTCTGGTCTCATCGCAGCCGGGATCACGAAGAACATGGATGGAACGGCAGGCTTACGGGCCTGGAGATGGTTGTTTATCATTGAAGGCAGCATCACTATTCTCATCGCGCTTGTGTCGATCTTTGTCTTGCCAAACTTTCCCCGAACAACGCCCTGGCTGAACGAACAAGAAAAGGAGCTGGCTGTGTGGCGTCTCGAGGAGGACATTGGGGAGGATGATTGGGTAGGTTCCGAAGAGCAGACTTTCTGGCATGGGTTCAAGCTCGCGGTCAAGGATATCAAGATGTGGATCATGGTGAGTCTTTCCTGCCCTTTCAACGTTTGATCGGATTCTCTAACTCGACTGTGTCCAGATGCTCATGCTCTTCTGCATCGTCGCGTCCGGCTCGGTGACAAACTTCTTCCCGACCGTCGTCCAGACGCTCGGATACGGCGACATCGCGTCCCTGTTGCTGACCGCACCACCCTACGTGCTCTGCGTCATCACGGCCTTCTTCAACGCCTGGCACGCCGACCGCACCGGCGAGCGTTTCTTCCACGTCACAGTGCCGCTGTACGTGGCCGTGGGGTCGTTCATCCTCGCGGCCGCAACCACGGCGACCGCGCCGCGCTACGTGGCCATGATGCTCATGGTCCCCGGCGTGTACACCGGCTACGTCGTCGCGCTGGGCTGGATCAGCAACACGATGCCCCGCCCTCCCGCGAAGCGCGCCGCCGCCCTTGCCGCCATCAACGCCGTCAGCAACACCTCGTCCATCTACGCCAGCTACATGTTCCCCAAGAGCGACGGGCCCCGCTACGTCTTGGCCATGAGCGTCTGCTCCGCCACCGCCTTCGTCGCCATCTGCGCCGCCACCGTGCTCAGGCTCATCTTGGTGAGGCTGAACCGCAAGCTCGACCGCGGTGAGTGGGTCGAGGGCGCTATCAATTCTCCCTCCGCGGTTGCCCGAGACGCGAAGGGAGTGGCCAGCCCTGTCATCGTCCAGGAAGGCGCGGTGCCCGCTGAGGCTGCTGCCAGCGGGTTCCGGTTCTTGTTGTAGTGCCCTACAATCTGTTCACTGGCCAAGAAGTCTGATGGCTGTTTCATGGACTGCGTTTTGACCTCATGGGCCCTAATTACGACTGAGGTTGATAGGCCAACGGTATGAACCAAGCAGACATTGAGATAGAGATAGATATAGACGTGGACATAGGAGGCCGAACCTAGGCCTCATCACCATGAAATGACCGTCGTATGTATATATATCATTAACGAACATCAGAATGACCATGGCCATGACGACAGGTGCATAACAAAAAAACGATGACAGGACATGTCATACAATGCATCTAGTTGGGTGCAGAGTCTGCCAGCGGTTCGTTCAATGCGTACCTATCCTGTTGCTCTGTATTTGAACTTTGTACTCACTCGCTGGGTCTCAGCATGGAAGAAGACGGCAACGGACGATGCGTCTGGCCGGAGTCATCTACCGCTTCAATCACAGTCACGAATAATGCGCTACGGATACGAACACGAACAAAGCTACAGGTAGAGAAACAGGGACGGTTACAGGTACAACCATAAACAACAGCCTCAGCCACAGCCGGTAGTGGCAGTAAAAGTGGCATGACGGTGACAAATTCCCAGCGTTAAAACATGCCAGGCGACATCGATCGAGGTTACTCCTCGTCTGCCTGTATCAATCTTGCCATCTCTGCTCAGCCTTGTCACCTGTGGCGGAGCGGGTGTGTGGAACAATCTGAAAGCGGGAGGGCCTCGGAGCGGAGCCTCATTCTCAAGCTCTCGCTCTGACTTTTATTTTCTCCGCGGGCAGCTCCATACCTTCGTACAATGCCGGCACGGTGCCGGGCGATTGGACACTGTGATCGTATTTTGCAAATAAGAACAGAGAGCGCAAGGCGAAGTATGCCTTATGCACGGGTGTAGCAAAGGTACCCTGAACCAGCGGCACGGTCCGTCCGTTCATCTGCTTGTTTGATGTTACAGGTGGCCACCTCGTCGCTCCTTATCGGCGGTGTCCGTATCCCTGTCCTGCTCTCTTGTTGTAGGCACTCATCGGATGTGTCACTGTCCTTTCTCACAAAATGGCTCAGTGTGGCGTGACCCGTCTCACGTGGAGAAAACGAGTGAATCATGTGTTCCAGGAGAGACCTCGTCGCGTGGAACAAAGGCATGATTTCAGCATCGTAGAAGGGGCCATAGCTCGTGATGAGATATGTGGAGGACGCCTCGAATATTGTTTCTGGTGGTCGGAGGACTCCTCCGGTCTCCTCCTGTAAGGACTTTGACCAATGTTGTCACATTGAAACTGAGGCGATCGGCGGAGGCCTAGTGGTCTGAATATTGGCCACTTGAGCTGCGCCAGCTCGTGATTGTGAGATTGACCACCTCCGGATCGATGGACCGTACCGTGATCTCCATCTCGATTAACTCCCATGGACGCCGAAAGAGAGGTTTCTCTTCGACGCCGAAATACAACAGTTTCAGTGGATGATCGACTTGAATCCATTATACGCTTGTTCCATGTCAAACGCCAGATCCCTTGCTTGCTCCTCGCTTAGCTCCTCTGATGTCTTCATCTGGTTGAGCGTGATCAGCCACTGGATGATCTTGCCGCGATGCTCAAAGTCCTGGTCGGTGACTTTGTTCACCGACTGGATCACATCTGTCAGGAGTGGATGCAAAGCCGTCTTGGTGACCATGTTCAACCGGAGCGCATCAAGGAATGTGATGAAGTTTTCGGTCGCGACCAAGATCAAGCTGCCCGACAGATTGCCTTGTGGTGCTCCTGCAGCTCCAGGCGGGGCTTTGGCGCCGGTGGTGATAGTTTCCACACTGGTCAGGCCGACTTTGAGACGTTCTTTGGCGCGGGGGCACTCGATATCCCACTTCTGCGTGAACGTGTCCAGATCTCCAAACTTCCGCGCGACACTCTCATCGTTCAATATCGATCGGTACTGCTTAAGCAGTTTCGAACACAGCTCCGAGTACTCTGTCTCCGGTAGCGCATCTTTTATGTATGCCTTTTCCAGTCCGTCGAGGGTGCGGATAATGCTGTAGATCTCGGCGAGGGAGTCAATTAGGTCCCGTTCGGCGGAGGAGTCGGCGAGTTTGACTTCTTCGTCGAGGTTGATCCGAGCGGAGAGGGTATTCGTTGCGGGATAGGCATAAGGAGTGGGCGCATAGGCGAGGTTGCGGCTTGGAGGGTTGCTGTACATTGTTGATTGCTGCTGAGAACAAATGTAAACAAAGTAGGGAACGTAGCTGCGTAGGTAGGTAAACACGGCCGCAGACGACGAGGCTTACTTCGGCATGCGCCTCGACATTTGAGAGGCTGTGACTCTGTGAGGGGACGATTGGCAGATGCGGGGAAATTCCGGGAAAACTTCGGCTTGGCATAATTTTTTCTCGACTTTGCAATTCGTCTGCGGATTGTCCAAGTCTCGTGAAATCAACCCGCCCGCCGGACTGCTCAAGGACTCGGTGTCGCAGGGACAATCCTACTCATAGCCTACATCATGGGCAAACAGACAAAAGCCACAAAGAAGTTCGAGAAGAACCGCCTCAAAGACACGATCGAACGACGCAAAGACTTTGCCAAAGTCAAACAGCGACACCAGCAGAAAGCGAAGAAGAAACAAAGAGCGGCGCTGAGGTCAAAGGAGGAAGACGATGCTGCGGAGTCAGATGCTGAGGCTGGTGACAATGGAGCCGAGGCTATGAATGAGGACGAGTTCTTTCAGGACGCTGTGGATATACCAGAGCATGAGAATCAGACGGTGAAGAACAAGACGGCAAAGCGGAAAAGAGATGCAAATACCAGTGACGACCTCAAGGATGCTGAGATCGATGGCTCAGATGATGAAATTGAAGGCCATAAAAGTCAATTGGCTGCATTGGCCGAGAAAGACCCTGAATTCTATAAATACCTTCAGGAGAACGATGCCGACTTGCTCGAATTCGACGAAGACGACGATCTTGCAGCAGTTGACGACCTGAGTGAAGAGGAGCCTCCTACAAAGAAGCAGAAGACGAAGGGTGCGCATAAAGAGGACCTTGAGACGTCGGACGATGTTACTCTGGCAATGGTAAAGAAGTGGAAGGCATCCTTGGCTGAACAATTCTCGATAAGAGCTCTCAGACAAGTTGTGCTGGCTTTCCGTGCGGCGGCACATGCGGACAACGAAGAGGATAAGGTCTTCAAGTATAATATTGCAAGTCCAGAGGTTTACCACGAGGTTCTCATAACGGCACTCCAGCAGGTCCCTCTGGTGCTGTCACATCATCTCCCAGTCAAGGAGTCCGGCAGTGGCAAGCTTCGCATACCGACTGATTCACCCAAGTTCAAGACTCTCGCACCGTTGATCAAATCACACGCTTCATCTCTGCATTACTTGCTCAAGAACTTGTCAGATGCGAAGACCCTGAGGCTGTCGCTCGAGTCTTTCGAGCCGCTGCTCCCGTACCTACTTCAATTTCGCAAATTTCTGAAGGTCATTACGAAAGCTGTCGCATCCATTTGGTCCGACAATTCTTCTGACGAAGCCACAAGAATCACCGCTTTCCTGGTCATTCGTCGCCTGATGGTGATTGGTGACGCTGGAATCCGCGAAGCTGTCTTGAAGGCGACGTATGAGGGCGTTGTCAAGGGCAGCCGGAACACAACAATTCATACGCTTGCAGGAATCAACTTGATGAAAAACTCAGCAGCGGAGCTTTGGGGCATTGACCAGAAGGTCAGCTACACAACAGGCTTCACGTTTATCCGCCAACTTGCCATTCACCTCCGTGGCAACATTACCAAACCGACCAAGGATTCATACAAGACAATATACAATTGGCAGTTTGTTCACTCTCTTGACTTCTGGTCTCGCGTGTTGTCCAGTCACTGCAATTCACTCCTGGAAGCTCAGAATGGCAAACCCTCACAGCTGCGCCCGCTCATCTACCCGGTCGTGCAGGTCACACTCGGCGCACTGAGGTTGATACCGACATCCACATACTTTCCCCTTCGATTTCAACTGATGCGGTCACTGCTACGCATCTCTCAAGCTACAGAGACATACATACCTTTGTCGGCGGCTCTGTTGGAGGTGCTAAACTCGGCAGAGATGAAGAAACCTGCGAAGGCCTCAACAATGCGTCCGTTGGATTTCGCCTCGAACATCAGAGCCCCAACATCATATCTGAAAACGAAAGTGTACCAAGATGGTGTCGGCGAACAGACAGTAGAATTGCTCTCCGAGTTCTTTGCGCTGTGGACCAAGAGCATTGCCTATCCTGAGCTACAACTGCCGGTTATCATCATGCTGAAGCGGTGGTTGAAGACAGCTTCCAAGACGAATGGAAACAAGAATGGCAAGCTCAATCAAGCTCTTCTTGTGCTGGTACAAAAGTCGGAAGCCAACGCTAAGTGGATCGAGGAAAGGAGGATCAATGTCAACTTTTCACCAAAGGATCGGACGGAGGTGGAAGCATTCCTGAAAGACGTGCAATGGCAAGACACTCCCCTCGGAGCGTTTGTTGTCTCACAGAGAAAGTTGCGGGAAGAAAGGAGAAAGGTGCTGGAACAAGGGAGAAAGGAGCAAGAACGACGAAAGGCCGCCGAAGAAGATGCTGATAGTGATATTGAGATTGCATAATTGGCAAAGGCGAACAACACATGACGCGCTGGAGCTTGCAAGGTGCGCAGCAAGAAAATTATCCTTCGGAAACCTGAAATGACATTCAAGGAGCACCACAAGTACTTTTGTATGTACAACCGATCGGCACATGTCCAATAATCCTCTTGCTTCTCACTTGTCTGCAGGATCCAAGGGTTTCTGTCCTTCCTTTTCAACCTCGTGCCTCTTCTGCTGAGCGGGCTTATTGGGATCTCTTTTGACTGGATCGGAGCCCTGAACTTCGTCTTGGCCACCTTCTGAGCTGGGCTGCTCAGTCGGCCGTGCTACACTAGCAGTGTCCTGGGGGACATCCCCCGCAGCCCTCGACTCGTTTATGTTCTTGTTCTGGCCAGACGTAGACTGGGGGTTGTCCTTTGCCACGTTCGAGGCATTGGGGGCGTCGCCTTTTGTTGTGGTGGCAGATCGGGTGATTGACAGGGGTTCTATAGGACAATCGAGTGAGCTCGACGTTCTCAATCGACAGTCACAGCTTCAGGCAATAGGGAGCTCACTGAGATTGTTGAGTCCAGTTGCAGGACGAGGGCGAGGAACTGGCAGGCGAAGTGCCGCCCGTTGAAGCAGGAAACGAGCCTTCATGTTAGTGACCGGAACCTTTGGACTTTGTAGATGGAAATAGCTTGTGTTTCAGCAATACCACGACGTGAACCTCAGGACCTGGTAACCAAAACAATATTGCATTCGGGAGCTTCGCTCTCTTCATTTCCGCCAAGATGATGTTAACCTTTCGTCATTGTTTTCCCCTGGAAGTAGCAGAGACATCCACGGTCCGGTATTGGTTGCATGGTGTATCTAGATGAGATCATGAGAGCGCCAGGGACAAGATTTGCGGGAGATAGATCCGGGGGGCCCAGCAAAGTTCCAGTTTGAGCGCAGCACCAGTCGCCCCCAATGCCGAATGCTGCTGGGTGGCTGCTACTGGAACCTCAAGAGGACGCCTCGTGCTGGCACCGTGTCAACCGACTTGAGGCCCTGGTCGTTGGATGAGGCGCACGAAGCTGAGGCAGCAACACCACAGCGGCCACCGCGGCATTATCTGAGCAAACACGAGCTCTCCACGTCGGCGACACGAGCTCGCGAGACTGAGCTACTTGAGCTACTTGACCGAAGGGGAAATGAGTTGTGCAACTTTGTGCCTGAGCCGTTGAAACATCAGGTGATGGTTACCGATCGCAGCTTCTTTTTTTCTCGCATAAGCTCGCCTACATGGAAAGCTCCTTGTGCATTGCCGATGGAGGGTGACATGGATCCTGTCTCTAACTCGTATCTACCAGCTCATTGACTTAAGGTCAAAGCAGGTGGCTCAGACTTCCTGGTGAGTGGCTCACACTGGCTCATGACCCAGAAGCGACGTCACCGCCAGCTCGTACGCTTTGTTGCCCAATTTTTGCTCATTTTCACTCACCACCTGGTGTCGAGAGCTGTAGTACAGACAGTTCACTGGTCCACCGTATCCCAGTAACTGGATATAAACAAAGACAAACCCCTGGTGGTTGATCGTACCTCTACCAAAGCATTTTTGAAACAAAACCCTTGGGCTATCACTTTGGCCAATAGCAAGATTCTCCCCTACAATGGGTGATCCAGGCAGGAGCTTCAGCACCCAGATTCACCACGACTTCCAGGGCAAATGGGCCCTCAAACGCCGTCGGACTCGATCACTGAGCACCAAACTCCCTGATGGCTTCGACATAGGAACTACTCTCAGCGTAAGTCAATCCCTTTCCAGTCACAAGTCTACCATAAAAATATACTACGTCCCATCTGAACTGGGTCTTGAACCGCTGGTCCGTGACTCCAAGCCACTAACAACCTTGCCTTCCTTATTCCAGGAATACTGGGCGGGCCTTGCCATTGAAGAAGAATCCGACAGAGCACTCAAGATTGGGATTGCAATCCATGATGGAACATATGGCATTGACTTTTGTGTCCACCGTATATCCCTGGACGAAGAGGAAGAGGAAGAGAGGAGTGGAGGTGGGGACTGGATTGCGGACCATGTCATCGAGGAACTATCCCACTACAGGAGGGAACATGTATGCAAGATTCTCGGTGTGGGAGTCATTGCAACTGTTCACGAAAAGAGCCCGAATTTATGCTCGAGGCTTTGGTCTGAGCTCGACATTGTTCCCATGCTGGTCACGTCAAATCCGATGATGGAAGCCGGCAACGCAAGGGCAGGAGCACAAAGAGTGGACGAGATCGCCGACTCAGCGGCTAGGAAATGTCTCGCGTAAGTTTTCAACCTTGTGGATCGTCCGCGGTCTGGTCATGACTTTTATCAGACTATATGCTCCCACAAAGCAACCGCGATTGTCAATCAGCTTTAAGAACCAGGTCGAAGTCGATTTGAGAGGTACGATTCAGCTTACCACCATCGACGACTACAAGGCATCCGTCCGAGAGCCAACGTGGCGGGCCGTGCAGAAACACATCCAAGATGTTGTCGACCGCAAGCTTAGGGTCGTCTTTTTCAGTGCGACACCCCAAGGAGGCGGAGTGGCTCTGATGCGGCACGCGTTGCTCCGGTTCTTGAAACTCTACAATGTGAACGTCGAATGGTACGTCCCGCCTCGTCTGCTAGCGATGTGCGTCGTGCTTACCTTACATATTTTCTAGGTTTGTGCCCAAGCCCAGACCCGACGTCTTCCGCATCACCAAAACAAATCACAATATCTTGCAGGGCGCCGTCCCTCCCGAAGTCCGAGCCACAGACGAGCAGCTGGGTAAGATCAAAGAGTGGATCGTCGACAATGCGGATCGGTACTGGCTCAGTGAAGGAGGGCCACTTCTTGCGCCCAAGGACGGCGGTGCAGATGTTATCATCATCGATGACCCGCAGATGCCAGAGCTCATCCCAATTGCGAAGAAGATTGCACCGGAGCGGCCGATCATCTTCCGCTGCCATATTGAAGTTCGCGATGATTTAGTCCTTGAGGATGGTAGTGCCGCTCAACACGTCTGGCGCAATATGTGGGCAAGCATCAAACAAGCCGACGTCTTCCTCAGCCACCCTGTGCGGACTTTTGTTCCACCTGAAGTTCGCAAGGAGACGCTGGGCTGGCTCCCGGCAACTACCGACTGGTAAGTATATGATCGAGAACCAAGCATCGGTGAAGTATCTGACTGAGATCCCTAGGCTTGACGGCCTCAACAAGCCTATGGATGACTGGGATCTGCAATATTACATGCATGTTCTCAGGCAGGTTTGTCAGGCTCAAAGCCTTCCACAACTTGCATACCCAGATCGGGGATATTTCACCCAAGTCGCGCGGTTTGATCCCTCCAAGGGAATTCCTGACGTTATCAAGAGCTACGCCAAGTTCCGCGATATGGTGAAAGACAAACCCAAGGAGGAAATCCACCAATTGGTGCTCTGTGGACACGGTTCGGTGGATGATCCCGATGCGACGATGATCTATGAACAGACCATGGATTTGATTCTCACACAGTTTCCCGACTTGGTCGAGGACATTATTGTCGTTCGACTGGGCCCGAGTGACCAGATCTTAAATGCCATCATGTCGCTTTCGACTGTGGCACTGCAGCTTTCAACTCGAGAAGGATTCGAGGTCAAGGTCTCGGAAGCCTTACACAAGGTAAGCACTCTGCGTGTTCCATTCTGGTCTGGGGGCGTGGTACTGACATAGCCGTAGGGGAAACCGATCATTGCGACCATCGCTGGGGGCATTCCACTTCAGGTCGAGGACTCCAGGAGTGGTTACCTTGTCCAACGTGGTGACCACGACGCTGTTGCCCGGCACCTATACGACCTAGTCAATGACAAGGATCTGTATAGGAGCATGAGCGAATACGCGCGGACGCACGTCAGCGACGAAGTGCACACTGTTGGAAACGCCCTCAGCTGGATGTACCTTGCCTCAAACGTGGCGGGCGGAAAGTCACTGAAGCCGAATGAGAGATGGATCAACGACTTGGCTCGGGAGGCTGCTGGGGAGCCATACAAAGAGGGCGAGCCACGGCTACCGCGCCACCTCTCCACTTGATCAACGAGTTGTCGCTCTGTGCTTGGGCGTTGCGGCGAGATCGGTTCTCATTATACTCCTCTACTCACTCTTTCAACTCTGAGGTTCGGCAACAGAATGCAACGCATGGGTCAACAATTTCTGATTCCCGCCGACCGGATGGTGACTGGAGGTAATTAGATTGGGGACTTTGAGACGACCAAGGAATAAGAGAAAGATTAAGAGAGGACGAGATTCTGAGAATCTGAGAGCCTCAGAGCGTCTGTAGACTCCTTGATACACACGACGCAATAGGCGAATCTCGTTCTTTGGGAATGCGAGTCAAATGGCGGTCGACGGGCAACGGCGGTTTCATTGTCTTCACGAAGTCGAATTATCGAATAATGGCCAATGACACAATCATGTACAAACACGTGGATATGACTGTAACTGGTCAAAGATCAGATCTGCGGACTCAATGACTCTGCTGACTCTGAGATATGCATGTCGAGCTGTCGAGCTGTCGAGCTGTGAAAGCGAAAGCCTTGCTTTTTCTTCCGGAGCTGCCGAGCCTTGAAATGCGCCGCGTCCTGCCCCGCGTTCCCTCGTATAGCTGTTTCTCGCGCACTGAACTGAACGAGCTTCGTTTGAAGACTATACACTAGCTTATTGATCAAGTCTGAGAAATAGAGTGTACAATCTTTCCATAGCAACATGTATCGCAAACGCAACGGTTCCCTTGGCTTCTCCTTCACCCGCTTCGCCAACGCCGCCGTCCCCAACTTCTTCGCCGATGAAACACCTTCGCACACAGTTGACCTGACTGGCTACCGCCGGGACATGTGCTACATGCATCAAATCGCCTCGGCCAACCCCTACACGCTCGACGAGCGATCCTTCTACGTCGCGGGCGTCGTCGATTCAGAGAGCGTGAGTCGGAAAGTATACGCCAAACTGAAAAAGAACGAGATCCTCAAGGAAGACGGACTGGTGGACACGTACAAGATCGGGCCCCAGTTCCCCCACCAATTGGCCCTGTTGAACATCTACCGGCAAAAGGAGCTCGTGAGAATGCTCTTCTGGTGGGAGGAAGAGTGCCAGCGTCTGCGCAAGTTGGACGCCGAGGAGAAAGATTTGGATGTGCTGATTTCTGGGGAGGAAGTCAAACTCACCACGACGGCCGAGGATGGGGCGGAGAGACAAGCCGTCAAGGAAACCTTGGACCAGTTGAAGTTCGCGAGGGAACGGGTGAGAATGAAGAAGAGACAGAGACCCAGTCAGAGGGATCCGGATGTGGAGGCCGACAAGGACGATATCATGATGGCGTTTCATGGGCGGAGCAAGAGCGTGCCGAATGTTGGTGTTGGTCCCGATGGAGGGATCGTTGGTTCGAGTCGACCGATACAAGAGGGCCAGCCGCCGCAGTACTTTCCGGGTTCATGAAGAGTACGCCGATCAAGACGAACATGATATCCGTCGGGTTGGTGACGGCACCCATTCATCAAAATGGGACACAGAGGGGTAATCATCGCAACGCAGCCGGATCCAGCCCACTACCTCGCCGGCTGCTTTTACATCCAGGTGCTGTATGCAAATCTGGAAGCTGAAGACTCTCACAAGCTCTCCTGACTATCTGTTCCCTGAGCGGTACGTCAACTCTTCTGGATTTCCGCCAGCAAAGCCGCCGACTTCCCGGAAGTGGTTCCTCTATGATTCTACGGAACACCCTTCCCTCTATCCTTTCTCTAGGGCGGCAACTTGGTGATGGGATTCAGGTACGGGCCGAGATAGATATGGTCGTCTGCCCAATCCATCAACTTGTCCCAGTCACCACAGACATGGGTGTTGTTGGCGCTGAAGGGACCCAGGATGCCCTCGAAGCGCCTTTCCAAAGTCGGGTCTGCATAGCACATGACCGATTGCCGCAGGTACTCGGTGCAATGGAACATGTGGTCCGCGGTCAACTCGTCGGGCACGATCCCGCGGACCGAATAGTCGACTGCCCATTGGAGAAGCCACTGTTATACGAAACGAACCAAACATTAGCAAACCAGGCAGAGAGTGACGAAGCAAGACCACGTGCGAGAATGGACAAGAAGAAAACTGAAAACATACCACACAATGCAGTTGATGGTACCCTGCAACGCCGTAGAACTCGCCGGGCATGCTGTCGAACGCCACACGGCCATGGCGCGCGCGATGCAGGATCTCGTGCCACGCCGGGTACGCCTTATCCTTGAATCCCATGAACGACTCGTTCCGCTGGAAGAGAACCGTCTTTTTGGTGACTAATCCCACACAGTCACGAGTCAGCTAAACCACGTACATACCCAGAGCCATATCGAAGACGCCGAAGCGAGGATGAAAGGAAGGAAGGACGGACGGACGGAGGAATCCACGACATACATTCCGGCCCCAAGATCGGAGGCATGACCCCCGGCGTGTGGATGACTTCAGTCTTGGCCTGGGGAACGTGGCGGAAGACGTCGTCCTTGGGCGTGGGTGTGATGCTGAGTTTTACCACGGTGACGGTGAGCGCCGCGCACAGGATCGAAAGCACGCCTATGCAGCACAGCAGTAGCTTCTGGATCCGGTGGGCGCGCCGGTCGTGCATCTGGTAGCCCCCGCTGCTATCGTTTTCGTCATCTTCGTCCGTGTCCCTGTGCTGTAGCATGGCTGCCAGTGCCAGGGTTGAAGATGCGGGATGGTGGTGCTGGCGCGGCTTTTCGTCAATCTGGAAAGGGGGTTGCCGTGATAGAGACGGAGGGTCGTGTTTGATGAGCGTGTCTTCCGAGGACTTGGACCAACACTCACACTCTGAACAAGGCATCTGGATTGACAGTAGTGAGAAAGGAAAATGATGAAGGAGGCTGGTCGGATACGAGCGGGCAATAGAGGGAAGTGAAGGAGGAAGATGAATTCTCGGATCAGAGAGAGAGATATATATAAGAAATACGTCCGTGCCGACTGACACACGTGGCGACCTCGAACGAGGGACCACCCTACCTGCAGTGCGGGAATACCGGGATTTCCAGACCCCAGGCAGGACACCTGCAGAGGGCGAAGTCATTCGACTTTGAATCTGTACGATTCACATCACTCGACCTCTGACGTGAATGGGGGCAGGGCTGGCTGAGTGGCGAGCTGCTGTGCGAGGTACTCTGGGGTAGGACGAAGAGCTGGTTCTTCAAATGATGACAGACACTCAGCAGGCCAGCGCAAGCCAGCCCAGATAGGGAATAAGTGAGTGAAATGGGTGGGAGAGTAGAACGGGGGACATTTTGGCTCTTTCAACCGCCGGTCCGCTCGCTACAAGAATAGTATTATTATGACCTTGGTGGCCTCCCGCTTTATCTATCTTACCAACTGAGTACGTTATTCTTCGCTATATTTAGGAGCTCCTCAGAGGGTCGAAGTGGACTTTATTGGGTAGAATCTAAACACACACGCGCCGTTCAGGGAAGTTGCGTTGTTGAGCTTGCGTTTGGAAACATAAGCAGAAACATCCCGTCGGCTCTACATCTCCTTCCCCTTCTTCTCTCCTCTCTTTCCCCCTATGATGAAAGTGACCGACTAAATGGACTGGAACTGATAATACCCATATTATCCCCTCTTCCCACACCCGCGTTGCAAAAAAGTGAACCTTTGCCCCTTTGTTGTCCAGAGAAATTCTAGGATGGGGGTTATGCGCGCGGATTGCGATATTCAGCACTTCCCGGTATCGAGGGAATCTGAGCTAGGCTTATCGCTTGGCGGTGGCGTGGTAGATGTCCGTCTCTGGAGAGCGTTTGATGGTGGCATGGTAGATGTCCGTTTCAGGAGAGCGTTTGGCAGTGGCGTGGTAAATGTCCATCTCTGGGGAGCGCTTGATTGTCGCGTGGTAAATGTCAGTCTCTGGAGCGGGAGACCGCTTTGCAGTGGCATGGTAAATGTCAGTCTCTGGGGAGCGCTTGATTGTCGCGTGGTAGATGTCCGTTTCACGCTTTGTAGCCCCCATCAATGCTGCAGTTCGAGCTTCTGATGCCTTTGTCAGTCACTCATTCTCCAAGGGTCAGCTTGCAGAACACTCACTCAAGGCGTCTGTAGCAGGAGACGTTGGCAGGGCCGAGGCCGACGCTGCAAGCAGCGCAAGAAGGGAAGTGACTTGCAGGAATTTCATGTTTGCTGATGACGGTTCAATCGAGATGGAGGAGACTGAGAAGAGAAGATTGAAGATTAGGATGCATTGAGCGGAAGTTGTCGTATATATAGTCTCAGCGACTGCCAATGCGGACGGAAAGTCGGAGGCCTTTTGAAGAGCCAGAAAGGGCTATTGTCGACTGTTCGCCACATTCACGCTGTGACTATGGAGAGCGCTTGAGCTGTTGACCAAGGCCACTCTCCTTCTCGCGGCAAGCTTCTCAATCGAGCCAGAGCACCACTGCATTGTGACGGCGGGAGACAACATTAGCCTGACGCTGGGGCAAGGGTTGAATCCGTGCATCCCTGACTGGGAAGACGGCGGACTTGCCGATTTCAGTGCAACCTGGCGCTGTGGTCTATATCTTACATCAGCTCCTACAGCAAGTAGAACCTGTCGCATGTAGACCGCGTCGCCATTTGCTAGATCGGAAACGCTGTGCTACTTCGTGAAGATCTAAGTCCGCGGTGCAATGGCTCGAGGAAACGGTCTGTGTGAGGCTTGAGGTGGCGGTAAAATGAGAACATGCTGTGTATGTATGTCGATCAGCTTCCTCCATACTTGCCATCAAGGTCGACTCGCGCTTTGGCATTACCCGATCATTCTGTTACGCTGATCCTCGATGAACCATTCGGCCCAGATATGTGTCCACAGGATTGACTCAAGAAAACACCGGGCTTAGTTCAGAGGAGAGATTGTGCGTGGGTAATCAGTTAAGACGAATCAAAGGAATGCTATGCGAGCGATGAGATAGATTGGTTGTTGGTAAGAGTACCTAGGTACTCATGTGCATCTAAAGTTTGTAGCAAAAGAGGCCACAGCCTTTTGCGTGACACACTAACCCCTTTCGGTAGGTATGATGGAGCGACTGCCAGTGGCAACCTGAAGTATCGACCACCGCCTTCACCATCATATTGGGGAAATGGGCACGCGATAGCTGACCAAGCGGGTTGGAGTAGTCACTGCACAAATGTTCTGTCGATGGCCGACTTACATGGATGTTGCACAGAGCTGTTCCCGGCGAATGATTATGCACTGATATCTCGTGCTACATGCTTTTTCTGCCCTAAAACCCCTTCTGGTGCATCGCTTGGGGGGTACAGAGAATCCCTCGAACCTGCGAGAGCCCGTCTTGATGGCTTGACAATGCCCCTACCAAAGACCTCTGAAGCCGTGAAGCCCCAAAAAGGAAAGAGCATGCGAAGCTGACTTGTTACACACCAGCGAGCAGGCTGAGCAACGAGGCAAAGATCCCCGACTCAGCTCGTTGACTCGTACATATGAACTCCTTGCCCAACTTTAGCTTGTCGTCATTCCCCCAGAAGTATGATCATCACCAGCTGACAAACCATGGGCAGACAATCCCGGGTCATGCTCTTCCTCGTTCTTGTCCTAGTTGGCTGCATTTGCTACTCAGCAGGCTCCACCTCATCTCAATGCTGGCTTGACTACTCACAGATTCGTCACACTGCACTTCCGAGGGATCTGGAGTCCGACTACGGAGCTGTTTTGAAAGGAATCGGTGCTGGCACATCAGGCTCTGTGTTTCTGCTTCTGCGGCACGCCGACAATGCTACCGTAGCAGTCAAACAGTTTCACAACTCGGCCTCCGCCTCAGATCAACATCAGCATGAGCTTTTGACTCAAAGGGTTAGGCTTGAGTATCATCTAGGAACTCTCCTCAACGGCCATCGGGGCATCTCAGAGAGCCTCGAGCTTCTCTTCGAAGAACCTTCATCGACTTGGTTTATGGTGACGGAGTTCTGTCCCAGGAGCCTGGCAAAGGAGCGTCGCTCAACCGGCTTGGGGTCGCTGACAACAATATTCCGTGAGGTTGTCGAGGCTGTGGATTATATGCACTCAAAAGGCATAGCTCACGGAGATCTCAAGCTAGAGAACGTCCTTCTGACGCCTGATGGACGACCCAAGTTGATCGACTTTGGTGCCGCCACATTCTCGGCCTGCCCGACAGAAACCCTCGGCTCAGCAGACAGTGTCAACGTCGTCCCCGGAGACTATGGCACCACAGCCTACATGCCGCCTGACGCCTTCTCACAACTCGAGTTCGACAAGGCCAAAGCCGATGTGTGGGCCCTCGGCGTTTTATTCTATGTGATGATTACGGGATCAGTTCCTTGGTCGTCTGCCTCAATAGATGACCCCAGCTACCAAGTCTATGTGACACAGGGACCGGTCGACGACAGATTCACTTCAGACCATTGCCCTAGATGGGACAAATCGACGATTCAATTCCAGACATGTTCCTCCGGAGCCTTTCATTTACTACAAAAACTGCCGCCTCACGCAAAGGAGATGATTGCGTCGATGCTAGTGCCTGAGCCACTGCAACGGCCTTCACTCCAGACTCTGTTATACTCTTTGTCCTAAATAAGAAGCCCTCCGGGTCGCGCTCGACAGACCGTGAGCACGAAGAGGAATCTCCTTAGACGAAATATGAGATGATGGTGGAGAATTAAATTCAATGGCAACTTCGTAAATTCTTGGTCGAAAGACCATTCTCTTGACTTTGTGTACCTCTGTGCTCATACTGGTCAGAATTGAAACACCTTTTCTAGAGCTGCCCAGTCCATGGCTTTCTGTTCCTTGAACTTCTCCTCCTCAGCTTCCCCTTCCTGCTCCATCAACGGGTGTACTGTGCAACCGCCTTCAAACGTCAACCACGCGTCTGCGCCTTCAAGGTCTCCTGCTCCGGGGCCTTTGTCGTCCTTGTCTGCACCTTCAATATCTGCGGGGACTCTCTCGGACTTGTCGTCCCCACCAACGTTCGCAATGCGTACGCTATGTTGATTGATCAAATACCACGCATTGGGACCAGAGCGGCCTCCGACGGTGATGCGGTGGTCATGGAGGTGTCTGATCGCTGCGGCGATCTGCCCTTTCCACTTTTCTTTATATTTCGAGAGGTCGGATGTGGTGAAAACCTTCATCCACTCTGCCAGAGTCTTCGCACGGGACACATAGTTCAAGAGTATACCCGCACAGAGTGGCTCGTTTGTTTCTAACTTGGCTTGTCCTTCGTCCGACGGTGGAGGTGCAGCGCTTTCCTCTGGTTCTGGTTCTGGTTCTGGTTCTGTATATGCGTGACTGACGACAATTCCCTGCAGTCTTGGGATATTGACTCCTTCAGCTGCACCCAAGGACGAGATCTCGGTCGACCGCGAATGCAACCGGGAATAAGCGTTGATGATGTCGAGGGACTTGTTGGTGATCTCTCCGGTAGGGACGTGCCTCGCCGGCTTATTGCAGGGCCTGAAGAAAAATACCTCACCGCTCGGCGCGCGAACCTTGTGCGGCGGACGGCGCCAGTTCTTTTCTTTGCCCAGCACAACGAGGTCTTCTGCTGGATATTGGGGGATGTCCTCCGGGAGTAAGCTGATTTCTGAGAACTTCATCAGATTGTGTTCGTACGAGGGGCGATCCACGGGTCCCTCGGTGATTTTCGGCACGACATCCGCGGTTTCCTTCTCATCCCTGACCAGCTTCAAGTCATACGTCGGCGTGTGCAGGTAGTCGTCCAGGGTCACCCATTGATGCGAGCTGGGAGCCAAGGTGTCAAGCAAGGGCAAGCAGGGCGTGATGACACAATCGCACAACGATTCCCACCGCTTCACCCAATCGTGCATGTCCGTCTTCTTGATCAGCGCGAGCCACGTCTCCGAAAAGATCGTCCCGGAGACATCTTCGAGCGAGACGCTGATCCTGAAGCACACGCCGTGCCGGTAGAAGAGCGTCCACGACGTTCCCTTCTTGTCATCGTGCCTGCCATACCGCACAATGTGGGGGACGGAGTCGAAGTAGCGGACGGTAGACATGACGATAGTTAGTAATACTCGGGTACGGAAAAAAGAGCACTTCCTCCCCGTTTGTTATGATTGAGCCCGGTGCCAGGATCTGACATGCAAGACAATGGGCAGGCGGAATGTACTATGTACTAGGTAGTTGTTAAATACGAGGAAAGGGGGGATAAGGCTGCGAGTGAACGACAAAATTAGGCAACAGCCTCTTAAATAATCTCCACTTTAAAACTGTGTCGAAACTCCACCAGATCCGTCGATCTTGAAGTCTGGGCCCGGGCCTGAGTGAACATTTCCGCTGCTAGAGGCAATGATGATATGTATTCTCCATGTCTGGTCCTGTTGACGGGATGGCACTGGTCGTCTTCATTTACTTGCTGCCATGGATGACACTACAGGACAAGCCGCACTTTTAACTTGTCACCCTCTTCTATCTCCTTTTGCCTTGCAAGCAGCTCCTCCATATCCCAAGTACAGCTCAGATACCTTCCGGCGAGCCATTCTCGTCGTTCGCTCGTGAGAAAAGCGATAGTATCCCCAGCCAATGACGGACTGTCCGTAAAACCTGCAACAAAATCAGTCATCACGCACAGAGGCCGCAATCCTGTGTTTTGGGAGGGACTTACTCGCGTGTGTCTCCTTAGGCATTGCTCCGGCTAGCTGAGTCATGACTCCCCCGGGATGCACTGAGAAGGCGAGCAACCCCTGCATCCTCTGTTCCACCAGGAGGAACTCGGTGAGTTTGAGGATGGCGAACTTGGACGTGCCGTATGCGCTTGCCTCGGGGCGGAGGTTATGAGCCGCCACTGAGTTGACGTTGACGAGGGTCTGTAGGCCGTCCGCTGTCCCATTCAAGAGCGGTGTAAAGAACTTGCACATCAGGAAAGTCCCCCTCAAGTTGACTTCAAGCGTCTTCCACCACGAGTCAATCTTGGCTTCCACAATCGGCAGTGCCGGGGTCATGAACCCGGCGTTGTTCACCAGGACATCCAGCCTCTGTGAAGATTTCTGCACTCTAGCTGCCGCCGCTGCAACGGAGGCACTGTCTGTCACATCCAAATCAAGTAGGAGAACCGTGGGAGGAGGTCTACCGCATTGCTTCGCTGCATTCTCGATCTCGATACTGACAGGAGGATCTCCGAAGCCGTCAGGACACCCTAGGCCGATGAACGACGCCCCGGCTTGGGCAAATGATATGGCAATTGCCTTCCCGATCCCACGATTCCCTCCAGTAATGAAAACGGCCCTGCCGGTATGATTTGACTTGGCCCTCGAATCAATGAAAGGGTATGTGTCGTTGTGGATTACTTGAGTGAAGTTTGCACCTATTCGTGCAGGTCAGCCTGTTCGCCGCCGCCAACGATATTTTGGAGAGGACCCCAGCCATGGCAAACTCACCATTTGGAGGCGTCACTGGAGGGTACGCTGCCATATCGTCAAGGGAACTCGTTAGATCGAACTGGACTGAAAATCGGCCAAAAGCAAGGCATTCCTGGCTCCGACTGAGGCCTTTTTATTGTTCTTGTCCTTCCTCGGACTTTCTCAGTCGTCAAATAAACCCCGTCGACTAGCTACATGCCGAGCACGGGAGAATCGTAAATACGACTATCTGAGTCTGTTTTAAGTTTGAAGCCAGAAAGGCAGAATCCTCGCGTTACCGAATTGCCGGGTAAACCGACAAACCCTGAAGAATTGGAGAGGTCGAGTGTCAAGGAGACCAGACGATATATCACTTCGTCGCATGGCTGGTCAAAAAATGCAGGCAGAGACTTGCCTAGAAGGACTGGGATCCTGAATATTACTGCAATACCTCATGGGGCTGCCTGGGGGTCTTTCGATGGAGATGGACGTATAAAAGTTGAGGTTTCCAGGGCAAAGCTGTGATATCCGAAGCCATCTCCAAACCAATGTTGAGCGGGGCAAGAGCTTACAGCGATGGAATATAGCTGGAGTCTAGACCACGTCCACCAAGACCTGATGGAGGGCTAGGGCTGACTATCACGTAGGCTGACCTGCGAGCAATGGGCGAGATCGACACCAATGATGGGTGTCCCCAAGGCACCCGGTCTAAGGACATCCCATTGGTCTTGGAGGCCGGGGCCAAGTGATGATGAGTACAACAGCGGAAGGAAGCCGCTCTATCTTACGCCCCATGAACACCAAAAGACGTTGTATCCAGCAGTCAATTTTAACGACAACTCGACAGGTGGGCGGAAAGAGCAATGGTTGGTATCCCAGGAAAATCGCAAGGCTGTAACACTTGCAGAAGGAGAAAGATCAGAGTAAGTATGAACTCGCTTGGCTGCCAGCATCTCTTAAGTAACCTGTGTTAGTGTGACCTCCAAAAGCCGTTATGTCAAAGATGCATCTCTTCACACAGGCAGTGCGAGGGCTATGAACGATACCCGGTCTTCATCAACCGCAACCAGGCAGGTCTCCAGAGAAGAGAACGCTTGGAAGAAGTCAGGTGCACCCGACCACAGTCCGCGCTGCAGAACCAAGACAGTACTCGTATTACTTTCTCCGTACCCTCCCCGTCTCAACTCATCGAAGATCAACTTCTATCGTGTTTCTGGGAAGGCTACTCCACAGACTCGTCCCAGCACTCCGGGGCAAGAGAGCCCGCGTGGCTATACCATTCAATCAACATCTCAGGACCGACAACTTCATTGAGACAAGCTCTTCTCTCGCTGGCATACATCCGGACAGGCAGGCTGCAAAGCAACCAGACACTGATTCTAAAGGGGCAGGAAATCTACGGCCAGACCCTTCGACTTATGCAGAGTGCTCTGTACGATTCCACGCTGGTGCTTCACGATGAGACCCTCGCGGCGGCTCGGTGCATGGTCTTGTACGAAGCGTTCGAGTCGACATCCGAAGACATGGACGCCTGGCAAAGCCACATCATGGGTATAGCCCGAATCATCCAGCTCCGGGGTCCCGGCCGTCATCGCGACCCCCTGTCCAAATCCATTCTCGAGTCCATGCGCTACAACGCCATGATCGTCTGTCTCGCCCGGAGGGAGTCGTCGTTTTTCAGCAATCCGGATTGGTTGCTGCAGCCCTGGGCCGACGATACACCCAAGGATATTGAGCAGAGGATTTATGACTATGGCTTCACCTTGTCTAACCTCATTCAGATGGGAGAAGCTGCCTACCAGCGCTCGGATCGAGCAGAGATACTTCGGATCCTGGAACAGATCAGAAATAGCTATGTTGGCATGACGGCACTGCATGAAGAACTGCTCGCCATGCAGCCCGAGCACTATCCCCTAGCCGCGCATCATCACGTATTATTGGCAATTGATGAACGGCCATTCGGCGAGACGACACATGCCATCACCTGCGCGATTCTGCTCGCCCTCGACCTGTTCTTTTCCACCTATGCCGCGGCACTGATTGACAAGTGCGCCGACTTTCTCAGCGACGGGCACGAGCACGGGTACCACGATTCTCTCATCCTGGCAGGGATTTCCCGCTATACTGACCCAGCCCGTCGGCTCGACTTGGCGAGGCAGATCCTTCGACTCCTGCAGTATTGTCTGCAGACGACACCGTTCGAGTACGCGCGACCGAGAATCATCTTCCCTCTGAACGTGGTGAGATGGGAGCTAAGGACGATTCCCCAAGACCGGGCGCAGGTCCAAGCGTTGTTTGACACCATTGCTTCGGCAAACCAGTTTCGCATCGCACGCAGCGTGCAGAATGCGGGCAGCAAGACCTTGCCGAGCGTTGTCTCGTGGAGGAGGAAGCGGTGAGCGCCGGGGGTTCTTGTTGGATTTTCGGTACTTCTCTGAAGCCCCTTGACTACGAGCCTATGGGCAACATGATGGGGCAGACCACAGAAACGGCAGGCGACGACTGGTTTCAATTTCAACGAGATCTAAACTCGACTTGGAAGAGGCTGAAAGGTTGTGGTATGAGCATGTCCAAAAATGTTCTATTGTATTCATCATAATGAGAAATTAACAGCAGCAAACCGTATGTATAACGTCAGTTCGTGCTTCTAGTCTAATTAGTGTATTTTTATATATCCATTCCTTTCGCCATGTAACTCTGAACAAACCCTTCCCCCCCTTACTTTCCTGGAAATGTCCTCCTGGTCTTGCATACCCTCTTCACAGCCTCCTTCTCCTTCTTTATGCTCCTCCCAGCCTCTCAGCCGACTCGGCCGAAGAGCTAGGGCTAGCCGATCTGACACTTGAGGACACGGCCTTTTCGGGACTCGACTCGTCCGGGACCAGCTGCTCAAGGCCGGTCTTGAAGACGAAGCCTGGATGCGCGGGGATCAGGCAGATGGAGGCGAGGATGACCATCCTACATGGACAGAGTCAGCAATTTTGCGTACTGGGCCGAGAAATCAACGGCAGGTAGATTACTCACACCGACTCAAAGACAATGAACAGCGTCTGATCCCGCAGCGCTTGACTGGTGCGCTCGTACCCTCCGCTCAGCTCGTAGACGCGGTAGCAGCAACGGATCAGAATCAGGATGGTGGCGGCGAAGAGGAAGCCGCTGAAGACGACGAAGCGGATGGGCGGACGGGTGGTCAACCACACGGCGCGGCTGCGGAAGGCATAGTCGATGGCCAGGACCACAAACGCCGTCAATGTGAAAACCTGGAAAGCTAGGCCGGCCAGAGCGATGTCGACGCCGGCCTTGTCACCCCCGTCGGACGTCGACGATATGGCGCCGCCGGCGGCCTGGAGGACCAAGCTCACGATGTCGCAGGGGATGAAGATCCAGTAGAAGTACTTGGGCGCGAAGCGCGAGGAGGGTATCGAGATGTACCTCACGCTGTTGGGAGGGGTTAGATGAGATGGAATGGGATCAGGCAGCGAGTGCGGATGGCTGGGACTTACATCTGCGCGAGCAGCACGTAGATGGCGGCGGAGAAGAAGACGGGCCCGATGGTGATCAGGACTGGTAGCTCGTTAGACGACCCGGTCACGCTGGGGGGAGGGAATGCTCTTACCAATCTGGATAATGAACCCAGACTGCGCCCACGGGTTCTGCCAGTACAAGATTCGCCCAACGTACCCGATAATCTCATCCACGCAGCCCAGCAGCATCAGGCTCATGAAGCCCCATGTCTTGTACCGCCACCCAAGGATGGCCTGGGCGACCATGCAGAGAGCGTAAAGGGCGATGAAGACGCCGCTTGCACCAAGGGACGGGCGGTATCCGTAGACGCTTAGCTCGATCGGGCACACTGAGATGGTGCAGTTGGCGCTGTGGCCGCCGGCGATGTAGAGAGTGCCATTTGGCGTGATGAAGACGGGTTCGTGCGAATTCGTCATTGTGGGAGAGCCTGGAGAGGGTATGTAGAGGGGAAGGAAGGGAAGGAACCAATGTAGTTGGTGAAGAAGTCTGCTTGGGTGTGGAAGAGTGCGAGAGTAAGGAGCTGACTTGTGTTAAAGGACAAGGGAGTGTATATACTCTGTATATGATCTGTTGCTGTGCTTCGGTCGATTGTGGAACAGTTCTTCGTGAGGTTCTTGTGGCGAATATATATACCAGCAGAACACATGGCCGACCCTGACGATGCATACATCCTTACTGACCGTCATAGAGAGATGAGTCTGAAGACCTCGCATGTTGAGGTGCCACCTAGTTCATCGTGCCTGTATCACAACAACTATAGCCATAGCGACCATCCTAAATTCGGTCCTGCTTGCGATGAGGCCGTAGGACCTCGGCGGTTGACTGCGAACCAATGACCCAAGAAGGACAGGCACTCAGCAAATGAGGTCCGAATACGTCAGGCGAACTCTCTCAATGGGCCAGAAGCGGTGCCTGTCCTGGATGGACAGGGCAATACGTCCTGCGGAGTAAAACTCGTGGCACATACCATGTCAGGGTGTTTTCGATGATGCCTGGATACGAGCTAGACATGCGACGCTGGGGTGGTCAAAGGCACTGCGTATTCGGTACCTGGCGGATCATCAATCGGCTGAGCGCCCCCTGTCCACCGAAGAAGTGGTGGCTCCACAGATCTCATTATTGCGGGATTTCCAACGTGCGTATTTGTCGTAGGTATGGAGCACAGCTCATGCATGAAGAAAGATCTAGTAAGTTAGCACAGTTTCAGTGGAATGTCTGGTGGAAAATGAGTATTTGGAAGATGTCTAGAAAAAAAGAGGGACCTCATATCAAGATGGAGTGCCGGGACCTCCTCCACTGCAACGTCCGTAAGCTGTAACACTGCTGCCACCACCCAATCGTTCCCGACCCTGCATTCCCCCGTCGCAAGTTGCACCCTAAAGAAGGAAAAGCGCCAACCTCCTGGCCTGCTTAAGCGAGATCAACGCGTCATGAGCAAGCGATGAGCCTCTGACTGCAGATCCAAGAGCTTGGTCGGCCAGATCTCGCAGAATGAATGCTCGAAGCGCTATAGCGAGTCTCCTAAAATAGGAGGCTGTGTGCAGTAATATAGCAAACAGACCTACTGCGACAACGCTGAGGATTGCCGGCGCATACCAAGGCGCCAACGTCATCACCATTCTCCTGCATCAGGCCGCCAACTCCCAAGATTCTCGAGAAAATCTACGTGGGCAGTCTTCTCCTTTGGAATTTCGACCTTTCGACTTTTCCCTGCGGCCATTACGGTAAACAACAGGCCAATGACGGCCAACAATCACTCGAATTTAGAAGGTGCCCGCCCATAAGCACAACCAACAGCCAGGAGGTCGGCCGAAAATTGAGATGCTCGAGACCCAACAACAAGCGAGTCACCACCAGCCAATCGTGACTTCTGCGGAGCACCTCGTACACTTGGAGACGGGATTGTCAATAACAAGCAGAATGCCAAACGATCGAGGGGAAAGGTACGTCTGGGATATCAACAGAAGACAAAGGCAGCAGTGATGACAGAATAATGGCGGGATCGAGAATTGGGCCGAAATGCGGACCATCCGACCGTCCGGCTTCGTATTTGCTTGGGGAGCATGGACAAATATATCAAGCATATATCCAGCGAGAGAGGATGAAGCTTTGATTGCAACAGCCTGAACTCAGCGCAGGTTCACGGAGTCATCTGCATCATGTCTCCGCCATAGGTGATGAGAGCATGGCAGTATACAACCACCACAGGTGGCCTCGAGAAGAACCTCCTCCTCAATGCATCTGCCCCAGTACCCCAGCCCTCTCCAAGCCAGCATCTTGGCCGGATCCTGGCAACCTCATTCAATCCTGTTGACTATAAAATTGCCGAAATCCGGCTTGTGAGCTACTTCGCCATCCCGAAGCCAGCAACACCTGGCATTGATGTATGCTTTTCTTCAGCCGGCTTGATCGCTCGACTGCGGCGGCTGCTTACCTCTTCCAATGGCAGGAACATGCTAATAAACACCCTCAGTTTGCAGGCTATCTGGTCACCCCTGCCGCTGGATCCGCCTTGAAACCTGGTCAACTTGTCATCGGAGCCTCGGGCACATCACTCTTGGCCGGAGGGGGCTTGGCTGAATATGCCGTCGCGAAGGACGATCAAATTGTGGCTATTCCGGAAGGCTTGGGCCCAATATTGGCATCCACAATTTTTGTGGCGGGAATAACAGCCCACCAATCGATCGTTCCATATGTTAAGGCGGGAGACAGGATATTCATCAATGGCGGTTCTGGAGGAGCAGGAGTCTTTGGCATTCAGTTTGCGAAAGCCGTAGGGTGCCATGTCATGACCACATGTTCGAGCACCAACGTCGAACTCTGCAAAAGTCTGGGAGCGGACGCTGTTATTGATTACAAAAAGCAGAACCCATTGGAAGCTCTGAAGGCCGGTTCGCACCAGTTTGATCATGTCGTCGACAACGTCGGCTCAAACTTCGAGCTCTACTGGAAGTGCCACGAATATACCAGGCCCGGCGCCTTGTTCATGGCTATCGGCGCAGACATCTCGGGAGCTTTCGTCATGGATACCATATCCAGAAAGTATTGGCCTGCTTTCCTTGGGGGCGGAAAGCGGCAGTCGGTCCATTTTGCCCCCAAAGCGCAGCCTACAGATCTGGAAAAGATCGCAACCTGGATGAAAGAAGGCAGGGTGCGGGCCGTGATTGACGAGCAGTTTACATTTGAGCAGGCTCATCAGGCGATTGAGAGATTAAAGACAGGCCGCGCAAAGGGGAAGATCGTGGTTGAGGTTTCCTCCTATGGCTCAACACAAGTCTCGATGCGTTTTTGGAGAGGACCGTTTTGTGCATTGTATACGGTTACTGGATGAGCTCTTGCGAGCAGCTCTTTATCGACAGTAGTCTTTATCGACAGTAGTCTTTATCGACAGTAGTCTTTATCGACAGTAGTCTTTGTCGACAGTAGTCTGTGTTTTTCATGCATTCGCTAGGCTGGGGAGTTGTTGCTACCAGGTATTGTCCTCTGCAGAAACAACTCTTGCTGTGGGGACCGACTGCGCCACATCCACGCCAAGCTTTGTCCTGGCGAGAAAAGATGGAGTACCTCGTACAAACAGCTCGAAGCTCACATACGACGCACCCCAGCAGTGCCGCTTCTATAAGCTCTCACCCTCCAGCAACCCTCTAGACTCGACAATGCCAAGACGCGGCGTTGGGCGGCTCGGACAGTCCCTATGCCCGGATCTACTCCAGCAAGCCAGGACAACTCTCCTGGGAGTCTGGCACACGCTACTGCCCAGGACCACTCTCCCAGGCAGCGAACGGATGCCAGGCTGTCCGCCTTCCTTAGGATATCGACCCTAGGGCGTCTGCTATTGGAGACCTGGCCCGCGACTCATGTCCTGCGGTCCTTTCTATCCTGTGACCAAACGTGTCCCAAGACGGACGGGCTGGAACACGTTGTCTTCTGGGACTACGCTCCTAGTTCGTTCAGCGCCCCAGGACTTTCCCGCACCCCAGGAGCAGTGCCCCAACTGTGATAGGACATGGATCTTAGGCGCTATGGAGGTTGCCCAGGACGCCTCTAGAGCTGCACTAATGGACTCTCTGTTCGCACTGGCGGTGTCCTGCTGGGGAAGGCTGCGGCTCGGCCACGCTGTCTGAACTGAAGGCCTGGATCTTGCTGTGCCATGTTCGTCCCGCCCACACTCGCCCCGTGAGGCTGCGACATTTCCCATGTCAGCCAGCAGCGGTCAATGGCATGCCTATGTCTCGCCGCAGAATATCAGCCCGGCGTATATCAGACACACAAGCCAATGTAAAGACTATTGTACCAAATGGTACCCTCCAAAATCAGCTCCCATTCAATCCAAGCAGGAATGATATTGTTCCAGGTCATCTTGAACCAACATTGAAGCCGGCGAAGGTCGCCTTAGCCCTGGCAATCTGTCCAGGGCAAGTATGTGAACGAGCAAGGCATGCGTCGGTAAGACTGCTGTCTGCCTTTCCACGCATCTCTCGATCCTTGGCCGAAGCCGGCGTGTGGCTGCTGCAATCTATTCCATGCTCCGTTACACATCCCGTGAAACTGCTACTGGAAAGGACTGTGGCAGGCAATGCTGCAGCAACATATCCTTCCACCCAGAGGAAGCACGAAAACACGACAACATCTGAACAAAAGCCGAGCGACCACAGCCAGCTGTTGACACACGCCACTTTGGTTTGGGAGGCTATGTTCTCCGTCAACTCGGCCTCGTGGGGGCTGTGGCCTACCCCACCTGAAGTTCTGCCTCAATCAATTACTTCTAACCTTCAAAAAGCCCTTCGTTTTCCTCAATTCCAGGTGTGACCCTAAGCAGTTGTTGCTCTTCCTCGCAGTCACAAAATTGTTACGGCCATTCAAGGATGTCTTTCGGCTTCTCTGCCAGCGACGTTATCGCTCTCTTGAATTTGGCGAGAGGCGTATACAAAGGGTGGAAAAGAGCCTGTGGTGACTATGCCGAGATTACCCGCGAGCTGGATGCATTTAAAAACATTATAGCCAGGGTGGAAGTCGAAACTCGAGCACCCAGTTCGTTACTTCAACGAGATCCCCAGGCCCTCAAAGAGTGCAGAAAGCTGTTGAAGGGATGCAGCCCTCTCCTCGAAGGATTGCGCAAAATCCTGAGGGAATATTCGAGCCTTGGTACAGATCAAAAAAGTACTTGGGAGCGAATCAGGTTTCAGAGCAGCAGTCTGCAGTCCCTTCGCGATGAACTTGTTAGAAAGACGACATGCTTACATGCCTATCTCTCCGCGCTTGGATTCAGTTCACTTGGCCGCATCGAGAACGGAATGAGTTCACTTGGCCGCATCGCGAACGAAATCTTTCCGCAGCTGCTCGACAAAATGACCGATTTGGCCAGACAGAGCAGAAATAGGAATGCCTCTCTCTCTTCTCTAACAACATATGATAACGATGATAAAACAGTCTGGCAGGAATTTCGGAGGGACCTCTGCACATCAGGCTTCAGGAGTTCAGATATCAGGCAGTTCGCCCCGGCGCTCAAGACCTTCCTTAGACAACTTCAAAGCACTGGATATCTAGATGAAGAAAATCCCCAAGAATTCTCGTCCAGGTCAGCCACTTTCCTAACTAATCGGTCCAAATGCTAAGTATGTTTCAGTCCTTCGCCACAGCGATCACCTAGTGTAGATCGCGAAACCCAGCGGCAAACACCCTTTACGGATATATGGATTCAGCTCGCTAATGAGAATCAATACGTGGACGAGGCCCGAGTAGACGGAAAAGGGAAACAGCGCAGTACAAGCCAGTACTCTTTGCCAAATAACTTGCCATCCGAAAATATTCCAGAACATGACAGTCAACCAAAGCACCCTTCCACAGAACATTTGCAGAGCTTTATAGGGAACAAGAGGTTGACAAATGAGCAACCTCAATTCACTGACAACGAAATAACTTCTGGTGATGATGAGGACTGCTCTGACCTGTACTCGGAATCAAGTGGAGATGAAGTCGAGGCTGCCGGAGAGCTCTTAGCGGAAGGATCTGACATCAGCATTTCTTGCACTGATATCGCAACTCAACTATTCAAGGCATCACTCAATGGCCGCTTCCAGGAAGTCGACCTACTTCTTATGAGAGGAGTTGATATAACAGCTACAGATGAAGAAGGGTGGACAGCACTTCATTATGCGTCACTTGGAGGCCATGCTGAAATTGTCGAACTTCTCATGGCGAACGGAGCGGAGTTTACGATCACAGATGAAGAAGGGTGGGCACCTTTACATTGCGCTTCAGACCGAGGTCACGTCGATGTTACCATCCTACTCCTGAGGAACGGAGCCGATGTGACGGCTATGGATAAATCCATGATAACGCCACTGGAACGGGCGAAGCTTAGGGAACACGTCGAACTCGCCGAACTTCTCCAGGAGTCTTTCCGTTCTCTCGGGGGAATATCTCAAGCGAACGTGTTCTAGGCACTGGCTCAAGTCATTGCTTCGCCAAAAAGCCGATGTACTCCATATTCTTGGGGCTTGATGCGCCGGCTCTCGAGGCACACCAGGCTTATCAAGCAAGGAGGCTATCGGGGCCTAAAGGTAGGGCAGCGGCCTTCTAGGCCTCTTCTATGTCGTACACCAAAGCTGATTCTTCTAATGTTGGCTGGATTTCTGATCGTTGGACTAGGACTATTATTTTCCTTGAGAGATCAGGAAGTAGCAAAAGGAAACGCATCCAGGATCTCCAGACAGAGGACAATCAAGGGTGGAGCATCGGCATCCAGCGGCAGAAACTGGTCTCTGAGCTGGATGGATTGGTTGCTGAGCAGTGCGTACTCTGTGGAGATTTGGGCATCAAGTAAATTGATGAGATTTTTCATTCGTGACGGCGGGGATGTTGCTGCATGGGCCATCTGATATTCACCCAAGGCTACAGCCCCTGATATCGACTCGCTCTACTCTTCAGCCCCGGCAGATTATTCAATATGTACTTCTCTCCTACCCAACATCCCCTTCCTCACTCTTAACGGGATGCAGCAACACACTCCTCAAACACATCCTCCCCCTATCTCCCTCCCACTCCGCCCCTCCCTCCCCATCGACGCGATACCCCAACCACCTTCGCCACAGCCGTCCCGCGAACCCAGAGTCATAGTAATACGTCCCACCCCTGAAATTATGCTGCGGGATCTCGCTGAACACGCTCTCGCCGTTACCCCCACTCTGCCCCGTGGTCGGGTCGCTGTTGAAGATCTCGTCAATGTACTCGGGCGGACTCCAGCGGCGGTTGAAGTAGACCGGGTGCGGGGCGAAGACGGCTTTGAGGCCGTGATGCAGGGCCATCGAGGCAGGAAACATTTCACCGCACATCGAGTGTCGGCCCACGGCGGTTTCCTTGTGCATGACTGTCAGGAGGCGGTGGGAGAAGCGGGCCGCCGTGACGATGGAGGCGCGGCGCGGCGGGATCGGGAGGGCCGTGTTGTAGCCGGAGACGTCGGCGCGGAAAATCCAGAATGTTCCCTCGGGTTGGAACATCGGGAGGAAGGTGATGTAGTCGGCGGGTTCGGAGATGCCCCAAGTAGAGGAGACGTCGTTGCTGTCTCGTGTGGATGTTGGTGTTCGTGGGATGTTGAGCGTTTCATGGTAGTCTCCGCCAAAGACCCTGGCTCGTCCGTCCTCGTCCCAGCCGGGGAACACCTGCGGCCCATAGATTTCCTGCCCACTGCCATTCTTCGCCCGGATCGCCGTGTCCTCTACAAACGACTCCCAGCTCTCGTGTTCTTCTGGGATGTAGAATCGATCATTCCTCTCCCACAGACCCCGCCTCGGTTGCTGTTCGGCCCAACGCGAAGTTCGATCGAACAACTCGTACCAGTGACCCACGTAGCGTAAATCCATCTCCCAGTTCCAGAAAAACTCGTACTCCGGATGAGACGTGGCGAACCACTGCAAAGCCATGTGCATACTTCGTCCTACACTGTGGATCCGGCCCGGGCGGTTGAACTGCGGTTCGAAAGGGCCGGGATAGACCAACTTCATCAGGTCTTCGGTCCAGAGGGTCGCCATGGACCGGTATTCTGGAGGCACCGTTTGCTCGATGACTTGATTGTAGATCTCATCGGATGCGAAGATGGGTGCGCCGGATTTGACCTGGATGAGGAGGTGGATATCGTATTCGGCGCCGGAGTTCAGGTTGAGTTCGGTGATCAAGGAGCGGAGGTAGAGGTGACTGTAATTTGTCCATTGATACTCGTCCCACAGGCGAAGGACAACGGCGGTTCTCGGCACATAACGTTGAGTTTGCGCGTTATTCGTGTCTTGCGTCACGGCTGGGGAAGGGTTGCTGGGCCAAGCTGTCGTATGATGGAAGGCGTCGTCCGTGTAGCTCGACACACTAGTAAAGCGATGTTGATTCTTCTCATGACAAGCGGTTTGGGCACGGCCAAGATCAACCTTACGCCAATCGATACGAGACAAAGGCTCGGTGCCATTGGTGTCGCCGTGCATTCCCAGACCAGTCCCGCCTCTCTCGATCTCGTAGCCCAGCCCGTAGGCCATATACCTGCCGTAGCGGTCAAAGCAGACGTCTTTGTTGAGACCAAGGACGTCATATGACCCAAGCATGGGCTCCGGTAGAGCGTGAGGTACACTTTGATAAGCCCGAATCAGGGGTGGAGAGATCTTGTTTTCGTTGTCGAGGAAACACTTTTCGATAGGTAGACTTTCAGAGGCATGCGCTGATCGGTAAGGATTGTATTCGAATGGTTGCGGATACACCTTGCCGATATTGTCCGAGCCCGAGTCCAGAGCGGGAGGTATGCCGTGTCCATCACCTTCGGTGTCACTGGCAAACATCGTCCGCAGGCCTTGGTAGTACCCTTTGTCAAGAGGGAATCTCTGCCAAGCAAATCGCACTGGTGGCTCAGCTATTGACTCTTCTTCATGGTATGTTTGCAGCGTTGATTTTCGAAAGACCAGAATCATGCACACCAGTACCGTCAGGACAAATATTGTCAGGTATTTGAAGCCCCATTTGGGCGGATAGTGGAAGCGCAAAGTCGAACTTGGACTAGAAGGTGGTGAGATGAACGTGGCATCTTCTTGTTGCCGCAGAATATGATAGCGACGATGAGTGGAAAGGCGGCGCAAGCGATTGAAGATCTCAAGGGCTTGCCCCTTTAGATTGTCCATGTTGTCTTCGTGGTCGAAGATAAAGGCGATCTCGACGAGTTTCTTTTCGCGGCGGCTCTTCAGCTCGACCTTGATTCGAAGTCCATGGCATTCTTCGACGATCGTATGGTGAGGAGGAGGTCACAGAAGCCCATTGCCCACCAGCCATCCTTCTGTGGCAGCTTGGTCTACCATCCTTACTTCGGTAATACTGCAAACCGAGAAATCGCAAAGGTTCATGGAGGACGATATTCGACGGTTTCGACTTTGGCGCCCACTGGCATGGCCGATAAGGTGTCATTGACTTGCTGAGCTGTTGTCCGCCAATGAGAATTCTTTCCCCAAGGGCCAGCATTTGAGCTGAAGCAGCATCGCTGGCAGGTTGCCACCAGCGAGCCTAGACAGAACCATGGCAGAAAGCTTCTACGCCATTGCGCGGGGCAAAAGGATAAGTTTTACTGGGATGAATCACCTTGTTGGGTAACTGCTCACGAAGGGGCTGGGGATGTGGGGGGAGGGGGAGGGAGGGGCACTTCTCCTCTCCAAGGGACAACAGGAGGAACGACATCACATTCTAGGGACTTGAATCTTGAAGCAGAATCTACTAGGTACCTAGGTACCGAGTACTCAACTAGCCCCCACTTAGGCGGCTCGTCCTCGAGTCTCTAGGCGGCGGTGGCAGGAGTGCAAAAAGGTCTCGTGAGGCAAATCCGCCTCAGCAGCGTCCAGCGCCTGCAGCGCACGCTCTTCGGCCACTTCTCGAAGTGCCGGAACATAGACAGGCCCAAGGCCTAATAGTAGTCCGCATCCCACGGAGCTACTTTTCGGTTGCGCGTCCGCCAACCGCAGGGCCGAACACTTTCTAAGCGAACGCCCACATCCACAGCGCATTCGCGCCTGTGAAAACAATCACCTGCGTGCGCACACAGCGTGATTCGAACCCGCGACTCGCGCGCAGTTCCAGACAGACTCTCCATGGCCATAGGGAAACACCTCGTGCACAAGGGCCCTACCCGGGGGAGAAGCACAAATTCTCGAAAGTGTCCTCAACATTCCTAGGCCTCAGCCTGGAAAAGACCAAATTCGCAGAATTCGACACAAAATCTACTAATTTTAATATATAATGTTATTCCTCACACCTCAGCTGCCAACGAAGTACTACCTAGGTACATATTACGTTCTTTTTGCTATTTGCTCTTCGCTCGTACTCTAAGCGAAGCTCGACCAAGAATCCGGAAGGAGTCAAGAAGCCTTTTTTCAGCACTCTTATCCAAGTTATCCAATCTACTAATAGAGCCGATGGAAAAAGAAGAAAGACCTCGCCGAACGCTACAGCTCTAGCTCATTTTTGCTTGGCAACTCAACGAGTCGAAATCCGCTTTGAGCTCCTTCTGACCTGGACGCTGGACCGTGCACTCCCAACATCCTCGTCGCCGCTCACCACACGAACATCAAGTCGTGCGATGTGATTGAGATATATCGACTAGATATACTTCGACGATATACTCTGCGTCTCGATGAGCGTCGGATAACTCCCGGAAAACAAGTCCTTCCTGTTGCATCTCCTTCCAAAATGGACCCCGCGCAGCTTCCCCTGCATCTTCAAATCATGCACCTGCGCAAGGTTCTTTCGTCGAACCCTACTCTTGTGACTGTGCTCACCTGTGCTGCAGCCCTCAATTTGCCAAACTGGTACCTCGCCGGCGGCGCCTTGTCGCAGACAATCTGGAACAGCGTCTCCAAGCTTCCACCTGAGACAGGGATCCGCGACTACGATCTCGTCTATTATGATGATTCGGACTTGTCGTATGAGGCGGAGGACCTAGTCATTCAGGCCGGTAAGCGTCAATTTGGCGATGTCCCTGTCGAGGTTGAAATTCGAAACCAGGCACGGGTCCACTTGTGGTACGAAAAGAAGCACGGCGTTCCGTGTCGACCACATACTAGCGTTGAGGCTGGAATTGACACGTGGATCTCCACAAGCGCCATGCTGGGTGTCAGGCTAGACGAGCTGGGTGGGTGGGTCGTGTATGCCCCTCGAGGATTGTCTGACTTTTTCAACATGGTGGTGAGGCCTAACCCAGTTCTGGGGAAAAGAGAAGCATATGACAAGAAGGTCAAGCGGTGGAAGGAGATCTGGCCAAACCTTATAGCCGAATCCTGGCCGGGGGAGATGTGGCAAGCACCCTAGAGCCACTGGGCGATCGAAGATGCCACTAAGGACTGGCCCAGGTTGAACCCCATCCGATCAGCGTTGGCAAAGGAATAGGCAGGGTAAGTGTCCGGAGGAAAGTTCGAAAAAAGTAAACCGTGGAAGTCGGTGGCGTCGGCTTTCGATAGAGTGGCGACGGATGAAGCAAGAACGGAAATCGTCACCCCTGCAACCTTCTCCAACCAAAGCACCGATACGCATGCCCACGCCAGTCGACAAGACGTGTGCCCACTGGACCGGAAGGGCTCGGATGATTCTTGAGGGAGGAGGCAAAAGGACAATCCCAGTCGTCCGAAGCACAGAATGTCCAAGCTGGAAGATGGTGAGAGCGTGGAGATGGGTTACGGAGGCATAACCGAAGATGAGAACATTGGGGGAATGTGCAGCGGTGGGTGTGGCGATCCAGCCATGGGAGAGCCCGGCGAATGCAATCACGATCTTCAGGGCCTGGACACAAAGGTCTGAGCAATCTGCGGCATAGGTGGATACACTCTCAAACAGAGAAGAGGCAAGTTGGTGGGCTTGGGGGTCATTGATCGATCGATTGGTACACCGCTTGACGATCCAGCGGCTGGGTTCAAGTCTAGGCCATGCATGTCCGCGGGGTCCCAGTGCCGGTATCTACACAATATGGGGGAAAGGTGATATTGTCGTTTGACAACTATTGTGCCTTGTGCTCATAGGAGAGGTGAGTTTGTTAGTTGAACGACTGGGAGGGCCGAATCCCAACCCTGATGCATGGAGGATGTGTTTTACTGAGCCTCTGAGGGTAGGGAAACAGGTTGCTGAATGAGATCACGACACTGCTAACCCTATAGCACAGAAAGAGAGACCGTTACGTCGTGGTTCCTCAGGGCGTCGGCCAATTTTATATGTTACCGAGGATAATTACCGCTTTGGGAGCTAGGGTGCTGCCGTCAACTTCCCCAATACCCTTGCCAACCTTTTCTGACTCGGATACTCCACTGGGACTTCGCTATCAAGGATTACCTCAAGCGTGAGGCAGTACCTGGAGATTCGGGGAATCCCAGAGTTAGGGATGTGCACTACATTAGGGCGCCATTCACGCGACGTGCCCATCAAGGCCCAGGCTCATACTCGCTTCAACGGTATGTGTCCAAACTGGGTCTACCGAATATCGCCGGTAGGGTGTCTATAGGGGTACGGCTGGATAGCCCCGGCCTTTTGCGGCATCCTCCCCACAATCCCCCTGCTCTCCAGCTTTACCCCGCGAACCTCGTGGCGACCAATCAGCCTTGTGCGTTGCCGAGGGAGTCCCATTACCTCGGGCTGGTGGGGAACCCAGGTTGGGAGTATATCTATCAGTATATGTACCGTTTGGAGAACCCTTGCAGGTGCTCTGCTTTCTCCTTCCCAAGCTCCCCTTGCATCTCCTGAATCCAGTCCGTCCATCTAAAGAGACAGACTCCGTGGTCCAAGATGACACACTTCAACAAGTGAGTTGTGCCCTTGAACTACTTGGTTCTTGCTCTGCTGGATCCGACTAACCGTGTGACAGGCTCAACATCTACTCCATCCTCATCCTCTCTTTCGGCTCTTTCTTCTACGGCTATGACTCCGGTCTCACCACGTCCATCCTGGGATATCCCCAGTTCATATCCTATTTCAACCTCACCTCCAACACCATTGGAGCGTTGGGATCCTGTTACTATGCAGGCAGCTTCGTCGGTTCTTCGCTGAACTTCTGGCTCCCGGATCGATATGGCCGAAAGCCCACCATCTACATCGCCTGCGTTGTGTTAGTTTCTTGAATCTCCATCTTCGTGTGCAGGCGTTGCTGACATCCTACCAGCGCTATAGTGGGTGCCATCCTGCAGACTGCTGCCCAAAACATGACAATGCTTTTCGTCGGCCGTGTCATTGGCGGTATTGCTTCAGGTAAACAAGTGATCCTTTGTGAGGCTCATTCCTCGCTAACGATCAAAAGGCATTATCTTTGGCGTGTGCCCGATGTTTATGTCTGAGATTTCGCCACCAGAGTTCCGAGGCAGAGTTGGAGGTCTTTATAACTTGAACATCAACCTAGGCTATACACGTGGGTGTTTCCCCCGACCTCCATTGGCATTTCCCCGTTTACTAAACGATTTGTGCAAGTGACCGAATGGATGGGTCTCGGATTCAGTTATATCACCACTAATCTCGCCTTCCGGTTGTTCCTGGGTCTGCAACACGTTCCGCCTGTTCTAATGGCTGCGTGCACACCTCTGCTCCCGGAATCCCCCCGATTCCTCATCATGAGAGGGCGCTATGACGAGGCTCTGCAGGTCATTACGAGACTTCACGGCGCTCCCGGCCAGGACGACGACTTCTACATCCGTGAATTCAACCAGATCAAGGCACAGCACGAGCTCGAAGTCCGCGAACGCGTGGGTCTCAGCACCATTCTGCGCCGGCCCTCGTACCGCAAGCGAATGTTCATCGTGGTCTTCCAGTTCGCCTTTGCCATGTTCACCGGTATTATCCCGCTCCAGAATTATCAGTTCATCTTGTACACCTACCTCGGTGTGACCAACAAGATGGCACTTGTCATGGTCGGCGTCTGGGGCACTTGCGGTGTCATCTTCTCCACCATCGGTGCTCTGCTATTCGACAAGCTTGGCCGCAGGAAGTCTTTGCTTATATCTCTTTGGGTCCAATTCCTGGCGTCCATCGCTATGGTCATCTGTAAGTCTTTTTACGAAGATGTGTATCTGAGCTGCAGTGACTAACGAGGGTACTAGTCTGGGCACGATTCCAAGATTCCAACAACACCAACCTGCTCCTGGGTCGCTTTACTGTTGGCTTCATGTTCGTCTACCTTATTGGATACGCCTTTATCATGAACTCATTCGGTATGTCTCACCATTTTTTTTCCCATCAAGGACAATTGGCTAATAAACCCACAGGATACACCTACCCGTCGGAAATCATGCCAACGCCCATCCGAGCAGCAGGCAACGCCGTGGCCTTCTGCACCTTCAACGCCATCACCATCATGTTGGTCCAAGTCACGCCGATCGCCATCGAGAAGATCGCGTGGCGGTACTTCCTCATCTTCATCATCTGCGACGCCATCTTCATCGTTGTCGTGTACCTAGTGTATCCGGAGACGGTGGGCAAGACTCTGGAGGAAATTGCCGCCCTGTTTGGCGACGAGGTCGCGGTCGACATCCAGGAAGCGCACGATTACCCGGATGGCCTGGGTGGCGGGATCAAGGATGAGAAGATTGCCACCGAGGTCACCGAGGCTGAAAGAGTCGAGGACATTGATAGGAAGCCCTTGTAGAGTCCCGGGCGGGTGCCGTGGCTTAAAAGATTCAAGCTGTGTCGCCAGGTGTTCTTCTGAACAAAGCGAGAGTTGCTGCGGAATCTATATAGCCGAAATTCTGAAGACGATTTCGCTGCACTATTTTTCCACCAAAAGGTCCAACCACACTGCCTTCCTCCTCCCAGATTCCTAGATTCCTATATCCGCGTTTGAATTTTCGTTGCATTGGGTGCGAACTTGGTACCTGCATACTGCGCACCCTTGCTCCCCCAGATACCGATATGTACTCAGCAGCCGAGCCACCTACGCCCGGAGTTTGGATTTCCACGTGTCTCTCTAGGTACGTAAGTCCCACTCAAAGACCCCAGCATGTGTCGAGACGAGAACTCGGAATTCGAGTTTCCCCCCTCCCTCTTTGCGTTTACTACCACCACCATCACAACACCCCGTGGCATCCACGTGGGAATAATTAGCTGGGGTACTCGGGTATCCCAAAAGAGATAACGGTCGGGTATTCTTACTATTGCTGTAGCTGGGCCAAGAGCCTAAGAAGAGTTCGCGGGCGGCTTTGTTCCGTTGTTGAGAGTTATTAATAGCCGAGGATAGCTACCCCGAAACAGATAAGCGAGCACTTTGCGCGAGCCAGAGCTCTCAAGTTACAGGTAGAAGAGGACAGAACAATCAGCGCCGAAGACGAGAGGGATGTGGTTCAACGGTGAGGATATCATATTGAATTAAAAAAAAAAAAAAAATACTGCGGACGACGGCATTGCATAAAACTAGTTTTTAAAAAAAAAAACCCCCTCCTTTATGGTACTCGGTAGTTCATCCCTGCGCAGCCGCGGAGGCGACCTTTGGCTCGACAGTAGACCCCTCGACGGACTCGTGCAGCGGATCGTCATCGACGGGATCAACATCCTTGTGGATGAACTTTGGTTCCGAGAGGCCGTAGACGGTGATGAAAGCCATGCCGAGAAAGGCGCTGATGCAGGAGAAGACCAGGGCGACGATGCCGCGGGCGGTGAAGCCCGAGGGCAGGGGCGGCTGCTGGGTGTTCTGGCCTGCGAGGTCGAGCGGGTCCTGGACGTCGGCGGCGGCGTTGCCTTCAAAGGCGACGCCCGCGGCCTTGCACACGTCGTAGTGCTGCTGGGGGATGTGGTGCGTCTTTTGGATCTCCAGGGGCGCCTCGATCATCACCATGGCGAGCCCCTGCGCCAGATGCCAGTCGATGTGGCAGTGGAACATCCACACGCCGGGGTTGTCGGCCACGAAGCGGATCACGTAGTAGCCCTGGGGCGGCAGGACGAAGGTGTCGCGGCGGGCCGGGAACGCGGGAAACGCAGAGTGGTTGGCCGGGTCGAACGGGACCGGGTCACCCGCCAGGTAGTCGTAAAAGTGCTCGCCGTAGCCCGGGGCGCGGTCGATGACCTGGAAGTTGTGGCCGTGCAGGTGGAACGGGTGCGAGCCGCTGTCGGCGTTGTTGAGCACCAGCTGCACCACGTCGTTGTGCTTGAGCACCATCGGGTGCGTGTACTCGCCGTACACCTCCTGGTTGGTCGCCAGCGGCCCAGACGACATGACCGTGTAGAGCGTGGGCACCTTGGGCTGCGTGAAGGTGATGTCGTTCAGGAACGCGTAGCCGAAGCCGTTGCGTAGGTTGTCCATGATGACCGTCACGTTGATTTCAAAGTCCGGCTCCGGCAGTAGCGCCATATGGTCGTACGGCACCAGCGTGATGTCGTCAAAGGGCACGAGATCTGACGACGCGTCGACCTTCATCACCGCTTGCGGGTGCGCCGCCTCGGCGTTGTATTGGAGCCAGTTCGTGTTGTTCAGTTTGAGGTCCGGCGAGATCACGTCCAGCAGGTCCGAGTCGGCCACCGTCACTATCGGGTAGTTCTTGTCCGTGCTGTTCTTGGTCGTGAGCAGGATGCTGTACCGCTGGGCAACGGCGATGTACAGCGTGTCGGCCTCGGTGGGCTCCGTGTAGACGCCGTCGATCTCGACAATCTTGAACGTGTGGTCCTCGATATAGAAGAACTGTCCCACAAAGGCCCCGATGTTGATCAGCCGGATCAGGTACGTCGTGTCGGGCTTGATGGGCAGGCTGGAGTTTTGGGTGTCGTTGAACAGGAACGACTTGGGCACGGGTTCGGCGCCGGTGGGGTTGTAGAGCGACAGGAACCGGATGTCTTCGACAAAGTCGTGGTACCAGTCGCTGATGGTGATGGTGAACTCTTCGTCGTAGTCCTCGTTGAAGAATGCATCGTTGTCGTGCACAATCAGGGCCTGGCGGTAGCCGTCGGGGTAGCAGAAGTCGGTGTGGCAGTGGTACCAGTAGGTGCCGTTCTGGTTGATGGTGAAGTTGTACGTGAAACTGTATCCCGGCGGAATCGGGCACTGTGTCACCATCGACGGGCCATCCATGTTGCTCGTATCTGTCTGGAACATGCCGTGGAAATGAATGCTGGTGTTCTTGTCGCCGAGGCCATTGAACATGTTGACCACCAGCCGGTCGCCCTTGTCGACCTCGATGACGGGCAGCGGCCATTGTCCATTAATGCCAATGACCTTTCGCTCGGCCAGGCCATCTGGATTAGCCGTGACCCAGCTGACGTTGAAGTCGTATGTGACTGTTTTGGCCGTCGTCCAGCCGGTCAGCAGCAGGATCGCCAGAGACAGGAGCAGAGCCTGGACAGCCTTCGCCATGGCTGTAGGACTCTCTCGAAATCTCTGGACCGTGACGAGACTTGCTTGCTGGAAAGCTTGGGCAGAAGCTTAGAAGCTTTCCAGGTGGGCTTTTCAGACGATGAGCGCGAAAGTGATGGACGTTGCCCGTTCGTCCCAAAGGGAGCCAGTGTGGTTTTGAAGGCGGGAGGCACGTTTTTCTACATAGCTGCACCGCCAGTCACCACCAGTCCGGGATCATCCTAGGCGCTCGAAGCTGATGAACCTTTATGGGCAGCCCGATGCCGGCGAAGCCCCTCCATCGTGGGAGCGAACCACTATTCACCTGCTGTGCTCCTTCGTTTTGCTTGGAGAGAGCTCGCCTAGTCTCCGTGGAACAGCAGATTTTTTCTCTGCTCTCCCTTAGGGGCCCTAGGGGTCCGGCCAAAATGCCGGAGTGGTACCAGCAGCAGGGCTTTGGCCCAATCATATCAGATAGGGAGGAGTTGGGAGGAGTTATCAGATCAACTAGCGAGCCGGCTAGACGTGGCATCAAAGTTATCTGATGGTGCTTCAGGAGACTGTCCACCAATGCTTTGCGATGCTTCGTTCCACCGCCCATCCGAAGCATCCATACTATCCACCGTCCTCCACCGTGCTCCGCTGACGCCCGCCTCCCATGAGTCCATGACATCTGATTATCTTATCTTTTCTCGTTATCAGATGATCAATCACCCCAAAATCTACGAGTAGCTCCGTACGACGCTGCGGTGGTCATCCGAGACCCTCTTTTCTCCCTCCTGTCCCTACTGTGCCAATGCGCTGTCCAGCTCCTCCACGCCCCCGAACTTCGGCCAGCTCTACGGCTCTTGTAACTGTAAAATATCTGTGCTAATGCCCTTCCCATTGGGATCGACTTCGGTTGCTCCCTGAGCTTCCAAGCACAACTTCCTCTTGGTGTTACCTTCGCATAAGCTCTTGAAGCCTTTTCCTTTGCTCTGCAGGGTATACATAACATAGTTTTACCCTTCGAGGGTCTCCATCGTTCTTGCTATTACGCTCCCTCACACACACTTTGCAGCTTGGCAAACGATCCCCGTCTCCCTCAAGATGACCAACGTCTTCGGCGTCCAGGTCTTTTTCATTGTGTTCCGAGAATGTCTCGAGGCTGTCATCATCATCTCGGTGCTGCTATCCTTCCTGAAGCAGTGCCTGGGCCAGCCCTCCCAGGACCCGGTAATCTATAAACGCCTAAAACGACAGGTATGGGCGGGCTCTATGCTGGGCATCCTCATAGCCTTGATCATTGGGGGCGCATTTATCGGCGTTTTCTACGGCCTGGGCCACGACATCTGGGCCGAATCCGAAGATCTGTGGGAAGGCATCTTCTACCTCATCGCCAGCATCATCATCACCATCATGGGGCTGGCCATCCTGCGCATCAACAAGACAAAGGAGAAGTGGAGGGTCAAGATTGCACAGGCCCTGGTGGCAAAGACCGAACAACGCGACGCAGCCTCGAAGCTAGGCGAATGGGGCCGACGATACGCCATGTTCATTCTCCCCCTCATCACAACTCTCCGTGAGGGTCTCGAAGCTGTTGTCTTCGTTGGTGGTGTCTCCCTCGGGCTGCCAGCGACTTCCTTCCCTATTCCCGTCATCACCGGGATTCTGGCCGGCCTTCTCGTCGGCTACCTCATCTACCGTGGTGGTAACTACATGACCATCCAGTACTTCCTGATCGCCTCGACCTGTGTGCTCTACCTCATTGCCGCCGGCATGTTCTCCAAGTCGGTCTGGAGTCTGCAATTCCACCACTTCCAGCAGCAAGTTGGTAGCGATGTTGCCGAAGAAGGGGACGGCCCGGGCTCATACAACATTGACCAGACCGTTTGGCATGTGAACTGCTGCAACCCGGAACGCGACAATGGCTGGGATGTCTTCAATGCCATTCTCGGCTGGCAAAACAGCGCCACATACGGCTCCGTCATCTCTTACAATGTCTACTGGATCTTCATCATGATCGCCATCACCTTCATGCTGTATGAGGAACGGACCGGCACCCTGCCCCTCGAAAAGTCCTTCTTCCGCTTCCTCTCCAAGATCCCCGGCTTCAGGAGCTTTGCTACACATCACCTCAACAAACTTTCTGCGCCAAAGCAAAGTGCTGGACAAGTCATCGCCCAGGTGCAGAGCCACACTTTCACCCAGGGCCTCCAGAGGCCCCTGAGCGCCAAATAGAGCGGAGAGGGCAATTGGCCTACCTATTGCGGCTTTACGCGGTATGCGACCGTCAAATCAACAAGAAAAGGTGTTGCAAATGGAAATAAGCTCTCACATGATGAGCGTAGCGATTACAGATCGACGTTGGTGGTTTGCTGTGAGTAGTTTCGTTACAGCTTTTACCTAGTTTGACTTAATCAGAAAAACATGCAAATTCTGTCAATCCCGGATCCATGAAGGTGTTAGCTGAATAACCACGTAAAGTCGCTCCAATATCGGTCTGTAAAGGGCGTTTTTTGGTCAGTTGGCGGGACTTGGCTGTGGATGGAAAATGACCAGGACAAGCCTGTTGCTCTCCACAGAGGATGTGTTAGCAGCAAAATTTGTCCAAACAGTTGGCCCTTACACTATGCGGTTCGAGTGTTAGCTTCGAGCTTCAAGCCATGTGATTTCCACCTTCTTGCGTCGCGCTGAACCAGCCTAGGGCGAGCTAAGCAGCCAGAAGCTCCCGAACCTGGGAAGGGGACTGGCACCCTAGGTCGACGGCCAGGAGCGGAGTTCGCCAGGTGTGCCATCCTCTGCTTCCCACTCTGCTCGCTTCAGAGACCCTGCGTTCCCGGCCACATGCTCTGGCAGGCAGTGGAGCGTTCATCTCATCTGCCCACTCCCTCGCCTCAATGACACCCTTCGCACGGCCCAGACAATTATTATCTTATCTGATGATCGCCCCCTTTTCCGCTCAGCCTGCAGGAATTGACTTGGTGGCAAAGGATGCATTGGACCACTCAATGGAGCGACGCTGTATTGATCGGTCGATGTTCGAAACAGGGGTAGAGTGGCCTTCGCCACCCTTTCGCTCGTTTGTAGCGAAGAGACTCGCAGCGACAGCCTACAGTATGCCGTTGCGTTCGAGTATTGGTCGTCGCGGGCTCGGATTGGAAAAATAAAAGTACTAGTACACCGTGATGCGAAAGAGCTCTCTGTGCCTCGAATTCATGGGGATGACATGCCGAAGGAGGTACTTCCTAGTCTTCTAGCCATCGCAGGACCGAGTAGCAAGAGGCAAAGCCTACCTGAAGATTGTGGGTCTTCTCACAGCCAGAGCTCGAGCCATTCGGTAAACAGCATAAGCTTCTGGTAGTCGCTTTGTCCACTAGCAAAAAAAAATTGACAACAAAGCGTGGGGTCGCTTTCACGAATGTTTCGTATTTGCTGATGCCGGCGCGAGAGACCCAACGATAGACATATGTTAGCCCTTTTGGTCGTGAACTGCTGATCCGGAGTCTGACCATGGTCGAGTCGCACCATGAACATGAACCTTCCTGAGAAGTTCCGGGGACAGGTGGCGGAAGTTGCAAGGTCCTGCAAAACGATCTAGTGAAGCCGTTGTTTTCACAGACCGAAATCGGAGCGAGAGGCTTCTGATCATACCTGAGCAGTCTCATGATTGTTTTCCGTACTCAAAGCCCCGCCTCGGCGAATACCAGAGAAAGGAGCATGTTCGCTTAGCCCAAAATTCCTTTTACCATGCCGCGCAGTGAACTTCTGTCCCGTAGGCTTCGATAAATGACCGACAGTTTGTTCCATCCCAGAAAAGGCCCGGCTCCTAGGACGGGCATTCTGATCGGCGGTCGGTTCGTCCTCCCAGTGAGTCCGAGCGCACGATGAATTAGGTCCAAAACCTGAGATTGGTGGCCAAGCTCTCGATGGCTCGCCTCTAGCGCAAACAGGTTATTGATCTGACCACCGCATTCCTGGACTCCCTTTGTTTGTCGATCTATGTCTGATAACGCGGGATACTGCAGAGAGCAATTGTGGCGAAACGACATAGGTATGCTTGTACCTCTGCGGCAACTTCCCGTTCATTCGGCTTGGAGATCATTGATCAGACTGAGTAGGAGACAGGATGAGCGGATTCGCCTTCCGTCCTTGAATGCGTCCACGTATTCTCGGTAGATTGTGGAAGTGTATGCTGGCCCGTCCAAAGCTTTGTGATGCTCCATAGCAATTGTGCCATCAGTGTATTTATTCGCCAATTTGCGTACTTGCTTTTGTGGTTGGTTGGAAGCTGCACTCAAGGTGCAGCACTTGGTCGAGCAAGGAGCTATCAAGTTCATGCTAGGAATGACATGATCGCACACGATACCGCAAAGGCGTTTCGACGAGCTTCCCCCATTTATTTGCCGACTGACATGTGGACGCCGAATATTGTAATGCGAAGGGTAAGGAGGGACGGAGTACATAATTGCCTTTGATGAGATGGGATTGAGCCGGCCACTGGTTTACAGGCAGGATATTTGGTAAAGATATCAGTGGCCGAAATGACCACATAGAGTTCGAGCACGTGCTTTGGTACGTATCACGTGATAGGCTCTGGTTTGATCCCCGAAAGAGATAGAAAAGAGAATCATGATGGATTTTCTAATTACCGTACAGATGCTGTCTAGGACAGCACAGTACGTTGGCTCGAGACCATGGGCGCGATGAAGAAAGTTGAGGAAATGGTTGGTTGCAGGTATTGATTGGCTTCCAACACAGCAAGGTCCTCTTGTGATCCACATTTACCAGAGTCATTATTTGAAGACGGTCTTCTAACATCTTCGTCTTCTTCTTCCTGAAATTATCTTGACCAACGAATACGACGACATTGACCCTCCAGCTGCTGAATCGACGAAGAATTTCCACCATCAATCTCACCACACTGCTCCACCAACAATCCCTCCACAGCATTGATCGGATGACATCCTTGCATCCACTCGCATCGCTTTAGCAACCTCCTTTCTGTCAGTGCAATTCACTCTGCGCCAGATAACCAATATTCCTCCACCATGTCACTTAATCCTTCAGGACTACCTTCCGTTGGCGAACAACTCTTGTTTGTCGGCGGACTTGGCGGCATGATGTTCTTGGGAATCTTCGGTTTCGCAGCATTGGGTGCGTTGTCGGGTGCACTGCCGCTGGATAACGACTTGGAGGAAGAGGCACTTGCCAGGTTCCATTCTGCGCCACGAGTTCCTGGGCAATATCCATTGATGCCGAGTCCATATTTGGGTACTCTGGCAGGAATGTGTCGGAGATGTGGAAGTGGAGGCATTGTGATTCTACCGAGTCCATTCTTGAGTTCCTCGACAAGAGCTTGGTGTTGTGGTAGGAGAGCCTATGAAGGCTTCGGACGGGAAGCGAGACGCTTACAGCGGGCGAGACTGCAGGCAATGGCTGATGGCGAGCTTTTTGATCTTATGGAAGAAATTGTGCAAGAGTCGAAGAGAAGACGATCTGCGCGCAGTGATTTTGGCTGTTAATAAACAGCGTGGGAGAAACGATGACTCGTTCATGGCAGTTGTGCAGATGATGTGGACCATGTTTGCTGAGATATGTGGAAAAGTTGCATCCCACTGCGGTGAAGGCGACGAACAAGTTGCTTACTGTTTGTCATTAGCTGTGTACTCGAAATAGTTATCACTCGTCTCACCTGTGATCGCCGAACCTAACTCATCAAGAGAAAAGGGATTTCAGGGCGGGGGCTACCACACAGATGTTTGGAGCATTGAATGATGGCAGAACATCGTGTCTTTTCGGCGCCTTGTCATGTATCTGGGCTCGTGGGCCATGGTTGTGCAATGCCGATTGTTTCATGTCGTATGGCCAGAGTTGAATGCCATTGCTCTTGTGGTGACTTTGCTCTTGCTTCTAGGAGCCGCAGTGAAGGCCTTCGAACGAAGTAGGCGAACGCTCAAGCGGACATTTTATCATTACCACGCAAGAGAGTGGCATAGAACGCGCCCAGCTAAACAGTCTGAGTACATTTGGGAGGGAGCCGGTTTGGGATCCCCCAGTATCCTATATGGATCCTATCGTCTAAAGTTAACAGAAGTTGGTGTTGTGAATGAAGAGGAAGAAGAAAGATCAAAGTGCTGAGCCGAGGGTGAGCAAAGCGGCGGGCGGCTAATCAGATGGGGATGGGAGTATAGGTTTTTCGCAGGATACTATAGGTACCTAGGTACCTAAGGTAGGTAGGTACCCTCTGAGCTCGACTTTGAGCCTTGCACGTGACTGGGGCTTTGACGAGGCTGTGGCGGTCCCTGTGGCTTAAAAAGTGGTATGAGCTCTGAAACTCACTGGCCAATCATCATCCGCCCGAACGTCAATCGCAGTTTCGACAACCTTGAACCTTTGAACCTCCGTGCTCTTACAAGTCTCCCTCCCATCGACTCTCAACTCACTTGTCACGCGGCCCTCCACAATGTCGGTAGCACGCACAGCTTTCTCGCTCGCTAGGCGTGTGCCTATCTCAGCTGTCCGCGTCGCTCCCCGAACGTTCACCACCATCACAGCTCGCAGTACGTGCACCTGAACCCTCGAAGCTTTGAACAGTCCCCTCGGAGAAGCTATATCGACATGATCTACCTCAACGGAGCTCGCTTGACTGATCTGGATGTCTACAGGAGCAGGAAAATGGGATCCGAAGCCCGGCGATCCGGAGGCCAAACTCCTCCCATTTGAAGGTAAGGAGGATCCCCCACGACACTGTCTCAAGTGGAAGAACTCGTTGTTCTGGGGAAGATACACCTACGAGGAGTAACAACACGCTGACCTTGGGTGAACCTTTTTTTCTCCTGCAGAGATCAAAACCGAAGCAGATCTCCTCCCGCCCGGCGCCGCGCCCGGTACCGTGCCTACCGACCTCGAACAAGCCACCGGTCTGGAACGTCTGGAAATCCTGGGAAAGATGCAGGGCATTGATATCTTTGACATGTCGCCACTTCCGTCAGATAGAGTCGGTATGTGCTCCCTGAGAAGCAGCCCAGCTCGAGTGGAAATCGAGTTCAAAATCCATGTGATGGTTTAAAATTCCTGGGCGACGAAAAAGCTTACCAAAGATTGTGTGCTTGGTGTGACAGGCACGTTTGAGGATCCGATTGTTGTGAAATCAGCTGGGCCAGAGTACCAGGTCGGCTGCACCGGCTCTCCGGCTGATTCGCACGTCGTCAAATGGCTCGTGGTACGTCCCATCTTCTTCCCCTTCTATTTGGCTGGCACAGACTCGACTCGCTCGAAGACTCGCTATCCCCAACGCGCCAGATCATGACTAACAACCTATCCCTCTTTCCTCTCTGTGAAACAGATGTCCCGCACACGCCCCTTTGAGCGGTGCCTGGAATGCGGCAGCGTCTACAGAATGGACTACGTGGGAGCACCAGACTCGCACGACGACCATCACGGCGATCATGGACACGGACACGACCACCACCCCGCACACGAACCACCAAAGACCATGGCCGATTTCGTCAAGCCGGAGTACTGGTACCGATAAGCAGGTGGTTGTCGATAGTGGGTATCTGAAGCTGGTGCGGTCAGAGAAGAGGTAGCGGCGCCAGAAGGAGAAAGAGAAAAACTGTACATAAGGAGAATAGTTTTGCGGTGAGAGGGATCAATCAATGCGTTTCTTGCATCGAGAATGGTCATGGTATATGCTATGCTGTGCTATATGCTATGCAACTCCTCGTCTTTTTTTGGACGACTTCCCTTTTCCTTGCCCTCCACCACAGAGACTTTTTTCACCTTTCGACGATGTTTGTTCATTCAGTCGACGCCGTGGTACGCCCTAGCTCATGTATGAGATTCTCTACCTACTCTCGGACATCTTGACCTACTTCTTTCGCAGCGTGCTCCATACATTGACAAGGCAGTCCCCCTGTGCTATTCTTATCAAAGTCCAGATATTGCGAAATCCAGCCCGCTTCTGGGATACGCACTGCATGCAAGTACATTCCACCCGGGTGTGGACCTCTCCGTTGATTCTCTTCGCTCATGCCATGTCATGGTCTGGAGAATGCTGCTTCGTAGCCATCAAAGGGTTGATGGTAGTACATTCATTCGTCTAGTCGCTGCCCGTTTTCACCCCTGCTATGAACCATCAATTGCGTGGAATGGTTTGGCACGGTTTGATACATGAGGTAGCTGGCAAAGATCTTTGTGCGTAGGGTTCTCCAAATTGAGCCATGAAAGGTCAGTTAATAGTGTTTTGATGCAATGAAACATTCCAGACTCAAACAATTGTGCTGGCACCTATAATCGAGGCCGCCGTTCGTCGACACCACTGCCTGGTTCGAAATCTCCTGTTTATGTACCTGTTTAGCCTTATCGACGCCGCGATTTCTCGTTTGTTCCAGTGGTTTGTCGGTCATTTCGACGTGGAGCAACGAATTCCGGCTTTTCTCCTTGCCACTGGGAGCCATAGACATCGTCACTTGTGGGTGGATCGCCTTTAAGAGGACAGTGGCAGTAAGTTTCTGAGGGGACGTTTTAGCCTCCGTCTTCAGAACTGCGTGAACCGTCGATTTGTCTTGGAGGTGAAGGCGTGCAATGCGGCCGAGAAGTGCTGCGAGGTGTGGTTTCGAGAGTCGTCGACCCCAAAGCCTGTAACCAGAGGACGAGCATGATTTCAAACGAACAATCACCCAGCCATCGCCAGGTCAACTCTACCGGAACAAGCCAGATGTTCTTGGTCCTACACTTTGGGGCGTCTTGCGATGGTCAGGCACACAGCTGCTCGACCTTGTTGTCGTGGACTTTGTCTTGACAATTCCTTGTGCCCACTTGGTACTGCCTGAAAACCTGCACCCCAAATGACCCAGAATCTCCCCTTGAAGCTCGCTGATGGTGATGATGGAGGTCAGCCTGTAAAGCCCGCCAATCGCCACGATGCATCTTGATGCCATTGTTTTGACTAGTTCCTAGGTGTCTCGTCTTGACAAAAGAGGTGGCTCAAGGCAAATGGGAATGCCTTCTCAAAGGACAGGTAGATTGAAAGCAGAAGGTGGCTCTGTGTCTCTTTCTTCTCTTTTGTGATTGTGATGAGGCAGGATTGTTCGCGCATGAAATTGCCTTTTGAGTAGATGGACAGATGGCTGTTGCTCTGCAATTCTTCTAACAACAGCCGGTCCTGCATCCTTTGATCGTTCGCGCTTCCTTAGAATAAACACTCTCCTTTCACAACGGCGCCGTTCACTCAAACAGCCCGCCGCGACTGCCTTCAATGCGGGTCGTCCCAGCAAACGTGCCCGTAAGAAACGCATCTTCACCGTAGATCCTTCAAAAACTAAACCTGTTCGAAATGCCTTCCCCGAGCACAGCCATAGGTACCATACCGGCAGCTGCCACCTGAAAAACCCACACAGATTCAGCCGAACCCAGGATGTCTCCAGGCCAACAAAACCGGGGCAGCCGCAACAGCGGGAATCGACCATCCTCATCCGTAGGGTGGAACCAAGGAGTCAAGCAGGTACGCAAAAGACGATGGCCATTCGCCCGTAGCTAACACAGCCCCAGGAAACTGACACCATCCGACCTGGAGGATATGGCAACGACGCATATAGTGGCTTTGACAAGACTGGAGAGCGACCAAACCGACAAGGAGACAACTCTCGCAAGAAATCGTTTCGAGAGCGTATCAAGGACAAATGGAACAAACTTAAAGGTTCGATCGGCAGCAATAGGACAAACAAGATGGGGAAGGAGAGTCGGCAACAACGTGCTTGAGCACGCTTGATGTACTGTCCCTGACACTGGAAATTTGGCGAGAAACCTGGAGCATGACAGAAGTTGGCGCTGTGGATGGGCGGATCTTGGAGAGGACTAGCAGGTACACCTTGTGCGACAAGAATGTGTCCAAGGCTCAAGATCGAGAGTTAGCCTCGTGCGACTGCTGCGTGTAACAATACACAATTGCAGCCTACCTCAACCACGGCAGTCATAGATCCCTTCGCCATGCTCTTTCTGCTTTCGAGTTTATGTTCTCGAAAGAACTGTGGGTTGCAACAAGTGACTCGCCCCAGCGGACTTCGTCTGAGACCACGATATGCCAGCCAACGACCTCGAGAAGGGGGACCATACCGCCGGTGAGCGTTCGCAGGGTGTCACCAGTAAGTGCATCGGACACTTGTCCAGATAAGGAGGTAACTAAATAGATAGAGTGGGATTTGTTGCGCCGCCTCGGTATAAGATATTCTTCCGAGCAACACCAACATGATCATAAGGTTCTGGAGGAGGATGAAACCGATGTTCGCGCCCGTAAGCCACGCCGCAAAGCCATTAGAATATCTCTAAAGAGTCTCAGTCGAGTGCGCTGTCAAGGGATGGCCGAGGATAGCAACATTCGTTGACAGCGACCCGAACTTCATGATCTTTCGACGTTTCGGATTCCTGAGGACGAGGCTGCTGTTGTGGCATCAAGATGTCCTCCGAGAAATGGAGTCCAGGCTTGACTACCAGGACATGCAGGACGCCGCATCGCCAGGCACACGGCGCTATCTCTCGAACAGGGATGGCGACGATATGCGAACCCCAGCTGTCCGCAAGGTTTTGTTTCAGGAGCTTGATACGCAATTGAAAGCTTATGGTGTGTTCTTATTCCTTACCAGATTGACGCATTGAATGGACGGCTGAGTTGGCAGTAGATGACCTTTTGTCTCGGTCGGCAGCCATGTACCAGTGGCAAAGGCCTGACGAAGAGGACCGCGCGAGTATCGCCAATTTGATTTATAATGACGGAAGCCTCGCTCGAAGAGACAGGAGCTGGATCAGGAAGATCGATGACTTGATTGTTCTTGGTGGAGAACAAAACTCTACCTGGGTCCACGGTCTGGTCAGCCACCTCTTCACATGGACCAGCAGGTCCTTAGTCAGAGTACGAGACGGATTGTCTGCTGTTCTACCGAGAGTCAGGCTGACTTGGTAAAGTGCTTACTGCGCAGCAAAATCCAGGACCGGAAACTCGAAGGGTCAGCAATACATGTCCAGCTGTATGAGAGAAAGCGCTTCAACCGGGTAGTCGGATTTCTGTACACCATTGTCATTGTAGCCTTGATCATGTGTCCTGTCTTGGTCCTTTACAGGTTGCGACACCTGGATGGGTACGCACAGAACTTGTTGGCGTTTGCATTCACGATCGCCTTTGCCTTGCTCTGTTCGACTGCAACGGCCGCAAAGCAACACGAGATATTCGGGGTGACTGCAGCGTAAGTATGTTGATTGGTATCACATTCAGTAAACTGACCCTTGCAGCTACTGTGCGGTACTTGTAGTCTTTACTAACCAAAACACAAATGGCGACACGCAAGCGCCGACAACGATCCCACAGACGTCATCTTGAAGGGCATAGCAACTAACCAAACAGAAACTGTGATTTTTTTTTATCGAGTGTACGTTTGATCTGGTAGAGATCGCCAACAGCATCGATATTGGGAATGCAGCCACTAGTCCGTGTCGTATGCGCCAGCCGTTTCGGTTCGAATGCTATATATTGTGGTTCAGGAATTCGAGGTCCTTCCAGAGGTTCCATCTTAGCATGGGGGGCCTCGGACACAAATCGATTTGAGCCTTCCTTTGCAGATATTGGATTGGGTCTGGCAAACAAGATGAAATAGATCGACGTTCTCGATTTGTGTTTTTTGTGGTTGCAGGCGCCTATCGCAGCGTCAAAGGATGAAAGGATTTGGCTTGGTCTTGACGGGGGGATGTTTGGAGCTTGAGCATCTAGTCGTTGCTGGTGGTTGGATCCCAGGCGCAAGGAGCATAGGAGGTTGGGAAATCGAGACTCTTCATGTCTTCGTCATCAAGCTCGAAGTCATAGATAGCAGCATTCTCCTTGATTCTGGAAGGAGTCTCGCTCTTCGGCAATGGCACATAACCCTTCTGCAAGCTCCACCTGAGCAGTATCTGAGCCCATGTCTTTCCATGTTTCTCACTGAGCTGTTTTAGAACCGGTTCATTCGCACGCTGGCCGCGAACAATAGGGCAGTATGCTTCGATGACGACGTTACGCTTACGGCACCATTCCACGATGTCGTCGCGTGGAAGCCATGGATGGATTTCCCATTGACCGACGTCGATGGTGCCGCCGACACCAGAGGTCTTGATGTACTCTTCGAGTTCATTGAGGTGGTGTACACCATAGTTGGAGACGCCAATTGATCGAATTTTGCCAGCTTGTTGAGCTTCTGCAAGGGCTTTCCATGCTCCGCACCGGGCTTCCTTGCCGCCATGCGGAGAGTGGATGAGGTAAAGGTCAATGTAGTCGAGGCCGGTCTGAGCGAAGGATGATTCGATAGACTTCTTTGCCCCCTCGTAGCTCAGGCTTCTCGGTGGCACTTTGGTAGTGAAAAAGATGTCCTCTCGCTTCAGCCCAGAATTGCGAATGGCGTCGGCACACGGCTGCTCATTACGGTAGGCGCGTGCGGAATCAACATGCCGGTAGCCAACGCGAAAGGCTTCAAGTGTCACTTCTTCACACGATGCGGCAGGGGTTTGGTATACACCATAGCCTAAAACAGGAATCTCGTAGCCTGAGTTCATCCGGTACGCCGTGTTGATGTCGAATTTTGCGGGGATCTGGGTGGCCATTGTGCGTTTGTTCCTCTCAAACGGAGCCAAGGTACGGAGAATTGCTTGCTGGACACGAATGGTACGTCCGCTCAAAAGGGGCATTTGTAGTTTGTAAAAGGTTGATGAGGCGAGTTCATGAAGGTTATGATGATTGTAATGGTGGGTGGGTGTGGAGAGGAAAGAACTGATTATTATTCCATTGACGCGCGTATCTGTGAACAAGAGGCCTCGGTCTGACATGGGATTTTTCTCAGCGCCCAAGCGAAAGGTACTAAATATTGAGGTATTAACCCGGATATAGATCGAAGGCAGCGGCTAGCTGCGTTGGAGTTGTTACCACAAATTGCCCTTCGTTTCTCAAAGATGGATGCATCTATAAGACTTCGATGTCAAAGTAGATCAAATGAAGCGCTAGGCTCACCACCACCTGAACGCCCTTGTACCTCAACCTTGAAACATGCCCTCAGCTATGAATAAATCAAACCTCGACAAGTCTGCTAAACATTGGCAGAGCAAAGAAAAACGCTGCATGTTGTACATAGAAATGCTTCATGGCTGTGACGACGAATTCTCGCGCCAATCCTCGCCACTGTTCAACACCTTCCTTCCAGGTTCATCGAGCTGAGGGACATCATCCTCCTCATCCGACTCAAAAGTGTCATCTTCCAACATCGGATTGGTTTCGGGGGTCGAGGATTTTGATGTCCTTTTGCTTTTGTCATGGTCTTGCAGTGTGTCATCCGCCGAGACCGATATGCCTCGTGGACCCCAACGGTTGACATTCGGTTGTTGCGGCCGTCCATTGCTCTCCTCATCACCGACCTCCGGGTCTTGGTCTGGTGGTTGCCGAGCAGGATTGATGACCCTGTTGACTAACCAACCTTTCCGCAGGTCCTCTGCATCGACAATACCACCTCCCCTCAGCTTAACTCTTTGCCTTGTCCAGTAAACCCATGCGAAGTCGATGTAAAATGCTGTCTGAACGATACCAAAAATGACCGAAATGGCGTCCGGTTTAGCCGGGGTGAAAGCACGATAGATCCAATTCAGAAGGTAGAATGCCCGGTAGGAGCCTAGAGTGACGAGGTAGAAAGAGTCAATGACAGTAGGGACGGTGGTCTGTCGGAGGAGAAGGAGCTGTGGAAGAACGCAGACGGATTCAAGGATGATGGAAAACGTCCACAAGACTTCGGTGAATGTCGTTCGGCGCGGACCGTTAAAGGTCAAGCAGACTAGAGGAGCAGCAAGCATTGAAGCCGCGGTGGCATAAGCACCCCATTTCCAGGCCTTTTCTCGCTCACGTGTCCGAGCAAAGACTCTCGTCATCAGGATGATGATATAGATTGAAGACCAGATATAGAAATTTTTGAGGATGAAATTCCACCATGATGCCGAGGGAGGGACCCAGAAGAGGTCGAGGTAGCGGGTAACGAAGACAGCAATATAGAGGATCTGGGTCAGGAGAGAGACGCCTGTTTGCTCGTTAGTCGAGTTCGTCTGGAGGAGGACAGGCAGACTGTCCAATGGATCTGACCTTCGGCACTTTTGTTGGAATGAATGGCCCAAATGAGAATACACTTCGAGGCGGTATGGGAGACATCGCCCAGGATGCGGAAGATATTCATGTTCATGGCTGGCGAATCGACATGGCCAGACCGGCCAGACCGAGCAGACCGACTGTCGATTCAACTCGGGTAAAGGATCGTGATTTTAACAAAGCCACCCTCTCAGTCGAGAGTGTCAGGATCAAGCCAACAGCGCAATATTGCTCCTCCGAAATTGAATGGGTGTTGACTTGCGAGTGAGACGTTGCTAACTGCGCTGCCTGCGGGCGTGGAAACGCGGCTGCACGGGACTCGGAGAGGAACAACTTGAAGGCTGAGGCTGAAAGTCTTGGCCTGCGGAGCTGCCACCGAGCCACCTGCGCCGCCAGTTGGGGGCCAAATAGGCGCTCCTGGTTGCTGCTTTTACCTGCGCTCCTCCTTCTCCGAGTACCGAGTACTCCTCCTCCGTCCTCCGTGCTTTCTCCGCAACACGCAACACTTGCCTGCGATTGCGGAACAGCTGCGACACCACCTGGATCGCCTGTCAATGTCTGCTGACTCGATGGTGTTGTAGGTATGCGTCCAGGGCACCAGGAGACGCAGAACCTACCTATCCCTTCCCCAACGTTGCTGGCTGATGTTGGCTAGGACATGCCCATTCACGAAGCAGGATGGTGAAGCACCAGCTATCTTTCCCCTCGTCCTCTATCTTCCCAGTTTCCGTGCGGTTCTCTCCAGTCCAACTCGCGAGATCTCGGCAATCATGACCCGTCTGGAGGTTTCTGTTAAGAGTTCACGAACAGTGAAAGTGTGATATTGGTTCGGTTCCAGACGGCTAGCGTTGCTCAAGTACTGGGGATGACCGCTTTATTGACCCCCCAGGATTCCCCTTTGCGGCCAGATTCACCATCCTCCCGGGGAGCCGGCTGTGGCCTCCTCTAGTCCATTAGGCTTGTTTTGGTGGCTGGGGTTTCAACTTTTGCTGTTGTCGCGGTTAAGCGACCTGTGCACGCGTCCCCACCGACACTTGATCGTATCTCGATAATGCTAGTCACGACAACATCTTAAAGCACTGCAATTTCAACAACAATCTTTCTGAACCTGGTGACTTGTGCGAGTCCCCACTGGGAGGGAAACAAAACGCCCTTGGGTGGTAGCGAGCGAATACTTGCTTCGTTTCCTACGAGGGAACTAGATTTCCCCCAGTGCCAAATAGCTCTGCTCCCGGACCCAAAGCCACTCAATGGATGTGAAGGGACGTGCACACCCCGGCTACGCAAGCTCGATGGCGATAGGGCATCATGGCGAGAGAAATTCCCCGGGGCAAAATGCAATCAATCAAGGTAGGAATCAACGGTGTGCGGCAATCCCTGTCTCGGGGAGACTTTGCGGATCCTCGCTCCAGTCTGATATATTCCTCCCCTGCAAGACCACCTGCACGATACGGACGACCTTCAATAGTCAACGGCACCATTACTTGAAATTGCTCAAGTCCCCAGCTTCAGCCATTATTCCCTGTCGTTTTGGCCCCCTCGTGGTGTCGCAAGTGAGAAATAACCGCCCAGATGCTCTGGCGCTTGTTGGACCACACACAGCCTCCTTTCATTCGCCAACATCTACCCTAAGGCAGACTCCAGCACACGATGGAGTACTGGCTTTGGGGCTCGATCGACCCTCTCCCCTCCATTATTCAGAGCATTTTGCATGTGCATGAGCGACAAGAGGGACGGATGGCTAAGTGGCTTGCACTCGTTCAAGTACCCTGGTCCAGAGTGACATGGCCCGTGTGATCGAAATCTCTGGAAGACTGGTTGGCACGAAAGACCCCGCCTCAATATCCTCGTGCTCTTTTGCATTGGGGGACGTTTTTCTCTTTTCATTCCTGGTGCTGACTGGGGAAGTGGTATTCCCGTCCGCGGCGGGTATAGCTACGGGAGGCGGGAGTCTGTCCGAAGACCACTCTACCATCGGCTCAGCGATTTGGCTGCACGAACCCCATTGCCTATTCCCCATGCATTCGCGACCCTCTTTATCCGCATGCCCAAGAGGGTCCGGCCGGCCTAAACCTCATGTGCAAGCCCACTTGCAGCGGTACCAGCGGCTATTCCTCTGCTCAGAGTGATCGAACACCCTACACTTACCTTGACCAAAGCCAATAACTCCACTCTTACAAGGTCTTTATCTGGTCACATAGCTGCAAAGCCAACATCAAGTCTGCCTTCGCGTTTCGGGAAGGCGGACTGGGCACAATACTCTGCTCATTACCGGGGCCATATAATAGTCAGTTGAACAGGAAGACCGGAATGCCAGAGATTTAGAGCCACGCTTGTGCACGCTTTTCAGCCTCCAAACGTACGGCAGAAAGAAACCATCCGCAGTCTGGTTCGAATGCTTCGACACATTTACCTACAAGTCTCAGCTGTAACAGAGCACCTTGTAGCTGCCTCTGTTGACAGAACGATCCTTCGCTACTTTTGATGGCGCCCCCAGTTCTTCCTCTGCCGGGAGGAAGATCAGCCTCGCGGTCTCCACGAATGCAGAAATCACGCAATCCATTGCGGAGGGACAAAGTTCGTCAAGGCAAATTGATACGCAGCTGGACGGACGAAGAGGTCCGCTTGATGGCTCTACTTCTGCTCCCGACACTGACCGCTAACAGGAATCCTTTCTATTCCGAAGTCGGACACAGGGCCAGAAACTTCCCTACAAGCACATCGCCAACCGCTTGGATAAGACTGAGCTGGCGTGTCGTGTCCATTGGCACCACATGACAGTTGGTCGGAAAGGCCACCGCACCGAGGAATTTGACGATGACAATATCTCTGACAATAGTGACGGGTCATCGCCACCGACAGTACCGTCTTCAAGCCAGTTTGCAACGCACAGCGGCTCCAACAACGCCCAGCAAGAGGCTAACCTCCCGTACCGGATGTCACCACAACCCTGTACACTTCCGAGCTTCGAGACCTTCATTCGAGACACTTTCCACCAGCGCAGTACGTCGTCGCCAGGATCCTTAGTGGGTGGAGATGTGGACGATGGCACAAAAGAGGTACATCTGCCAAACAGTAACAGATCGTTACGGACACTCTCTGGGTCGTGGCTGAGAGACGTTGGAGCCACTAGCACATATCTCGAGCCTGTGGCTCGAGATCCACCCAATCAATTTGGTGTCCTTCAAACTCCATCCGATCGGCAGGGAAACCCTTCAACTTTGAGTCCTAAGCCCCTGTCTATTAGGCCTGCTGACCCTTCTCAGACACGAGGGGACGCGCTGAGACACTGAAGCGCTGACACAAGTCCGTCTTCGATCCTGGGAAAAGAATGAGGTTGTTCGATATAAATTGCCTTGGACCACTTTCCCACTTCAACGCCCGCCACGAATTTCCTTTTGCGTTTTGAGATGGCGACCTTCTTCATGCTTGTCAGTCGCCGATGGGCATGGTAGGGAATTTCGGCTACAGCATTGCGTCGATTGCTCTGGGAGCCGGGTGTCTGCAACGTACCTGTTCAAGTTTGCAGGTTTCCCAAGTGCAAGATGCGAAGGGGAGGGTTTTTCTGATAGACCTGTCGAGGGTTCTGCTTCGAAAGAGACTTCAATTACAACATTGAGTTTGATTTCTCGGCTCGTTCTCTCCTAGCCTGATCGAGGTACCTCAAAACTTTCTCCAGGCTTCCTTGTCCGCGCGTCCATTTACCTGAGAATACGAAAGCTTATTCACAACACGAGGCTCTATCAGCAGACGGACTATGGTCTCAACCCACTTCGCTTAACGGAGGAACTCAAAAGCCCGGCGAGCTATGACTTGATTTCTGGTCACATTCCGAACCTCGGACAAGCGGACGAGGGAAGGACGTAGGACGATGGCGACTGGTAGGACCTGTTCTCCACAGAGATAGAGCAAGAGGAGGATTTCTCAGAAATCGACGTTAGCTAAGATCGAGGTGCTTATGATATCCCTTCATTAAGGAAATCGCAACCCATATCAAATTCTGGTATCCGGTAGACGAGCTAAAGAAAGCGTCGAGACTCCCTAGACTCAATGGAAAATGATTGCGGAATCGATGGACCAACTACGAGGTATACGAGGCCCAATCAAAAGGACACCATTCTGTTGTTAACTTGTTAGGACTCTGCCACGACGGGCATTGACTCGCCTGCTAAACGCCCGCATTATGGCCGGTTGAATATGTTCCTCCGTGTCAAAGCCCCTCCAACACCTAACACGCCAATAAGGCTTCTGAAGCGCATGAAAGGTTGGGGGCTGAGGAATTCCGAGTCCGCGTCGGCCGAACCCCTCGACAAGTGGGCGGATGAAGCTACATCTACCGAAAATGGATAACCTGGCTCGCGATCCCACAGACCTTCCTCTACGCGTAGTTGTGCCGACAGAGTGAGTGTCACCCAGAGTGTTATCAGGTTGCCTGATGACAAATCGTGAGCCCCGGCACCTGTGGGTTACCTCATAGCACCACCAACGGCACTTCACAAGGTTCAGTCCACTCTGCACAACTGTGGGTGCATAAGCCCCGAGGTCAACCTATAAGATGGGCATCGACCAAGACTTATACCGGGTCAAATGTCTATATAGACAGGTCGAAAAGGTGGACAGGTCTATTCACATCTCTTCTCCTAGAGACATCTGGAGTGAAGCCCTTTGACGTCAGGACTTCCCCTCGCGAATTCTGCCTGATTCTTATCTCCACATACTAGCACCGGCAGTAACAAGCTCGCTAGGTATCAACTGGCGCCGCGCTTCATATATATTTGAGGGGAACTCCGTCGACGGACACTGCTAACAAAAGCACCCTCATACAACCGTCACTAAACATGGCATCCTCGGGCATCAAAGTCGTCTTCGGCACCGCTTCTTTTGGCAACCGTGACCCGTGGATTGCTGAGGACTACCTCAACAAGTCGCTCTCGATTCTCTCAGCTCACGGCTGCAAGGTTCTTGACACCGCCCAGCTCTATGGCGAGTCCGAGAAGCGACTTGGCGAGATCAAGGCCGGAGAAAAGTTCATTATTGATACGAAGTGGATGGGCGGATGGCAGCCGGGCTGGGCCACCAAGGAAAACATTATCAACTCGGCCAAGCAGAGCATAGAGAAACTGGGAGTCAAGGAGGTGAGTTAGCGCCCTCTCCTTGGCCATCGGACAATTCGTCTGTTGCATCTAAAGGGATTCCGAGGCGACCAGTGGCTTCGTCGTCAATACTTCCTTTCCCACGTGGATGATGTAGAGAAACCAGTGATCCAACACAGAATGCTCGCGACTTCTCTCACTGCTGTGCACCAACATGGACTGACTGCCTCCACAGGTCGACATCTTCTATATCCACTGCCCTGACGCGTCCACGCCCCTCGAAGATACTCTTGCAGGCGTCCAGGAGGTTTACAAGACCGGGGTATTCAAGCGCTTCGGCCTGTCCAACTACTCTCCTGCCGACGTGCAGAAGGCCTACGACATCTGCAAAGCCAACAACTATGTCCTCCCCACCGCCTACCAGGGCAACTACTCTCCTGTGGCACGCCGACAGGAGACCGAGCTCTTCCCCACGCTGAGGAAATTAGGCATCGCGTTCTACGCCTATTCGCCGCTTGCTGGTGGATTCCTCACCAAGACCGCTCAGCAGATCGAAGAGGGCGCGGGCCGCTTCGGCAAAGAGGCCCTTGGGGGTATGTACCGGCAAATGTACATGAAGCCGTCTTACCTTGAAGCTCTTTCCAAGTGGGAGCAGATTGCCAATGAGGAAGGTTGTTCACGCGCGGAGCTGGCCTACCGATGGGTTACTTACAACTGCCCTTTGAAGCCAGAACATGGGGACGCCATCATTGTGGGTGCAAGCACGAACGAACAGCTCGAGCAGACGTTGACAGGGATTGAGAAAGGACCCCTGAGCAGCAAGGCTTGTGAGGGCATTGACAAGATTTGGGAGTCGATCAAACACGAGGCGCCTTTGGACAACTTCACTCGCTAAGTATTGTGACCGAGATAGTTACTCTCTGGTGGAAGTCGAGTCGAGGGGCAAGGGAGGATTGTCGTCGTTGACGAGACTATGATGAGGCGTCGATGGATCTGCTTGAGAAAGGGTAGAGGTTTGGGGGATCGCATGCTGTACCGGCGCGATAGGAAGAAAGGAAAGAGCTGATACTGTCCGGTCTTTAGGTAGATCGAGAGACAATGAAACAATTGAACTGTACCTGATTGATCTTGATTGCAGACCGTTTGGACCTACAACGTACCTGGTAGATTAATGGCGCAGGGATTGGGAGAGACATACGAGGGGCATAGACAGCGTTTGCGCCCCTCACCGCTTGACCGCTACAAGGCGCGGTGCGTCGGTGCGACGGTGCGACGAATGACGTGCTTCTCGAACTCACCCACTACCAGCCGCTGCATGCAACCCTCAGTTCCTGCAGGGCCCTACATGTAATGTTAGCCTCCAACAAACTCGATTCGCTCTCTTCCCACCAGTGCCACGAGACTTGGTCCCGCGCTTACAGGGGCGAGGGACGCCCAATCTTGGCCTCCACAAAAGCCCACCAGCCCTTGGGCTGACCGACTGGCATTGCACCAACTCCAGGACAAGATTCTGTTGGTCACGCTGAGGACATCGTCTTCCTCATTCTCCGTATCCTCCACACGACAGTGATCACAAGGCCCTGTTCTCGTGCCCATGCCTTGTCGAATTGACTGAGATGCGCTTTCTCTCCGACTCTCAGCATCTCGTCTATCTTTATCCTTTTCCCGTCCGGTTGACCAGGCGTCCCTAGGCGATCATGCTTTTCGAGGTCACGAACCCAGAATGCGCGTCATAGTCTTGCTATCCTTACTCCTCGAAAACGCCTGGCTTGCGTACGGCGGGACGATCGAAAGAGCCGGGTATGGAGAATATTTTGGTTATTCTGCTGGCCCTTCCAGCCAGAACGAGCTGACGCCAGAGACAAGAGGAGGGGATGACACGACGCTATGGAAATACAATGTGCCAGGAGTCCTTCGCGACATGTTGAACGCCTTGGATGTCATGCAAGATTCATACTTTGACATTTTCACAGGGACATGGCCAGAGGCGATCGACTGGACCTCTGCTGTTATGGGCACACATGTCTCGGCCACTCTCGCCAGCATTGTCTCTTCGTTGGATGCGTCCTCCATGTCCACCTGCTCTGATATGCTCTCTTGGCAGAACATAGTGGAACGGTATTACGCGCACACGACAGTCTTTTACTTTGGCGAGAATGCGTTCGCTTTACGAAATCAAGCTTACGATGACATGCTCTGGGTGGTTCTTGGCTGGCTCGAGAACTTGAAATTTGCGGAAATGTATACTTTGAAGCATTGGGATTTTCTCCAGTCCGGGAGACGCGGCGACTCGGAAACCGGGTGGCATGGTCTTCAAATCAGCCCGATGGCCGCCCATCGCGCGCGGATATTTTACGACTTGGCCTCCGTGGGATGGGGTGAATCCCTCTGTGGAGGCGGGATGACATGGAATCCATATCTGACTCCCTACAAGAACGCCATCACGAATGAGCTTTTCGCTGCGGCTAGCATTGCCATGTATCTTTATCACCCGGGCGACAACAACACTTCCCCATATCTGGTACAAGGCGGTACTGGCCTCTCCAAACCTCATGATCCTTTGTATTTGGAAAACGCCATCAAGAGTTACAAATGGCTTATGGATAGCCAACTGCGCAATCCCAAGTCCGGTCTTTATCGAGACGGGTTCCACGTCACAGGCTGGCGCCGATATCCCAACGGCACGGTCGACCCGGGCACAGGAAACTGCGACGACCTCGATCCTATGGTATACACCTACAACCAGGGGGTGGTCTTGTCCGCCAGTCGCGGTCTGTGGCTAGCCACTGGGGCTAGAAGCTACTTGGACGACGGTCATGCTCTGGTGGAAAGCGTGGTCCGAGCAACTGGGTGGCCCAACTCCCGTCCGACCTGGAGCGGTCTTGGGAGAGGAGGGATTCTCGAAGAATTTTGCGATCACAGCGGGTACTGCAGTCAAGACGGCCAGACGTTCAAAGGCATCTTCTTCCACCATCTGTCTGAATTCTGTCGCCCGCTGTGGCCGCAAGAAGAGGCATTCGTCGCGAAAGACAAAGGTGCGAGTGGTGCGAGTTTTGACCGAGCTGTTTACCAATACCACCTTGCCCGCTGCGCCGCTTATGATAAATGGGTCGCCCATAACGCCAATGCCGCCTCCGCCACGCGAGATGCCGACGGGCATTTTGGCATGTGGTGGACTTTTGAAGAACCCGATGAGGAAACAATGGCTGAGATCCAGAAGAGTACGGTTCTTCCGCCCGGGGCGGAGGACTACCTCAATCCTCTCCCGGAGAATTGGCCAACTCAAGCCGTCAACGCGACGACCGATAGAAACGATCGCGGAAGGGGAAGAACGGTCGAAACACAGAGTGGAGGATTGGCGGTCCTGCGGGCGCAGTGGAACTGGCAAGTCAATTTGCGGCAGATATCAACCTGAGAAAACATGAAATGTAGGGCGCGGGTTTTATCTTGGTTGGTTTGTTCGTGGTTCACATAGCCGTGCGAGTTTGGATACACGAAATACCATATAGCGAAGGATTTTGACCACGAAATAAATGACTTATATTTGTGCAGTTCAATTTTGGAAATCAAGCTGGAAGTTACCCTGAGCAAAGAAAGACACATTTTACCTGAAAGGTGGAATCTGTTTCAACTCGACAAATTTGTCAAAGGCGTCTGTGAGCGACTGGTAGGAGTCAATGTGGCCGGTCCAGCCAAACTTCCTGGCCTTGTTGATGCTCAATGTGGCAGACCAAGTGCGCTGAAAGACCCAGTCCTGATACGCCCAAGTTCCAGCATCCCAGGTTTGTTTGGATTCTGGACAACCGTGCTTGTCGCACAAGCAGTCCCAGACGCCCCTTTTGTCCTTGGCCCACTCGGCGAAGCTCGTGTCAAGCTGCACATCTCCCTCTCCCGTCGCTGGCAGTGGTGGCTTGCTGCTGAACTTTTGCTCGGATGAAGCGCGGGCTCCGACGTAGGCGGCCAGCCGCGGCCACATGTACCTCCACGAGAAGTAGTCGCCGTTGGCGACGTTGAAGGCTTGATTGCCGGTCCTTGGATTGGTCGACGCCCAGATTGTCATATCAGCGATCAACCTCGAATCGGAGAGGTCGTCATAGCCAGCCCAGTACCGCGCATTGGTCGGCATTCTCGCCTCTTCTCCCAGCTCCTTGCACACCAGGAGATACAGCGCACAAGTCAAGGCCGAGTTCATGCCGTTGGGCTTGGAAGTGTAGCCGACAATCGCCTCTGGTCGAATGACGTTCCAGGTCCATTTTGTCCCCCTCTGGCGCTCCATCAGGTAATCTTCCTGTTGGTAGTAGAAGTTGCCAATCGGACTGTCCCTTCGCGGGTCGTCCTCTTCCCGTGCCGGGGATGGAACCGGCATCAGATGGACATTGTAGTGCTTGCCGCCGGTCTGGAGGGTGCAGTTCTCGAGCCGAGGAGCCACCGCGAGCAACGAGTCCAGAAAATTCGAAAACAGCTTCTCGTTGGCCGTGTTCAGCTCTTTGAAATCGTCCCTGTGGATGTATGACGAGAAGTAGGCGTGCGTGACCTGCCCACATACGGGCCGCATCTTCTCGACCAGCCGGTCGACGTCCTCGCTGAAGTCGAGCGGAATGAACTTTATCCGATCATCGTGGACGACCGTTTTGAAGGGAGACCGAGAGGTGACGATAAACTGGCTCCATTCGTCGGGCCTCGTGTTTCGTACCAGATACTCCAGCACTGCCGAGCCGGTGATGCCGTTCCCACCCGTGATAAATGCGACTTTGGCCATCGTGTGCGGTACTGCTTTCAGAGGAGGTTCCAAAGTTCGACACGACGAGGGTGGGGAAGCCAGACAGAAGAGCCATTTGCCTCTTTAATACGGCGTACAAGAAACGAGAGGCCCAGCCAGGCAGTCAGGAACGACCTGCCCCTTTACCCCGGAATCTGCCCCAAGCTACGGTAACCTCCTATGGCGACACTGGGGTTGTTGGGCCGGAAAATGTGGTATCGAGCACGGACAAACGCGTGGTTCTTCGATGAAGGAAGGCGTTCCACCGTGAAGGGAAAATAACCGTGTCCCGGACCAGGGGATCAACAGGGCAACGGAAAGTAGCATGAATTCCAGGCGGATGCAGTGGAGTAGGCCGAGTGGCTTAACGAGGCTGCAGCATGTTCGGGTCTCTATGCACCCAACATGTTACTTGCTTAGTAGGCGGGTCGCTCACCACGCGGGGGTACGACGTATGTACATAGCTGGGCAAGGCTGGTGAGGTAGGTTTGCGGCGTTGAATCCGAGAGACGACGTCTTTAGCACAGGACCACCAACTTCGGCTTCTTGGACCAGTAACCCTTCCCGACTCTCGGTGTCTAGTTTGCTTCTCTACCAAGAACTTGCCTGAGCACTGCAGTGAGCTTCGCTTCTGCATCTGCTACCAAGTCATGGCACCTCCAAGCCACGAAATGGTCAGGACGAATGAGGACTGCACCCTTCTCACCAACTCCGCGCACTCGGCACCAATCTCGATAACAGTCCATGTAATCGCATCGAAATCCAATTTTATACGCCTTGATTTGGGGTCCATGTGTCTTGGACCATTTTCGGGCAGCTTCAACCCACTCATCTCCGCCAATACCTGTGAATAGGGTGAACCTGCCATGGCCTGCCAAATCCAGGGTCGAAACCCTCTCGGACTGACTATCGGCCGCCAGCCAGACGTGTGGTAAGTGGTAGCCGGGAAAGGTGCTGATTTTGACCTGCTTGAGAGGGTTCAAGTGACTGAAATCCGGAGCACGGTCGCCTGGTTCGACAACAGTGGCTGGTGAGTCCAGATAGACTTGATTTTGTTGGATCCCCAAAGCCTGGACTTCGTCGTCGGTTGCTTCCAAGGCTTCCCGGAAGCAATTGCGCATTTCTTGCCCCTTTTCACTGTCTGACGCGAGAAGCTCGGTCGCCTTGATTCGAGTCTCCGGGTCCAGTCCGATGATTGACCAGAGCCGTCGGTGTGCTTCCATGCCGTTGTTTGCTCGGCGCACGATACCATCCCCAACAGGCTTGCGTTCTATGGTCAAAGTGTCCAAAAGTGAAGCCGACGCCCAACCTTGAAGGACATATGCCAACTTCCAAGAGAGATTGAAGGCGTCGGATATGCAAGTGTTGCTTCCCAGGCCATTGATAGGCGGATGCCGATGCGTCGCATCGCCAATACACACCACCCGCCCCTTCTGCCACCGCTCCGCAACCTGGTCGTTGATACTCCACGAGAACGAAGAGAGAATCTCGATATCAACCGAGTCATCCCCAATCATCTGATAGAGGCGTTTTCTGATCGCCTCTTCGGACGGTTGAAAACTACCCAAGTCTTTTGTTGCAGGATGCATCGAGACCACAAATTCATTCCAAGGTCTGACCATGCGGAAATTGCCTACAGCCGACCAGTCCGGCGCATCGGGATTCAGTACCCAATTTAAGCTTCCGGGTCGATGGGAGATGTACTTGGCCAGATCGGCCTTGATATGGACATTAAACGCAGTATTGAGTTGACGACCAATGACGGGTATTTGGAGCGACTGGAGAACCGCACTCCGAGCCCCGTCGGCGCCGACAAGATATTGAGAAGTCACGATGAACTCCTTGCCAGACGATCGGTCGCGCAGAGTCGTGTGGACCCTGTCGGTCCTCTCCTCAAATTGGACAAATTCGGTATAAAAACGGAACTCGGCCCCTGCTTTCTCGGCTTCGTGGACAAGGACAGGTTCGAGGAGGCTTTGTGGTAAGTCCGACATCACGCAAGGACTGGCTGCTTCGTAGTCTCCTTTCTGCGACGGCTTGTTTCCCCATGCCCACAGACGACCGTATTCTTCGCCTGCGAGCGTGTTCAGCCAAGAAGTGTGCTGCATCTCTATCGTTAACATCAGTCACGATTGTGCTCTCCTGACCTCGCCGGACGGTCAACAGCCGTTTTCCTACTTACCGGTTGCAGGGCACGCTATTTTGTTCAACTCTGGCTCCAATCCCGCGTCTCTCAGGACTTCCATGGCTCTCTGATTGAAGATATGTGCGCGGGGAGTGTTGGCGGGGCTTTTGTGCCTCGAAACGGCCAGCGACTTGATACCCATGCGCGCCAAAAGTAAAGCAGTCGTGGCCCCAGAGGGACCGGTCCCAATAACCAAGACAGGGTATTCCATATTTCACTAAGGGACCACAAAAGTGTGTTGTCGTATGTCCGCCTACATTGAGCACCTCATTGTCGAAATAACTGACGACCTCTCCAGGGCGTTCGAAAGAATTTGAACCGAAGAAAGTATCCGCATGAATGTTACTGTACCGCCAGGGCTCGGATTTTTCTTTCCAAACGAATCTCCTTGGAGTCCTTGATCGGTTCAGACGAGACAGCGATCTCAAAAGCCAGCCGTATAGTTCGCTCTCGCTACCAAGGCTTCGTGGTAGGGACTACAGAGTACGTGCCGCCACGGAAGTCGCGAACACAATACCACTTTATCCGGGAGTCCGTCTCCACGCCCCCGGAAATGGTGCTGAAGGTGGTATTTCTCCGTGGCTGCGGAGTGATCAGCGCTTACGGTAACAGTGCCCGCTGACCTCCATGAAGTTCTCATCTGAGTCCTGAAGACACCATGTCCAATGGTACTGATCACCTTACTCCGCTTCGCCTGGACGAGCACCATTCCCGAGAACAGCACAGATGGCAGAGGGATTCCCGGATCCCGGACTAGATCAGGGCTTTCTGGGGCTCTCTCGCCCATGACCGACCAGGTGTTGGGCCAATCCGTTATCACATTCATTGTCGATGTTGTTGCAATAAATTTGTCTTGTTCCTGACGTGCCTTTCGAGTTCGTCTCAAAGCGGTCCTCGCCGGTGCAACTCTTGACTTGAGTCGTTCGATCATTTCTCGTCCTGACATTGCATCACTTTATCAAAATCTCTCTGTGGGTTACCTGCTGAGAACACATATAGCACAATGACGGTCGAGGTTGAGCGCATCACAGAGGGTGCCTTGAAGCTGTTGAGTCCTCTGCAATGGCTCGCGCTAGGGGCATTCTTGTACCTCCTCAACACCTGGGTCAGTTTGTGCTCACCCCCCAGCTCGGCAGTATCTGGTGGCTCGAGGTACCCAGTTCGAGAAAAAGTTGGCTGACTAGTTCGCAGATATTGTACCCATTCCTGTTCTCACCAGTCCGACACATTCCCGGGCCATGGTATGCCCGCGTCTCCAAAATTCCACTGTGGTACGCAACCTATAAGCGGAGACGAACCGAGTTCGTGACCAGGTTGCTCGAGCAGTATGGCCCGGTGGTTGTGATTGCCCCGAACCAGGTCCACAGCACAGACGACAACGCCATGAAGCAGATATACGACAAGACAGCCATCAAAACGAGCTTTTACGCCTCCATGGGTAGCTGGAAGGGCGTCACTACAACGCTGGGCTTCCTCGACTATGCCTCTGCTGCGCGGTCCCGTAACAATCTCCTGCAGTGCTTTCAGAATCGCAACCTAGCGACGCTGGCGGAGAATATGCAGTCGCACGTGGAGGATTTCATTCGGCTACTAGAGCAGAAATCTCGGAGTGGAGATGCTGTCGATGGCGTCGTTGTGTTCCGTCTGTTGGCTCTCGACATCGTCACCGACGTCCTCTGGGGCGAGGAGAATAGGCTCCTGCATCATTTCGACGATGATGAAACTCCCGTTTTCCTCCGCCGCTTTCACGCGTTCAGCACGTGGAACGCGATGAAAAGTTTCATCCCCGGCGCCGACCTCCTCGTCAGGTGCTTGGGCAACGCGAAGTGGCGAGGCCTGCGCAACGACTGCAACGACATGGATGTGACTGCGCGAGAAGCCTTGGATCGCTGGTTGGCCAGCGACAAGTCTGGCCACCGTCACCGAGACAAGGATGTGCTGTCCATGTTGCAATCCATGAACAAGGGCAACGTGTCTGCCGTGCCCACCCAGGATGTCCCAGCTTACATGGTGGAAATGCTGGCCGCGGGCTCCTCGACCACCTCTCACACGGCGGCTTTCGCGTGTTGGTTACTCACCCGCCACCCGGAGGCCCAGGCACGTCTGCAAAAAGAACTCTTCGAAGCCTTCCCCAATTCGGACACCATGGACATCAAACTGTCCCTCGATCTCCCCTTCCTGGATGGCGTCTTTCGAGAGACCATGCGCATGTTCCCTGTGATCCCTGGTCCTCTGGAACGATACATAGGACAAGACATCTGCATGGCCGGCCAGGCCGTCCCCAAGGGAGTCATTGCGTCAACCGCCGCGTACAACCAGGGTCGACTGGAATCGGTCTACCCCGAGGCCAATTCGTGGAAGCCGGAGCGCTGGCTCGATGCGACCGAACGGATGAGGCTGAATTGGACGCCCTTCGGATACGGATCGCGCATTTGCCCCGGTGCCAATCTGGCCATGACCGAGCTGAAATACATGGTCGGGATGATCTTCAGAAAGTTCAGAGCCGTCCTCCCACCTGGCCATGAGGACGACACTCTCGAATTGGCGGACGTTTTTGGAGCGGCGCCAAAGACGGGACATTGCTGGCTTAAGTTTGAAGCATTGGAAGAAAGTGGACCAGTTTTTTAAAACCAGACAGAGACGTATGCGAGAGGACTGGGTCAACCAAGGTAGAATTTGAAATGTAATTAGTTCATTGACAAATGGTGACTCAATCCACAAGCTGTTACGCGGTCCTGTCTGTCTGGTGTGTAGATTGCATCCAGAGTCATATATATTGTTGCGTTTGCTATTCGATTCGCTGGTTCACGGGTGAACGCTGAGTGGCCAATCTACTGGCAACCTTTGCGAAGGACGACCAGCGCGCGGGGCTGATGCGATCATAAAGCTCTACAAAGGAGTTCATCATCTCCGCACAGTGAGACTGATCCACCGGAATAGCAGGCTTTGAGGCGCTGTGTGCTTCCAACATCAGAGGGGCGTTGCCTGCGTCGTGATCACGGTCAAAATCATGAGCTCCTACGTAAGCCCACAAAAGAACAGCTGCGTGATGCAAGCCGGCAAATGCCAGGAGATTGAAGCGCACCCGTTTGCCGTCGTCGGTGATCTGTGCTTCTCGGGCGATCAATGCCCAGATAATGCAGGCTCGCTCCGCAGCGAGGCGGCCTCGGCGGGAATTCGCCCATCGATGGAGCTCAGTGACGAGGTCATGACCTACGACTCGGTTGTCGGCTTGGACATATTGGATTTGGTGTATATCCTGCAGTGGTGCATGGAGGCATAAGTGGACCAAGTGATATATGATGAGGCTGCTGAGAAGGCTACTGCGGTCCAGCTCGGTCCTCGCCAATGCCTTGACGAGCGACAGTGCGCGCTGCCACTTGTCCAGTGCTGCAATCAGCCGATCACGCTCATACTTGAGATCAGCCATCGTCCGGGAAGCACTGTCGATGCTATGGATCTCCAAGCCCCGCGTGCTGGCCTGGAAAGGTGACCGGGCTGGATGAGTGGGTGGAGGCGGTTTGGAGGCTGTAGATTCGACACCTCGGAGCTGCTCGTCGTTGAGCTCGTCAAACTGTTGGGTGTGATCGTCTGTCAAGCGGGCAAACATCTTTTGATCGTGTGAGAATCTCCAGGCCTGATATTGGAGACCAAACATCAGAAGCTCTTGGCCGCAAGGGTCTAGAGGGACAGCGTCTTCGTGCTTGTCTATGGCAATGCGATATATGTCTGAGGCTCGCATTTGGCGGCCGGGGGTTCGCTCTCGTTCGATCATCTGTAGGCACAGGCTCGGAGGCATTCGCTCGCCCCGCCAGACTGCATCGCACATAGGGAATTCAAGATCAATCTCCTCCAACAGGACCAGAGGCCGGGTGTGGAGGAGAACGCTGGTGTACGTGTCGGCGCGGAAAATGCCGAATGCCAGTCGTCGCCGGGCCTCGACCTGTAGCCAAATCGACAGGCGCTCCTGGTCTGATGCCACACCCTTGAGTCGATAAAACTTTGCAATGAAATTCTCCGCCGGTTTCGCAGAAAAGAGATCCATTCGGCGCGCCTGTGCAATCAGAATGGTGCCGAGATGCTGCGAATAGGAGAAGGCCTTGGGTTGACCAAAGTACAACGCAGCAACCTGAGTTAGGAGTCGTGCTTGCGCTAGCCAGAGGGAATCTGCTTCGGCATCATCGAAGTCCAGCACCGCGCATAAGCTAACGCGAATCCGAGCGTGCATCATTGCTCCGAAGTTGCTCGCAGCTGGACCACCATACATAGACCCAATCGAGGTTAATGTCAAAAATAGAAGCGGATGAAGAGCGTCTGCTTCCGTGTTTTGGGGGCTTAACAGTGGCCAGAGCGGGCCAAAGTTTGCGCAGTAGAGGCCGTAAAAGCGATATAGGGTTGAAGATGCCGAAACCCCCTTTTCAACAGGAATGTCAAAAGCTTCGGCAACTTTGGGAGACATCAGCTGCCAGGACGACGCGCAATCTGCATTCCGTCGCACATGTGATTGCGGGCCAGAAGCGAAGGCGACAAGATCACGGACAACTTGGCACCGACTGCTTCGAGGTGTTGCTGTCTGTTGAGTTGCCAGACTCTGTGGACGGATTTCTTGGACTGGATTTGACAATGTCAGCAACCATGTTTGCAACGACAGACGAAATTACCTGTGTGGTTCTCATGGGATATAGCAGCATGCCCAAACGTTGGCAGAGGAGTTGAAGACATTGAGTTGGCATGAGCATCGGCTTCGGCAACGGCTTCAGCATCGCATTCGTTGCCGGAGATATTCTCCTGCCTCGTTTGATGATCGGATAACATAGTTGGTACCGCTGTGGCGTGATTTACTTGAGATGTACCCAGTTGCAGCATTGGATACTCCATTGGCGCGAGTAGCGAATTGTCCCCGAAGTACTGAAGACCAAATGCATCGTAACTATCGGAAAAGGCGTCTCGAGATGGGCGAAGATAGAGGTTTTCATGCAACCAAGGCCAGGAAATCGTGTCCATTGAGGGCACTGCCACGGAAGAATCCAAGCTCCCCAATATCGCACCTCCGTCCATGGTTTCGGGGAGCGTGTAGTCCATTTGAAGAGGAAATCCCTGCTCCTGCGTAGTGCTGGGGTGCAGAGGTGATTGAAAATCCATCTGGCCTATGTTTCGATTGACCTCGCCACCTTCGAGGGACGGGACAGCCAAGCTCAAATGTTCCGGCGCAGAAGGGGTCTCTTCTGATGGTTCGGAGTCCTGTTGTTCCTGCTCAAGAGCACTGCTCAAATCACCAAAGTCGGCTTCCGAAGTGGAGATGAACGAGGAGTGTTCTGATTGAAATGATAAACGACTCAATCGGTTGGAATGGCGGCTATCCTCGCAATGTGCTTCTGCATTGACACAGCTGGTACAGGGTCTCTGACTGTTGCATTTCGTCCGGAGCTCCCTGCACCTGATGCAGGCTGTATGACAGCGCTTCCGATGTGCGTCGGTGTCAGCCTGAGCAGGATGAGCCTGGTCTGTGGACGGGGAGGCGAGCTCGTGTAGTTTGGAATGGCGCGACAACAGGTCTCGACGGTAGAACGTCACCCCACAAACTGTACAGCGGTGTTTCTGCGACTTGGAATGGCTATGGACGTGCCGCGTTAGTGAATTCTGGCTGGCATACTTCCTATCGCATTTAGGACACTGATACATGTGTGGCAGCTTCTCAGCGCGACAATGCTGAGGATGAAATAACGGAAGCTGTGGAAGAGGTTTTCTTTCGGGGTCTCCTGTGGTCTGCGGTGGGTTCTTTAGTCTATAAAATATTACGACGGCCGCCAGCAACCAGGCACACTAGGTGACGCGGTGTACGACTGACTGAACCTATCGTGTATGATGCTCATAGGCGATATCGTAGAAGGTACTCGGGAGCTCGCCGGCTCGTCGGTAGAGGTAATGGTGTTTGACAGACGTAGATATACTCGGTAGTCTGTGTGGGTCGTGGCTGCTATGGCCTAAGAACGTGGAGTGTGGGGGGCATCCGTCTAAGAATGTTTCCTAGCCTCGCTGGGTAGGCTTGGGTTGACTATATTACTGACCCATGATCATCTACGGAGGCGTCTCTATCAAATATCTACATAGGAGTGTCTTCATCCATGAGTTTGTCTTCCATCCATCACGTTGAAAATACCATGCGGTTTGTCAGACGTCCAATGCCACCAATCTCCACCGCTACCTCGTCGCCGTCCCGGAGGAAAGCAGGAGGTTTCATAAACAGCCCAACGCCACCCGGGGTGCCGGTCATGATGAGGGACCCGCGCTGTAGCGTCTGGCCCTGACTACAGAATGCGACAAGTTGTCGAACCCCAAAACAGAGATCAGAGGTGTTGCTCTCCTGCCGCAGCTCACCATTGACCCATGTCTTCAATGGTTGCTGGTCCGCTGCCCCTAGTATACGCGAGGACACCAGACATGGGCCCAAGGGCGCATATTTGTCAAAGGACTTGCTGAACGTCCATTGCGGCACCGGCCCTGCTTTGCCCGGCTCTCTTTGCCAGTCGCGCGCCGAGACGTCGTTGCCGGCCGTATATGCGGCCACATAGTCCAGCGCGTTCTCTTCTGGCACATCCTTTGCATCTTTGCCGATGACAACCACGAGCTCGCCCTCATAGTCACATTGCGATTGGGCGATCAGCGGAATCGGTATCTTCTCCCCATGATCCGCCACCGCTGGGCCCGGTTTGGTGAAGACAGTTGGACAAGTGGGAAGCGGACGTCCGGTTTCAAGAACTGTTCACAATCAGACACGAGGAACGCCCAGGGGGTTTGTGATCCACATACTATGAGTTTTGTAATTCAGTCCAATGCAACGAATGTAAGGCACATGGGCAGATTCTAACGGACCCAACAGCTTTTTGACACTGTCCACCGCGCCAGTGGGTTTCGCATTCAGAGGGTGATCCCCTTCTAACACCTTCACTTGGAGTTTCCCCTCGTCCGCCAATTTCGCAACGAGGTCGACATCGGCTTCGGCGACAATGGGTTCGCCGTAGCGGACGGTTTCGCCATCACCCTTTGGGATATAGCGAACAAATCGATCCCAAGCAACTGACATAGTCACAACAAATCCACCGGGTTTCTGTCTATCTTAAAAACAATATGATTTGGGCGCCGTCGACAATGCTGGGCTAGAATCGATCAAAACAGACACGGCCTGCGCGGGTAGTAAAAACAAATTAAAAGGACGGAGATTGGACTTCCCTGTCTCAATTGAGGTGCGACAATCATCGTCCAGCAGATCTCGGATAGCCAACAGACATGAAGGTTCGCGAAGAACACGCGCGCCTCTGTCCCTTATCCGACAGTCCCATGATTGTTGATCTGGCGGACGTGGCGGGAAAGGAAGCAATGGGCCAGAACGAGTGTCGCTCTCGACCATGCCACCTTTTCCGCCCCTCACTGCATTACTGAAACGTGCTTCTCTCTCTGAGCCGGCCCGTTGCCGGCTATGCCACAAATTCATGCATGCCACCTTCCTGGGAACCGTGAGTGGCCACTTCCAGGTTTTGAGGAAGCCCGTGGAGGCCTGATGGGCCCTCCTTGTACCAGTAGAGGGAAGCAAACCTCCAACGACCCTGCATCTGCCTTTCGCAGTCCAGCAGCCGTGGCGGCGGCAGCAATTCCGTTCAACATTAGCAATGTCATGATCACCTGGACAATGTTGCAGGTGTATGCTGGCTTACAGATAAAAAGAAGTTGTGTTGAATTCGCTATAGAAGGCTCCATTTGAAGGCGACAAGACAAGTTGTCTACATGAGCAGTACAAGATGCCTATCCCAACAGACGACCCTCGGATCCGCCTCCAGGCGACGGCTTTCGTCATTTATCATCATGCCGACCTTCAAAAAGCACGACAATTTTACACCGACTTCGGCATGTCAATAGCACATGAAACCGACCAAGAAATTTTCTTTCAAGGTTATGGCGTTGAACCATTCATCTACATAGCACGCCGTGCAGAAGGAGAGAGCTTTTTTGAAGGTGCCGCCTACGAAGTCGAGAGTAGGGCCGAACTGGAGCGAGCTGCTAAGATCAAGGACGCGACTTCAATCTCCTCGTTGAAAGCCCCTGGCGGGGGCGAAGTGGTGAGATTGACCGATCCTGTTGGTCACCATGTGTATCTGGTTCACGGGCAGACCAAGAAAGAGTGCACACCGCCCGGATTGAAGAAGTTGGTGGTCAACTACGAGGATGAGAAGCCCAGGAAAGGTCATTTCCATCGATTTGAACCCGGACCTGCACCCGTCCACCGCTGGGGCCACTACGGGGTCACCTATCCAGATGGGACTTATCAGCTCATGCTCGATTGGTACACCTCAACCCTCGCGTTGGCCGTGTCTGATGTCGTCTACAAGGACGACAAGCCCATCACATGCTTCTTCCATATTGACCGGGGTCTCGAGTTTACCGATCATCACGCCTTTTTCTTCAAGCGGGTTAAATCTGGACAGAAACCCAACGTCGCCCACGCGGCGTTTGAAGTGCATGACTTTGACATCCAGATGTTAGGTCACAATTACCTCGAGGAAAAAGGCCATGAGACCTGTTGGGGAGTTGGACGAGTGAGTAATTTGGCGTCTGTATCTATGCGAGCGGTGTGCTAACGCATACCTAGCACTTTTTGGGCAGTCAAGTATTCGACTACTGGTTCGATTCCAGCAAATTCATCGTGGTAAGTGCACTCCCATCCCACATTAGTGGAAAAATTTCTAAATTTCGACAGGAACACTACGCCGACGGAGACTTGGTAAATTCGGAAACAAAAATTGCGCACATTTCAGCAGGTCCGCACGCTTTGAAGACATGGGGACCACCGGTGCCAGAGACATGGTAACGAGAAATACTATGCGCGTATGCCGTGACCCTTGTATGCTTGTGTAGGCGTGGGACGAAAAACAAATAGCAAAGGCGCGTAAAGGTTAGATTTGGGACAAGGCATCCGGCATGCGTCGTGGGATACTTCGGCTCTGAAGGATGGACCTAGGGGCTCATGAAGGGGTTCTATCAACCCCGGGTTCGCGACCCGTGAGTATCATTTCGACTCAAATTTTAGAGTCGCCTGTATGGGAGAGATGCTGGACCAATGTTGCCTGCTTGGACCTGATTCCCATGAGTCCGAGTTCGAGTCCCCACTGGAGAGCACATCTGTAGAATAGTGATGTTCTTGGTCAGCCTCGTCGGATGATGTGGTATTATTAACACCGTGTTGAGAAAGTCTGCCGAGATTTACTCCCGACTAACAATCAGTAGGGATTACGGTCCGTCCAAGTTCCTGGAAGTCAGCTGCCCAAACTTCGGCGATATCAAGCAGATATTTCGCAGCGCCAACACTGATAGAAATATCAAAGCTCGCTTGAGATCCGACCCATTGAGAGATGTAGGATTGCAACCCCGCAGGAAGGGGATCCTACGGACTCGGCTGTGAAGGAGTGAAGCCTTGCCCAGACCCCTGCGCCGTGCCACTTTATCCGCCACCTCTGAACGCAAGGTTCCGTGCTTGATTCCGAATGCAACTGGCCAGACTCCCATGTGTTGTCGTGTGGCTGATGTAAACGACGTGGAAACACGGCAGCACTGGTCCAGGTCATGCGTCGCTCGCTTCTGGGATGACGAACTGAAAACAGATATGGCGGCCCTGAGGGCCCTCGTTGTCGCCATCCCCACGGGGCTGAAGAGAAGATCCCTTATATCCTGAGCTTCCCCTTTCCCCAAGATTCAACATGGAGATCCACCGAAGTCTCGCACATATCTTCTTTATCCTTACTTGCAGATAAAGCAGCCGCCTCACGTTTCCATGGAGCAGAGGCACCAGTTGACGCCGGAGCACGAAGCTTACCTCCTTGAACGCCATGGAACTACTGATCTTGAGCCCTTACCATCCGCCGACCCTAATGACCCTTACAACTGGCCCTCCTGGAAGGTAAAGTTCCCAGTCCTGCTCCCGTTGTGACAGGATTGAAAGCTGATGGCCGATTTCACAGAAAAACGCCAATCTCACTGTCGTGGCATTCCAAGGACTGACCACAGTTCTCAACGCTGCTGGTGTCATCCCGGCACTTCCTCTCTTGATGGAGGCTCTCGGCGTCTCCGTCCACAAGGCGACTTATATCATCGGCGTCAACATCCTCTTCCTGGGAATAGCTCCCTTGTTCTGGAAACCGTTTGCCAATCGCTTCGGAAGGCGGCCGACCTGGTTGCTCGCCACTCTCGGCAGTGGACTCTTGAACATAGGTTGCGTTTATTCCAAATCCTATGGAACCATGATCACCTTTCGGATCCTCACGGCCTGCTTTCTGAGCCCCGCTCTCGGCTTGGGCGGCGCTGTGGTCACAGAAACGTTCTTCAGCCACCAGAGAGCAACCAAGCTTGTGAGCTCCCGATATATCCTTCCCAAGATGCGGTCGAGCCACTGAGTCTGATTGACAGCCAGGGAATTTGGACTGTAGCTTTCACGATAGGTCCCTCTCTGGGACCGTTCCTCGCCGGTTTCATCGTCTATCACACAAACAACTGGCAATGGGTCTACTGGTTCTTTGTCATTGTGAGTACCTTCTGCAATTTTTCTAAGAAGATAATCATATTCCTGACACGGGTAAATCCCAGGTGAGCCTTGCGACATTTGTTGCCGCTCTGTTTCTTTGCCCAGAAACATTGTATATCCGAAACTCTCCGTCTGCACAACAACAATTGACCATCAAGAAGCAATATTTGAGCTTGCGCCGCATTGACCCCGCCCCATTCACCCTCACTGAGATCTTTCAGCCATATGTAATGCTACTGCGACCCAGTGTCTTGCTGCCGGCCGCTTCATATGCCGTGGTCTTTTGCTTCGCCAGTCCCGCAGTGAGCGTCATTATTCCGACCGCTTACGGAGAAAAGTTCGGCCTCAACGCGCAGCAGATCGGACTGCAGTTTCTGGCGATCATGATCGGTGCAATCATTGGAGAACAGGTTGGAGGGTTCCTGAGTGATGGAATGATGCGCTGGAAGCGCGGTGCAGCCGAAAGGAGGCCGGCAGAGTTCCGCCTTTGGGCATCGTATATCGGCTTCGCGACTGCGATCGGTTAGTAATCCTTTACCCTGATGAGTTTTCGCACGGTCTTTTGTCTGAGTCTGGTGAGCTGATTGTGGTGATAGCTGGAATGGTGGAATGGGGAGTCACGCTACAGAATGCTCCCGTCGGATGGTGGACTGTTAAACCAGATATCGGTCTGGGCATCTTGACCTTTGGACTCCAGGTCGTAACAACGACCCTAGTCACATGTGAGTACTAGACGCACGATTCTGTTTTCCCGAGGTGGTGTCAACGTTAACGACTCTAGATGCTGTTGATTGCAACCACAACGAGGCGGCCGCCGTGGGTGCAGCAATTAACCAGGTCCGGCAAATATGGTCTTTCATCGGCCCGTTCTGGTTTGTCCCCATGTATGAAGCCCTGGGGTTCGCAAAGGCTGGGGGGATGATGGCGGGCCTCATAGCGGCAGCTGCGTTGCCAATCCTAGCTTTGCACATCCTGGCATCATCCAGGCGGCGAGGCTCCGGTGTGCATTTCGAGCATCCTGACTCCAAGCCTGAGCACCAGTCTGTGACCACTAAAGATACTGGTGTCTCATCATACGTGGAAAAGGTTACTGAGGCTTGAGAAAGTTGGATCGCTGAGAGGTCTTTGCCAAGGGCTATTTTCTAACTGATCGCATTTGTATCAGGAAAGAACAAACTACGGTGTGGAGCAGGACCTGTTCTCGTAGGGTAAACCAGAATTTCAGATGCAAGGCATGAACACCCCTATCAAGGCTTGAGACGGCTACGAGGTTGCCTCTAGACAGATCTGGCCTCGGACAAGCAAGACCCTGTGTCGCTCGTTTAAGCAAAATGCCGCCTCCTTGGCACTGACGTATCCGAGTAGATATAACTCTCGAGTATCCCCATCTCCCTATGATGATAGGGTGGGAGGCGACGGAATATAGTAGGACCGGGCTAAAGCCGTGAGGGAGTAGAAGAGATTGGAAGGGGAGTGGACGAGGGAGCGATTCGATTTAACACCCGCTAGCTCGAGAGTTAAGCAACGGCGGTGTACTGGGTATTTGTTAGCGAAAGAGTCCCCAAGGTAGATAGATCGGGAATTATATAATGTACGTTCGGAATATCATGTGCCACGACACGGCTCCAAGTTTCCTCCAGTCCGACTGAAACGAAACCCAGCGGAAAAGCAACGGAGACCTCGAGGGAAAGATAAGGCTCTGCTCCATTCTTCCATACCCTGGCGGACATCGGTAGCGAAGGGGTCGAACGAAGCATCCGTCAACCGTTGCGCCCAAGGGAAGGTTCGGAACCGATTCTCAACTGCGTCTGATTGGCTGCTCCACACTTATGAAATAGGGCTTACATTGCAGCACAGGACGACGACCGGGGCCGCGAATGTCGGTGTGGAGGGCACGGAGGGGTACTTAGCCATTTGCATGGATGGAGAGACGAGGGGGAATGGGCTAGGTGCCTGAGGGTAGCAAGGCAAATTCGGCAAATCCATCAAAAAAGTATAAGAAGACCTTTGAATCCCTCGGAGCAGATCTGAGACTGAGTTGTAATATTGTAAACTCTCAACCCTGAAAGAGGGGGTAAACAAAAGAAAATGGGCTTGTTATCCAACATACCCGCTGACTCGCCCTTTACCTTGGATAACATCCCGTTCGGAGTATTCTCGACGGGCGACGACCCAACGCCGCGGTGTGCCACGGCCATTGGCGAATTTGGTTTGGATCTTCGCGCGCTCAGTAAATCGGGCTTCTTCCAAGACGCCTCGGTGGCCGATGCTCTGAGCCAGGTACGGAAAATATCATTATCCTCGTCCCCGTCGCAATGTCGCATCAGCAGCCCGCTGTAGACGAGGCTGTCTCTAAAGGGGGCTATTGTCAGGCTCTAACCAGCTCATAATAGGCGGCCTTGAACACCTTCGCAGCACTCTCAGCAAAGACTAGAACCGCGGCACGCGAGCAAATCATTTCTGCCTGCAAAGATGGCAAGGTTCCAGACTCGTGCCTGCATAAGTTGGCAGAGGTGAAGATGCATCTGCCTGTGGCCATTCCGGAATACACAGACTTTTTCTGCTCGCTTGAGCATTGCACCAACGTGAGTCTTTTGCATTGCGGATTTGCCTCGAAGCATTTTTTGCTGAACCCTCACACAGTGCATGCCTATAACCAACAGCAAAATTCCAGAGAACTTTTATCATGCTCCCTCAGCATACAACGGCCGAGCGTCCAGTGTCATTCCATCACCATCCCTAGTTCGTCGACCACGGGGCGTATATTGGAAAGCCGGGACAAAGGAACCCACTTACGGGTTGTCCCAACTTGTCGACTACGAGCTGGAAATGGGATACGTCGTGTCCAAACCGGTCCCGTATGGCGAGACAATCAAAGTGGACGATGCGCCAGACCACATCTTCGGCTTTGTGTTGCTGAACGATTGGTCGAGTCGGGATATCCAGATCTTTGAGATGCCGCCTCTGGGACCGTTCAATTCCAAGTCCTTCGGCACCACTGTCTCTCCATGGATCATCACCCTCGACGCCTTGAAGACGTTTCAGTGTGCGCCCAAGCATGAGATCCACCCGCTGGAGCACCTGCGATTCAAGGACTTCGAGCACGGCACTTTCGACATCAAACTCGCGGCGTCGCTCGAGCGAGACGGCAAACGACACCAGATCTGCACGAGCAATCTGCGCTACCTGTACTGGACCCCTTACCAGCAGATCACCCACCACGCGTCCGCCAACTGCGGACTGCGCACGGGCGATTTGATGGGCACAGGCACCGTCTCGGGCGACGCCAAGGACGAGAAGACGGGCAAGAAGTTCGAGCTGGGGTGTCTCTTTGAGGCGACTCAGCATGCCAGTCAGCCCATCGCCCTGAAAGGAGGTGGCGAATTGGGGTATCTTGAGGATGGCGATTCTATCATCCTGTCGGCGTGGTGTGAAGACTCGACGGGCCGGCGTGTGCTCGGATTTGGCGAGTGTCGCGGGAAACTGGTTGGAGCTGACGCATCGATTTCGCAATGATGGCCAAAGCGAGGTGTAAGGTTGCGCCGACAGAGTATAATATATCCGGTAGATTGAGTAGATAACTGTCTCCGTCGTGACTCCTTTTGGCCCAGCTGGTCATGAAGGCGGATAAATCGTGTACAGCGGAGCATTCGGTGACAATGCGCAGCTACGGCAGAACAAGTAGACATGTACACGCACCCAGAAAAACTGCAGCTGACGACCTCGGGAGGTGAGGGATGGTTTCTTTGTTGTGCAATTGATACTCGGTACGCCACTTCATAAAACATTAGAGGGGCCAGCTGACACCTCGCTTGGCCCGCATCTCTTCAAGTTACGCGAGCAGGGAAAGCGAATCGACAACGACGGCATTCCGGACTCATCCATCTGGCCGCCCTCGCCGCTTCGACAAACCGCCCGAAGATTCAGCTCAACCCCAACGTGGGCGAGACCCTGCAGGCATGGTCCTGTCTCGCTAACGCCTCTGGGGTTGGACTCGGTTGGGGCCCCCGTCGCTGACTTGGGGACTTTTTCGCTCTCCAGCCCGGTGGACCCTCTCTTCCTCCCTTAACCTAAGTTCGCAACGTGAGAATTGCATCCCGCCGGCATGCGAAGCACTTTCTAACCTGCCCGTCCCTTTCTCTAGCATGCAAAACACTCTTAATCCAATCGCCCGGAGGACGCAGTTTTCGAGCTGCGATGGTTGTCGCCAGTCGCGTCTTGCCTGTGACGCTGCTCGGATAGGCTCTGGGCCTGGGAAGCCTGGTTGGCCTGGATCCTGCTCGAGATGCCGACGTCGGAAGCGACCATGTACTTTCGAGGTAGGTCGGGATATGTTGTGTCTTTTTCTGTGTTCCCGCGGCTATGCTACCGCTGGAGAGAAAGGGAGAACAAAATAAGAGAACAAAAGCTTACCTCCAGTCTGTCAGTGGATGAATAATGCCAAAAAGACCGGCAGTCGAGGGCAGCGGAAGGCTCCAACTCCTCCCTCGGTAATAGGAACCTCTGAACAGTCCTCATTGTCTCCGGAACTCCGACAGCGCGACGGGGAAAATGATGCGCTGGTCAGTCTTTGCGAGTCTGCCCCTCAAGATGCCCCGGATCATGCTCGGTGCGTGCATTCAGACTTGATGCAGCAGTACCACTGATAAGGCCTCAGAAGTCTCTCTACGGAGTCACCCAACATGGTCACCGCATCCGCTTCGTATATTCCGCTAACTCCACCTTTGGAATACACAACAACATCAGTTGGAGACTGGCTCGAGCGGATCTACGAAAGCTGCTTCGACAAGGTCTTTGGCTTTTGGATGGGCAAACACGCATGCGCATTGGTGTATGGAACCGCCAGAATCTACATGACAACATCATGCTAACTTGGTCAGTGTCGACCCCAACTCTAGTATTATCTCACCTCCGAGCGAATACTTTTCCGAACTGGACGAGTCAATCTTTGGTGACTGGGAGGCACGGAATCAACAAGTTAGTGTCCAGTCACCCAGTCAAACACAGCAGAGATGGGACCAGATCGATCAATCCCTTAGACATGCCAAACAGTCATTTGCGGCACGGTGGTTCCACCTTCTACCGCCAGCCGAACGTGTAGGCGTGTTGCCTGAGCACATTGTCAGAGAGTTCTGGCGCAGGTCACGCAGAGATATGCTGAAGGTTGTAAATCGTGTGTCGTATCGTTCTGCCCTGACCCTGTTTCTCTTCTCCTTGACGCCCGTCCCTGTGGGAATATCGGAAGAGGAGGAGATGGACGGCTTAACAGGGCAACTTTGTGTCCAAGCCGCTCTGCAACAGATCCAACGACTTCGTGAGGGGCAGCGCAGCTGCCAGTTTAGTGGATCCATGGTGGTGCAGGCGTCCGACCCGTTGACAAGGCCGGCAGCGAGTTCCAAACTCTCGGACAGTTTTTTGCGGAGCGAAGCCCGGGCATTCTGGGCAGCGCTAACATTCGATACATCTTCCTCGCTCACACTGAATCTGAGATCAACACTCACGTCGGGACTGCATGGCGTGGAAGCTGAAACCTGTTGGCGGACGCTCAGAATGGGTGCATCATCCTTTCACACCAGGACCGAGGAATGGCGGAGAAATCCCTTCTCAATGACAGAGGATGAAGTCTTGCAAACCATAGCCGCCGCGGCAGCGGCAAAGCTGTATGTGTGGAAGATGATTTCTGTCTTGAAAGAGGCACTCAGAGAAGGCTCTGAAGATGAAAAGGTACTTCGAGCCTGGACATCAGCCGCTTTAGGCATTGAGATATTTCGAGTTACGTTTCGACCACTTCTCAACGACTGCGAACGACGTCTCCCATTTCTCGGTCAGGTGGAAAGGCTGAACTGGTACGAACTTATGCTGCATTATTACATGGGCATTATGATCCTTGTCGACGCGCTCGAGGTCGCGAGGCGTGATGATCTACTCTCGCAACTAAAAGACACAAAGCTCGAAGCCGAACATGAGATTTTCAGGGCGTTGAAATTCGGTCTGGATGGCCAATTTACCGTCGGTGGAACTCAACAACCGGGGTCGAGCACAGGGACGCACAATTCAAATTCGGACCAGACGATAAGTGCATCGTTTATCGCCCTCGACCCTTATCCTCATCATGTCGTTGCCGCAGTTCATCTTTTGGAGAAAGTCGTCAGCAAACAATATCGAAAGGGTCAGATCAAGCTGGAGGCGTACAAGCACGTGAACGGGACTCTGCTCAAGTGCCTTGCGGAGCTACCACAGACTTCCAAGGCTGTACAAGCTGCTCGCCAAAATCTGGAGAATTCATTCAAGGGGCTAGAAAATGCCGTCGTCCAGTTTCCTGCACCCGACAGTACACGTTGGCTTTCTGGGAGTCCTCCATCATCACTCTCTGCAATTGAACGACGTACTCACGAGGGATCGGATACCTCAAACATCCCAGCTGAAGTGTGACTCGAAGGGGTGGCCCAATGATCATCTTCTGAAGCCATGGCTACAGCAACCTTCGATTTCGCAACCTCCCATTATGGTTGCCACGCAGGTTGACCACTCGGTCCCGAGAGCCGAGACCGTTTTCCGGAACCGACATTTTGAGGTCGTTCATGACGAGAACTAGACGGCACATTAACCTAAAGAATGTGTAGCCACGTTTACTGTGGTGAAAAAGAAAGGCTGTCTGCGACGACCGACTTTGTTATATTAGTCAGTCTACCTGTCAATCCATTCCATCAGTCGATTCTTTGAAGTCACCAACAGCCTAGGACGGAGAATGGCGGCTATCGACGTACACCTTGTGCGTCTGGTGCATGTCCACGATGCGTGCAACTTAGGCCATTCGCACAAGCGCGAATATAGATGCAGGCCAGTCTTAGTCGCAGTCCAGCACGATGGGGCAAGAGCGCTGTGCGCCCTCTCCTTGAACATGTTTAGAAAGCTGTTGAGGGTCAGGATCTTTACGCCTATCCCCCTCCCGCTGCAGGCATAGAAATTCCGGACCCCTGACAGTACGCTTTCCAGGATGCAGAATGACCACTGGCGATCGAGCTCGGATATCCGGAACGACTCCAACGCTCTGACCAAGCCGAGCGGGAGACCTCTGGCTGGCGAATTGTCGACTGGAAGATGATTGCCTTGAGAAGGAACAAGGAGGTTTGCCGCAAGTATGTGATGCCTTGTCAGCGCAGGTGCGTCTAGGAGCTCTTTGCGGCAATGCAAGGATATTATATAACGGCTGATTGTTGCTTGTCGGCGCCTGTGCTGTTTCCTCTTTTGGACAGTATAGCAAGTGCACGTGTCCGCCAAGACCGAACGCACCGTGATGTCATTGGCTCCGACTTTCCCGATGCCGGTGGGTGCCCGTCGAGCCCGTCGAGCCCCGTCAATGCCACCCAAAGAAACGTCCCTCATGGCCTCGGTGCTCAACGGCCATTGCTTTCCTTTCTCTGTCTCGTAACTCCCTTCGACTTATTCAGCAGCACCTCACACCTCTCTTCGCTCGTGAAACCCTATCGTCCAGGCCATGCTAAAAGCCTGTCACGCCCCATCCATGACCTCCGTGATCTGAGGTTGTGCCTCTGCCATCAGGACATGGTAGAGATACCGGCCAAGATCAACAATCACCAAGGTAGATTACCCCCGCCGTCATGCCCGCCGATTCCATCTTTCCGGACTTTGTTCTCGGCCACCCCAGGCATCACAAGACGAGGCCTCAGGGGGTGCCGCACCAAGAACAGCGCAAGGCTAGACCGCCGAAGGGCGTGAGGGATAAGGTTCCCTTCTACGGCAAGTTACCGCATTATGCTGGCCCTTACGAGGTTGGGATAATCGACATCGAAGTGCCGGCCAAGAACCCTCGGTCCTTCTCAGACATCAAGAGGCATGGCGTTCGGGCCCTTGCACTCGAGACGGTGTTGATGACAATCTACTATCCCGCCCATCTGCATGTCAAATACAACCCCGGCGCTCCGACCAAAATGCAAAGGTTCCGCCCAACATGGCTGACACGGCCGAGAGATCAGACGAGCCGGGGTTATGGGAAATTCGCCGATCTCCCGGAACACTTGGTCATGGCCTTCTTCTTCTGCACAACCTGGTACACGAAAATCCCCGCGTACAAAAATGCAAGACTGGCAGAACACTGGCCCCCTTATGGAGAAGCTTCCCCGGGCAGTCGGAAGGCTGTGGAAATAGAAGGGAAGCCCCCCGCCCGGGGCCCGCGGATGCCCAAATTCCCTCTCATCATCTTCAGTCACGGATTGGGAGGCACCAGGACGTGCTACTCATCCGTCTGTGGAGAGTTTGCCAGCCATGGCTTTGTGGTGGTGGCGCTCGAACATCGCGACGGAAGCGGCCCGAGAACTCACGTCAATCACTCCGACACTGGACCGGGAAGCAGGCACTGTACCGAGGTCAACGGTAACGTAGAGCACAAAAAAAAAGATGCGAAGAGGCCCTACGATACGGTAGACTTTATTTTCGCCCAAAGCGACAAGCACGACACAACGCCCGGCCACAAAGTGGACCATAAACTCCGCAATGCCCAAACTGATCTGCGGTTGGCTGAGATCGACGAAGCCTACCAGATCATGCAGGAGATATGTGAAGGGAATGGCGAAAAGGTCGCGGCGAGAAACCTGCGGGTCAAGCCTGCAATTGGGGCTTCCAAGATCGGTCTGGATGGCATTGACTGGTCGTCGTGGAAGGATCGATTCTTCACCGAAGGGGTCACCATGGTTGGACACTCGTTCGGAGCAGCGACGACCATTGAGGTCCTTCGGCAGAAACATCGGTACAAATACATCACGCAGGGCATCATCTACGACATCTGGGGACAGCCGGTGCGGCCGACTTCGCAAGAGCGGGAGAGCCGCATTCGAGTCCCGCTCCTGGGGATCAACTCGGAGGCCTTCATGTACTGGCCCGACAATTTCGAAGTGGCAAAGGCCGTGACGATGGAGGCCCTGGAGACGGGACATCCGGCCTGGCTGCTGACCGTGCGCGGCACAGTCCACATCTCCCAGTCGGACTTCTGCATCCTGTACCCCCAGCTGGCCAGCTACCTGATGAAGACCACCATCGACCCCGTGCGCGCCATCGACATCAACATCGACGCGTCTCTGGAGTTCCTGGCCCGCGTCATGCCCCGTGAAGTGCACTACGAGCAGCCCTTCCTCAGGAGGATGAGCAGCAAGAAGATGCTGGATGTGCCCCCACTGGATGACCTGCCGACGGAGCATCGACCGAACAAGAAATGGACGGCCGTGCGGTTGAAGGTCGAGCACGAGGCGCGGAAACGGCTCACCCCTGGCGCGAGGAAGCGGTACTGGGAGAAATTGCGGCGTGAGGGCATCGGGGAAATTTGGCTGCACATCAACCCTGACAGTACGCCTGAGCTGGAAAAATGCGAGACCTGCCGCATTCCCAGGTGGACAGAGATTGACAGGCCGAGTTCGAGGGAGTGACTTGGCGAGATGTGTGTGTGTGTGTGTGTGTGTGTGAGAGAGAGAGAGACAATGGTCCCAACTAAAGGACATTCCGAGCAACTTACTCTATAAGCCTTGATGGAGCCGAGATCATCCAGAGCCCCCATAAGAACCGGTCCTTTTTTCTTGCACGTGAAATTCCGACCATTGCACCCTGATGTATGCCTGTGCCGCTCCATCCAGGAAACCAAAGGGTGGTAGGTAGGTAGGTAGTATGTACGATGTATTCGTCAACGGAGGGTCGGTCATCCCATTCACCGAGTCGATATGTCACCACCGGGCGCGGTGGGGCTGGAGAGGAGGGGCAATGTTCAACTTTGACCTTTGGTTGTCCCTTCCCCGCGATTTGATGAGGTGACTTTTCGCTTTCTGAAGGATTAATGTCCGCCTCCAACCGGACAAACCCCCCGTTGTCATGTCGTCGGAGGAGAGTAGGCCTAATATACTGCCGATTGGCGACCAAATACGGGTTGAGATGGGGCCTTCCACCGCGATGCGAACCCTGCCGTCACGACATTTCTCGTACAGATACCTAGCTACGAATGGGTCTGCAAGGAAAACCCTCCTCCTTCGCACCGTGCGCGACGACTCAAAAGTTCTCTTCTTTACCCCGTTCTGCCTGTAGTCTGTCGTCGCTAGCGAGAAAAACAGGGGTGGCCAAAAATAAGCGATCAACCCAACCATGCCGGCAGTTCAAGGACATACGGATGGGCAACTTGACGAGGTCAAGAATCTGCTGCAAAAGTACGTCGACTCGGGCGAGGAACTGGGTGCTTCCATCACCGTCAACCTGAATGGTGTGGACGTGGTGGACATCTGGGGAGGATACGCGGACCGAGACCACAAGCGCGCGTGGGAGAGGGATACCATCACCAACATCTTCTCCACGACCAAGACGGTCGCGGCCTTCGCGGTGCTCCTGCTGGTCGACCGGGGTGTCCTCAGCGTAAATGACAAAGTATCTCGGTATTGGCCCGAATTCGCCGCCAACGGGAAGCAAGACATTGAGATCCGTCACATCCTCTCGCACACGTCGGGCGTGGCGGGATTCGACGCGCCCGTGACTGTCGAGGATATCTGCGACTCTCCCAAAGTTACAAAGTTGCTGGCCGCGCAGGCACCCTGGTGGGAGCCGGGTACGGGGTCGGGATACCATTCATTCACGCAGGGGTACTTGATCGCGGAGATCGTCCGGCGCGTGACGGGCAAGTCGCTCAGGGAGTTCATTGCAGAAGAGATCGCCACGCCCCTCGACGCCGATTTCCAGCTGGGATGTTCCGACAAGGACGAGCCGCGCCGATCCGACGTGATTCCGCCTCCCCCGGCCGGTCCTCCTCCCCTGGAACCAGGCTCGATTGGGTTCCGCGTCATGACCAACCCGGCCATGCGCGCCGAGTTCGCCAACAGCGAGCTGTTCCGGAAGGCAGAGATTGGGGCGGGCAACGGACACAGCAACGCGCGGGGCGTCAACCGCATCCTGTCCGTCATCTCGATGGATGGCAAAGTCGGGGTCGGCGAAGGCGAACGGCGCTTCATCTCCCCTCAGACCATCGATCTCATCTTCCAGGAACAATCCAACGGGTTAGATCATGTCTTGGCCTTTGGGGCCCCGATCCGCTGGGGCATTGGCTTCGCTCTCCCAGCGAAAAATACATGGATTGACTGGCTGCCCGAGGGGAGGGTGTGTACTTGGGGCGGATACGGCGGGTCTATGGCGGTGGTGGACTTGGACCGCAAGCTGACCATTTCGTACGTCATGAACAAGATGGACAACGTGGGCCTGGGCTCGGACAAGGCGAGGGCTTACATTGGGGCGGTATATAAAGCCTTGGGAGTGTCTTGAGGGCACTCGTCCCGACATCGCCAGATCCATTCCGTTTCAAACGTCCTCAGCACTGAGAGTTTCGGGAACGTCTTCGACGGTTCTTTTGTTTTTTCCCCCATCTGGCCAGCACTTCCGCGCAAAGTCAATAGTTCTTGCTTAATCATCTTTCCCCATGAGATAAGTATGGGGTATTAATATAGTTGCTGCTGGCTCAGAGAGTCGTGGGGCCCCTCCAACGGCAGGTTCCCACCGGGTCGAGCAGTATGCTTTTGACGCCAGAATTGTAACCTGTGTTGACGTTGAATGTGAAGGGGTGACTCGTGGATCCCGGTTGATGCAAGCCAGGCGTTTTCCTACGAGACCGTCCCGGGGTGTGCATCTCAAGCCCAAAAACCAGGCCTGTGGCAGGCTAAGACAACTCGATGCACCCTCGTAGGTACCAATACCGAGTATTCGGTACAAGGTGCCGTCCAAGGCTGAAAGGTGTGCCCACACCGTATGGTAGGTAGGTACCTAAGTACCCAGTACCTATTTAGGGAACCCAGTACTCGTTAAAGGCAGGGCCCGCCAGGAGCATCTTCGGACCGAGGCATGTGGACGTGTGGACCAATTCCGGCGTCTCTCCAGGTCTTTCTCCACGCCCTGCGCAACTCAAAAGCCAATGCGGAGATGTTCACCTTTATATTACCTTCCATTGATACACAAACCTCCCGCCTTCCCAAGCTTTGCGGATTGGACTGAGCGAGTGAATGACTGAGTGAATGAATGCTTGCAGTCCCTCGAGGTCCTTTCTCCAAGTTGATCTGATCCCCAGTCCACCACACCACACACACACACCACACACACGCACGCACACGCACGCACACGCACAGAAACAATGTCGTCTTCAACATCAGACCCGTCATCTCCAGCATGGAAAGCCATCGCGGCACGCAAACAAGCCTCTCGGTGGTCCCGGATCCCATCGCAATGGCACATCCCCTCCTCCATCCTCCCGCATGACCCTCCAACCCTCTCCCACGGTCCCCAGAACGTTCTGAACACCCCCCGCCAATTCCTCTCGCACTCCGAGATCGAAATCACCGAGTCCTACACCGTCGAGACCCTGCTCTCCGCGCTGGCCACAAAGAAGCTGTCTTCCCAAGAGGTGGTCTCGGCCTTCTGCCACCGCGCCGCCATCGCGCAGCAACTGACAAACTGCCTGACGGAGCCGTTGTTCGAGTCTGCCATATCGCGCGCAAAGGAATTGGATACATACCTGAGCCAAAACGGGAGGCCGTTCGGGCCACTTCACGGATTACCCATATCCGTCAAAGACACATTCAACATCAAGGGCGTGGACACGAGCATCGGCCTCGCTTCGCTATGCGAGAAACCCGCGTCCCAGAACGCGCCCTTGGTCAATTTGTTACTCTCACTAGGCTGCGTGATCATTGCCAAAACAAACATCCCACAGACGCTCGCCTCGCTCGACAGCGTCAACAACGTCTTCGGTCGGACCATGAACCCCATAAACCGTCTCTGCACGGCGGGCGGCTCCAGCGGCGGCGAAGGCGTGCTGGTTGCCATGAAGGGGAGTATCATTGGGATTGGGACTGACATCGGTGGCAGTATCCGTGTCCCTGCAATGTGTAATGGATTGTACGGGTTTAAGCCGTCAAACAACCGGATCCCTTACGGTGGGCAGGCACTCACGGGAAGGGAAGGAATGAGTCGCACGAGCGTCCAGGCCGTGGCGGGACCGATCGCGCGATCTGTGAGGGACATTGACGTCTTCATGGCCGAGGTGATTCCCCGAGCGACGCTATGGGGGGAGGATTGCATGCCTTGTCCATGGCCCTCGCCCTCGCCCTCCCTTTCTACCAGTGGTCCTCCTCCTCCTCCAGAGATAAAAGGAAGCGGCCCGAACGGCGAACTAGTAATCGGCATTCTGCGGAGCGACGGAAACTGCACGCTCCTGCCACCCATCACGTCCATCCTCAACGAAGTCTCTGTCGCCTTGTCGAGCAGCACCAGCACCACCACAGGTACGAGAATCCAGGTCAAAGAACTGCTGACCCCGCCGGCATGGACGCGCTCACAGTCGGTCATGTCGAAGCTGATGGGCGTGGACGGCGGGGTGGTCATGGACGCGATGATCAAGGCGACGGGCGAACCGCTCGTGCCGTGGATGGGGACGCGGTTCCGGTCCGCGGGGAAAGCCCAGCCCCTGGAGCGCGTGGCCGAGTTGCAGGCCCAGCGCGCCCGGCTCGAGCGCGAGATGCTGGACCTGTGGAGCGAAGTGGTGGACCACCAGACTGGCCAGCGGAGACAGTGTCTGGACGCCATCGTCTGCCCCGTCGCGCCGCACCCGGTGCCCCCCATCGAAGGCTACAACGCCGTCGGCATGACTTCTTCCTGGGTCATGTTCGACTACCCCGCCGGTACCGTGCCCATCCGTCCCGTTGTCGAGGCCGATCTGGAGCTTGGCAGGCCGTTGGCTGCTGGCAATGTGCTCGGTAGCTGGGACCAAAAGTGCCGCGAGCTGTGGGATGAGAATGTCACAGATCGCAGGGTGTATCTCGACACGCCGCTCAGCGTCCAGGTCGTCGTGCAGAGGGGCAGGGATGACTGGCTGTGCAAGGTCATGGGCGTTGTTGACGAGGTCATGAAGTCTCAATCTGCTTCTTCGAATATCAAGGCGAGGTTGTGACTCACCAATACCTATGTAAATGTACCTGGCTAGGTGAGTACTAGATACCTTGGTATATAGTCCGTAGCCTTGTGATGCAAAACTAAACCTGATCCCTCATGCATTAAGCCCAGGTTGCCCTGCGACCAGCAGCCCCGGTTTCCATTCCCTGTTCTCCAGCGCTTGCTATGTATACGATCGACATGCATGTGGTCCAACCAGTCTGACTGCTCAGTCGATCAAAGCTCCCTCGCACGAGCACGAAATAGGTCTCACATCTTCTGGACATCAAATACTCAACACTAAAATCCTGTCATCTGTCCTTTCATGGAAAAAAGCGACGTGGCTTTCTGCTCAAACATAGAATGAGGCATGAGCTGTTGGCGACTAATCAGTCTCGCTCCTCCTCTTTCCAGTCTGCAGGGTTAGTGGCTCTCCGTTTCTGCCTGCACTACTGCCCGAGGCTCCCCGAACATGGTCATGCGCATCCAAGGGTACAGTATGCGCGCGGTCCACATTCTGTTGATGTCTTCCGGGCATAATGGTATCAAAGTCGTTCTTGATGTCTCCCACGGGCCACTCTTGCAGAATCTTCCGCTCGAAGGCGCCCAGCGGTTCCTCCTCCATCTCGAGACCATGTGTTTTGCCCTTGTTCTCCAAAATCTCAACTTTGCCTCTCTTCTCTCCGTTTTGGGATGGGGGTTCGATGACCTTTTCTGGGTAGACTTGCTTTTTCCAAACCACATTCTTCATCTTACCAACAGCCCCAGGGGCATCAACGGCAATGGGCGTGTCAGGATTGGTCTCCACTCCGTGCATAATCCAGCCTTGTAGTGCTTGCGAGTCGTATGTGCCCTTGTCGTTGTAGCCCAGGCCGTGTTTGCCCATGCGGATACGGACGCTGCTGTGGATTGTTTCGTTGGTCCTTCTCAATCGTGGAAGGGCGTGCTTGTCGTCCTCAAAGAGGCTAATGAACCGATGGAAGATCTTGTGCATCATCCAGAAAAGCACCCCATGCTGGGAAGCGAGCTCTTGCTCGCGGTATTCGCCAGGAGTGCGAATGCGCGAGCCGCCTAGCCTGAAGAACATGCTCATGCTGTCGTGGATTTTGCCTAACCCCCAAGGCCGCGGGTGTACTCTGGTATTGCTGACTGTGGCCATGCGGCCTTCGTGAGTGAATGTCTGGTGTCGTCCGGAGAGGGTCAGATCGTCCTTTTGCACTGGCGTAATGTAGTCCATGATGTAGTCGTGATTGATTGTGAGAATCGGGTCCAGCTGGCTAATCATCCACGCCAGGGTCAGGTTTGCCAGGGCGGTGTCGTCGTAGCTGCCGCCAATGTCGCTATGCACGCCCGGGAACCAACATTGCTTGAGGATCTTCAAATCGTGGTGTTCGACATGTGGCCAATCCCAGACTGTGGGAGAGAAAGATCGCCGATGTTCGTCGAGGGCCAGAGCCTGAAATGCGTACTCGATGTTTGACTCAACCCGTGTGTCGACAAAGGCAAAGTCTGTGCTGGGTGGCTGGGGCAAGAGTCCGATCATGGGGATGCCCAGTCCACCGACAGTGTCCCAGACAGCGACACACTTGACCTTGATGTGTGGTCGTGTCAGGCCATTATCGATGAGCTGCTTCTGGTAATGTGGATGGGTGACCGGGGGCTTGTGGCCCGCAAATGGCAGGTTTGGCCACTTGGTCTTGAAGTCCTTCTTCTGCTGAAACTCCCAGTCTTCAAAAACCTGAACGAAATACTCCAGACCTTTCGAGGTGAGGAGTCCAGCCGCGTTGATCAAGCTTGAGATCGAGCGAGCGGTGAAAGCTCCTCGCGAGAAACCTAGCAGGAAAATCTCATCTCCGGGGTTGTAGTTGAGACAGATGAAGCTGTATGCTTCCCGGATGTGCTCTGCGAGGCCCTCACCAGTAGCACCTCCAATGACTCTGTCGTACAAAGATGGGGTGCCCGTGCCAATGCCGTTTTGGTAGAAGACGACCTGGGTGATTGACTGATGGGGAGTGGTGGACTTGTCGACGCCCGTAGGGGGAATGGCTCTGGCAATTCGGGTGACATTGCTGGGAGTCTGGTAGTCGCCGTCGCTGTCGAGCCATGTGCCGTCGCAGCACACGACTATGCGTTTCTTGGGATGTGATGGTGCCATGGTGTTGGAGATGGTGAGCGTGGGAAGAGTGGGAGAGACTTCTCACTTCCTATGACATTCGCCTGGACTGTCAATACTCGGTCAGTCGGCGGCTCTGAAGCGAGTAATCAGTCCTCGCAACTGGCCACGCAAGCCTCTTTAATGTCTTACATGGGGGAAAGCACTATTTCGTGCTGGGGGCTGAAAGGGTTGATTTATACCTAAGTAGTGGTCTAGCTGCCAACGGGGCACGAACAACTCCCTTCTTTTTTCAGCTGCTGGTCTTGTGCACCGTCAATCTTCAGCCTCCAGCATTGGCACCGGTTGGCAAAGGCGCGAGGAACCCTTCTGGATGTGCTGCTGAGGGCATCCGAAGGCCCAGAACGGTGACTCTGCATGCAGGTTCGTGGCACCAGCAGCTAGTGAGCCAACGAGAATCGAGGCGGGCGACAGACTGCGTCCGATTCAGGGACGCGGCGGATCTTGATTGGGCGGCAGCGGTGAGAGGAGATTCAGCTCTCGATCAAGTCGAGCAGTAGCACCAGTTCGCCCACCCGTCGCCCACCAGTCGCCCACCAGTAGGTCGATCACACGGTCGCTAAAGGCGGTAAGGCCCTCAGGCGGCCTGGCGTCCGTCCCTCGCTTCCAGGTTCAAGTCGGTAGACAAGTGTCAAGAGTGTGTAACGGGAGACGAGCGCGATGCAGTTTTTGACATACATCCGCAATTGCTCCCCGAGGCCTTTTGCGGCAACCACCACCTCGTGACGACACTGGCTTGACTGGGCAACGACCTGCACCCCAGCTAGCCACTATTCTGTACGAGGTACCGAGTACAAATTCTGCATCATGTCTTGACTCTTGCTCGAGGTCCTGAGACCCCAAATCTCTTTTCTTCATTTTTTTGTGTGGGTTCATTGTCTGTCTGTCTGTCTGCTTGCCTCGTTCTTCGGCTCTAGAATATCAAACCACGGGGTATGCCGTCCAGTAAAATATGTACATATGAGCAGATCTCAGTCTGTTGGCCTTGCCCTCGCTCCCAAAGTCCAATCTCTGCTGACCAAGGTCATATCTTCATCTGCCTCGCCAAACTCCAGCGATGCCACTGCGGTGATCCATGAAATTTTTTGGGAAAAAGAGACGCAAGAAACCTCCACCATCAATTCCCATGTCGAGATAACTCGTTCTTCAGTCAGCCCAGTCAAGACAAATCCACTCTGCAAGGAACACGGGTGCTCTGATGCTATTTCGTGCTGCGCTTGTGTTAGTCTCATCACCAGGTCTGTGGTTACCTCAGCTTGTACAATCTCACAGCAAAGCTGCGGATAGATTCATTTCTCTTTTTTTGCATTTTTCAGCATTTTCACCTTTTTTTGGTGTGGTGGTTTTCATAGCAACTTCTGCTCCAAGGCATGTAGAAGCGCAAATGAAGTAACCGAGCCGGCGCGATCACACGGTCATATTTTCAGAAAGAGACTGTTGATGTTCTTCAAGAAATCATCAACAGCACGTCAGCCCCTGCACCATCACGCGGGTGCAGCTGTGGGGGTTGGCGTTGGCGTAGCTGTCATCAGTCTTGGTCGTTTCACGGCATCGCCGTCCATTTCAACGTCCTACAAAGGATCAGTACGCGACCGGTAATATTTGATAGTGTGGACATACCTCGACCTCGTTGATGCTACGTCGGACCGGCTTGGCCTCTGCTTTGGGATTCTTAATCACCTTCTTGACCGGTTTGGTCGGTCGGACTTCGCCGGCTTTCGTATCGAAGAGATCTTCAGGTAACTCCCAACTGATTCTGTCAGCACTTTTCAAAGAAGCAACGGTCAAAGCAGCATACCTTTTCGACGACGCGAGATTGAGGAAATGGACTTCCGCATTGTAGTTGGTCCACCCCTCGCAAACTTGCTTGAACGCCTGGAACGCTTGGACTAGATTCAAGCTTCCTTTAGCCACCGTGTCGATCCCGATGTAGAACGTGTAGGTGTGGACAGTGTGCGCGTCCTTGTCCATCTCCTGACTGGTATTGTCCGACAAGGGCACCGCGGCACCATCCCCATTGGCAGTCACCAGTTCAGGATCGGTCGTCTCGACGGTCTTCGTCTCTTCTACTTTGTATTTCATGCTTCCTCTCTGTACTTCTCGGATTTGGTCGACATCCTGGCACTTGTGCACGCGCTTGAAACCCTTGGTAAATGGTCGAGCAAGTTCAATACCTTTTGTGCCTTCCAACTGCATGACAAAAATCCGAACTTTGCTTTCGACAAGACCCGCCCACGCCTTGGCTGCATCGCCGTTCAACGCACTTGCCGTCACGCTCAAGTAGTATTTGTGGTCTGCAGTGAAAAAGGTGTGCTTCTGGAATAACTCGCTCCACCGAGCTTTGCCGGCAAAGATCTTCGAGGCTATCTTGTCGGCCCTCTCCAGCTCCCGCAGGATAACCGTCTTGCCCGACTTGGAAATGTTGTAAGTCGCGCACATGCTTGGGAAGGCAGGTGTGATGATTGGCATGATATTCTTCTCGTCTCCTTTATAGAGCACTGGGTTCCAGACCTTGAATCCGTGATTGGGACCTAGATTCTTCGGCTGCTCAATGTCCTTCAACATCACCGGCAGAGGCCAAGGCCACTCTTTCATGATATAGAAGAATTTCCCCACAATTGTAGCACCGACCGCATGGGGGTAAAATTGACAGACACGCGCAACGAGCATGGCCCAAGCGACACCACCAGGATAGCCAACAATATTGGCATATATAGCTCTTCTCTGCGCCCACAATTTGATCGCCCGCAGCGCTGTCCGGAAGGTCTTCTCGACGGGAACGAGGCTAAGGATCTCATCGGTAACACGCTAGACTTGTCAGCTTGACTCCAGGCCCGGGGAGAAGAGGATAGGCTGCTGAGACTCACTGGGCCGGTAACTGCACGTATAGACGCCTGATCCAATCCAATCAAGAGACTGTTGTCGTTCAGACTGAGTTTGGGAGGAATTGTCTGCAGGGTTGCAATTGAGGCGAAGATGAGATCGATCTCAATGTCATTGACCACGAGTTTGATGATGGGGACGAAGGAATCGGGGACCGGAACAAGCGAGGAAATGGTGCTGGGTGCCCTTTTCTTCTCTTCACTCTTCTCTTTATTGTCCTTTTCCTTCGCTTGATTGTCCTTCTCTATGGTACGCTTCAAAATTGCAGGAAAGAAATCGAAGAAATCTTCGCGCTTCACGTGCCTCGGGGCTACGGCGAGAGTGTCGATATCAGAGCCTAGTTTCTGTCAGCATAGCGTCGGCACAGCAACATCGAGTACTCTCTGACCAGGTCCATAGACGCCGAGGCGATAACTGCCGTAAGGATAGACCTTTCCGCCGAACTGGTTGATCTGCGACGGAGGCAGTCCCTGCTTTCGACTGACCTCACGGACAAACTCCTGGGTGGCGTTGTTCAGCAGTTTGAGAACCTCAATCCGCTTCTGCGTCTGGTCTTGCGGTTCGTAGTTGTTTTCCCTCTTCAACTCTTCAACTAATTCGGCAGTCTTCTCATTATCTAAGGGTTCGGGGAGGGCCATGGACATCGGACCGGTGATGCCATGTTTGGGGTTTCTCGGTTCGGAGTCAGCCATGGTGTGCGCCGATTGACGCTGTGGGCTGATTCTGCGGTGCTGTCCGTCGGGCCCAGGTCGCGCGATCAGGATTGTCGATGGAGAAACCGATCGTTAGGCAACCGAAAATGGTGTCCGGCTCTGGCAGACAATGAAAGAATCAGTTGGGTAAAAAGAGGAAAAGAAGGCATGAAAGAGGCAAAGACATCTTCACCATCCCCAAACTCCAAAAGAGAGATGAAAGTGAAAAAAGCAAGGACCAGAACAACAAGGGTGTACTGAAGAGAGGTGGTTTTACAAAGAAACATTCAACAGCACCATGACAGAGGGGCGCAAGTGACTGGATCTGCGTAAACCATGCAAACAGTCCAAACAGTCCAAACAAAAGTATCGCTGGCCCCTGATGTCTTGGCAACATCCTGACCTCGACTGCCATCTCACTTGTTATCCTACCATCATTTCCTCAGATACAGGACAAGCTCAGAGCATGCATTCAGGAATCTGGGATCATCATACGATTTGTTCTATTGGCTCGGAGTCAAGACTCGGAAGGTCTGGGATCACACCTAACTAATCTTTCTCCTTACAAGGTGACTTCCTCGAGCTCCCCGCTGTCAAGGTGGAAGACAAATCCCCGAATGTTGGATTTCAGCGACTCCGGAACAAAAGGGGATTCTTTCAAGAACGTCATGCTCTTCTTCACATTTGCTTGGAGAGAACTGCCAAAACAATGTCAGTTCTGTGAGACAAGCGTACGCATACATTGATCTTACCCCGTGATCTCGTAAAACTCCATATTGTTAATCTCTGCCTCAAGATTCGGGGCCCGTTTCCTCAATTCCCCTTTGACCACGTTGTCTCTGTACATGGTTGCCCCGCAGTCTGCATCACACAACGTTAGCGCGGCAAGGACAGTGTCTCGTCTTGGATCAACCTACTGGTGTGCTGGACAATGATGACATCGGTGAAATTCAGGAGAGTGTCAATGGAGAGGAGGGAGTTGACGGCGAGCTGGGCATTTCCACCAGCAACTCGGCAGACAACGACTTCTGCAACGTGGGTCAATCAACAGCCTCAATCGCGGAACAGGATATGGGTTTACCTCCAGTCTTCAAGTTGAAGATGTTCTCCGGAATACAGCGTGGATCAGCGCAACTGACTTCACAGCATGTCAGCCCTTCTTTTCGCAGCTGGCCGAAGCACTGAGGATATACTTACTGATCAAGATGTGTGGCATCTCAAGCTTTCGTTCTTGCATTTCGGCAAAGGTAGGGATCGGCTTGTGCTCTTTGAGAGTTGCCCTGTCGGCAGTCAGCCTATGTTCAGGGCAAAGCGATCGTCACTTGACCTACGCATGGCGGTCGATAATGTCTTGGGCTGTTGTCACCATGGTGGCTTATGGTTGTCTAGGTCAAGAAGGGCCTGGCTGAGTTATGTGCTACAATTTTGGTTCTGGGGAATCACCGAGAGCTATTTGGCTTGTTGATGTCTGTCGAAATTTCGACCTCTGGGGCGACATACGCCTTCTTATAGACATGGAAATTCTCAGGCTGGCTAATTGAAGGCTCTTGGAGGCCTTGAATGATGATGATTTCTACCTCCGCGCGATATCGATATGAGTATCGTCATCGTCAACCCCCCCTTCCGTCGATGCTGAATAACACCAAACGATGACATTGCAGAATCCCAATCCCGGATTTTCAATGGGGAAGGTGTCTTCGTCTGCTTGGTTTCGGGTCGGGAAAGCCGCAATGGGTTTCCAAAGGGGCTTTGCTCTGCTTCAGAAGAATACCGCAGCTATACGAGGTACACAAGCTTAAAGCGGCCCCGTGCGACAACCAATTATTTGCAGGCTTTCAGTCGAGACTGGTGGTCTAACCCTTTTCAGTCAGCTGAACCCCTGTTCGACTAGACCATTTCAAGGCCTTCGTACCCTTGTCACTTTCATATGCGCCTTCATGCTCTCCTCCGTTGGGAGCCCGACGTCGCCGCCACAGGACCAGTCTGTAGGTATTTGACAAGCCCGAAGCTCCCACTCTGGTGTGTCGCTGACAAAGGAGTCTAGACAGATGGTGCAATTCATCGTCCAGGGTCCCAAGAACCTCACGTTGAGTGATGCGGATCGTCGGATTGTGCGGAAAGTCTCCAACACAGCGGCAGCAGCAACTCGGAAGGCCAAGGGAACACCATCCAGAACCAACACCTTACAACTCCCGGACTTTCTGGTCACTGAGAGTACAGACACAGGGCGTGCCAGTCTCCGAGAAAATGCAGAGTCCATCCAGCTGCAGCAATCCAGACATACACCAGGGGACCATGGCTTTGCGGCTCGTCGACGTGGATCTCATGGAGGAACCTCCGCTAAACGGAACGAGATTCCATCAGTTGTTGCACCGCCGTTGTCTTTCTGGTCCAACAGTACCAATTTCCCCGAGTATGTAGCCTTACTAATGCAGCCCGGGCTGTCCCAAAAGCTGCTCCTCGAGGCCTCGAGCGTGGGCGTAAACGCGGACCCGCGACGGTGGGTGAAAATATGTCGTTTAACCACCATCTTGCAATTTCTCCCTCAAATGATTGGCCACAGCAAGTGCCTGGATTATGCTATCGACTGCCTTGCCCAACGGGTTCGCCAATGCTGCGTCCAAAACCCGGACAGGGAGTTGACCTTAACTCAATTGGAGCGGCGCTACGGCCGCGCCCTGCAGTCTCTGCAGAACGCGCTCAACTCGTCCAGGAACATCGATTGGACCGTGTGGTATACCACACTATTACTAACCTTGTTCGAGGTAGGGGGGACCTGCAGCAGCTCTCTCTTTTCTGTATGGATGGGGATGATGGCTGACCGTTGATGCGCCCAGCTACTCGACAATTCCGGTCATCACGCATGGATTTCGCATTCTCAGGGAGGGAAGCACATCTTGTTCTCGCTAGGTCCACACAACATCAAGTCGGAGTTTGAGAAGATCCTCCTTGCGGCGCAATGCCAGATTATGGTGCCCAAACCAACCAAGCCCATTGTGCCGTTCAGACCACGTTCTAATCCTGTGCGGCAGGCAGTGGAAGCCACTTTCCTCAACCAAGACTGCTTTTTGAGCAGCCCAGCTTGGCAGCGAGCTCTTCGGTCCACAATAACCTACGACAGCCTGCTTCCAGATCGATCAGAGCCAGCCCTTACCATGTGGATGATGACAACCCGCGCGCCGGGATTGTTCAGGAGATCAACAGAGGCCGTCCTTCAACAATGCCACCCCCTCGAACAGATCACACGCATCGCCGACGAACTGAGCGCTCTGATTGAGGAATACTCGAAGTGGCGAGACGAGTGGGAAGTGACCCTGATTGGCAGGCGCAATTCTGGCCTTGACGGTAACCACCACACTGAAGAGGTGGCTTCGACGCGGCCCATCCCTACAGTATATGCCATATTCATGGCCTTTTGGGCCCTGACCAACCGGTTCCTCGTCGCCATCGAGCCGCAGCGAGCTCCCCTGGCGGAGATGAACGCAGTCAACGCAGCCCTGAGCATCAACGAGTTCGACCGGCTTCAAGAGACGGATTCCGTCACAGACCTATGCCGAACGTTTTCGGCGAGCATTGCTCGCTCGATCAAGCTCACCACCCTGGAATGGACAACGTATCAGGGTATCCGTCGCAGTTCCCAAACGATTGAGCCGAGGATATTTTTGCGCTGGTGTGCCATGATGGGACGAGTGACGGAGTGAAAACATGCGGTATCGTGGTGGGGAAAAGAACGCATCACACTTGAGTACCTCTGTTTCTCCATATAGAAGACAGAGGGAGAAACAATCCGTCCATATCCTAAAAGGGGGATATCCTGAAAGGGAGTGCGTCGTCCAGGTTAAATACAAAAGTGTTACCTTGCCAACAATTCCATTACAGAGTTATGTCCTTTACAGGCTACGTTTCGTGGGCGTTCTTTCTCATAACCTTTCTGCAAGGGTCGACCGTATCATCCGCCGTCTTGACACACCGACTGCTCCCGACCGCGATCGTTATCGCCCACACATCGTAACACCCGACACGGGAGAGGTGAATGTGGAACACAAGCTACCGAACAATCGAAGGAGCCAGATCAGCGCCATCACCTGCAGGTACGAGACGCCCAACGAAGCCCAAATCTGGCGATAGGATAGGCATCGTCGCACTCAATATGGGGTGTTCGGTACATTCCTTTCGATCATCAGACCTGTTCAACCCCAAGGTGGGCCAAATCCTGAGAGACCAGCCTCGTTTGGCGCACGAGGGACCCCGGTGGCGATCTGCAAGTGGTCAGGTGCAGAGAGATGGAGATGCATTACGAGAGACACACAAGGGCAGTGAATCTGCATCACGACAACGACGTGTTCTGAGCTCGAGGAGCTTTCTGCTTAATCATGATGGCCATACGTAAGTGACCGAGCAGCCAAGGTCAAGGTTCAAGACTCAAGACTCTCCGTCCTCGAGCCCCGATCGAAAACACAGCAATGTCGGTGCTAATCGGTATAAGCTCTTACTTTTGCTCTTTTTTTGGTTCTCTCTTTGATAAGACGTAGTAATCGCAACTATACCGTGCGGAGGGTAATTAAATGGGACAAACAAACCCCAAACGTCACTGTGATTGTTTTGGTGGTTGGTAGTCGGAGGTGTCGTCTAATCAAGAATCCAAGAATCCAAAAATCCAGAAATCCAACAACAGACAAACCGGAGTCGGAATGATCCCGAATCCCACACATACCATAGCACTGAGCAACAACGGTGCAACTGCCAAAGAGTATTAATAACGTGCACCGGATCCTGTCCCAACTTGGCCGCCGGCATAATAAGTAATACGAAGGGTTGGAAATCGCTGCTCGATACGTTTGGGACTAGGCCTCCCCAGGCACATCGGACTTGATTAGTGATTCGTTCCTTTTTCCTCACCACTCTTGAGGACTGCAAAGCCGAGAAGGAGTGTATGATTGGTGACATTGCGTACAGTTCACCTCGAAAGACATTCATGCCGAGGTGGACAGGGCGCGCGTGTCCATGAAGAAAGTGTGATAAGGCCAACAACGGACTAACAGTCTCTGTACCGAGTACGTTGTGATTACCAGGTCTCTCCGTGGATTCTACATTTGGATCGAGGGTTCTCCATCAAATCGAGGATTTAGGGTCTCGGGGTCTTGAAACAAAACAAGACGGGGCAGGAAAAGTAAGCAAGACGGTCTGTGGGTGAATACTTACAAACATATAAGACCTATAATCACCCTCCCTGCAGGAGCACCGACAGGTGGTGGCTTCATCACGGATTTTCAAAGTCAGAAACTCGTCCATTGTGTTCATTGGTGTCATACCCAGCGAGGTACAGCGCGGCTTGAAGAAAGTGAGACTGACCCGGTTTGCCAACAAGACAAGGCAACGCCAAAAAGACGTCGACATGGCATTGTCGCAGCGCAGAGAAATACTTGTCATTGGCGGCACGGGCGCCCAAGGCATGCCTGTCGTGAAAAGTAAGTCGGGCGGTCGAGCCACACGAAGCCCCAGCTGCATCGTCTCGACGTCTTTGCTTTGACATTAGCAACTTCAACGAACAGTCTCACTCACTCTTTCCTTTCTCCCTAGCCCTCTCCGCTTCCCAAGAATACTCAGCCCGGGTTCTAACGCGAGACCCTTCATCCACCCGCGCCAAATCCCTAGCGGCCCTGCCCAACGTCACCTTGATCCAAGGTACGCAGGAGTCCGAAGCGGACCTGCACCGTGCCTTCAAGGGCGTGTACGGCGCATGGGTGAACCTCGATGGCTTCGTCCTGGGGGAGATGAAGGAATTGTATTTCGCATTCCGCTGCTATGAGATTGCCAGAGGCGAGGGAGTGAAGCATTATGTCTGGGCGAATTGTGATTACGCCTTGAGGATTGCCGGGTGGAGGGAAGAGTTTCATTGGGGGCATAATGATGCAAAGGGACGAGTTGGTGGTAAGTCCTGAGAAATTTCCCTTGGTCCTTGAGGCAAAGCATCTTCCTGAGGATGGTGCTTTCGGCCAGATCTCGTGAGAGGCAATTGGCACCATAACAGGAGCGACGGAATACCCGTGGGTTGGGCAAGACTCTCAACGCTCATTGACTGAGCGCGGATAGACTTCATCCTTGCGCAGGGCCAGAAAGCCATGGCCTCGACTCTTTTCACTGTTGGCCCTTACATGGTGAGGCTTATCCCACTCACCATAAGTCTGGATGCTGACCTCGCACTGCGAAGGACATGTTGCTGGATGGAATGTTGATGCCAGCGGAAGAACTCGAAGACGGCACCCTCGTATGGGAAAATCCGTCCGGTGCGTAAAGCAGCCTTAACTCACTCCCACCGTCCTTTTCTACTGTGGACAACGTAAAGTGCTGATATCACCTTATGACACACAACAGAGGACGGCAAGATCCCCCTCATGGCTCTCGACGATGTCGGCGTGTTCGTGAAGTGGATCTTTGACCACCCAGAACGTTCCACGGGAATCAACCTCGAAATGGCCACCGATCAGGTCTCTTTCTCGGACATCACATCAGCCTTTACGCGTGTGACTGGCCGCAAGGGAATCCACCGCAGGATTTCCTTCGAGGAGTACCTCCCTAAGAAGGAACCGTACCCCAATGCCCCTGCCAACTGGGCGAATGCCGATGGATCACCATCCACAATGACTTGGCGGCAGAACTTCACTGCGTGGTGGAAGTTTTGGGGTGGCGGCCTGGGAGCGACCCGGGATATGAAGTTGTTGGACGAGATTTACCCTGGTAGAATCAAGACAGTAGAGGAATGGATGCGAAAAGTCAACTACCAAGGTGGAAAGAGAGGAGCAGTGTTGAAAGATATTGGCGATTTAATGGCAAGGCGGAAAGCTGCGGCTGACAAGGATCAATAGATGAAGTGGGTAAGTAACATGATGGGAGAAAGCATGGGGGAAACTTGCAGATTTTCGACCTTCCTACTAGGTATAATGCATTCCGTCAGAGTTAGCTCTTCCTTGATTTTGGTGAGTCCCACGAGAATGGTGAGTTTGATGACAATCTGTGAAGCAGAAGTTGGATGAGTTCGTGCGCTGGAAGAGGCAGCCGTCCAGAAGTTTAGAGAGCGGTTGTTCACTGTCTCGAAGCCGCCGTCGTTGTGAGTGGGCCACTCTACCAGGTGTTGCAGGTAGGTCTGTCCAGCATGGAGAACCTTGCCGATCTCGGCAGAGACCCGACGATACCAGCGCCTGTGAGCCAGGTAACCGGGTCATAAAGCGCGCTGCTAGGCGAGGAACATGGTCCTACGTGAACGACTGACGCAGTGTCTCACGAACTGGCGGTATGGGCATGAAAGTGATGCGTGGATGGGTAGGCGGAATCCCAAGTCCAGACGCACTGTGGCACATTTCCTCTGGAGTCGTGTCGATAGGGCTTCAAAGGGAAGAAGACTGTAGAATGTCCACGCTCTACCAATTGACTTACCTGGAACCAAATGCAAATAGACTTGGTGGAAAGCCAGTCGTACCACTACCCAAATAGGTTTGGAACAAGTAGACGGACGGGAATACAGCTGACCTGACCTACTTTATTTTCAGCCCGGTCTCTCGGCGGTGGCTAAAAACCCATTTTAGGCCTAGTTTTAATCACTAAAGGGTTTAGCTTAGTTACGGGAGATTAGGTAAAACGTAACCTTTATTATAAATACAATATAGATTACGGAAAATAGTACTTCTGAAGTATTTATTTTATAAAGAAAGGAAGATATATAGATAAGTAATTTTATAGAAAAATAAATAGAAGTACTTATATAGTATTAAAAAGGATTTCCTAATTAGGACTAGCTAGTTTCGTCGAATTATTTTGAAAATAGCGTCGCCGTATATCCTTAACCTTTTTATTATTAACTAACTAAAGTAAGTCGCCCCTACTATCATAAAGAATAGCTTTTTAAGTCTTTTCTTTATCTTTACGTACTCGATACCCTTAAATATATATATAGCGACTTTTTTCGGCTTCGAAAACGCCTATTTATTAATATAATTAAGGTCGAACTTTTAAAGCGCTACGCGCCTAAGAGCGCTACGTCTAAGTCCTTTAAATCTTATCTATATAATAAGTTAAGTACTTTTAAAGATATTACTAATAATTTAGTACTTTTTTAGTATTATTCTAATATTATCTCTTCTTAGTTATAATATTTAACTTATAGTAAGTACTTTTTAGGTATTTCTAATATAAGACTTTATAAGTACTAATAAAGTTCTTAGATAGTTTATAAGCGCGATAGTTATAACTACGGCCGTACGGAGGGCGATAGCTAGGAACTACTAGATAGTAAGTACTTTATTAGTATTTACGCTAATAGAAGTACTAATAAAATACTTTAGAGAATAGTTCGGAAGCTATCTATACTCCTTATCCCGGAGAAGCGACCTATCCTTAGTACGAGTAAGTACTTCGTTAGTACTTTCGTTATTATAAATACTAATAAAGTACTTAGTATTCGTTCTAAGGAGAGATATAACCTTAGCTAATATTTAGTTCGTTATCTTAGAGAGTAAGTACTTTCCTTTACGAAGTACTTCGTAAGTACTTACTATACGATCTAGTATTTCCGTTTAATACGTTTCTTTAACTCCGTCTTATCTATATCTATAAGTACTTCTAAAGTATCTTTTTATAAGTAGTATTTATAAAGTACTAGTAGTAATATCTCGCTTCGTAGTAGTCGTAGCCTTAGCGCCGACTATAACGATATAAAAGGTCCTTCGTAAGTACTATTAAGAGATACTTTTAAAGTACTCTTTTATAAGTAGTATTTATAAAGTACTAGTAGTAATATCTCGCTCGGTAGTTATAGCGCCGCCTAAAGTCCTT